TCGGGCGCCCGTTTCACCTTGTGAAACCATTCACCCCTGCCCACGTCCCTAAAGTATCCCTTTCCCTTCCTTAACGTCTCCCGGGGCACCCGGGCCCGGGGAGTTACTTACATATACTTCAAAATTGCTATGTATCACACTGGCCTTAATTCCGAATCTTTTCAGCACTGATACGATCAGCCTCAATCCGTTCCCGTGCTAGTTGGTCTGTTAATCTCTGCTGTTGCTCTTCTACGAAAAGGGCACTTACAGTTCCTGGTGGTAGAGTTCCGAAGGAAGGCTCATGGGCTAACAGAGGGTGTTCACGTTGTGGGTCAATAACAGTAGAAGTACTAGATGGTTGCTGGGTGCTAGGTTCTCTTGTTGCGGACGACCTACTGTTATTCATCTGTATTGCTTGTCCTTGTGGCTGTTGATCTCGTCTGCCAGCGCTAGTGCCCACCGTTTCTTCAGCAGTGCTGACAGTCCCAGAAGGTCCGTCCCGCTGTGGAGTCCCCGTTTCCGGCAATCGCGGCACAGGATGCCGATAGGCATGACTCCGAGTTCGTCCTGAAGCACTCGTGGCTGCGCTTGCACGCGCGCCAGAACGCGTGGACGATGAGGGAGACCAACTGGAAGTTAAACCTGATCTTCCTGAGAACATAGTACCTCCACCGGTTGCAGTTGACACAGTCCCACCACTTCTACGCTCTTGAGATGAGTTTCCACTGGTTCCTTGAGATGAGTTTCCACCTCCCTCATAATCTAACAGAGGTTGTGCTTCGCGACGAAGGTCTCTGGAGCTGGAATGCCCTCGATCGAACAGGTAGGAACCGCCAGAGGAACGGGCACTCGTTGGCACACTTACAGACGAGCCCGCCGTTGATGCGGGAGAAGAAGCGATAGATTCTTGTTGGGAACGAGAGGAGGTCTGACTTCTATTATTCAGTTCAGATGACCACTGTCCTCGTTGAGCTTGAACGTTTTGTTGTTGATCACTTCGACTATCACGACTCACGACTGTTGCACTATCAACACTAGTGCCAGGAGCATCATGATCACCGCTCGCAGTAGCACCAGGAGTACGAGGCCCACCAGGACCGACACTGGGGTTTAGTCGAGCCGTGAAAGCACCACTTCCACCACCACCAGTTCCAGACGCAAACGAAGACGAAGACGCTTCCTGGTCCTGCTCATCAGTATAGATTTGATCTACAACATGAACTGCACTAGAATTCGGCTTGCTCTTGTTCGTGGCAGAGATGAATGTATCAGCAGGAAACTCCAAATGTGCGACGAAGAGTGCCGCTTCTTCGAAACATTTATTCAATTCAGTCGCATTCCAATTTCTAGGAAGCTGATCTGTTACTGTTTGCGCAGCAGCTGAGCCAGCAGGAGAACGGGTCGACCCAGATGCTGGTGGACTGGTCATAGCTTCTCCTCCAAATATTCCCTTTCCCGGTTCTTTCCCAAGTTGGAAAACCTGAGCCCTTGTTTCTGGACCTAGAGTAGGACGGAAAGAAGTTTCTCCGGGAGATGCAGCAACGCTAACTGCTGCTGTGGCTGGAGGTCCTCCACGGAAAGAGAATACAGAACTTTCAGTACCATCATCGAAGCGTTGCTCGTCTCCTGTGTTCGAACTTCGGCTTGAGATCAAAGAAGTCCCCTGCTGCAGCCGCGGCTGCTCAGAAGTGCCAGAACGACCTTGTAGAGCTCCAACTACACCTCCACGTACACCGACCGAAGACGCTGACGGTGATGCACCAGAAGATGCTGCGGTTGTCGACCCTTGTTGTTCTTGACATGTTGATGTAGCAGGCCTACTAGTACTACTTTTCTGTTCAGGGCTACCATAGAAAGCTTTCGATGCTATAGGAGTGGCACTCCCACTCTTTGGCGCCGTGGGATTTGCTCTCCACCACGGACTATCTGTAACAGTACCGGGAAAAAAAGGTGATTGCTCTCGCACGATGGAAGGACTACTGGGTCCTACTCCTACTGGAGGTCGTACAGTTCTCTCGGGAACGATCATATTACTTGGAACTCCAGTTCCAGTCTTTTCGACACCTGAAGTCCTCGCTCCGAGAGACGAAGGCATCGCTGGTGGAACTGGAATCGAAACACTACTTCCACTTGCAGGTTGGCGGACTGAAATCGATACACTTCCTCCAGGTGTTGCGGCACCAGTTGCGGGTGCAGGGAGAGATACGCTTTCTCCATATGTTGAAAGGTTCTCCTGCTCATAACCACCAGATTGAGGAGTTAACATCGAAGACCAAATTGTGGCTCCATTTCCTGGTATCGGAGTAGGTTGTATATAGGTTGCGTGCCGTTGAGCAAAAGGATCTTGATGTTGATGTTGAGCTTGAAGTTTATCTTCAGGGTAATATTAGAGGTAGGCTTTTGGTGTTCGTTTATCCCGCTCGTTATGGCTGTCCCCCTTAGGAGAGCCATAACAAACGGTAGCAAAAGCACCTTTAGCCTACCCTTAATAATATCTAGGATGTGTCTGCAACTGCTTCTGGGAGATATCGGGTTGCTGTTCCTCCTGACTGGACCACAAGCTCGCTATAGTACTTGCCCATGTCGGATTACCATGATAATAGAGTTGTTGAGGAGCTCCTGAAGATGTTGTTCTTGTCCATGGTGTAGTAGATGAAGGCCCATCTACTACACCTGGATGAGATAATCCTCCTCCATGTAGTTGATGTTGAAAGTCACTTCCTCCAATACTAGGACTAGAAAGTCCACTGCGAACAAAGTCACCTAGTCCTTTTGCTGGCGAATAGTGTCCACTTTCAAAGGAGTCCTTCGCCGTAGGTTTCGGAGCAGGCGGTGCAGGTGCCGCTCGAACCGGCTGAGGTGGTGTTGGCGCTTTTGTAACACGCAGTGGAGACAACGGGTGTTGAGATGTAGAGGACGCGCGAGACAACTGATGTTGTTGAGAAGTACGAGATGAAATGCCAGCTCCAGCTCCGGTCCGGAGGGTCGATCCAGATACGCTTCCTCGACTGTAGTTAGGAGGTGTATGGTTGAATGTACCCACCGATCGCGAAATTATACCTACAGTATGAACACCAAGCATTGGCCCAGATCCGGCACTATAGGTAGGCGTATGTGCTCCTCCTCCTGCTCTATTCCCTTCAAAATCAGGACCTCCTCCTCTACATCCTTCTAGAGGGCTTCCTCCTGGGGCAGGCGAGTAAGCTACACTGCGTGACGACCTCTGAATTTCTGGATGGAAGCAGTGCTGTCTCCTTTTGCCAAAATACTCGTTTTCGATCTCGTCAGAGAGGGACCGGACTGAGCGCCGATTCATACGCAAAGATGCAGTTAATTGAAGTAAACTTGCAAGAAAACCCAGGTAGGAAACCAAGACCATCATGTTGATCTTTGGTTGATGACCAGGATTGGGCTTCTGATGAGGTCTATTGACGACGAGGGCGGATACAAAACGGCAAAGTTTTTTACGCATCCTTTGTGCTGCACCAGGGCGTATCGACGAACTAGAAGATGAACAGAGGAAAGACATTTTTTTCTTGACGCATATTAAGTTGTCTGCACGTTATCAATCATGTACAAGGACTGCTAATCATCTTGATCTTGTTCATCCTTTTTCCCTCGCTATCGCACGCATAAACTAGTACAACCGCCACTGCAAACAACTATATTGTCCTTCGAACCACTACGATTCCGTACGATCAGACACTGGTGACACACATTTACGTTACCCGTCTTCACATCCTTGGAACTTCGAGGTGTGCTTTCTGCACCAGCCGAAGCCTTGTAGCTCACTTTTAGGTCAGAAACTCGGGGGAAACAAATCACGAATGCACCGCCCTACGATATATCTACCAGATGATCTTCGTAGTATACTCAACAAGTCAAAGTGAAAGTCGTGACCCTAGACAAAGGTTCCTTTTGTAACTTCTCGTCAGACTTTCTTGTCACAGAACGAATGCTACTTGCTAGAGGCGTTAAACTGCGAAAATAACTGCGAAAATCCGACATCAAATCGCGTTGCTTGAGAACAGCAATCGGTTTGACTAGTTGTTTCGCATATTATTTCGGTTATAGCTTCCTCGTTGATCTTGATCATATGTGGAACGATTCTCATCGTCTTTCCGCTATGAGACTCCTCTTCATTGTGTCGGGCGATCGTATATAATCACGCATCTCCTGGTGGTTCACGCCTTCATGCCGCTCGTCCTCCAGACGCCTCAGAGAACTACCTTTTTCATGATCCTCAGAGCTGGTTTATAGCCTTGTTTGATCTCGTCTTGATCACTTGGCTGCTTCTGCATCCATTCGATCACACGGCTGATGGCACGTTTTCGTTGACTACGCGCACGGTTTCGTTCTTGTCGGCCAGCACTGATTACTGCGTCTCCGCCATGCATCATAGCACACCTCAATCACAATCACTCACCAGGTCCCCACAAATCGCATTCGCCGCTCTCTCCGGCGTACCACGCTGCCACGTACAGAAGACTCGGAACAGCGCCCAAAAAACACAAGTCGCGCAGCATGGGACAGCCTCCAAAGAATGAGTAATACGTACTCAAGGCGCCGGAAAAAGCACCCGATAGAAGTGCGAAGCAACTCCAAGGGCGCGTCACTGCGCAATACATCCGAATATACTTCAGCTTGCCACGCCAGGGAAAAATAAAGAACATCAGGAGGTTATGAAGGTGGTCGTGCTTGGTAACGTAAATGGTATTAAACAAGAGAAATCAATGATTGAAACATCACACCATAATGATAGAACAGGCTGAACGCGACTCCGTAGCAGGCGTACGACATAAAGACGCAGTCTTAAAGCTCAGCATTCAATGGTCACTGACTCTGAAAGAAATGGGCCCCATGCCTCTCCCTTTGCTTTTCCTTCATTTTCCCCTGTTCTCTCAAGAGGGACCTCAGTGACCAACCCCAATGACCATTGAAAGCTGAGCCTTAACAGTCGTTTTCAAACATCGGTAGTTGGTCGATAAAGAGGATGAAAAGCGCGAACTCAGTTACACGTGCCCAGAACGTGTACTGTCCTGTCAGACGGCGGCCCATTTTTTGCTTATAATTTCAAAGACCAAAACGTGTACTGTATTAATGTCAAACGGCGACCCACTTTTTGTTGGTTACTTTCGTTTTTTCTCTTCAAAAATCAGGGGTATTATTTGTTTTAAATCTTACCACTGTATCTAATCCTTTGACAACACTTTAGTTTGTTGGAACTTGCCGCTTTACGTACTTGGTAAGCAAAGGGCCTCGACGAGTCCCGGAAGATACAGCACGCTCTCCTCTTTCCGATATTTTTGATAAATATGGGACCGAAAGTACACCGACGGCGTTGCGGATGAATTTCGATTGGTAGGTTCTACTCAAAGCAGCTGAAGATTTTTTACCGACAGCAAGATTGATGAGAGCAGGGCAGCCGTGTTTGATTCCGCGTGACTCCTGTCAGGAAGTCAACACACACCAAGGCAGTAGCGAAGTAATTTGCGTTGATTGGAGGTACTCACCAAAACATATAAAAGGATTAATAACCTTCATTTTTGGTCTCCTGTCCTGCCCAGAAAGGACTGAGCCTTTTTGTCGCCTATTTGTCCCACCACGGGTTGATTTTTCATCATCGGTGCTCCTTGCTGCAACCGGTTGTTAAGCTTTTGTTTTTCATTCTAAATCATTTCAGAATTAGACATGAAATATACCTTACCAGCAGAAACCAAGAGCGAGATACAATTCAATAATCTGAAGAAACGAGACCGATGTTTCCAAGCCCCAGGCCCCAGTGAATTCATCTATGAGAGTCGAGTCGATGCATTTTTATACATGTGTTCTTTGGTATCTACATCTACAGGTTACAGCAAGCTTCGTAACACTCCCAAGCCTTATGGTGTAAGAGAACAATGACACTGTTGGGATGTTGTCAACAGCGAGGATGTTCTCAAGATTTGAATCTTTTAATATTTCAAAAAATGGAATACAATTGACTTCTGTAAGTACACGTCAATGTGAATGTTGCGCACGATATTTATTCGTTGTAAGAATTACTTTTTCCTGTAACTTACTATGTGTGACTACGATAGATAGTACCTGATCCTGATGTAGATACTTCTTAAGTATAAGCAGTACTGTCTGAAAATGAATCTTCAAATAGACTATGTTACAACTACAGATTTCATTGGAGATTTACTTGATACAACTGAGGGAACCCAACGTGATAGCAGAAGAAAAATTTGGAGATGAGTAAATCTTATTGTATTGATGGAAATAGTTATACCTCCTCTCACATATGAGAGCCCGTTTCAACTACAACTAACTACATATACGAATACCTCTAACATCCGTAATAACGAGCAGAACAACAATCATAACCAAAATGTGAGCATTCTATTTTACATCAGTATGATGGGTATCACATATTTGAGGATGTTCTTGCATAAGCCCCCGTAGTAGAGCTCATTTTTTAGACTCACGTAACATGATCTGCAGGCCCGTACGAGTTCCTCCAGCATGATTCATAATTTCAATTTTTTAAAACTAAAACTTCTTCACACGACAAGCAGCACGAAACAACTGCACTTAGTATTTGATATTTATCGATCTTGTGAAAGTGTTGTACTTGTATTCGAGATACAACCGAGCATCCAAAAGATAAGTTTGTAAGTTTCTACTTCAACTTATTGTTGTTCCCTCTATCGCCCTCCACCTATCGACGGTCTTCTCGCACTGTTTATCGTCGGTGTGTTCAGCATACTCTCTGCATCGATCCTGGCTCGTCCGGGCGTCTGAAATTGATTGTCTTTGCGATGAATAGACTGCTGTCTCGGCGTCGGACAGGGGCCGCCTGTCAGCATGCCACCTAGTTCCACCCGCGCGCTTGGTGGTGGGTCAGCGTCGCCTGCGGATGTTAGAGGCATGGAGGTAGCTGTTGTCTGCTAGAAGATGGGTGCATGCCCTGGAAACGGATATCAATATCCACGTTCCTTCTATTGGATGATTTTTCATAGCTAGAAAGTAGTACTTAAAGTTAGAAACGGCGTGCCGAGGCCGACAAACTGTAAGTATTTGGTATTATATCATCCCATCATAAACAAGCTCCTCCCGCTCCTCTCCCTGTCATGCCTCCTCGTGCAGTCATGCCTCCACCTCCCCTCGCTGTTAGGCTTCCGCTAAATACGTCTTCAAAACCACAATCCTCTTCCAACAATTTGCGTTGAAGTTCGAAGTTCTGCCTCTGCTTATAGAGCATGTTCTTGCGTTCAGCGTGCTGAGTGAGCATGCTTTGTGTGTGCCTTCGAGCATGTGCGCCTGCGCCAACACGACCAACGTTGGCGCCCAAAGTTGGTGCTCCAGCACTTGTTCCAGAAGCTGTTCCACCTGTAGTTGTGCCTGCAGTCGTACTAGGCGTGGTGCCTGCTCCTGAAGTAGCCGTGGTTGTACCATCAGTCGCAGTCGGAGGATCTGTACTAGATGATGTCGCGCCGCCTACGATGTGGTCATCTGCCAATCTCGCACTCTGTATCGTTGCAGGCAAGCCTCCTATTCCACCTAGTGGTGCCATTTTTGCACCAGCACTTTGTTTATTTCCAATCTTCGAGAGATCCAACGCTGGCATGATGATGGATGGTCCGCGTCGTGTGTTCATTGCCTTGGGCTTGTTATTACCAGGTCCGTTGCTGGTGAGGCCAAGACCGAGAGAAGTGGGTGCTCTGCTATCTGGTGGCGTTCCGGGAGCGCCACCGAGATTGATCTTAGGCACTCCTGCTCGTCCTGGCGGATTAAATCGAGCATCACGTGGCGTTATCATTAGAGATGTGGAAGTATCAGTATGTCTCTTCTTCAGAAAAATAGATGGGACAGAAACTGAAACCCTACGTGAAGCAAAAGACTATAGACTGTTATCTAGCTGCACGACTGAGGACACAAAAATGAAGGTGAAAATTAAATTCCAAGAGGTCTTTGGATCTGCATAACATCAATCTATCTTGCTCTTGTTTCAGTGCGGCATTCTCTCGACGAAGCTTCTCTAGTTCTGCGAGGATAGAGGCGTCGATTGGCGGAGGCGCGGGTGCCTGTTTTGGCATCGGTGGTGTGCTGTCCTCGCCATCGGGAGTTAGAGGATTTTTACTTTCTAACTATAACCAGGTCTGATAAGTAGCAACCAGGATCAGCAACCGACTGTATCTCCAATATCCCCCGCCAAAATTTCTATTGCTATTTGTTTCTTCTAAAAAAGTAACTTACTCTGAGAAAGCTACAAACTTCTATCCTCCAATATAGCCACAACTTTGCACCATCCGTTTTCGTTAATGGCGGTGTCTGTGGTACTGTTGCTGATTCCTCATTCGGACTGCTCGATGAAGATGGACATCGCGTTGTCGCACCACTCTCGGTTCCGCTGTCTGTCTTACCTGCCCCATCTGCAGTGCCAGAAGATTCAGTAGCGCCACCGTCTTTATTTCGTCTCGCAAGCATTTCCTGATACGCTCTTTCTAGTTCTTCATCCTTACGTTTTTGATCTGCTTCCAGCCTTGCCTGTTCTTCCCTGGCCAGCCTTTCTTCGCTGGCAAGATCTTGCCACATCAGGAAGACGCTTTTCTGGATCGTCTTCTCGAACTGGTGTTTGCCTTTCACTCGCTTTCGTGCGATTTTAACCCATTTCGTTACGGTAACGAAGAGCGGAATGACGCGATGGAGGAGAACTGAGCGAAAAAGAGTGACGTGGATGTGAGTAAATCACAACGATGAGTTTGCAATGATAATAAATTCTTCTTTTTGCATGGCTGCTACATTCCTATATATGATTTTTAGGGATTGAAGAGCGTGCGATATGACAAAAGCAGAAGTACGGCACATCCTGTCTTTGGATCTGCGTACTCGGATAATCCGATACCACCGCATGAGACGGACATAGACACGACAACACCTCACCAAAGCAAACCGCAGATTGTCGTTTCGCGTTCGTCGCATAACTTTCGGAAGATACAGACAAATCTTCACGGTCGTAAAACAACGCTGCAGCTTTTGTCTTCGGATCTGTTGTTGTCGTGAAGAAAAGAGGCAATTTGTTACTACAGAAGTAAGAGCCAAGAACTATCAAGTTTCCGTTTGAAAGATGAAATGGCCAGTCAAACCCAAAAATGGGACTAAGTGGAGAGAGAGTAGAAGCAAAGGGCCCGGCTACGCCTATACGTCTGGCTTCACTTGCGGCACCCCGCTCGTCGCCGTTTTTCACCACTGGCTTGGGCGTTTCTTTCCTCCCAATCCCTGCCGCGGCTCGGTGGGGGGACCGCGGACGCAGAGGGGAGGACCTCTGCAGCGGGCGCGCTCGGCTGTCGCAGTTCAAACAATCAAGCGAGGCGCGTAGCAGGGGATCTCCGATGTGCGCGACCTTTAATACCAATCCACTTATCGATATCGCCATTTTCTGTATATTATTCTGTTATACTCTAACAGCGTAGAAGAGGACGTAAAGTATAATGAGTACATGTTTCCGCAGTTTCGCTACAAGCTCTTCGCCTATGTCTTCGCCGGTCATTTTTTCTAGCACAGCCAGCTTCCCTGCTTTGAGGAAGAGCCTTGTTGTGCCCAGAGTCCAATGTTTTCGTTTCAGTTCGTCCGAAAAGGCGATCATCATCACTTCGACAAAGCTCCTAGGATCTAAGTCGCGAAATTCGGCAGGCATAATCGGTTGAAAGCGTTCAGCAAGGTCTTGGGGCATTAGAAGAGGATGGAGGTGGACGAGGGAAACGAATCTTGTTGCAGGGATTGATTCCTAAGGAGAAGCATTTGCATCCAATTCCACCAAGAAACCAAATTTCCAAGCAGTATAAGTAACCACAAAAACCAAATAAAAGATAAAAAATCGATCCATCTTTGGCTCATAAGAACACACATCTATGCGGATAGCCATCGTGCATGATTTTGACTAGTTCAACTGTTCCACTCTGCTTCATCTGCTCTAGCATTACGCCACCGTTCCATTGCTTTGGCTTCTGCTGTACATTTGGCTTGAAACAACGAGGAGATTAGAGAGAGTGAAGGCCTGTAGAGGAATGGCAGCTGCATCTAGTTCAATTCACTCTCGTGTCTCGTCCATCCAAAAATAGAGTACTTACGCTGTACTCGGCAAGTAGGCTTGTTGCAGAAGTTGTGTCGTGAAAAGAAAAGGATTTGTTCACGAATTTGCGTACTTCTCTAAAAATTCTTGTTCTTCCTCTGGAACTATCTTCCACGCGTAGTTCATAAATGTAATGCAGGTTGCAGCTTGCCAGTGTGTCCATCAGCAGGTCCAAATCTCGCAAGTATTTTCGGGCCACACTTGTAAAACTCGACTGTCCGAGTTGACATGCCGACAAGTCTGTGCATTTTTGAATCATGCCGTTATCTTGCGCGTCTCGGATCAGACACTCGGCATCGCCGACCAATTTCGCGTTGTTCTTGTGGATTAGAATCTACGGCCATTGTTCTTGTCGCCAGATAGCTTTCTCTCTAACGAATAAGAAAGGTCCCGAGTCTTACTCACAAGAAGTTGTAGTGTAGATGCCCCGAGTCAACGAGAAAGATGGATTTTTCTATTAATTTCTGGAGTAGTTGCATCACAACCAGGAGAAGGTGAAATTTAAATGAAAGCACTTTGTCGTTCTACTTCTTAACTCTAAGAAGCCCTTCGTTGTGTAAGTGACTTCGCCAGCGTAGTGTGCGATCACGAAACCGTCTGACATACGGAGAGACTGGGCTTTGGAAACGTTTTTTCCACGCTTCGGTTCACGAAAGATACCAGCAAGACCAAGCTTGCGATGACACTCTTCCGTGAATCTATGGAGTTATCATGTAGATGTTATTCATCATTCAATTCCTGTTAGTGCTAAAAGAAGTGACATAAAAAAAGTGAGTCTGAATGTAGTTGTGAACATGTAACTTACTTTTGATCCGTTGTCGGCTGATTGCGCGTCAACCGCATATTATGGTCGTCCAAGGTTGCAAACACGCTAGAGACGCAATTCAGCACTGGGCCAGCATCTGGCAGTGTCACGTCTTCCCACGGGAGGCCTTCTTTTGCGTAGAGGACTTGTTCCGCTGTAAGAACCTTCTCAACGAAGAACTGTTGTAACCGCTCATTCGCCAAATTGATGCACACTTGTTCGAAAGAGTTTACCTGTCGTAGAGGATCTATAATTGAGTCAAATTAGTGCACACTACTTGTTCGAAAGAGTTTACCTGTTGTGGAGTATTGAATCGTGAAGTGTTTGATTGTTGAATTGATTGAGATGATCATGATAGCCATGATGTTCTCTTCTAGCACTAGCTCTAATCAGCATTGGCCATGATTGGCCATGAATTATGGAGACAGATAATGTGAATGTGATACACATACATCTCCAGTTCCAATCGTGAGCGTAAGCCTACCTGCAAACACTCGAAACCGTAGATATCCAGGATGCCGATGTGTTTTGCCCGCTTCTGGCTCTCGCCTCCATGCACAGACTTGTTGATTTGTTCGCATATCAAATGAAATAGGCGTTTGTAGAGCATCTTCAATAGAGATTGCTGCGTTGCTGCAGCTTGCTCAGCGGAACGAGGCACGGTGTAATGCTCCGTTTTTTCGACGCCTGGTTTGGGGGCGGGGAAGTCGCTGTGGAGGCGGAGGGTCTTCCCCTAGCTGCTTTTAGTTGTACTGTGCAATGAATAAGCTTAAGCGATTTTCCGTTTCACTTACGCTTTCTTCTTGCAGTAGACAACAAGTATCAATTGACATCAAGAAATGCTCCTTTTTCCCTACCACTTCATACTAGCATTACAAGTTGTGCAGTACCTTGTTCTTTCCTTTTGATGACCATCGCACGCTTGAGAAACACGTCCCGGAGTTTCGTTGCATCGAAGCCGCAGAGTTTTGCACCCTGTTCTAGACAATTTTCGGTCGATGGTTCTATCGCGGACACGTCCTGGCCCTCTTTGTCTGCCACAGTGATAAACTGCACATCTCCGAGATGGATGATGCCTGCGTAGGCCGCGAAGATTAGAGGAATCAATAGTCAAAGTCTTAACGCTGAGAATTCGCCTCAGCCCTGTTATCGTGGATTTGGGGTCAGACATTACTTGTGTAGTTCAGAGGACTATCAGTAACACAGTACTAACAAGTTGCTGAAGGACGTCTACGTATTAAATGATTTGTTTCCTCACAAAGTCTCGTCAACTACGTCGTCTCGTCATAAGTACAATTCCCGCCTTTCCTTCGCGCTGAACCCGATATCGGCCAATCCCGTGTCCAGAATCTGGAAGTTTTCTGGATCCTTTCGGAATTGAGGAAGTTTCGCGTCTGCGTCGTTCGTGATACTACCGTATAGGAGTTTGTAGCGACGCTCTGGGTCCAAGCCCAGTTCTGCAAAAGCCGCTTTTGGATCACCAAACTCGTCAGCGTGGGAGTTAGAGCTGTTTGGAAAAAACTAGGAAGATGATCATGATCATGTTGATGGGAAGATGATGGTGTTGTAGTATATTTCTTTTCATCAGGAGTAATTCGTATAAGTACGTAGATTGGTTCTATAGTATAAGGTCTTTCTGCTTCTTAACTTTCGGCTGCAACTGCGGATAGCCCCAGAGCATTTCGTAGAAGACGTGGTAAGTCCTTTCTCCATCTCCAAACAAAACCACACGACTGGATTCGAGTAAGTAAGTGCGGACTTCTGCGCCTACTAGATTACCCACGGCGTTAAAGCATAAGGCATTGTACTTCCCGAAACGCGACGAATTGCCATTTCGAACAGTCGTTGCGTTTCCGATGGATTCTGATGTAGGTTTAGGGTTTAGGGTTGTGTTACTTCTTACAAGAACTTGAGTGATAAGTAGTAGCAGATATTAAACAAACAGGGATACGAATACTGACCATGAATGTTGCATTAAGTTGTAGTCAGATGGGTACCTAGTATCGGGTTTGCGCCATTCAGAATTTTGTTCTGAATATCGCTCGCCTGTGATTCGCCTGTTCTGCTTCTATCTGCCAGACAGCTCATCACTATCTTGGCCGTTTCCGTTTTCCCGGCGCCGGACTCACCGGATATTACTAAGGCCTGTTGAGCAGAATCAGAGTCAGAGTTGCTCAGTGGCAGTCGTGTTACCGATAACAAGATGAAGAAGATGCTGTCATTGTCAAACATGAATAGAAGATCTTAGTACCTGATTCCCATGTTGCTGCAATTGCCTGTACGCCATATCCGCCAAGGAATAGGGGTGCGGCGGAAGCGTGTGTGCTGAACCGATATTGACATACTTCCGTTTTATGTCTTTCGTGTATAAGTGGCTAACATCGGAGTAGGGATTGACGGCAAGCAGAACTGAAGCCGTGAACGTATAGATCGACCCAGCAAGATATCTTGCTCGCAAATTCTCCAATATATTCGCATCGTCAAGGTGGGTTAATGACGTACAGTCGTCTGCAGTAAGGAATTCGCCGTCAGGCCTATCCCTTATTTCTGTCTCGGCGTCCAATATTTCCTTCGAACCTCCACTACTGATTTGCACCACGAGAGGACCTCCCTTGCCACCTTCAGGTTTGCCACCTTCTGGTGTCCCGCCTTCTGGGGTAGTGGCTTCCGGAACAGTAGTAATGGTGCCAGGTGTGTAGCCATCCTCCGCATGCGCGACCCAGACTGGTGCGCCCACTTTATAAAACGGCGCGCTCGAACTTGACGACGTTTGCGTCGAAAGGTCAGGCGCAGCAACCGAGGTAGGTTCTGGCATGATCACAGGTAGAAAATAAGCTCTAAAAAGCGGAGAGAGGGTTTAATTATGTTCGGCTTCCACTACAAGAACGTCTCATATTACGCGAACTCGCTCTCTCATCATCATGGTGTTCCAAGTAGTTCTACCAGCATGGCTTTCCAATTAGTTCTAGATAATGAGTATCATCAGACATTTACATTTAAATGTCTATGCGTCAATCCAATCCTCTTCCTCATCTTCTCATATGCGCTATCACTACAACCAACTAGGCGCGGCAGTCCTTCAATGATCTTTCTTGACGATGCATATGGTATGATGAACGAGAGCGAAGGAATGGCCCCCGTATTCGGTAACCTGATTTTGATCCCAAGGGAAAACAAGAAGAGAATCCTTGTGATCAAATTCAGGTTAGCAAATACCGGAGCCATCCAGCTAATTGTTTTTGTTGCCTTAATAGCTAGCTTCAATATATTTTTACTCCCCGGTTCAAGGACCGGGATGTACTTAATTAGTACGCTCATCATTTTTGTCGTCAGAGTCAGGAGACCATCATGACTCTCTTCGGTGTCTTTTCATCTCCATCTGTCTCCGGCTAAGAAGAGCTTTCAAGCTCATAGAACAAGGTCAGAGCTTTCGACTTACAAATCACCTGATGTTGAACACGCAGCTTGCTGCTGCTCAAGACGAAGCAACAGTACAAGCGAACTCGTCGTCCTCTAGAAGCTTTTAAGAACTCGAAGGAAGTTGTTTTTTCTTTTGCGCTATAAAAATTCTTGTTCATTTTTTGACACGATGAATCACGATTTTAGGAGAGGACCATATAATCATACTGGAGATCATGAGTAATGACGCCACCCAACAAACTGAATCGTCCTGCATACTTCATCAACCATTCTCGCAGCCGGTTATAATCATTTTGTAGAGGTGGGAGCGGGGGTCGTTTAGGGTTGTAGTGGAGAATCAATTGAGAGAATCCTTAAATGTAATTGTGGACAAGAAATAGACGGAGGAGCGACCTTCTTGGTCATCTTCCTGTTCGATATAACCGAGGTCGGGTTAATGTCTAATTCCCGACCATCACAATTGTTCAGACACAACGACTTCTTCGCAGCCGCGGTCGTAGAGGGAGAGTTTGAGGTTCTTGGAATAGCAGTTGTAGGAGTTGTATCTACATGTTAATCTAAGCAAAAATCGCACTAGAAGTTTTCCACCGTCCCCAGCATGGAGTCCTTTTTATGCTCCCGCCATTCCTTCTTTCAATCTTTTCGCCACCATGTTGTCTAGGGAGAGAATGTTACTGCCTTCTTTAGAGCTTACTTTAATTCATCTTTGACAGCATCTTTGAAGTTCCTTCCCGTTGAAAACGTGTCAAAGATGCTTCTCCAGATGAATTACGGGAAGCCTTAACTTCTGGTACGTCGCCGAAAGACGTCACTCCAATCGAGAGCATGTCTTCGAGCGACAGAGCCAAGCCGATCTTTCGCGTTTTGTTCTCCGTTTTCTCAAGAAGACTCTCCCAGCATACAAAGCAATAGTTGTGCCCTCGCTCAATGTCCTGGTAATACTGCGGCGTCTGGTGGGGGATGAATCATTGGATTTTAAGAAGAAACTACTTGAATTACTATAGTATAGGTACTTGTAACTATTCGAAAACTAGAAATGAGCGAGTTGTAACAAAGACAGCAGCCGATGGATTATACATAGGAAATTTTGGATTTTATGATAGTATTATTAAGGAAACAAAGGTGTTCTTTTGTAACATTCAACAAAGTCGTGTTGTATGTAACATACAAACTAGTACAACTAGTAGTTGATGATCCTGAGTACCTCCCAATTAACAGGTGTGCATTGCGGATTTCCACATGGTTTCTTGCGTATTAGCTGTTTTGCTCCCCCAACAGTTACAATAGGTGCAGCGACTGCGCCATACCCTGGCCTGTGAACTACCTGCTGCCCACCTCGCTGTCCGCCAGTCTGCACAAAATTTGCGAAAGACCCCGTTGCTGGCGCAGCTGGTGTTGGAGTAGGATTTTGGTGATTATTTTTGGAGGATTTTGTTTTTGTGTACTAGTCGAGAATTTGGGTTTGGTGAAAGACTTAATCTTAGATGAAGTTATCCTTATCGATTGGAGGATTTGTAAAATCTTAAAAGATTTGAAAAGTACCTGCCTTCGACATGGCAAAGCCACCTGCCTTTGACTGCGCTGGTTGACGACCTAACATTGTTCTGTTCTAGTATCGAGTGGTCTTACAGAATAGCAAATCAATTGTCGTAGTCGTTGTGATTCATCAAGAAAAATATGCTTGCAGCCAGCTTTAAGGAAGATTTATCACACTCAATGTTCTTTTTGCCTATAATGTAAGCCTGTGACAACTCAGACTCTAACTACAACAAATACAACCACGGAAAAAACATCAATATCCTCAAAGGGAGCTACCTGTAGTTGCGACGTCAAGGTAACTACTAATTTTCACTTGATGTTTGTTACCTTTGGAAAGATGAACAGAAGGGATAATGTGGCTTCACCACGCCTGAAGATTACGGATTAATTGAGAGATCATGTCCTTCCAGAAGTAGAACTAGAATGTGTCAGAGTCAGTAATCAGGAGATTAAAATAAGTGGTGACAATCAAAATCAATGAAATTTGGGGATTTCGCAGAAGGAACTGAAAAATTTTGCCTGTGGAAGTGGATTTTAGAAGTACAAGAAGATGAACAAGATCGTGACTTTTCATTTTCTTCCTTTACCAGCAGGTAGACAACTACTTCGCACTAGGCAAAAAGACTTCTTGGCACTACGCAAAAAGAGCATTAATATCTTCTTCTTGATCTTGCTTTTCCAAATCGAGTATTTTTAAATCATGATAGATCAATCACGGTCTCTTTTTTAGTATTACATTTTGTTGTTGTAAGTTGGAACACCATGATTGTTCGTTTTCTTCCTCGCCATCGCTTCCTTCATCTGTGTGTTTCTTCAAGGACACTTTAGCTCTACTTCAAGTAGGAATACAGGAGACATGAAGTTGTAACTTTGGCAAGAGTTGTTCTTGTTCTTGCGAGAGAGATGTCGAAACATGATTCAGGCGGAGTCTGGAACACGCCCAAAGTGAGGAGTTTGATCGACTAACATAGAGTTTGAAGATACTAACCACAATTCTACTGCAGAAGAGTCTCTAGACAGAGGGTCTCTAGAGTTAGAGCTTCTAGAAGAGCATATTCCACAGTAAAAAGAGAATGAAGAGCATTGCTGCTGAAGCGCGCCGATAGTAACTCCGGAAGTCGCGATTGGCCGTTATTTTGATCTCGTTCACTGCATCATGCGTCATCTCTGCTGTTCGTAGCACGTGGGCTTCTATGCTACCAAAATTTTCACTCGCTCGCATTATTAGAGCAACAAGAGTATAGGTGGCATCCTTGGGTAGAACATCCTACCTTGTGTGCGTTTTTTGAAGTGGAAGCTGCAAACTGACAGTCGTGACAAGCCTAGCAGGGCAAAATATTTTGTTAGCAATTCGAATTTCTTTCGGAGTTTTTAAAAAAGCCAGGCCAAGGATGCTGTTAGTTGAGGATGCAACCATATCTACCATCATACTAGCCTTAACATGACGTGTTCCGACAAGTCCACGTAGATGTTCTGTAGGTCTTCCATTCTCCCTTGGACATTAAGCATTTGCTGTAGGCGACCACGCTCGAGCTCAGCATCTGTCACTTCCTGAGAGTTAAAGTTTTCAGATGATTGTTTTCGGAAAGGAGAACCGTTGAACGTACAGGTGATCTTTATCTACTTGGTGAAAATATTATTTGAAAAAGAACCAGTCGGCTTTTTTGCATTTCTTCTAAACTATAACTACGTATAGAAGAAACTCTGCATGATGAATCATATTTCAAGTCAATGGTAACTTTTCCAGATATAGAGGATATGGTTGAATAAGTACCTGTGCGGGGTAGAGTAGTCCGGTTTTTTGCGTTTGGTTTCCGGAGGTTCCGGAGGACGGTGAAAACGGGTCTAGGAGGTCGGCGTTTGAGGTGTAGGGGTTACTGCCGTAGTTCGATTCGTATGCGTAGGGATTGTTGATGTCATGATTATAGAGATTAGTGCTGGAGGAGGTACTATCTGCGTCGTTCGTGAGCAAATTCCCCAAGCCACCAACGCCGTCGTTTCTGGGTGCTGGCGTTGTCCGCGTGTCACCCATACTCGACATTTCAACAGCGGTTTGTGGCCGTTTTGAAGGAGAGGTAGAACCATTGCTGTTGGTAAGTCCTCTAGAATTATTCGCACTACTCGCAGTTGAACTGCTACTGCTGCTGCTTGCGCTTGTTGTGCCGGTTATATTAGAAAAATTGTATCGATATTGTTCTTGTTAATATTGAAGAGGACGTTTCAAAATGCGAATCACGACGAGGCGGCAGGACCGAGATGATCCTGTTTTCTACAAAGTCTATCCCTTCCAAGAAAACAAAGGAAACTGATCTTGATCCACCATAATTCGGTAAAGCAGCTGTAACTATAAATAGAAAAAGCCCATGAAGGAACTAAAGTTACTACTCGCCATAACAATATTTGCCGATGAGGCTCCTGCCGTCGACGAGCTGCTAGACGATCCTCCTACTACAGCTCCACGTGAACTATTGCAGGCTTTAATATACTGCTGGATTTCAGCCTCGAGATCTTTGGCTGCGGCCTGCAATTTTTGCGACAACTGCTGGTACTGCGACCTCTTCTGCGCCTTCTCTGCTGTATCCTGACAACTCACTGTATAAGCTCTCAGCCTCTTCAGAACCGTTTGTAAATCCGAGATCTGCGCAATGGCGACGTCTATTCGCCCACGCGTCTCCAATAAGGACGCACTGTCAGCGGCTGGTGACCTTATTGAATCGGTTGTGGATACTTTTGCTTTTGGTGGTGGACAAGTCGAGATCATTGTCAGGGAGAGCACTTGACCATCCACTATGTTGCTCCTTGAGGATCAATCGGTAACCTTTTAAAGAAGGAACTCTATTAAGCATCAAACTCAAACAAAAGTAAAAGTTCTTAACAATCTGCATACCTCAACTCCCTGTGAATGTCTTGTGTTGCTGTCTGGAGTTGGGTGATCCCATTTTGAAGCTGCCTGCAGTCAGCAACGTATGCTTCATCGAAATCTGAAGACATTTTCTTGCTCTACTGTAGTCCACGACGGGGCGATCTCTACACGTACTGTTGCCAAGTCCACGACTACGGATCTCTAACTACGTATCTCTACACAGTCCGTTGCTAGGTCCACGACGGGGTGATCTCTACACGTTCCGTTGCTATGAAGTCCACGACTACGTCCACGACGAGGTGATCTCTACACGTTCCGTTGCTAAGACAGGGAGGTGATCTCTACAACACATGGACGGTAGTACAGCTGATGTTCGGTCACCTCTTCATCTTCTGCATGTGTCGTGTTAACAGCTTCTTGTCCTCATCAAGTTCGAGTCGCACAGCATCACTAGGGCAAGAGATGAGCTTTATGGCGCTTCGTTTCTTGGTCCGGCTCAAGCAAGAAAGGTTCGTCTCTTCATCGCGATAGTCCCCTGTCGTCACACTGTGCGCAACAAGATCCACTAGCATGACCGCTGAAGATAGTGGTCAGCGACGCGACTAAAGACCTCGGTAGAATCATAAGTGCTGGAACAATAGTCTCTGCATTTTTTTTGTGCTATAGTACGGGTGGAGCCAAGCTAACTAGGAAAAAGATAAGGTTAGGCAAAGGGTATACAATTACAGAATTATAGTAATGGCCAAACTAAGTAGGATCCGTCTATTCTAGGCGCCGCGTGTCGTCCAACAGCCCTGGAGGTCTTCTCATCAGAGGCGGCCGAGGCCGGTGCTATAGTCATTTTATTTCAAAAAGAAGAATCTCCATAATTTCGAGTGATTTCACTCTTTTTAAGATGACTCTCCTGACCCATGTCCGTTCATCATTCTGATTCTATTTCCCGCCTTAGAGAAAAATCAAAGATAAAATTTACTGTTGAAGGCAACAGACATGAGTACTAGAAATCCAATTTGATTCTCAAATAGACTCAATTACACTTTACCGGCTGGGGCCTGCCTGCCTCGCGCTCTAAACTAAGCATGTAGATAAAACAAGGAAGGTGCTGTCAGAAATTTCAGAAACAAGAACATCGTAGGAGGAAGATGCACAAAAAAACAGAAGATCACGAGCTGAGATTCGATGTTCTACGTGATGATCTTTCTCAATGATCGGCATAAAAATTTCACTGCTTCAAGATGGTTTTCGTCGATCAGAACAGAAGCAGGACATTTCCTTCAAATCGGACAAATTCAAAGCTCCAGCTCTTCCTTCATCTTCTTGATCAACATAAGTAAGTACTTTTTCACTCAAAAGCAGCGCCGTCGTCACTCTGTGTCTCTGGTTGAACACGCAGAAGTATCCTTGTTTTTATGTCTCCTTCAGTAGATTTGAGAGGCTCTCTCGTAGCAATTTTCTGCTGCGTGCTACCCTTTTTTGTAAGTAGTACAATAACTATTATTTGATAAGTACATTATATGCGGTTAGACTACATTATCCTGAAGATGGAGTTCCGAGTACCACAACGATCTCTACTGTTTTTCCGATATGAAAAAGGTGTTTTGTCGAACGTTCTATGATTCTGATCTATGTATTATGTCTGTACAGGATCTTCTCGGTTTGGAAGATAGTGCATAACACTCATCATCTGAACCTATTTTTTTGTAGTGCTCAACAACAAGCGTCAGAAATATGATTGCATTTGACACAAGAACAGCAATCTTAGGTTTGCACCTGAATAGAACAAAACTCTACTTCAGGAAATACTTAGCACACTTTAATCAATACCTTCTTGGAATTGGATCACAGATTAATCACTATCATGTTATTTATGTAGAATATGAACAACTCAACTACAACAACTCAGTACTCCTGACTCCTTAGCACGCACAATCATGTCGTTCTAAGCTGCTGTGATACTGTGGCGGACTTTCGGAAGCCCTCAAATATTTGTGGGGTTGTTGCAAAAGAAATCTTATTATCGGTGTCTATTTTTCGGACAACGTCGCCACTGCTATTCGTCTCTGCGAGCGTGCCGTCTACCACTTCAAAAATGACAAAAACATCGAAGGGCCATTTTTTATTGCCAGAAACGTTTCGACCTGCAACTGCTGTAACAGTGACTTAGAGGCACTTTTTTGCTGTTCTTTTTATTTTTCTGTTGTGTCTGCGTTTTCTTCTTGACTTGAAACAACGCTAACAAGAACGCCAAAAAACAACGCATAACTGAGAGTAATTTTCCCGTATTGATTGGGGTAGAGCGTGAATGCTCTGTCCACCATGACGCTCAAACCGTCGTGAGAGATCATGTAGGCGAAGTTCTTGTACGAATTCCGCAGCGTGGTTTTCAAATCCTCTTTAGGCCACTCCCAAATTGCGGTGGAACGTCCCCGAGGTAAAATGCGATTCTGGGCACTGTTCAGCGTTCGATCGTATGCTGCATCTGATATTTGAACAAAACTACTTTCCTGATTTGCACTTCCACGCAAGAATCCTTTCGAGCGCTGATCTACTTTCCCCAGGACCGTGACCACCTCAGATGCCAACACCAAAAAAATGGTTAAGAACGCGCACAGCTGCTCTCCTGACATGATCAACATTGTATCAGATGCTGTAAGGCTACAAGGGAAGCAGAAGATGTCGTTGTAGTTGTTGGCTATTAATATGCGCAGGAGTAGAAGATGTTGATGGTCGTTGTAGTGTTACGGCAGAAGGAGGTGCTGGGAAGTTGAAGATGAGTGTTTAGTAGTCGATGTTCTGCCGAAGAAGATGTGGCGCGGTCCTATACTCTGCAGAAGAAGATGTGGTCTCCTATGTTCTGTGTTCTGCAGATGACGTTGTTGTAGTGATCTATGTTTGTGGAGAAGTGCGCGTGCATTCGAATAAGAAATAAGTAGAAGCTGCGCGCACTGGTACGCCGATAACGTGACTCGGAACTTTACCCTCAACCGTCACAAATCCAGAAAATGCGGGATGCCGGTGAATATCTGTTTTTATTTCACTCGAGATACATCAACTATTGCTAAAGATCCAAGACTAAACAAAACTTCTCGAACAGGTTTGGCTTTCGTTTTCACACTTATGATGTACATGTAATCGATCTCTAAAAACATTACATCGTAGGAGGGAACCTTCACATTATGAAAAATAAATACCTTGAACTCCACAAAGAGTGCTGAAGCCTTGAGTATCGTGAAGCCAAGTGGTATTTCTTTTTTTGTAGTGAATAATGTGAATGGTAACGGACTCGTCTCCGTCTCTTGTCTCCGGCGCTTCTTTTGGTTCTGCAATACCAATAGTCTGTATCTCACCCGGGTCAAAAACCGTTGTCGTTCAGCAGAAGTATCCTCGAGAAATATCGAAAGGTTACCTCCTGGTGAGCATAATTATCCTTGAGAAATATCGGAAGGTTACCTGGTGTTGTGTTCGGGGTTACATGAACGAAAATGCTGGCGCAACAACATCTCTCATGCATCTTTCTTTAGGAAGCGCCTACTGCCAAGTCGAATCAATTGTTGATGGTATATAGTTACCTCGTCCACTTGGCACTTGTTTTAAAACCAACACTCCTGGTGCTCCAGCACAGTGTCCTTATTCGTGTTTATGTTGTTGGCTCTTGGAGCAGTCCCGAATACGCAACAGTCGTGATATTTGAGAAGCGCCGATCGAGTTTGCAAATAAACCTATTTTTTGGAAAGATGATGAGAACGATGATGAAGGATGCTCGAGCATTTTGGATGGTGCGGTCAGGGAAGATGAAGATGATTCTACGGACTTATTCTATTTTATGTTATGATCAGCAGCACCATCAATCTAAGCAGCATACCATAACATCAGTTTTGAAAATTCCATTACTTCTTGATTCTAAACTAAATGAAGTAAGTCTAAGTACCTAGTCTTCCACACTCTTGTGCCGTGTTCAGTCTCGTCTTCCTCGTTATAGGTCGATGCTTTTACTTGTCTTGAAAGTTCCTCGAACGACAAGAAAAAACTGTATCTGGGCTATTGAGGGTCTTTATCGTCGTTCCGCTACTCCTGTGCTGCTGGCGGTCCGATATTTCTCCAAGATAGGGATATTTTTACAATACTCTATTTAAATACTATTAAAAATCCCCGAACGCTCCTCGCCTTTAATGTGAACACTAAAGGACCCCTAAGACGCCTTTAATGTGAATGCTAAAGGATTCCCCTCCCCTTTAGTGTGAACACTAAAGGACCCTTAAGGCGCCTTTAATGTGAACACTAAAGGACCCCTAAGGCGCCCTTAATGTAAACACTAAAGGACCCCTAAGACACCTTTAAAGTAAACACTGAAGGCCTTTCATGTGGGCAGCAGGTGGCCTTGAGGAAGGGCAAGGACATCAACAACAGCAAGAACAACAGCAAGAACAACAGCAAGAACAACAGCAAGAACAACAGCAAGAACAGCAGCAAGAACAACAGCAAGAACAACAACAACAACAGCAAGAACAACAACAACAACAACAACAGCAAGAACAACAACAACAACAGCAAGAACAACAAAGACAGCAAGGACAACAAGAACAACAACAACAGCAGCAACAACAGCAGCAACAACAACAGCAGCAACAACAAGAGCAACAACAAGAGCAACAACAAGAGCAACAACAAGAGCAACAACAAGAGCAACAACAAGAGCAACAACAAGAGCAACAACAAGAGCAACAACGACAGCAACAAAACAACAGCAGCGGAACAACAGCAGCGACAACAAAGCAGCAGCAACAAAGCAACAGCGGCAAAACAGCAGCAACAAAACAGCAGCAGCAAAACATCAGCAAACAGCAACAAACAGCAACAAACAACAACAACAGCGACTATTTATATAATACGAAAAACCCCCGAACGCTCTTCGCCTTTAATGTGAACACTAGAGGACCCCGGAGACGCCACTAATGTGAATGCTAAGGGACTCCCTTCCCCTTTAATGTGAACACCAAAGGACCCTTAAGGCGCCTGTAATGTAAACACTGGAGGACCCCTCGCCTTTAATGTAAACACTAAAGGACCCCTAGGACGCCTTTAAAGGAAACACTGAAGGCCTTTCATGCTGCCACATTTTCAAGGGGGACCGGTGGCAGTACTGCCGCCTTCCTCTTGTATTTAAAGCCTGCGCGCTCCCGCTCCCCTTTGCCGCAGCGCGGAGGGGAGTGCGCGCCCTCCGGGCGCCCGTTTCACCTTGTGAAACCATTCACCCCTGCCCACGTCCCTAAAGTATCCTTTTCCCTTCCTTAACGTCTCCCGGGGCACCCGGGCCCGGGGAGTATGTTGAGTGACAAATAAATTATTGATGAAGAGAGCGATGATATACAGGGATCGTAGTGGGTGTGAGTTTACGTATAATGATCTTGATGAAGATGCTTCCTTCCAGTGAAGAGGTAGTAGATGAAGAAACAGTATGTCTATGAACGTATAATGTTGAACTATCTGTACATGGACGGTAATCGTCTCTCTTTTCACATTTACTAAGGGTTTTGGATTGATGTTGACGTCTCATGCTCTACTTGTCGAGCAAAATATGGATGGAATTCGTCTTTAATTATTCGGTTTCGGATCAGTGTACTTATGTGTATCGCGTTCGTACCTCCTCGTACAACTACAACTAGTCTATTTTGGCTGATTTCTTCATCTCACTCCTAGTACCCGCTCAGGCTGCTGTCAAAGTGATACGATTACAAAAGGATCCTCGACGAATTTGAACTTTTTCATGCTTCGACAAACGAGGAGACGGAAGATAGTAGTCGAGGTTCTACTTGTTCGAAGTTGTAAACCGACGTGCACCGTCAAATTGCTCCCTCGTACTCGTCGTCTCTGTAGCCAGTTTCTTGAGCATGAACAAATACCGAGACTTACTAGGGTGATCCTGATGTTGACAACACGGTGCGACAACTTTACCTCTCGTTCGTTGTATCATGTCTCTGGTGGAGCTTCTTCAAGTGCACGAGCACGTTGATTAGATTTGTCTTTTTCTTCCCTCACTTTCGTGGTATCAGCAACACTAACTCGAAGTCAGGAACTACAGATGAATCTCTGTCTTTAGAAGCCTATGAGAAAGGTACAGATCTATGTCTTGGGCGAGCACTTACGACTATGGAATGATGGTGTGAAGTAAACTACCACACATGAGCATGATGTCCAGTAGGGATATCTATAGCTAGATACCAGTATCTATGCCGTTCTCATACAACACTTTTGTGGTCTGAAAGATTCACGAAAACCTTCCGCAGAGAAACATGACAGAGACATACATGGTGTGGATCATGAAAGTTTAGATATGGATCTGAAGTCATCATGACTTGCTTCATACTAGAAACACCCAATGGAATCCATTGTACTAGTACTTTCACATGCATGGTATCATATGATTTTCCCTGTCGCAGGAAATAATCGGCATTGGACCACTTTAGGTATTTGTGCCTCCTTTTTCGCCTTTGACTTTCCTGTCGGTGATAGCTGGGCTGCTGCGAGGGTATTCAGAACCTGGATATTTCCGTATAATCCTATCCCTAACCACGAACCTCCTCTGTAATTCATCATCATCTGTGACTGCGTCAACTAGTACAATTTGCGTGTTTATAAGCAGTGGTAAGTGGAACAGTGAACACTATAAACAGTGAAGGTGAACCAAGACCAGCAGTGTAGTGCAAATTAAAATATCAACCACGAACTACAATACATCATAGCAGGTACTTATGTAGCACGTTGTAGTTCTAGTTCACCAACATCAATACATCATAGTACCATTTTCTCATCCCTTTCGCGATTGCAGGTGTTGAGAAAAGGGTCCTTTCCAGTCATGTGGAGGTCTGTCTCCTCTTGTAGGATTGCTCTGTGTCGCTCTATCGTCGGCTGCAAGCCGGTGATATGCCTCTTAGGGAGCCCCTCAAAACTCGAGCGCGTCTTCCCAAACTCCGAACGCGTTTCACCGAGGAACATTCTGAAGATTGATGTTGTTAGACTAGTGTACATTTTGTACTTCCAGAAGCGGAAGAACATGTACTTAGTTTGTTGCAAAAAGGCCTAGAGGAAGTGAACCCAGTAAAAGGAGTTCAAAAATGCAAGAGCAAGTATCCCTAGAAGTCACCTCTAGAATAAAGTCTTCAGAGTATCATAGTACCGATCTCCATCATTGAGGTCCTTGAGCATGGTTACGATCCGGTCTTCATTCGGTTTCAAGCGATCCTAGTTTAGCGGTTATTTCAAATTTCACTATCTTCTTGGTAGTTGTCTAGAGGACGTCACCTGTGTCCTGAGTGAGTGTCCTGTCGTGTCAAATGTTTTGCCGTGGTGTCGTGAATGGAATGCGAAGGACTTCGTTCTTGCCAGTTGCCACTACTCAGCAATCCATTCCATACCACGAGTCACACTGAGGACAGAGCAACTCTTGTTCACACACACATAGTGGAAGAAAGTCTAAGATAGTGATAGTGAAACCTGAACATCGGTAATCTTAACTGTTTTTCTTCCACGTTGATGAATGCTCCTGGGATACTGAAGGCTCGGGTTGTTCCACCAAATTCCCTGTGTGCCTTCATGAACGGCCGAAGCTTGTTCTTATCCTTCTTGCGCTCCTCCTCCTCGCCCATTTTGTATATTCTTGATGGTGCTGGTCCAAGGATGCAACAAGAACAGCAGGGGTACTCAAACTAAGCTATCACAACTATGTTGAACAATTGCATCTTAACCTTGTTCAGATTCGTGTCGAGGCACAAGAATTCCATATGCAAAGACGAGCAGAAACCAGAAAAACCAGAAGCAAGACAAGGGTTTCGAATTCAAGAGAATTAAAATTATCACTACTTCGTCGTCGAGGTCGACAAACGACTAGTAACAGCTACGATTAAACAAGATAGCTTGAGGTATGAGTACAAAAATGAGACTTGGGGTAGGAGTAGAGTGACATCACCATCGTGACCGACGTGTCAAGCTCAAGGAACTATCCTAAACCACTAGCAAAAGGGAGTGGGAAAGGCAGCATTGACTTTAGGCTCTCACAACATATTCTGTTTCATTCACGTTCGTTAGAGTAGATTGTCACCGAGAAAGTGATACACAATTGCTCATCGTGTCCGCACTGCACTCATACAGAAGCAATTCAGACTCAAAAAGACCTGACCTGAAGATATCAACACTCAGGTTCAGAACCAGAGTGCTCTCACAGAGGAGTACTTAACTCAGACTCAAAGCAGATCGGAAGTATCTGACGTCACCAGCACTCAGAAGAGAAAGGAGTCACACTCTGTTGCGGCACCGAATCTAGTTTATCTTGTTCTTGTTTATTCTTCAGAATCAGAACATTCATACTGTCTTATCAACTCAATCCTGTCGTATTTCGAACTGCCAAAAGCAGCCTCTGGCCTCTGAATCTCGTTGTAGTTTCACTACTGGGGCAAAGGCATAGGCAAACAGTTTAGAAGTCCTACTACAACAGGTTGCAGCAGAAAATTGCCAAGCAACGTTGAAGATATTAGACTCTAAAGAAGTGCGCATACGCTATCGAGTATCAGAAATGGGGACGATTCTTGATCAAAAGGTAGTCGCTGGAGGGACAGGGTGCTTCTGGGTAGTACTAGAAGCAAATTGGGTGAAGGTAATGGTCGTCGGGGCAGTAGAAGCAATCTGGGTACGGGTACTTCTAGTTTCCTCTACATGCTAAGTAGTTGTAGCACGCGACGCATTCTTCACTGTTCATTTTAACCGAAACAGTGCTTCTCCGAGTCTATTCGGATCACCCTCGACTAGAATCGCGGACGTGCCAGGTCGTTGCGAGTCGAGGAAAGCAGCTGCTGTTTGTCTTATGCCCTCCGACCATCGAAGCATCCGCGCGATGTCTTGAAAAGCCCTTCGTGTTTCTGGCGTTCCATCTTGTGCCCTCAACAGCCGCGAGAAGATACTCTGAAAAAGCGACTGGAAAGGAGCAGTTTCCCCTATGCTGGATGTGGGTGTGGCTTCGATTAGAACCCTTGCACATTCTAGGATCGCACCTGTCTGTTTCGCTTGGGCATCCTGGGATAATGCCGTGTTTTTGGATGCTAGTGGGACCCAAAAGTTCCCCCCAAAGCTGTTCTGGATCCTATCGTTTAGCAGATGGGGAACACGAGCTGCCCAATTCCTCAACAGCTCCACTAGCTGGTCGAAAACCTGTTGGCGTTGCCAGGCCGTTTCGCCAACCGTCAATTCGCTCAAGGGGCAAAGCTGTTCTTGTAAACTTAAGAAACGTGCCGGAAGAGAATAAGCCGACACTAAATGCTGTTCCCACAGAGCGATAAGGGCTGCTGTTTCCTCACTCAGCTCGCGGGCAGCTGAGGGAAGATAAAAGAGGGAAAAGATGATAATGATATGGAGTAGGAATAGGATTTGGATTTTGATTATGTTGAGTATGGTTGCGATATTCTTGATGATACTCAACCTCATCCTCAAAGGACGGCACCATAATGTGTTGATGTAACGGCAACAAGTGGCCTCTTTTAATTATGCATAAGCATAGGGTGTCGGAATACTAATACAGCTAAAAAATTGAAAATGACAGGAAGAAGGTGCAAAGAAAAAATTGCAGAAAAATGTTAGTCACGACTTCGTGTCGTACCTGTAAAATGGCTGCTCAAGTTCGTGAGTTCCCTGACATCCGCATATCGACTTGCCAGTAAGACAGCGCCTTCCGCTGGCGTCGCTCCTACTACCCGTTCCAAATACTGTGACTCTGCTGAATACAGCTTCGTGATCACTACCGGAAAAGCCTCCGTCAGAACTGCTTGTGGGTCTAGAACACGAAGCATTTGTCTACACAATACGCGAAAGGCGGACCTAACTTCGGGAGAATGGAGTTGGAAGCGCTCGTGTGCGGTTTCTACAAGGGAAAACAGCTGTTTCCAGTCTGAAGCTAGCTCTGGCTGCGAAACATACGCAAACGCCTTTGCGAACGTAGCTAGGCAAAGGAACAGTCGCGCGAGATAAAGAGTGCCGATCTGCGCTAACTGATCAGATTGATTGCCAGAAGAAGCTTGGTGTGCTGTACTAGCAGTTCCTGGTGTAGAAGACGAACTAGTTGTTGCGCCAGTAGCACCAGTGTTTCCAACTACATTCGCTGTGCTACTCAAGATCTCCTGGAGTTGGGCTACCGGAATCTCTAGAATTTTCTGAAAAAAATCTCGTGTATGGTTTCCCATGCTCACAGAAAGAATCCCAAGCGCCTCAAAGATATTTTCCTGCGCGTCCGCCGCATCTTGTTGTAGAAGTTCCTGGCTTTCAATTGATGTTTCAACATGATGATCTGCAGAGGTATCATTATTTCCACTAGAGCAAGAGCTCGTTGGATGTTGGACTACGGCGATGTGCAGCAGTCTTTGTTGCGCTATAGCTTCAGTCAGTTGCGCAGCCGTCTGCTCACAACAAGCAACTGCACTGCGAACTCTCTTCACGAATCGCAAGAAACAGAAGGCCGCTTGCTTCCGCACGCGAGGACAGCTCAGGCCATTACGGACAAAAAACTCCAAAACCTGCAAAAGTACAACGTTGTGACTCTGATGTTGCTTGAAGGCACTGGCACTAGAAGAAGCTCCTGGATGATGTCCTTGTGCTTGTGCAGGACCGTTACTGGCCGTAGTGTCTCCAACTCCATTGTGCTGCCCACCCGTTGTACTAGACCCTCCGCCTCCACCATGATCAGGAGACATCGCTGCGGTTGAAATTATCACCAGCGCATATTTGCACGCCAGGTCGCACAGAGCGACACGCAGTAGATCGTGGTTATGGCCCAAATTTGAGAGCAGACCGCTCTGTTGAAGGATGAAAAAGACAACCTGAACTAGAGGATGGCTGCCAGTCAGTTTTGGCAACTCTTTCATCTTCAGATCCGCCAGCTCCTCTAGCCACTGGCAGTAGCTCACCACGTGTGCTTCTGCAGAAGGATAATTGCTTTCGTCTTTGTTGGTGTGAAGCAAACCACTGTTCGGTCCTGCTCCTCTGCTGACATCAAAGTTGTCTGGACCTTTGTTACTAGGATTAATGCCGCTGCTGCTCGTGCCAACAACTGGTCCCGCCCCAGGGGAATTTCCATACAGTTTCGGTATGTGCACAGCTGCCAAGCGCTCTCCTTGGGACTTCAGCCACGACCAAACGAGATTTTCCTCAAGTTGCATGATCACTCGTAGGTAATGGTGTAGTTTCTTCTGGAACTCTAGAAATTCCTGGTGGTCCATGTCATCTTCATCTAAGACCGAGAACCAGTTTGGAAGCGCCAATCTCAGCACAAACGCATCAAGTAAAGCTTGAAAGAAGGGCCGCAGCGTTGTCGGTGTCAGCGCTAACCGCTGCATTTTGGAAGCTGGGGTAAGCGCAGTGACACTGCCACTTGTTGGATCGTAGCTGACAGAACCAAAAAGAATCGGTGGTTGGAAAGCCGTGGTTGAGGCAAAATGGTGTCCTTGCTGCGAAGAAGACGCCAGATCTTGGTCTTGGACCTGATGGTCTGGGACGATGATGTGCGAAAGTTCTTTGAAAAACTCAGTGAGAAATTCCTCGACGGAGTTTGCGATTGAAAACCTCGGATGACAGAAGAACTCTGCGATCCTAGGCAAAAGCTCGCTCAACTGCAACAATGCTTCCTGTTCAGCCTGATCGTGTGGTGAACCTAGAGCTGTGCTGCCATGCGCTGTATTAGTGCTATTTGCAGAAGAGGACGAAGTAGTGGCTGTTCCTCCAGGAGCAGAGTTTCCGCTAATGCCATGCTTATTTTTCACGCGTTTTCCACCGCTGTTTTTGTGATAGGTCTTGGCTTCCTTGCGCAAGCTGACGTAGCACTCCAAAACCGTTTCTGCTATACTGTCCATCACTTCCGCCTTCTTCTCAAGATGCAACAGTTCTAGCAGAGTGGCTGTGCAGCTACTAGTATTGACACTCATCTGTTCTGCATTTGTCAATTCAGTCAAAAAGAATTCCGTGATTCCAAATGTTCGCAAGGCTTGCAGCTTATCAGTCGGACTCATTTTCCTCTCCAGCAGAGCCACGAAGACGTCACAGCAGGCAGGATAGAGCCCTCGCCTAGTGGAGGGACTGATACTATAACCCGCTTGGTTGTTGTTGAGCCGCGCTTGGAATGTGCCAGCAGCGGAAGCAGTGGCCAGATGGAGTTCGTCACTGCCGGTAGTGGAGAGAGAAGCGTCGCTGAGTCGAGACCGCTGTGTGCCACCACTCGTGGTTGCTAAATTCGTTGCACCAGGACTCTGTTGGGCTGACTGGAGTAAAGAACCATTCTGAAGGCTGCCTTGATTCAAATGACCCTGTGGTCCGCCTGCTGAAGATTGCCCACTCTTTACTTTCTGCACCGCGTCCAACATCAAGGACTTCAGCAAGCCAACCAAATTGTTGTTCCATACTTTCCCTGCGGTCATCCACGGCACAAAATGCCTCATAGTCGCTACACAATCTGCTTGCAAAGCCGTCAAATTCTTAGACGCATTATTTTGTGCTGGCGTTGTCGACATTGCTAGCACTTCTGTCCACACTTGCAGGAAAAATGCCCAGTCCCTTGCTTTTATCCTCTCTTTGGCATTCGATGCTCGTTGCCGCTGTTCCCCAGTACTCAGACGAAAGGAAGCTTCTTCGCTCAACAAGTTGTCCGAAAGCTCCATGAGAACTCGATTTAAAAACTCGACCTGTCTCAAACGGGCCTGAGTTTGGTCCTGCTCATGTTGAGAAGTTCTTGATCCAGCAGCAGCATGATCAAAGATTTGCGTGAAAGCTCGACTCCAGTATTGATCTTCGTTGTCTCTTGCTGCATCCCCACGACAATAGTCAAGAACGATGCACTTGTAGTAAAGGTAAGCCACTTTATTCCTCAGACTACTTGGAAGCGCCATGAGATGACGCTGTGCTGGAGAAGTGTTCACATGATTACTCGTGGAACTTGAGGAGGCTGACGTAGCTCCTCCTCCAGTACGTGTCGTGTTACCACCGGTCACGGAGACAGAAGTTGTAGTTGATGTTCCACTTCCACCAGCAGTGTTGTTCAGCAAGTTCAAAATGAATGGCACAATGAGTTGTGTCCGCACTTCCACTGACGTCTCCACGCACGCGTCCAACCGCATCAGACAGTAGTACTGCACTTGCTCGCTTGCTGTCAACGAGAACAATGCAGGAAACACCGACAGGTCCCTCTGCAAAACGAAAGCCTCTGCTTCCGCTCTCTGTGGTGTGTGTGGGCCGAAAAGAAGCAAAATAGCCTGCTCCAGCATCTGTTGCTCGCGGGCAACCTGCTGAGCCTGCTCAGCGACTTGCTGCATCGTTTGGGAAATCATTTTTGCGTTAGGTCGTCAACAAGCAGGAGTCCCGTATTTTCAAAGAAACGCACCACCGGAGGTGGACGCCATCACGGGTTGCTGTGCCGGCAACACAGAGTCTTCTGCTTTCCTACATCATTTTGTGGAATATTTGTTCCCTTTTTTTCGTCAGAGCCGCTACACTTACTATCCAAGCATACTTAATCAAATAATAATGATCATCCACGCAAGCAAGAAGCCGAATGAAAAAATGCAAAGAAATGCATCAACAGATTGATAGCTCGACTCACCTGGTTTGTTCATGGATCAAGTTTGCTCAGCTCAAGAAGAAAAAATGAAGATGCATGACGCTGAGGACGTTAAAAAACAAGGGGCCGATGATCTGTGATAGTTTTATGTGTGATTCGGTGAGCGGGATTTCAATTCACGGTCGTTTATCTGGTGTGACTTACTAGTATCGCTGCCCAAGCTGACGTCGATATTCTGATTCTGCTTTATCCCTGACAATTTTTTCATTTTCTAAACTGATCATGGGCAAGGAAAGGCGCTGGGAAGGACGCAGGGAGGATCACAGGTACCGCGAGAACAGATAGATACAACAGCCGCGCGCCGGTGGAGAGTTGTTACGTTCTACTCTGCGTAGAAGATCGAGTAGAACGACAACCATCTTCTACTTCTTGAACTCTCAAGCACAAGAACATCTGATCATGTTATATGCCCTAGCACCATATTCTCGAGTTTCTTACGGAACTGCGGATGTCTCCGAAATAGAGGAAAAGCAACTGTGTCAAGGAATTTTGATATCCTCGCATCTTGTTCACCTCCTTCGGATTCTGCCGGTTCTTTACGGCATAGAAAGGCAGCGAGATCTTCTCTTCGTCGGAAAGGGAGGACTGGCTGATGTCCGTTTGCGACCTGGAATGAGAGAGAAGATAAGGAGGTAGGGAATTTCTTCAGACTCTGAGGGCAAGTTGTTGCATTGTGCTCTCTAAAAACGGCGCGGGTGTCTTGACATTATGATAAAGTCCCGTAGCCATAGTTAGCCTTAGGTTTGCGTTTGTTAAAGCCTCAAGCACTACTAATAAAAATAATACCCCTGAACTCGAACCAGCAGCGCCTCCCTCAGCTGCTGGACGTCGTCTCCCAGCGCTCCCACTGAATCCTAATGCAGGTTCAAAGAATTCTTGCCAGCAAAAATCCGCAAAGAGTTCCTTTGTATCTTCTGCAAAGGCACAGCATTCACGATACCCTCGAGATGTAGCTTTTCTGAAGGTTTTCTCTCTGCGGTTCCAACTTTCCATCTGAAGTTCAGCTATGCAAACTTCTGCTTGTGCCGCTAGCTCCAATTCCTTCACAATAGCCGCTTGCTTGGCAACGGATAAGATCCAACCTTCACGATCGGAGGTGGAACGAGCGCGAAGGGTGAACCTGTAGTGTGGACGATGAAGCGATAGCGGGAGGTGTACTGGTACTACAACTACAAGTACTGGTACAGAGGGATGAATCTCATAAATCTACACGCCATCGTCAAAAATTCATTGACGCCGTCAACTTACGCTAGGCATTAGTCAACATCACAATGTAAAAGTACGTCCTCTTCTTCGTCGATATCAGGAACACCGCTCCAGTTTTGTTCTGTGGCTCAACCCTCAAAAATTCAGACAGTGGTGTTGTTTTCGCTTTACTGTCGCCACCGGCGCCGCCACCTGCTCTGAAGTAGACCAGTGATTCGTTGGTCAAGCGAAATTCTCTCCATTTCCAGGCATCTGACTTAGCTGACTTTTTCTCTAGCAGGCCTGCACGCAATTCTGTCGCACCCCGCATCGTTCGACCCTGAAGATGGGAAGAAGTCGAATAGTTGTTATTGGTGTTGTGGCCTTCGGATGAGGAAGAAGCAGCGGTTGTGGGTGGGGTGTGAGAATCTTTGCTGTAAAGAAAATCGTTCTTTTTGTTTTTCTCTCCTACTTGAGACGATGACTGGGCGTTCTTGTCCTCCTTGTTGTAGTTGCGAAGTGAGTAATCTGTTGCTGTTCGCGTTCCTGCTGTAGTGGAGCTAGTGTCGTTGTAGTGGTCCTCGTGGGAAGTAGAATCGTAAATATTTTTCCCGTCACTCGTCCTGTTCCAGTCTCGTTTCTCTGCTCCAAAGCCACCGAAAGTAGTATCGTCACTCGTCCTGTTCCAGTCTCGTTTCTCTGCTCCAAAGCCACCTTCTCCTGTCTTCGACGTACTTCGTTTTCTCTCGTCCTTGTTTTGTTTTGACCTACCACCTGTTCTTGCTCTCCCTCTCCTTCCAAGGTGACGATGGCCAACAGGAGATCCTCGTCCGTCTCCTTCGAAAAATCCGCTTCCACTATGCGCTTTTAACAGGAAAGGTCGATCGAGCAAGTACTGGAACCTTCGTGTTCGTGCAGCCTCGGCTTCGACTTGCAGCCTTGTCTTCACAAAGAGTCGACAGATACTTCCCCCAGCTTGCTTCAGGATCTCCAAGGGTCGCTCGGAAAGTAGAAGCTCCCTCTCCACAACCTGACCTTGGAAACTTGGAGCCACTAGGAAGATGCGCACAGTACGTAAGGCAGCCTCAAAATTGTCCTCTGCTGATGAAGACGACCCTTGTTCCTCCTCTCCTTCGTCTTGTCCTCGCTCGTCGGAGGTGGAAGTTGTTAGAGGTTCTTGAAGATTACGATGCAGAATACTAGAGACAACCGAACACTAGACAGAGAAAAAGACTCTTCCTCGCCGTCACAGAAAAAATCATCTCAGAGCCTTGAGTGATGAAATCTTCTTCTTCCTTGTACATACTTAGATACGAGGACATTCGAAGCCCGGTGGTGTTCTCTTCTAAAGCCTGGTGCTGGAAGTGCTCTACTTTCATCGCTCTTGTAAAAATTATAACAACTCACGTCGTCCGTAATGCTTGTTCAGCTCTGGCTCTCTCCACTTGGCGTTGCAGCTGTAGATTTTCCTCCAACGCTTCCGAGAGTCGGTCCAGGCTAAACGGTTCTTCCGAGGCCGACCACGTAGACGATGCAGAAGATGTTGAAAGCACACAGCCGGCCAAACGTAGCAAAAATCCACGGTATTCGCGTTCTAGAAAACGTTCACGCGCTTCCAGTGTTTCTAAAGCTTGATAGCTCTCGTCATCGTGGCGAAAGTGGCGAAAGAGTAAATGCTGTTCTTTTCCTCCTGCCTTGTTCTCTACGCTTGTAGTTCTGTTCAAAAGGGATTAGACGTAGTAGGGAGCGAGGCTCAGGCTCAGCTCCAGTTCCAGTAGATTTGAAATCAGATAATGATAATGTGGTAAGTAGTCCTCAGCAAGCCATAGAAGTAGGTACCCGTTTTAGATGTAACGGAAATGAATGTATGCAGAATGGAGATTGACTACTCTACTAATCCCAATCCATGAATGCGATGACTGCTCTACTAATCTGCTATAGCATTCTTACGTGTATCAACGAAAATGAATTCAAACAACGCATTTTTTTGCCTTAGTGCACATGTCCTCCACTAGGCAAGGTTTGTATTCTCTTCGCGTCGCAGCCCAAGTAGGAGACCAACCAGAGATCTTGTAGCACCTCAAAAACAGTGATTTGTGAGGATGTTACCTCCATTAGAGGTACCGACAACCCATACCTTGTTGGGAACATCTTTTAATAGTAGTTGTAGTAGTAGCTGCTTGTAGTTCCAAACCCAATAAGAAGGACAAGGAACTGCAACTGGCTACTCCAAGATGCTGTAAATAAAGATGGGCTGACGGTACCCCCCGTAACTCCACAGCCCAAAATCGATTTCCTGGATGGCCACGCCAGTACACGGGTAAGGGGTTCCACCCGAGTGATTCTGACAGGTCGGAACGAAAAACCATTATCCAACAATAAATCTAGAAGACCACTTATCGTCCCTATTTCTCTCCCCCGAAGGTGACACCAACACCGTTCGTTCGGTTCTTCCACCCAGGAGGTCGCGTGTTGATCGTTCCAAAACCAATAGAAATGTTGGTACGCTAAGGCTTCGGGCGGTAATATGCGGCGCAGTTTCTTGAGGCCCTAAAGATGACGCGGCAGATTGTACACGTATCGTTGAAAGGAGGCATGCGTGTTTGGTCATTGTCGACCCCTCACCCCGAGCCATGGACTTTTTGGTCTTGTTTAGCTCTGATTACCACAACGACCACTCAACATCTGCATGCGTAGGCATAGCCATAGTTAGCACCTTTTTCCAGTCTAACAACTTACTTGCGCTAGTTCATTACGAGTCTCGCTTATTCACCTAGAAAAATATTTTGCAGAAAAAAGTACAGATCCTGCAACAACGCCGTTTTACAGTGTTTTGGTCTGGCTTCTGCTGAGGACGTTAAACATTTCGTGGACTGGCCAGCGGTTGAACCGACAAGATTGCATCGCAGCAAAGAGAGCAAGAAGATTGACACCACAGTAGCTTCCTCAAATTATAGTAGAAGTACTGACAGAGTGTTCTTTTGTTCTAGTACGCCTACCGAGATTGGAGATGGTTACAGTACTAGAGCGTTCGAGCGTTCGGTGGTTGCTGATTGACTTTGCCTTTGTGATGTAGAGTGGCTTTTTTTCAAAGGATGAAGTCTCTGTTCGCAGCACGCAGCTGTGCATCATGTCTTAGTCTTTGTAGAATTTTCGCCCGTTTCTTATTCTTTGCACCATCTTTAGAAATCATGACCCATCACGTGGCTCTAGATGAATAGTACCAAGAAAGTCACTTCTAATTTAACCCCAATGACATCTTCAAGATCACAAGTTCATCTCTTCTCCTGTAATTTTTGCACATCGTCGATGATCGCATAGGCTGGATAGATCAAACCTTGGACTCTCTTCGCAACGTCCATGAACTCTGGAAACGATATCCTTTGGTTCTTCCCCTTCTTCGCAAGTGTGAACACCTTGTCCACACGTCTCGCGATGTCTGCGCCAGTCGACTGTTGAGCCAAGAATTAGAGCTGAAAGCAATTCGTTCCTATCTTGCCTGCATTTCTCCCATCAATCCTGCTAAGACGGAAATTATAGGGAGAAATGGCTTGTAGAAATGAATTGCATGATTGAGCCTTAAAAGAAGTTCGCCTTCAAGATACTCCCAACCGAATCTCTGTCCAAGTAGCCGGTGTTTTCGCCGTCGCAAATCATGAAGGCGAATTTCAAACGCTCCTCCTTCGTCGTGCTGCTTTAGACCTTGTTGCCCTAATCCATCTTGCGATATGTACATCCTGGACCTCTGTCTTCTCCCCTGAAGAGGGACGGAAGCCCTTCCAGTATGTCTCTCTTCTAATGCATCCTGGGCATCTTCTCCCTTTAGCGAAGAAAGAAGCCTTTAAGTTTGAGGATGCTTGTCCAGAATGTCTGTCCCGGAACACTCAAGACGGATTAGAGAAGCAAGCCTTAACTGCTACAGTAAGCGCTCAAGCCGACGATGAACTCTACCATTTCCACGGTTCCGGAATTGTCCATATCGAATATGTCGAAGAGAGCTCGGATCATATCGTTATCATCTTCTTCTAAGACGAGACAGAATTCTTGATAGGTAATAGATCCCAACTCGTCGCGATCAATTTCGAGGAACCTCTCGTAGTATCGCTTCAGCTCGTTCGGAGCAACCGCAAATTGACGCAGAATGTTGTAGTTCTTCTCCGTGTCGGTTGTTTTTGTTAGAGGGAGACGCTGCATCAAGAAGTCAATGTCTATGATATGCTGTTGAAATCAAGTCAGTGCTACTGGGAGACATCAAGTAACGAGATTCCGAAAATAATGCACTTAGTTAGTAATACGAAGCCATAATTTCCTCTCTTCTTTACCCTCCCCTGCAGCTGTTGCATGGGCTTTTCGTCCCTCACGCTTTCGCATCTCCGCAGACATTTGCGCAGCTGCTGCATTTTCCACACCCTGCTCAGCCAAGTGCTCGAGTTCCTTCTTAGTCTTGTCGGAGGCGTACTTGACAGCCCTCATTTCGTTGATCACAGGAGCTTCGCCAAAGAAGGGATTAGAAGGAATAGAGTTTGCTTAGAAAATCATCCGATGGATATCATTCTAGCGTTGAATCCATCCTTCTACTCCAACCAGAGAGAAAGACCCTTCTCCCACTGGAGCAAGGGCTTCAGGGCAGACGATAGGGTAGTGAAAAGCCAGAAACTAGCAACAGGCCTCTATCTTTATGAGCCTTCTTGTCTCCAAAAATGAACACCGTCTAAACGCGTCTGCTTATTTAATCCTTTTAAGAAGTTGTATCACGTTCTTCTGGACAAAGTCGCCATTCTAGACAATTGGAGTAGAAGAATGGATTCGAGTTAAGTCTGGACAAAGACGAGAAGTCTCAACTCGAATCCATTCTTCTACTCGAATCTATTCTTCTATCCGACGAGAAGTCTTAGCTCGAATCCATTCTTCTACTCCAATCTGCCCAATGCCGTCTTCGTCCACCATTCGGATCATTTCGTCGATTTCTTCGTCCAAAGGCCTTTCGCCCAACACTGTAAGGAAGTGTCGAATCTCCGCAGCTCCTATGAACCCGTTTCCGTCAACGTCTAGGTTGCCAGAGTTAGAGTTGCTACCGAGGCCGCATCCCTGAGGGCATCCTTGGCCATCTTCCATGAGAGGCATATCCTTGGGCGCTTCTTTTTCAAACCGAAAAAGAGCCAGGGATGGCGCTCAGGATGCTGTAGCGGTAGCCATAACAAAGGCTTCACGTAAAGCAGAATGACCGACGCCAGGCAATTTATCCTTGTTATACGGCAGGCCCATGAACTCGGACTTATCAGACCGAGGAGGAGGCGGAGCGGACATTTTCGTATTTTGGTTGTCGTTGAGTTCCTTATGTTGTCGTAGTCGTACTCGTACTAATAGAAATCGCGGCTAACTAATACACTAAGAAAGTCTAACACACGTTCTCCGCGCCAAACAACTCCCTCGCACCTTATCCTCCCTCGGGGCGCCGTGGTCTGTTATCAAGCAATGCTGACCTCTTCACAGAGAGAAAGTGAGTACGAACAGCAAAAGCCGATGAAATCAAGCTCTTTTGCCTTCGTTCCGAGGGAAACGTGTTGTTGATTCTCGACCATTTTGGATCTGGAAAGAGACTACTAGCACGAAGACTGTGCTTTGCAAAGAAAACTACTCAAAAGCTTAATTAGATTTAGAATTTTAGAAGATTTCTGGCTCGATTTCAGAGGCCATGGCCCCAGAAGATCTGGGCACTGTTTAGAAAGGATAATGATCTTAGTCACGTCAAGAAAGACTCACTCTCACCCCGAACAACCCGAGTATAAGCACCCCAGATTTAAGGAAATCCAACATAAAATGCGCTGTGTGAGCGTAAAATTGACAAAAATTAAAATGTTAAATTGAAAATCTTCTCACTACAGTGAAACCTACACCTAGTTCCTGAAGAATTGTACTACTCCTTCTAGTCCAAATTCCAAAAAAAAGTTGTCTCAGAACACGTCTCAAACTCAATCTCGATGATGAATTGAACGACTACAACAAAGTCAATGTGGATGCACTCTACAACTCGTCCCCTAAACACTCGCTTTACAACTCCTAAACTCGGCTGTCTCTGTCTTTAGATTTCGGTACAGCTTAGCGTAGGCAGGTTCAAAAAACTCAAAGACTACACACCTCAGAAATAGGAAGGTCATTTTCGTTACTTGGCCCAACTACATCAACAATATATACGGTCATTCACATGATAGCACACACAGCACTGCCACCAGACTTTTTCTTTCCTGTATCATCGCCGTCGCCCTCTAGACTTTTGGCAGATAAGTCTACCGCGAACTGGGCAAAAACGGGTCTGTGGTCAGACACGTAGAGATCCTCCTGATCGAAGACCGCGTCGTAGGCAACAGGTTTCAAAGCCGGTTGAGGCTTGAAGAGAATGCGATCCGTCCAAGCTGGTACTCGCTTTTGGTGTATGAAAGGAGATGGGGCTGGAAGGGGAATCCGAGAGAAACAGGTGGGGACTTCTAAGTAAGTACTCTTACTAGGGGAAAGAGATGAGCACTTCTAGGTGAAGAAGGTGGTCGTGATCTATTAGAAAACCATCATGTGCCATATTTTTGGATGAGTCGTATTCGAGTCTTCGATAGGCGTCGATTTTGTAGGTCGGCGGAAAACGAATAGGCATCTCACAGAGGTCAGACCACGGATCGGCACCGGCTCCTCCCCCTTTTCTAGCTTGTGTTAACACGTCATTCGATGCCGTCGGACTATCGTCACCTCGTCTTGCTCGTATGTCATCCATATCATCATCCGCAGCTGCCGGTGCTAGAAGATTGTGTGCCTCCTCGTACTCCCTCAAGGTCGGCAATAACTCGTCATCCTGCAGCAATTTTGCATGCTTTGACTTCTTTATCAACTCATCGGCTTCGGAGCGTGACATGTTGAGTCTGAAGTTCAAGTCTCCGAAGAAGAACAGGTAGTCGACAAAGCGTACTCCACTACTTGGTGCGATCTTGACGTGACTACGAGTTTGAATCGTGGACGTAGAACTCAGGTTGAGAGGGTCGGCTGCTTTCGCCTTCACGCCAGAAGGCGGACTCTGCGTTGCGTCTTCATCATCCGCATGCATCACATGGACTTTGGCTCCGCCTCGGAGACCAGGGCCAGAGGATCCTCTGCGGCCAGTTGCGCTTTGCACGTCGTCATCACGCCCAACGCGTCCTCTACGTGATGTACTCGATGAGGACGGCGTCGGTTTCGTTCTGTCAGCGATAAAGTCACATCTGGATGTTTTCTGTACAAATATCTGCTCTCTACCAACCGTTTCCCTCCACCTCCTACTACAATCACGTCCGAGAAGATGAGACCCATCGTCACTGCTGCTCTCAGATGTGGCATCAACATCATGAGGTGACGTTGAAGAAGAGGACGGACTAGGTGACTCTCCTCTACAATCCCAGACTTCAGGTGACGAATCCGCATCCGCATCTATCGCTGAGGGCGGTACAGCATTATGCGAACCCTCGCTCATCGTTCCCGGCGGTTGTTTCTGCTCTTTCGATGGTGGACGGTCCGAGGTTGACGAATCCTCGACTTCCTGCGAAATCAATGGTTTTCATGGTATCGTGTGAGTCTTCAGGAATCGTCCATTTTAGATTTTGTTCAAATATGATCGAGATCAACTAAGTAATCATATTGGCGGTAAAAAATAAGTACTCGTGCCGCTGGTGCCGCCTTCGGAATCGCAACAGGTGCATCCCTTGGCTCTCGTTTCCTCCCATCAGCAAAGTCTGAGAAAGCTGCAAAGCCAGCACGTCCATCCCATACTGGAGTCGTGGCAGGTGTGAGTTCCAGCTCTTGCTGCCACGGCACAGACATCGGCTTCATGCTACTTCCGGCACTACTCAGAATCCGTTTAAAGGCGTCTCGCCGCTTGCTAACCCCCGACTTGTGTGCTGGCAGATGGCAATTGACGAAAAGGAAAGATTCCCTGCCAACGGAAAAGCCGACCATCACGCCTCCTTTGTTCCCGACCAAATTTCCGTACCCTGTGGAACAAACGGATGTCCTGAGACCTCTGATCTTACTTGAAACTGTGCGATGCGCAAAGAGAATCAAATGAATCGCACCCATAGTGGCGACGCCAACACGCTCGTAAGCGTCGGGGAGAGGATTAGAAGTGCTGCTGGCAGTGGAGAAAAAATGCAAATGGAGAAAAACTAAGAATGCAAACAGTCTTCATTTTCATACTAAGAAATCATCTGATACTAGAAGCCCCATCCTCAGAGAATGTATTGATTGATTGATTGATTGATTGATTGATTGATTGATTGATGTGCCTGGCAAGAGGCCGCTGTTGGAAGAAGTCTATTTCTTCTCTTCATCCTTTTTTGCTCCTTTTTTGCATTTATTCACTTGATAGGAAAGCATATCGTAAGCCATAACTCCACTCCCTCTTCCACGATTCAGGTGCCTCAGCAAGTCGTTCTCGTACTGCTGGACGCGACCTCTTTTTCTGCAGAAAATTGCCTGCTGTATCGTCTGACAAGATTCACAAGTCCCTATCGCGTAGATGTGGTGCATGCTGGCAGGGTTGCTGGGTTGATGAGGTATCCAGGCTTGAATTAACGGAGGCAGCACAGAGGGATGTGGGAAAACGAGAACAGTTGTGTCTTGAGATGAGATCTCAGAGAACGAAGTAGTACAACGACTACATAGTGCAGCCTTAACGTCAAATCCGCAGGCGGTGCTTTCCCATGCAAATTCCACACTGTGATGAATATCCGCAGTGGCGTTCCCTCTCCTGGTCCCTGCAGCTCTCCTGTTCGCGGTGAAGATGCCGATTTACTAGGAGACCCTCCGTCGTCTTTAATAGCCTCATCCACAAACACTCTTTGTGGCGCCCACTTGTGGTATCGTGGTTGGCATATTTGATACCAGTTTTCTGGAAGTTTACGTGCTGGAGATGAGGACCCGGAGGAGCCCCCGCCTGAGGTTGCTCCTGTTGCGCGAGGACTAGTCTTGCTATCGTCCCTGTCTACAGCAGGTACCTTTCCGCCTGTCTTCCCCTTGTCTGCTTCCGCATTTACCACTCCCGGAGGCTGTGCGCCAGCATCTTCTGGCTGCACTTCCCGCTCCACCGTCTTTCTTCTCACGATGACGAAATCGCTTACTGGGTCGTAGTCGTACTGCTTGTCGACTTCACGTACCGTCGTTGGACTCGCAGGACTGTCTTCTTTGTAGAAGAACATGGGTCCACCTGCGCCTGGGCTAGGCGTTGTATCGGCAGAGCCGCGCTCGCCTGCAGAGGCCAAGTCCATGGTGTTATTTGGTTGGAGTTGTTTCTGTTTTATTGAGGGGTTTCGGGCGCTTAGTTGTACTTGCAGGTTCCTTCATCTTCAGTGAAAATCTGTACCAACTTCATCTTTCTTGATCAACAATAATTTTTTCTTTCACGGATAGCGCTCCACAATCTCGCTTGAATCCTTTTTCATCCTTAAGGCGACCTTTTCTTTATTTTTCTGAGAGATGTTGACAAGTGGTCCAACACCTCTCGCTCAGTGCAGTCTCACTCAACAAACTCCACCGAATCCGAAAATTTTCTTCGCTCTAGTAACCCTGAATCTAAATTAAAACTGTTCATTGATGGCGCAACAGAAAAACTACTTTCTCGAGTCTTGTGGCTTCCTCCACGACCCGCTGCTGCACCTTTTCACGCGTTGCCTCACTGCCATCTATGCCACAGCTGTCTTTCGACGTTGATGCTCAGTAGTTCATCTATCTTGTATAACTTGTTTGGTTATCATAGTCATGACATCATTATTGCCACTACAGCCTTTTCTTACACCTCCCATATATTAAGTTGTTGCAGTTGCACGGAATAAATTTTGCATCCATAATATGTCTGTCTGTCCATGTTGCGAAGCTCTGCATGCAGAAATTCTTTCTGCCGAAATATTGGAGGAAATCCTGGAAAGAACAACGTTTTGAAGCAGACCCTTGGTTTTAGCAAGGGTCTCATCAAGTAGTAACTTAGATTACCTAACTAAAAGTAGAACAAAACAAGAACCATGATAAACCTGTTGTAAATCAAGACAGCATGCTAGTGACGTGACAACGGACATCATAAACTATATTAATCAAATGCTGTGCTTGTCGTCGTCCTGACGGGACTAACTATGCAAGTGTTCACACAAATAGGCTAGTATGTTGTCATGGAAAATGATGAAATACTTAAGTAGACTAAGACATCAATCATGACTCTTCTTGTGATCATGTTAGTTTTTAGAAGATATTGGCATTTCGCTGACACGTTGGTTCATGAAGGGATTCTGATAGAATCGAACTGTTTGTGATTATAGATGTGATTTTTTTGGCGTTTCGCACCTACAACAGAAAGTGCTCCACATGATTTTTTTCATGTTATTGAAGCAAAATTTTAAAAGAGATGATCTTGATCATGAGTTTAGAATAAATACGGGCTCTACGTCTCCTGAAAAATACAGGTAGTTACTGCTCAACATTGAGTATTATGTTGATGGGTGGTTGCCTTGGAGGGATCCTTTGCTATGATAGATCTTGTCAATTGGAAATGCACGAGCAAACAAATGGGAGGGAGGTAGTCGGGGAAGTTCACAGGTCAGACATATGTGGATTTCATTCTCATGGTGGAATTGATAATTTCTACTTACTTTGATGTACCCAATCCGTCGTGGCTGGGTTCCGTCTTAGCGGATGGAATTAAAAATTTGGACCAGGACTACGGTCCTAAGCAAGTACGCAAGCGTTGCGCTCAAGCTCGTCCGCAGCCGCATCACCATCTTAAGAACGAAACTATGCAGGGGGAGAAGAACAACGGATGCAACATCAATGAAGGAAAGTCGTTTCTGACTCTGGATCTAGTTTTTTCATACTAGTATCGGTAGTTAGGTTCATTTTATGTCAATAGATACATCAACAGCTATCAGAGACCGAATGATCTACTTTGATTTTCTTACTGATAGACAAAATATTTTTCTTTTGGGAATGCGGGATTGTTACTGTTAGTTCATGGATGAAGACTATTTATTAGTGATGGGGGAGGGTACAGGTAGGTCAGCTACGTTTCTTTCCACGTATGAGTAAGTAATATGACGAGTTTCAGGACCAGGTCTGCTACGTTATTCTTCCGGTATTGATCTAAGTCTTGTGTAAGTCACGTGCACATGACCATGCTTACGTCGAAGGCAACGCACACCTCTAGAAGTGTGTTGGTAGTGGAAAATTGGAACGGATGAATGACATAAAAGCTTAATGCCTCTTCTTGACAGTAGGAAGAAGAGGCGATAGTAGAACGGTATGGAGCGTGATAGTGGTACGTAGATCATGGAGCTGGAGGACGTAATTGGTGTAGCTATTTCTTCACTACAAAACTGTAACTAGCAGCTGCAAAGGTGTGAGTCACACCAAACTACATACGTAGGTGATATGTTTTAGACAGACGGCGGAGTTACGTTCTCATTTACTATTTACGTAGGTCGTATAAGAGATCAGGTCGTCCCGATCGGTAAAACCTCCGTGTTGGTGTTGATTACCGTCTCCCTGTTCACAATCATCGTCATCAAACAAGAACAAACAGATAAAATAACGAAGCAAATTCAGAACTCTAAAAAATCTTTTGGGATCGCGACATAAGGACTATGACTTGTTCAGCGACATCGTCGAGCAGGTCATAGATCCCATGTGCTACTTGATACGACTACAAGGAAATTCTCATACTAAAAGTTACCTTAGGTCTTTCGTAAATTCGAGAATGGGATTTTTATCTTTCGGTTCGAGCTACCTTGTTACTCATGTTCTTTTTCTGATCAGTCGCGCGGCTCATTTATACTGCAAGCAGGAGCAGCCCTCCTCTTTCGCGTCTCAGGTTCGGAGTACTTCTAGTACTCGGAGTGGTACTACTACTACTCCAATGCGACTGTCTTAGTGATCAGTCGCAACAACAAGATCTGGTGGTGTGGAGTCCACAACCATGGAGCGGCGACCGAGACTCTCTACAGCCGATTCGCGTCGGCTTCTACCTCCGTATGCACCTGCACGCGCAAGCTCGTCTAGCTGGTGCTGCTGATCACACGTCGAGGAATTCACAGAGTGAGTTGTCGTTGTCTTGCTGGCGCAAATGCTCATAGTCGTGTCGTCAGAATCCACCTCGCTTCTCGTCCTGGCGTGAAGATGTTTCACATCATTCTTGTGATCAACTACTTCTTGCTGCTGTTGAGACTGAGTTAGAGTCTGCCCAACCCCAGATGGGGCGACAGAAACGGTACTCATGCCGTGATAGTTGTTGTTTGTCGCGTTGGCCCCTTCACATCCTACATCAGCAGAACCCGCTTGTGATGCGATGGCCGAAGCAATAGAACAAGCAGAGGAAGATGACAATGGTCCAGCTCCTGATGCTGGCATAATGTTACTGGTACTGCCAGAAGAACTAGTGCTATTGGGATTATGATGACTGTTGTTGTTGTTGTTGTTGCTACTCACTTGTTGTCCAACCGGTTGCGCTCCTGAGTGGTGTCCTCCGTTCATCTTCAAGGATTCTGGCGCCACTAGTGCACTCAAGTCTTCATTTCTGAACCTGCCAGCTACTGAGCGCCATTTGCGGTCTGAAAACTTACGTGGAATAGCTGCGTAGAGGAAGTTGGTCTTATGACTTGCGAGCCATAGAGCTGACATCGCTTTGTAGAGAGCTTTACTGCCACTACGACACTCAGCGTCCATCTGAGGTGTCCAGACGGTTTCAACGCGCATCAGCTGGCGCGCAAAATACAAGGCACTCGCCGCAACCGCACTCGCGTCTGGAGCCGAGAAAATAGTCCCATCAATCATGGCAAGTTCGAGGATAAACAATGCAAGGTTGTATTGCGTTTCCTGTGATGAGAAATTTGAAAGCGCTTATTTTACGAGCCAGAAAGTTTTTACGATGTTTGCTGTTCTTGTTCGTGTCAAGCTTATATCTACATAGATGACACCTTCTTACTGTAGTTACTTCTTCTAGGCGTGACCGATCATTCCTGCTAGTTGCCCGACTTCGAAAAGCCAGTACCCGATACAGTTCCCCTGCATTGCTCTGTGGCGCATTGGCATAATCCGGTGCGAGCCTCAACAGTCTTCGCAAAAATTCTAAAGGCAAGACTCCGGGAATCCGAAACTCAAGAGCATTCAAAACATCGATCTCCATCTGTAAGACCGCTCCTTTCGTATGCTTCTTCTCGCATGCCTGAGTGAGATGGTGGTGGAGGGTCTGTCTTGTAGTTTGCGGTTGGTGTGAAGGGGTCTTGTTCTTGTAAGTAGTTTGCTATGATCAACATTCTGTATTTCTTACTGCTTTAGAAGAAGCAAATTCATCATGTTGACCGGCTTCAAATTATAGCGTAGGAGTTCCTTTTTTGGAGGTTGTGCACTGCGCTACTAAGACACTGACCACTGACTTGTTGTACACCTCACATGTAGGCAACATCAAGACCGTGTCTACTCTCAATTGCAGTACGGCAATCCATAGTCAGAGACTCGAAAACCGAATCAGGCGACAGGCGGGTTGCAAGGTCTCTATTGCAATGTTGTAACACAGCCGCGGGACGGAGAAAGGAAGCTTTCTGAAGAAAGCTCCAAAACCCAAGTCGCCTGCTGACTTAACCATTGCAGAGTAGTTGTGATTGTGAACTAAAGTGTAACCTAGGTAACCTACTAGTTGTAAGGTCCATTTAAACTGTACTTCGCCACACTAAGACTTGCCCCATATAAATGTCTAGACCATCGAATAGATGCTCCAAACCAAGGGAAATCAACTCTCTAGTGCGAAGCTACAGCCGAGCGCCATCGATCTGAAAACCGGAAAGACGACTAAGGTGGCTGTGGGATCTTTTCTAGCAATGTTGTAACACAGAGGAGGCACAGGGAATTATCCACCAAGTGCAAAGACACGAGGTAGGAAAAGCCAAACATCTGCTAACTCTAACGTTGCACAAGTCTGAAATATCTTTTGTGAAGATCTTTCAAAAGGTGAAAATATGGGCACAAACTCAATGTAGAAGTACCCTCAAAAGATCTTCGATTCTTGGTGGATGGATATCCTCATATTTGCTCGCTATGAGTAGACCTGCCAGTTCAGATAGGTTGGGATATGTCTTTCAATGCCACAACACGAGTTATGTGAAGAGCATCAGTGCGAAAGACTAATTTATTGTTCCATATCATCACGCTGCCTGACTCTTTGTTTTACGTAGATTCTGTGGATCTTGTCGTTGTTTTTGGTGAAAAGTGAAGATCGATCTTGACTCTTCTAAGTCGTTGATCTCTAAGTCATTTTAGTTTTTCTCATGAGGAAGAGCTTAGAACTAGTAATACATGCCATCCCAACCAGCTGCATCGTTGCCTCCACTATTGGCTGCTTTTCGATAAACCGGTCTAAAATCGAAATCGTGATAAATAGCGTCTCCTCCCGCAAGTTGTGTTTCGCATGCACTTGCACGAGCCAATCTACCAAAGCAGCTCTTCTGCCAACATTAACTTGCCCCTTCAATTTATGCGCATCAACTTTGTACTGCTGCTCTTGTTCGCGGAGGTAGGCGAAGAGCGAAGCCTCGTACTCACGGACAGTACCTAGAAGTGGTTGGATCGTAACGAAGAGAACGTTGTAGTTGAAAGGAAGCATGAGGGAAGTTCGTCGGATCGAAAGTTCCCAAGGTACATTAAATGTACGGCAAGTATCCTATCACTATCTCAAGAAAATTTCAAGCGAACCTGCATCATCTCTCTTGCCTGCTGCTGGGCTACACGACTCTGACACGTGGCCATCTTCTTCCGTCGGTGTCTCCACTTCTGTCGACTGCGTACTCCGAGATTTCATCACGTTGTGCTGATATGAGCCGGGCACTCTTTGCTGCAGGTGCACTTGCTGATGGTGGTGATGCGCTGAGTGGTGGTGTGGTCCTAAACCTGGTCCTCCTCCTCCTGCCTGCGGATGATTATGATACTCAGACTGATGTGGTGGATGATGTCCATTTATTTGATGGTGGTGTGGTTGATGTGGCGCTGGAGGAGGTTGTGGAGGACAGTGGTGATAGTAGCTATGATACGTCGCAGAAGTAGCTCCTGCGCCACCTTGCTGCATCACGGCGGAAGAGCTACAGGCTGGACCAGCACCGGACACGACACCAGAATTGCCGGGATCGCTCGACTGCTGGTGTCCACCATCCATTACCGACATGTGCTGTGGCGCGCCGCCGTTTGGAAACCGCGTAGCTGCGCGACTACTCAAGAACGACTTCGCATGCTCAAGGTGTTGCTGCATCACTTGATGTCCACCACTGCTCTGATGATGTGTGCCAAGGTTGTAGATCGCGTGGTCTCGCGCATAGTCGCCGCTTTGCGCCCCATGATGAGGATGTGCGGATCCTTCGTGCATCTGAAATGAGATTTGGGCTGAAATTCGTTAGAAGTGATGTCTCACACGGAAAAGAGGTGTAATTGATGTGCAGCTGCACACAGGAAAATAATCGTCAAAAGAAACTGAATGAATATCAAAGACCACTACTATTCCTATAGTTCTTGAAGTCATGGTGTACTCAGTCAGCAGGGAAATTTGGAATATACCAAATTCGTAAAAATCGTCAAAAGAAACTGAAATCAAAGGCAGCCACTCCCAAAACATGAGCTGGTAGTCGTAGTACATGTCTCGATGCTGAGTATCCTCTAATCGATGCACTGTTCGCTGCTCCACTAGCATAGTGATGCTGCTGACTCGGATCATAAGTGTTTGTTCTCCACAAATTCGCCTCCGAGTGGAATTTCCTCAGCGGCGGGCCGTCGTCACTATGGTGTCCTATCCTCTTCAGAGTGCCATGCTGGTCTGCGTGATACGTCGATGAAAAGTCTCCATTTGCTTGCGAATAAATGGCACTATTCCGAGTGCTTGGCCGGGCTGATTTTGGGGTTTGAAGATCCTCTATTAGAGGAGATGCTGTTCTTGATGTGTCATGATCATAGAGACGTATGAAAAAGTAGGAAAACATGACAAGAAGTTTTAAAGGCTGTTGTAAAACCCTCTGTCGCAGTACTCACCAGCGGCAGGAAATATATTTCTTGCAAGCCAACAGTACCATGCTGATGCGAGTTTTCCCCATGGTAATTCGCGAGGTTGTGATAGGTGGAATTCATGTGATGCTGCAAACCACCAAAATGTGCTGGGTGCATGCCTGCAAGCGCTTGCCTTTCGGGACACCTGTATTGGTTGTAAAACATTGATGTGAATAATTGGAACTTGCGGACCACGCTGTTTTCAACGTCAAGAAGTTCTACCAAGGCGAAAGTTGTCAGCTTGTTCTATGTTTTGTGCACTCACCTAGTGCAACGAATTCGACATACCTCGCAGCGCTTCCTCCCGGATTTCGCATGTGCTGTTGCTGTGGGGGAAACTTCATCTTCTTTGAGTGGTTTGATGGCACATTGCTGCTACTGCGCGAGGGATGCCGATTCTCGTCGTTCTCCCGTCTGCGCCGATAGCTTGATGTCGTTGCCATCTTGAAGTAAAAAGATCCTCAAGAATTTCTTCTCTGACTGTAGCTGTAGTATTAGATCTACACACAAAGACAAATTCGAATTACTCAACTACTCTATATGTTAAAAATTACTACTACCTACCTACTTGTGTGGTTCTGTGATTGGGTGTTGGCAGCAGATGGGGTGGTATTTTTGTGATGGTTAGCAGTAAAGGATATTATTGAATCGTTGTTCTTCCAAAACCCATGATCTTTTCTTGTTAGCAGTAAAGGAAAATTTTGATGACATTTAGACCAGATTCATCAGACAAGCTAGCCAGTTGAGCTTTTGAAGGGTCAGCGGTTGGGTTCGGTTTGTGAAGGGAGTTATGGTGGGCTAGTATGCGGTTTGGGTCCATTTGGACAAGGGGGTGTTTTCCGTCTCTCGTTCCTTTTTCTCTCCGTGGCAAGACGAACTCTCTCGCTCTCTCTCTTGCACGACCAACTTGTTTATTTTGCTACTTTCTCGACGAGAGACGAACGAATTTCGACTTTTGAAATTTTTGAAACCGAATTCCGATTTTTGAAATACGCGATTTTTTGCTATTTCAGTTCGAGAGATTTCCCTCCATTCCGCAGCTGTTGCTCTTTTGACTGCAACGACAATTAATTTCACTCTTGACAACAATTCTACGCCGTGATTTATTGAAGGCAACTCTGCCACTTTTTTGTCGTACAACGCGTTGTATAGTCGTGATTGATTCCTTTCATCTGTATCCAGAAACTATGCGAGTCGAACCTTCTCTAAGAGCGTTTCTGCGTTTTCCTCGTCGACGAAGTCTCAAAGTTCATAACCTTCACGAAGTCAATGTCACAATTTGAAAAAGAAACTCTACCAATAACCACTTGATATTGACGGCCATAGCCGCTGTACCCAGAAAGTATACGTCTAAGGACTCTTATTTAGCGCCCATTAAGTCTAAAGACTCTTCACCGTCCCAATTGCGAAGATGCCCTTGAGCGTGGAGGGTCACGACTGCGAGTCCGGGAGTTCCGACCAAGGGTTGATGTTCCAGTTGTTGCACCCACTCCACTAGAAGTTCTCGTGACAACAACTCCTAGGTTAGAAGATCCTACACTTGCTCTTCCTGCAGAAGGCACCCGCGGTGCACCATTTGACCGTCGGGCACTCACCGGTACTCGTGCCGATACTGCACCGCTTCCCATATTAGAACGGACGAAGTAGATATTGAACAAAGATGTGTTTGTTGAGCAAGAGTATAACGTTGGGAGGCACTTATATCAGAGCAATTCCTAAGGTTTCACCGCTCGCATGGCATGGAGTGCATGGATCCCATGGAGTAGCATGGAGCTAAAGGGGGAGCCTCTTGCGCCCCTTAAAGCTCTGCGCTCCATGCACTCCATGCTACTCCATGCGCCATGTGTGCTATATTAAACTACTCTGTATATAATGTTACTCAGTCTCATATTTTGGAACACAAATCATTAAGGATCTTTATGGTTCAAACTAGCTTCTTTGGATCAGGTCCTCATAATACTCGATGGCAGCGGACTGTGGAAGGCTGCTCCAGAAGGCGTTGGGGTAAGGGCTAGGCGCATTCCAGATCCACTGCCTCTTGTGCTCAACGTACTAGTTGCGTCAGTCCTACTGGCGCCAGTACTAGTGTTTTCTGCGGATGATACAACTTTCTTCAATGTTGTACCTCCTCCACCGTTCATTCTTGGCGTTTCCTCAGAGGGTGCAGCTGTGTAGGCGACTTTTAGTTGTACATCGGTCTGGAGCTCTTTATCTTTAGTGGGTCCATCTTGTTCAGCACCTCCAGGAGTTCTGGTGGGCCTCAGGAAACTGGGCCACTTCTTGCGATTGTCTATATCGGTAGCTTTTTGCGCAAGACTACCGGTGAGGGCGTTGACTTCGGCTTTTAACCTGTCAATGGTCAAGATCGACTCTTTGGACATTTCGGAAATGAACGCTAGGAACTTGTTGAATTTTTTTTAGACGATATGTCGAGGTTGAATGATTGCTACATAAGCGTGTGTAAAAAAAATCAACATAGAACAAGAGCTACAACTGGCTCACAAGGAAAGTACGCTTCCTCCTCTAGTTTCAGCTTCTCCACAGCTTCTGCTAGTGCGTCTTTCTGTGCCTCTGCTTCTCGTATTCGATTCTCCACGTCAACCAAATGCTCTGTAGGTGGCGGCGGTCGGTCTAAAGGCGTTAGCTGAGAAAGAAGTTGCTTGGACGCCTCTTCGCGTCGGATCCAGTCGGATATAGTAAGTTCTCGTCTCTCGACTTTGCCGCGGAAATAGTCTAATTCTTCTTCAAGGTGCTCGAGGCTACGGAGGTGGGAAATCTGGGTGGGAAGGGGAACAGACATCAAGCGTGAATTATAGTGTTCTTTAAGAGAGTGTAGTGTTCAAAGTGATGCCATGAGGACGAGAATAATCCAACCACAAATTCACGACGAACAACACGTCGGTCTCTTATTCGATCAAAATTCATGTCTATTACCAACTCTTCCCTCTGCCCCACTATCTTTTCATCTCCTTGATACTTCGCATCCGCTAGAAAATACGACGGCTTCAAGATACTTGCATCAGGCACCTTGCTTTTAAGAGCATTTCCCTTGTTACTCTTTCCGCCACTTCCACCCCTGCCTTTCGAATACACGGTTGTGATGGCCTGTTCTTTCTCATAAGCTTTTTGCATACAGTCTAGGTGCACTTGAGATGTAACAAGATCAAATTGCCAAGCTTGCTCTGCGTTCCTCATCTGCTCGCCGAAATCGACGTATTCCTGTTTGTAAGAACGAAGCAGTGCGGCTGGCGGACAAAAAAGTCAGTTTGGATCACGAGGATCGTTTTTGCAGAGAGGACTTGGTAATCGCGAGTTCGATGTGTACAAGTCACGAAAAGCCAAAACGACCTACCAACAACCTCCCTCTAGAAACGAGTGATCTATCAGAATCAAGAATACCAATCGTTTCTTCTGTTGCAAGAAGTAGAAGTTCTCCCACACTTTGGTGGATTTTTCTTCTGCGTCTAACACTTCGGCCCACATATGCTCACGTGTCCGCATCTGAAACAGGGAATTATTAGGAGTAAATGTCGGAAAATCTTCTGATGTTGAATGAAGAGGGGGATGCCAGCGAGCCTCGGACAAGGAGTTGATGTAAGTTGTACGTCATTCTTCAATCACCACTTTTTAATGCGTCTAACAAGCCACCAGACCCAATTACCTTCGTCCTCAATCGTTTCCTCGCCGCCAGGTCTGCCGAACTAGGATTCGCAAAGGAGCGATTCGCAACTCTCAGCGCTTTTATCCATGGTCTTGCACGTTTGAGAAGCAGTTTTTGTTCTGCAGGACTCTTGCTTGTGAAATGTGGAGATTCTATGGCGGCAAGCAGTTGCGGCACTTCAAGTTTTGCACGGTAGATATCAGGCATGTTTTCCTCGACTGTTGGCGCTGTGGCGTTGCTGGTACACGAAGACTCCTCTTGATCTGGAGAATACGCTGAGAGTTGCGTCCCGCCACCGCCGTTGCCATTTGTTGACTGTTGGATTTGACCTGTAGCTGTGGATGAGGAGGAACCCCCAATCTGTTCTTGGCCACCTTGGCCGGCGGTTCCTTGTGGGCCGGCGCCTGTCGTGAGGGAAGGCGTCCCAACACTGCTTGCAGGTGGTGAATACCCTGTTGATGCCACCATGTCGATTCCGAATCGACTGCTCAGGATTTGCGATTGTGATTGTTGCTCTTCCCATCCTGAAGCTAATCTACTTCTTCTCTCCTCTGGTGGAGGAGGTTCAGCGTCACTTTGATTCAGACCACCGCCACGACTAGAAGAAGACATACTGTCATCGTCCGGATCCGAACCGGCTTTGATCACTCTCATCCTCCCAGCATTACATCCCAAACCCACTTTTTGATGATATTCGCTCCGTGCCTCGTCTTCGTGCACTGAGGGTGGTGCAATCGAGATGCCAGAGGCAGGCTGATCTCCATTTGTAGAATCACCAAAGCTTGGACTGCCATGAAGCTGTGTATCTCGCACTGGACCAGGTTCGTAGAGCTCGTGAGGCGAAGGCAAGAAACTTTGTTCTGAATCCTGTTGCTCCAAAATTTAGACGAGAACATGATAAAGATAAGATTACGAGCTTTATTAAGACTTGTTCTAAGGAAGCCGAGAGTATGTAATCCCTCGTCAAAAAACCAATAAATATGTTTGAATATCATAAGCTCTACGCTCCGCATCAATTTCTTCGAACACTTCGTGGTAGTCTTCTACTTCGTGTGCTATTTTATGCAACTCATCCTCAGAAGCCTCGACCACTTCTAAATCGTCCTCTCCCCTAGGGGTTGACCAACTAAAATGACCCGCTGGTGATGACGACGTCTGTTCTGGCGAAGTATTTAGGTCTTCTCCAAGAAGCGCCTCTTGAATCATGCCTGCGATGCTGTTCAGGTCTTCGTGCTGGGCGATATCGAGGTCGTCTTGGATTCTTAGAATTATGGTGTGGTTGTGATGTCCGAATCGAATTTCCAAGTATCTGTCCTGCTAGCGTTCCTCGTGATTAATTTCCACCTTGCCGGAATAAAAGGATGTAGTTCAGCATGCTGAGCGATGTGTCACACAACATCATACAGGGATAGATTATTGAAGCAACATGTCAGCCTTAAATTCGGACTCCCGACTGCGGTACTCAAGTCTTCTCCTCTGACAAGGGCACGCACACACGCTGGCGTAAAAGTCGATAAAGTCGGTCCATCGATCTTTTCAGCGATAAACCGACCAACGATTCGACTCGGGACGCCAAGACGCCTTAACCACTCGCCGACAGCCTCAGGACCCCAACCCGTCCAATCGGACATCTTAGTACAAGCTTGTTTTCCACCTTACTTTGAAGATTAGTTACGACCTCGAGACTTGCTTCTCTTAAAAGAAGCCCTAATTAAGTGTGGTGATTATACTTTGCACTAATGAAGACCATCTAAATCGTATTTGCGCTACATTGTGATGCGATAGATAGTAGCGGCCACGTATTTTTGAATTTGTATTTGATGTAACGTCGTGGTCAATTTCGAGGCCAGTAGGCGAAACTCCCAGTGAAGTTAGGATGTTCAACAGCTCCTCCTGATGTGCTTGGTTTTCATCTCCTTTTCGGTTCTCTCGGAAGCATTGCGTTTCGAGAAACATGAGTCGCGTCTTAGCCTCGATGGATTGATTTCGCTCTTCAAGATTGCATTCGCCTAAAGCATAAAGTCACAAAAGCTTCTCCTGATTTCTTCGTCTTTGTATATCAAGTGAACACTTCGGTGGTTTTCTGCAGTTTCAATTATTGCTTGAGCGACCAGGATCTGAGGCACAAGCAGCTGGGAGCAGCATTCAGAAGTATAGAAAGCAAGGCCACACTGGGCCACTGCTGGCTAGAAAAAGCGAGTATGGAATATTTGCGACTTATGCGCCCATCAAGAATACTCGAACAAATATTCTTTGTCGAAAAAATGACTTCATGTTGATCCTCGTTACCTCGTCCCGGTTGTCTAAGAAGCTTCAAAAATGTAGCAATTTCGGTGGTATTAAGATGAAAAGTGTATAACGGAGTCCTCAAATTTGTCCTCTATAAGTTGTACCCTAGTAGAAAAGTAAAAAGTTCTTTCACAGGGTCAATATTATTATCATGATCAGGAGAAGGGTAGACGGCTAGCCACAGACCTGCAGACGGCCCACAGGCAGAGCCTGAAGCACAGCGACGCGCTAGGCGAAAGCAGGAGTTTACAGGATCACTGATACGACATTTAGAGTTTCATACAAGTCCTTTTTAGTGTTTTTTACCAGAAAGATGCACATGTACTAGGTAATATACAGAAGTATTCGTAGGTTTCTTTGTATTTGTTCTTCACAATAGGATTTAATTTCTCACGCATTTGATGGCTATGATTGAGCAGTACAATTATTAGCCTGAAAAAACAAGAAGCTGATATGACAAGGAAGCGTGCATCGGGTTTTGAAGACAAGGGGCAGCCGAGTGTGGAGATTGTGACTAATTCTAAGGTGCGCTCGAGCCAGGGAAAGGAGGACCAACAACTAGAAGTAGGAAGCAAAACGTTTGACTTCCTACATTGTTCGGCTATCATGTCAACCGCATCTTCTCAGTCACTACTCTTTGGTCTTCTTTTTTCCTCTTCGCTGCTGACGCCAGCATCTTCTCATGCGGAGACGGTTCCACTGGGTCTTCCTGTGCTAGCCTCGCTCTTCGATTGTCCTCTTGTATTAGAGGCTCACCCAAGTGGTCTCCTATTTTGAAGGTCATCTTGAAGATTGATGGAGGTGTTTACGCCTTATGAAACAAAGAAGCAGCCCCAAGGAAGCAAGATCCAAGATGCTTCGTTCTATCTAAAAATAGGAGGAGGAGATTAGGGTAAACAGCCTTAATTGTATCGCCAGATCCTTCGGAGTTCCGTAGCCATGAGCCATTTTGATCACGCATTCGTTGCAGATATCGTAAGATTCTTCCCTAGCTGAAAACATCACTGCTCCTTTGGGCTTCGTCAAATCGCAGGCGTCGCAGATGTAGCCAGACTTTGGCGTGATGAACCTCTGCAGAGGGTAGCCCTGTGGACTTTTCAGACCCTCGCTTGGGTCGTAACTAGCGTAACTCATCATGCTGAAACTACTATTAGAGAACACCCCTAAGCCATCTTGAAGAGCATCCTTCCCACAATCTATGTCCAGTCTAGACCGTTCTCGACAAGATGCTCTACTTGAAAATTTAGCTTTAGGGAGGAGGCCATAATGCTCGCTTGTGACACTTGTGTAGTGCCATCATCGTCGTCTCCAGCTGCTAGCGAGTCTAAGACCGCTCTCCGAGACATGTACTCTTCGAGTTGACTCCTTGGAACGAAGAAGTCAGTGGGGTTCTTGTTGTCGATGATAGCGCGTTTTTCTTCGGAAGTGAGATCACGACTTTTCATCTTGAAACTTCGGAAATCGAACTGGTGTACGCAAGTAGGTGTGGGAATGCTCTTGGATGGTTAGAAACTGATATCGATGTGATAATGAAAATCTAAATGGATGTCAAAGAAAAATCCTTGTCGTTCATCCAGAAGCAACGTCCAAAATTAACTGACACCCACCACCTCCAAAATTGATGATTACCACTCCTCCTTCTCCCGCTTGCTTTTTCCTAGGCCCTTTCCCTGGTGGATACTTTCCTGGTGGGTAATCGTCGTCGTCCACAAATAATGCGTCTTCTGGCACTCCTGGTAGCCTTTGTTTCTTCGATTTCGGAGTGAGTGCTTTCATTTCTTCGTCTTCCGGGTTTACTGCACTCGCATAAGGTCTGAAATTATCCATCTCCGCTCTAACGTTGATATGCCGTGGTATCTGCTTTTCCCTCGCCACGCAGAAGAGACAGAGGAGGACTAAAACCCAAAGACCGCAGACACCGAAAGAAGTGTATACCATGATCTCACAGGTGCCTGCGAATTCTGGTAGGCACTCGAAAGCCGGAGGATAGAGAATGCAGATTAGAGCAGTGATGTACCTCAATACCTGATGTGTGTCTATGTGGCATGTCTATGCCTATCACTTTTCACCCATAAATTATCCCTACACACCAACAGAGGCGTGTCTGCTTGAAAGCCTGTCTTGCAGTTGGGCGTGCACTGGATGGCTACCACTAAGCCCTCGTCGCATGGAGGGTCTGCGGAATTTGGAATGTCAGCTACTATTTGACACCTATTCCTCGTTCTGCAATCCGGATAATCCGTAAAGCCTTGCGGACAGGTTCCGTTACCGCGATAATCGGCCAAATTTACTGGTTCTACTTGAATAAAATGCTTAATCCCAGCGTCCGGGTCCTCTACGAAGACGACTTCTTGCTTGGTGCCTGGTGGTTCCCAGTCAGCTGGAGGTGGGTCAGGATTGCACATGAATCCTCTCGGGAATTGGCCATCGTCTTGGCAAATGATGTCGGTGGGAGGGTCCGCCCAAGTGCCAGGTTGACAGTCGGGACGACAGATCTGGTGTGGAGTGTTTATTTGGGAAGGAGCATGTAGTTCGATTATTGGATTTAATTATGGTTTAGGGTTCTCAATCAGTAGAAAGAAGAGGAACCATTTTTATAAATTGAAGGAAGATCATCTTTCTCATCAGCGTTAAATTCATATTACCCGAAAAAGAAATACTACAAAATCCTTTCCTACTTGTACTTACCTGTCCTCCCACGATCCGTCTTCTCTTCTGACACGCTCCCGTCGGCTGTGCGTTTATGACATATGGCTGCTGGCATGGTCGCTTGCATTCGAAACTGTGTTCTAAACCTGTTCTTGTGCACAATATCGGCAGTGGCGGACTCGGTTCGAACCCTAACACACACGCTGGTGTGCAATATTCTAGCTCCTTGATTGTCTCCCCCTCTTCACAGGAAGGCGTTGCTGCGTTTTCTATTCCCTTATGCGCTGCGCATTCGTGAAAAGTCATCTTGCAATCAAAGACCTTTCCTCGGTCCTCCCAGCTGCCATCACCCATGCATTCGAAAGGACCGGGATCGGTAGGCATAAACCTATCAGCGCATCGCGGGGTGCAGAATTGACCCTCCGTGAAATAGCGACCCTCTTGGCAGACGCCTTCAGGATGCGCGTTCGCGATCTCAGCTGTGCGTGCGATGCAACGGAGAGTGTCGCATCTGATGAAAGCAGATGATTTAGCATGAGAGTGTTTGTTGATTGACGTGCACAAGTCCATCTTCCTCAATCCACTACCATGTCACCAATAACCAAGAACATTGAGTCTCAAACTCAGAATAACTACTCATCAGAAGCAACCAATCCCCTTCCCCTTCGTTTCCTCGTATAATTAAAGTAATTGAGTAGAATTACCGAGGCCCTCCCCACTTTTCCTCGTCACATGTGCAGATACAACGGATATCACTTCTGTCAGGATACTCCGGATTGGGGACTGCGTCTCCTCGATCTGTACAAAACCGCCTATCGCACGAGCAATCCACCAAGCGCATGTACATGGGCTCATCCCCAACATCAGCACCAAAAGTACACTCCAAATGCGACCATTGAAGTCGCTGACGGGCGGCGGCGGCCTGGTTGTGGGACGACGAGAAGTTTGTTTGAAAGATTGAGATTCATTGAATGAGGTGAACGAAGTAAAATTTCTTATTGATTCTTGTTGTCTCACAAACTAACTGGTCTGGTGGTACACCCTTGAATAAAGTGTTGTAAAAGAGTGTCTTGCTCCCTAGTGTAGTTTCCTATGTCGTGTCCAAGATCTTAGAAGACGTACTTTTATCTGTTTCCTCGTGACATCGTCGTAATCCGTCAATGCCAAAGGGTTCCCTAAATCGTACTCTGGGACTGTGTTGAAGCTCTGCTGCCTGGCAACAATATTACATGTGTCTGCACCGTTTGGTCGAGAACCTTGCTGCAAGATCCAGCGACCTCCCTGTGCGCACACGAGTGCGGCTGTTGTAGCCACCGCATCCCAATGGATAAATCGGACCGCAACACCCGTGTTGGGGTCTTTTTGGTGTATGAAAGTGTGGCGGAGAACGAAGGGAATAAAATATCAGTTTGATGTGGGAAGCAATTACAAGCAGCATGTTTAATATGTGCGCATGGATTTTTGATGAAACTCATCTACTCAAGCCCGTGTTTGTTAGAGAGACAGCATAATTCAAGAATTGAAAGCCAAAACGAAAGAATATCCTCTTTCATAACTCTCTTTTCCCAGTAAGATCGGCCGTTTCTACAACTCGTTTGCCGCAAGTATTCACCGTTGTCAATGTCGCGACATGATCCGCGCATCTCCATACATTCTGGACCGGCCTAGGGAAGAAAAAAAGTGAAGATATCTTCAAGACGAGTAAGTAAGAGAAAAACCCTATGTGCTGGTGGTGGCTGCGCTAATGTACAACGATGTTGATGCAGCTAAAAGAGGAGGCCAATAAGACAAAATTCAAAGTAGTCACAACAATACCACAAAGCATTCTTTTTCTGCTTCCGTGTAACCTCTAAACTGCGAAACGAATCCACCAAGAGGGACTGACTCGTCTTCGAGCTTCGGCGCATAGGAATCGCAGGTTTTTGCGACAGGATCCCAATTACAATTAGAATTCATCTGACACTGCCCATCCTTTAATGTCGCACAAACTTTGTACGGGTCTGCTGGGTTACAATAGATTCTGCACTCGTTCGTCAATATATCGTGCTCGGCGCCAGTCAGTAGTGGGTAGACTTCCATGCATCTGTGGGGGAGTTGGGGGGAAATGGATTTTCGATTTTCGAGGTGGAGTTTGTTGCTTGAAGCAAACTTGCAAGTGTGGCGGCAACAAAGTGTAGAAGGAGTTACAGGAGCATGTAGAGGGATGTGCACACGCTGCAAGAACTGTAGATGGTTAGGTATTCCACCCAGGTAAGCCTTACTTCCGTGCGGAAAACCTAGCCTAAACACGTTGCGCGGCGCGCAACGTGTTTACGGGACCGCGGTGGAAAACCTAGCGTAAACCCCCCCTGGGTATCCTTGCACTCAGGTCGCCTCTTCAAGCTTGAGGGCTTAAGCATCTCCAAAACCAAAGTGACCAACACAATCCCAGACACTTAAGGGGGAAAACCTCCAACAAGACAACGCCTCCAAGTTCTATTTTTGAGGCTACTCGGTTATTTTAATTTTTCGAGTAGAGGGATGTGCACACGCTGCAAGAACTGTAGATGTATTGAAAATACATTCTCCAATAGCTGTAGCAGAAATCTCGACTCGTGTTTGGTAATGATAGTTTCAGTGTGCCGACAGCTGGACAGGTTCTGGCTTCGTTCTCGTTAATTTGGCAGGCAGCATTCTTTTTCCTGTCTTCCTTGTTTTTAGAACCACGGGGAGAGGGTGTGTGATATATTTTTCGAGACAACACCAGGGAGTTGCCAGTGGCACTAATACACGATATGTGTATCAAAAGCTCAGTATGATCACACACTGATTTCACCATCCAGGTGACATAACTTGCGCCATGCTTGCCTTCAGCTGCGCTGCTCTTGCACTTTCTGTCGTTTGGCACATTAGTTTTTCTATCGGTTCCAATGTCCCGTCTTTGCACTCTAGCACCGGGTGTGATGGCACTAGCCCAGGTTGAGAGCACGACACGGATACTGATGTGCCATGTGGTACTTCTGTATCGGGGAAAGTCGTGAAGACCATCTTGTCTGTCAACTGCGCAATGTTGCATGGCTTGGTACTGATGCACAGCGGCGAGAAGATCATGAATAAAAGCATGATACAGCCAAAAAGAAACCATAGCATAGCACAGATCAGTGGCGTATCCCAGATCCTGCGTCCGAAACGACGCAAAGCGCGTTCGAACTTCTTACCCCCACCACCGGTTGCCATCTTGTCGTAAGTACTTGTTTGTTGTTGTTGAAGGCTAGGTAGTGCTTAGGTAGAGACTCTGCCAGAGTCAGAACTCCGTATAATTCGTCTTCAGCACTGCCCGTCTTGGTCTTTTGCGGTTCCAGTACTCCGTATTGGCCTTTGCGGCCAGCACGGCGAAGACGATTTTCCTCTTTTCCTTGAGCCTGAGGTGAGCTAGAGCTGGACGGCAGAAGCCACAAATTCTAGGCGCTTCCGTCTCCTTGGCCTATGCGCTATATTCCATTTTTCCCACAGACAACACCACACTTCGCGGCAAGCAACGACCGTCATGACTAAAAAGACGACGAGGTAACGCTGGAGCCATGTGTGTACGACGTGTTTACTCTTACTCAGTTATTGATGAATGAAAAGATAGGTGAAGCAAAAATTCAATTGGAAATATTTTCGGTCACCACGAATTGACGCAAAGATATAAAGAGCAAAAGCAATACCGTATGTATTGCTATGACAGGAGGACACGACAGCGCCGAATACACCTACCTAGTACTGCTTAGCAACATTGAACGAAATCCTAGGATCGCCTGGTGTTGGAGGGGTCACGCAAATGTTGAGGGTAGTCAAAAACAGGGTCTACATCGCAGAGAGGTCTCTTTCAAGGGTGGACACTCGCTATCTCTCGCGTGATGCTGATGCAGGCTCCCATCAATCACTCATTAACTCGCCCTCCGCTCTGGTCAAGTAGAGGTCTCTCATTTCTCACCGTGCTGTTCTCTCAAAAGTCTCAAAAACCTGCCACCACAGGCCATAGTGTTTGTACCATGACTTAGATTGTAAAGCGCCGTGTCATTAAATGACTTGTTCTGACACGATTTATTTTCAAATGAACAAGGTGCTCAACAGTGTAACTGAGGTTGAAGAAAAGCGCCTACTATCAATGGATAAGAGTGCGTTGTGTCCTCGAAGCTTTACTTCTATCTGAGCAGGTGTAGTTCTGCGAAAGTTCTTGTTTCGGTTTGAAAAACCCACAACAAGTTCGTTTGGTAGAAGATGTAACGGTTAGGTTAGGTAACGGTTTAGATAATCGCCTATAATTTAATGATACGAATTATTCGCGTCCACGTGATGTAGTGTCTTCGGCATCTACCGCTAGAGGACTCTAACTCATTTTTTAGTGCACCTACAAGTCCTCAGCATTGAATTCCATCGAATCGGATGAAGATACGATCATGTTCAAAGTTGAAGAAGTTCTTGGAAACAACCTAACAACGTGTTAGTTGTTTTTCATAATTCGAAAGAACACGAGGCAGCGCTGCGCCGCACTCAAATGTACACACACCGGCGGCACTGCATACAGCAGCGAAGCATTGCAAGCGGCGAGAACGTGGCCACTCCGCACAGGAGCGCAGCGCCGCGGGCGCGGCCCTCGTCTGCGGCCCTGTATATTGACGGAAACAGGGAGGCAACGCCATCGGCGCCCAGCGTGCGCCCACCGTGCCTCCCTTGTGTGCCAAGGGTCCGCCCACCGTGCCAAGCGTGGCCGCCGAGCGACCCAGCGTGGCCCACCTTCCCACCGTCTCTAAACTGTTTTGATTCTGATATAATTACATCTGGAATTTGAGCGTGCTAAATGAGATCGACGACAAACCGTTTTGACTTGATCATAATTTTCACGTCCACCTTCTAGTTCAACTTCAACCTACTGACAACATGATTACTATTTCTTAAAACTAGTAGTTCTGCCTAGAGTTAGTGTGCTGACAATCATGATTTCAAATCATGTAGTAAGTTCGGGATAGCTGATCACGCTTCCCGGTAGAAGTTGATTCACAAGTTGTTGGGTAGTTGTAGTTTGAGATTACCTTTGCCTTCATAATAGGTTCTTTGACGGGCTCAGGCCCTACAGATGCTTCGTGCGACGAAGGCAGAGGAGGTTGGTTGAGTTACCCCTTTCTACTCATTTGCGAATGTGCGCAACAATTAGGTTTAGGACTACTCTAAAACGACCTCCATAACAATAATTTGGCCTATTCAAGATTGTTCAGAACAAATATATAAATATAAGTATCGATATTTCTAGTTGCTAACGCCAAAGCTCCTCCTTTGTTTCAAATTGCTAAAAGTCAAAACGAACGCCTATTCTCTGTTGTGATGAAGAGTAAAATCCTTTTCAAACCAGCCAAATGGATCTTCTTGAGTAACAAGCTGATATATCTCTGCTTGCTACAACTAGTATTTTGCACTATTCGTTCTCTTCTGATGTAGCACTTCCTTCATATTATTCTATTCTGTGCATCCCAAATAAGTAGGCCTATAGCACCTACCCACAGGATGAATCGATGTGACAAAAAGATTCCTTCATATTATCCGTCCTCGACTCTATTCAGTTTTACTACAACTCCACAACCTACTTTTCCATAATATTTTCACAAACAATACCAATCAATCTTTAAGTCTGAACAGACTACAACTCCACAACCTACTTTTCCATAATAATATTTCAATCTTTAAGTCTGTTCCTGTTCAAAGTTGACCATATCGATCAAGAAGACCGAGCCAACGAGTGTAGCTTTCTGTTCTGGGCTAGCGTTCTGTGGGAAGCGGACGGCGTAGTTCTGGCGATTGCAGCACTCCTTGATACCGGACCACGGAACTTAGAGGAGGATCAAAGTCAGCTCAGTGTCTGTGGTAGAAAAACTGGTAGGTGAAGCGAACATGAGTATATGTGGTACATGAAGATTCCTGGAAGGATATTTCTCGTACAGGTACATACATAAGTAGTTAGAAGATTCGATACTCTTGACTCTTCTTGATTGGGAACGAATGCTGAGTCGAAGTAGAAGGACCAAAAATCTAAATCCTGTATCAGTCACTAGCACTCCTATCACAGCATCACTGATCTCTTAAAAGTTGTTAATCTGGGCAATGGATCCTGGTTCGTCGCCTGGTAGTTTGTCCATACTCTTGGGGTGACGGATATAGAACGGGACGGCGAGGCAACGGCCCTTTTTTCCACCGCATTCGCAGAGAACGCAGCAACCACCGTAAGATTAGAGAGCGGAGGCGCATATCTTCATCTCGAATGATCGGATCTAGTAGTATACACTAGCCTGCTCTCGCAAGGATGATGTTACTGCACCGGTCAAAGTCGGAGAAGTATGTATCAACATAGGTTCTAGTTGTAGCTACTTTGTATGTAATCTAAGTTGAAGGAGTCTTCTTTTCCGAGAAGCCTGCTCCTACGAAACAAAAGTCCGCCGAAGAAGTAGTTTGAATGAATTCCTGTATAATGTAATTGTAAGGTCCTTACAGACACAGTAGTAGCATAACAGCAGGTGTCTGGCCGGATGCGGTACCAGATCATGCCCTGACCGTCTCGTACGCTGTATTTCGGCACACACAGATACATATCACATTCATATTGCGTCCGACCGAGTTTCTGTTTTTCATTTTAGTTTGATCATATAATCGGGATAAAAAGGTTCTTCAGAAGTAAAATGCCCGCACAAAAAAAATGCCCATAGATTTTCTTCCCGAGAGAGATTAGAAGTTTTAGATTGAGTTCAACATTGTCGAGTAATGCTCTCACAAAGATTTTAATTTAAATACCGTTCCATCGTTAGTGAGGGTATCCAAGTAGGGTAAGAAGCAGCAGCACGGGATACGCAGAGGACCACCATCTCCCTCTGCGATCCAGCACGCGGTGGAAAATTAGACAAGTCGAAGAGGTCATGTCATTTGTCTCCGATTTGACCTGCTGAGTCTCTTTGTAAAAATACTATAATAGATAGTACGGACATTTTTTTTATGACTCATAAGGACAAGTGCATTCCTTTTTGTGGCGCAAGACGACCTCGGATTGGCTTGGACGCTTTTGCAACATGCCGCTCCAGGAGCCGCACCACATATCGTAACTTGTCGGCCGATAAGCAGGCATAAAGTGCGACAGACAGCAACGCTCGAAACAACCTAGTTGGAAAGAAAACGAACAAAGGCAGATGGTAGTTAGTTAGTTATTATAGGATGAAGCCCGGCGGTACTCCAGCGACGCGCAGCCCGAGAGGCGTATGCGGAACCCTAATCGTCACCCAGTGTCTTTACTGCAGGGAGACCTCTCACCATGACACAGAAAGCGCGAGGCAGAGGCGAACTCGCGGAGAGCCAACGCAACGAAAGGCAAGTGGCAGATGGTATGAGTGACTTGTTATCAATTTCATCCGTCATCACGACATAGTAAGTACTAGATATATTATAAAACAGTCAAGATGATCAAAATCATCAAAATCTATCCAAGTAAGTAGTAGAGCAAAGGCGAGTACAATCTCGCAGAAAGATACTAGTGATAAATCATGTATGTTGTCTGTAAAAGTGAAATACTCGCACTTTCATCGATGAAGAAGATTTCCGGACCGGACTCACCAGGGCTGCTCGGGTGAAATGCGTGGCCTGTCCACTCGTTCTTGGCATCACAGCAAGACCCTTTCATAGTTTGCTTCAATGTCAGTCCAGAACGACCTGCCAGGACGGTTCAGCATTAGAAGAAGGACAGATATTTTTACACTGATGTCATGTGTATGCCCATGTTAGTGTCATTCCTAACACCCGTACTTTACACTGAATCATATTACTTTTCACGTTTTTCACCTGTAGAACCTGCGCGGTGTCAAATCATGATGAGTACAATTATGAATCTTTGTTTGCGATTGCGTGTATCATCAAATTCAGAACTCCTGTGTGAGTGTGGAAGGGTAATTTATTTCTTCATAATTGTAGTCATCTCCGAGTTGCGGCATATGCATCTGATGAGGCGCAACCTGTTGCATCATCACTGGCTGCCCAGGTGCCCCGATAGGCATCACCTGCACTGGCTGGACCATCATCACAGGAGCAGCAACAACCTGTGGCTGCTGCGGCTGATTTTGCACTATCTGCATCTTTTGAGGATTTGTTGCTGAGTACTAGAAGTAAGTTGTAGACTCTTTCGTACTCCAAAGTACTATGAAGAGGCGCTTCTACGAAAGGAAAGAATACGAAACTTTCGTTGAGGTTTTTGGTCGTGTCTAAAAGTTTTTAGTAGTTAGTTCGTCACTATAGGAAGCCTGGTGGATCTAGGTCAATTGGTTTTAGTATGCGTCATGGTCAATTGAAATTTTGCGCTTCACATCTTTCACTTGTTTTCTGTCAAACAGCGGCTGCGTTTTGTTTTTTTTTCTTTAATTGCTTAGTGGGGCCGTGTTTCGGACATGCACCATATTTTCAAAAATTCGCTCTCCCTTACAATACAGCTCTCCTCGGCTTACACTTACAGCTCTACTTCTTCCCTCGACCAGAAAAGCCACTCGGAGAATTTCGTCACTATTTGAGACACAAAAAACTCGGTCACAACAAGTTTTCAAAAATCGTAGGAACAGCGTGCTTCAGGTTGATGGCATGCTGGGCATCTGTCAGGAGGTGGATGTGGAATTATAAAAGAAGATCAAAATCGAAGGGGGTCTTCAAAATACAAATTGTAGCAGTGTTTACGTCCTAGAAGCTGCACACGACAAGGGATTAAGCCACTGCATCCCCCATGTTGATTTCGTTTTTCCCTGGTATTTAGATGCAGATGGAGGAAGATGAAGTAGACTCTATAATTAACATGTGAATATGAAAAATTTTGCCTAAGTGCCGTCATAATGGAGTAGTCCTACATATACGACTGTAGAGACGCAAAAAAAAATGCAGCCATCATGCGTGATCTTAATCAAAATCATGCATCCTGCTGCTCCTTCTTCTTCCCTCCTAGAATTCCAGCATCCCACAATGGCTTCCTCAGGATATCGAAGATATTTCGAAAGCCGTCTGTTGCTGCGGGTCTCGTTACCAGAGAGATATCCAAGCCGTGTTCGTCATCGGCTCCGGCGTTGGGGTCATCGTAGTAATCGATGATGTAACGGACTTTTTCTAAGCCACAACGGTCGACAACCCAATCATGACGGTCAAAAGGGGCTCCACGACTTCGGAAATATGAAGAGAAATGCCTGTTTTAGGGGTAACAAGAGGATCAAGATTCTTGAAAAAGAATTCAACATCTAGTATACTTCTAGGAAGCAGTTTTGGATGAAGGAATCACTTAAATTATATGAGGTATAAGGTATGAATTCTCTTTTCAGCAACAACTAGATATAACTGCACATCATTTTTAAAATCTGAAGATGAAAGAAGTACCCTCCCAAACTCAGCTCCTCGCTTTTTCCCACAAAGGAGAGCAGTGTCGGATTTTTGCAGCGATCCATGTGCATCCTTTCCCAGTCCAGGATTTCTTCCCAGGTTCTCTCGTTCGTCACATTATGCGCAAAGACTATGGCATCCATAGTATTGTCTTTTTCTAATTCGTCCTCTTCATCGACTTTCCCGCGTCTCCGCAACGCATTGTAGAACTGTTGGGGACTCGGATAAACCCAAGTCGTTCCTTGATCTTCTCCGGTTTTTGGGATCGAACTCACCTCCCGGTTCTTATCGAACTGGACTAAATCCGAAGGCAACGCTTCGTTCCGCATCGTCGGCATCATGTTGCGCGGATTTATCAAACCTGTAGAGCTATCGGAGGAAGAGGAAGGCGAAGATGGACCTCCTTGTGGCTCTATCACGTCTAAGCGTAGATTCTTGTCATGATAATAACTCCCAGTCGCAACTGCTCCTTCGCCGTGAGAAGCCTGTAAGTCTGGATTGCGAGCACGCATCGGACAAGTGCCTCCTGCTGAGGAGAGTAGCGCCTTGTTCAGTCGAGAACCACGGCTTTCAGCCATTGTGGTTGGACTCGAAGAGCTCGATGATGCCACGGGACAACCTCCAGCTGATGAAGATGTTGTGCTATGGTTAATAGGACATTTTTCAGCACCAGACGAGGTGGCGGCGCTACTGGAAGAGGAAGAGCTCGAGGACCCTACCACTACTTCTTGCTCCGTGTTGACGAACAAATTTTCGTTGCTTGTTTGTTTATCGAACCCGGCTACGCTCCCAGATGAAGATGTTGATGCTGACATTGCAGTCGCATCTCTCGATGCGCTGTCTATACCGCTCGAACCGTTGCTATCTTCTCCCTCTTGATGCTGTTGCTCAACATGCTCGTTAGATTTCTTGCCCTTATACGGGCACAACATCGCTGCCCACGACGATGATCTGCCTTTGTATGGACAAACAGAAGGCTCGTTGTGGGCTGGCTTAGCGCTCACCCTAATTCATCTTGAGATGCATCCTAATGCTTCTCTCCCCTTAATTATGGGACAGTTTCAGGATGCTTCAGAAGATGGATTAGCGAAAGCCTTAACTGACGACGCACTCTGCTCCTCCGCTTCCTGGATGCCTCGCACCTCCTCAGCGAGAGCCCGCACACTCCAGATCATCTTTCCTTCGTGCCTTTTTCAATGCATGAATTTGTTATTTCAACTGCAAATAATCTTTGGTTCGTGCAAAGCAAGGACAACCTTTCTCTTTCTCCAGTAAGAATTCGGGAGAAGAAGAAACGGCCAGCCGAAAAAATGAAAAACTAAACTTATTGATACTGAATTCGTGGTGTATATAAGTTCATCCTTCATGTCACCCGTTACGCAGAAGAAGGAGCATTAGAAGAAAAGATTTGGGGTGCAGGAAAAGCTCTTTCCAATTTGAGGAGCTGGTCAACATTCGCTTAGAGGGGGAAAAAACGTTTCACATCATCTCCCGCTCAAGAGGTGCCATGATAAAAAAACAACACAGACTCGTGGTCAAGAACAAGATGACTTCTACGTTACGATGGTACGTGTGGTCACTTCTAAGGCTCCCCGTCGTCCAACATCTACACTGTAGAGTCTAGTACTGTGTCTGACGGCGGGATACTTCCTTGTGAACAACACCTTTGTAACCTCCATCGAGATCGGATAATTCTCTCAGTAAGGTCCTCGTCCTCTATCGGTTACGGCCTACTGGTAGAACACTTCGTCAAATCTTGTCTTTTATGTTCAGTCATAGCTAGAGGATTGATTGTTAGTACCACTTTATCGTCGAGCACATGCTAGCTGCAACGCCATCCAATGAGTTGAGAAAATTCCGTCGCTATTCTTTTGCTGTCACAGATGAAGAAACGGATGAATACCCAATAGTCATTGTCGTCTAGGAGCAGCAGCCTCGGCACGAGGAGAAGCGAAAAATTCATGTGGCAGTAAAATCAGGTCGATCGCGATACCGATATAGTAGAAAGGACTATTATTGATTTTCACGAGCGACTTCAGTGATAGGTAGTAGGTGATATTAGCAAGAAGCGAATTAGCAAGAAGCAGATCAGCAAGAAGCGAACATACATATTTATACGAATTGAAAATAGATAAGTAGCTCAGCCTCAACATCATCTCTCATAGTTATTGTCCTCTAGCAGCACCACCTCCTCCAGCTGCTGCAGCTTGCTGTTCTCTATTCGGTGGTGTACCAAAGGGCTCAGTATTTATTGTCACCGTTGCCTCTATCATTTTGAGCCAATGACTCAGAATATTGAGAGTTTCGTCCGAGCCTTTCATCAGCTGCTGAGAGCAGCGATGAATCGAGAGAATCTTTTTCGGCTTCTGCACCGTAAAGAGCGCGACCTCCATGCCCAAGTGTACGACGGGAAGCGGCAAATATGAAAGCAAACTTATCACTGTACATCATCAAGCGAAGCCTTTCTACTAGTGGTACAGGGAGAGCACGATATGTTAAAGTCAAGTACAACTGCAACAGCTCCTATGAATTTGAATTTGATTTCTTACTTTCTCACTACCATAATTGAACATTTTGCCGTTGTTCTTCAGGGACTGCGTTATTAGCCGCCGCCCGAGCTTCGTTTTCCCGATGCAGGGGAAAAGTTAGAGCAAGCAAGGTCATTTCCTTTAAAGCCAAATCTGTTCTTTTGAACTCACACGGAGGACTGAAAAAACTTTCATGATAGAAGCTCCGCTGGCTTCTATGATCAAGTTAGTAGGTACGCCGATTCGAAAACGAAATGAGTTTGATTTTCTGAAGGAAGTAGCCTCAAAACCAAATCGGTCGTGACCCTTGCACCCAAAAAACGCGCCAGTGTTTCGAGACACTTGAGAGAAATGATTTCCGTCATGTCTTCCACTCGTGGATAAAGCCCTTGTGGGAGAAGTTGCGGGCACTGATACAACACAAAAACACTCTGTGGAGGTCGTAGCCATTGCCATGGAATCGCACCAGCACCACAAGTACCATATGGAGAGAAGAGGTTGTTCATGTTTCTGTCGCCTGGGCAGAAATGGTGAGCCAAGGGCCCAGCTGTTATACCTGGAGCATGTGCTACGTGAATACTGTTGAAATTGAACACGTTGGTCGGCTGCTGCTGCTGCTGCTGTTGTTGGCGCTCGGATGAACCTTCTGGTTTGTCTTTGATGTCGTGTGGAGTATGACAATCATATGCGGAAGACTTCACAACATCGTCAGCATCACTAGCGCCTCCATTAGAACTGGAAAATGAAGTAGCGCAGCTACCATTATCCTGGCGTAGTCGCTTCGTCGGGCCCTGCTGCTCGTCATCGCCATCGTCGCAGGAGCAACTGGACATAGGTGTGTGAAACATGTCTGCAGTTGATGTTGATGCACGACCAGCATCTCGAGAAGCAGAGGCAGGCGTCAAAGAACAACGCGCACTACCATGATCTCTATTTTTCAACCCATCAGAATCAGTGCGACTACCACAAGTGGGCGTTTGAGGCAGCAGAAAACCCTTACGAAATCCGCCAGAAGAAGAGACTTTTTCAGGGTTGTCTACAGCTTTGCCATTGTCCGCTTTTATTTCAGTGTCTCCTCTAGGCCTCTCAGTGTCGCCCTTAGCTTGCCTTGCGTCTGAAGATCGAGCCCGTTTCTTTTGTTGTGATTCTCGCGAGGAGAACAGTCGGCCATAATCAAACTTTTTTTTCTTGCGAATCGCTCCCACGCCACCATCTGCCCCTGAACTTGCGGTAGTGTCCGATTCTGCCATTAGCGCGCTTGTTTTTGACGGTAGGATGTTCTTCTCAGCCGTTGCCTCAGGAGACGAGGAGGAAGACGCGCGTTGTCCACCTTCTTGATCAGGCTTCTTTCTCGAAGTCATCTGTTCAGCAGGTTCTTTTGTTAACGCCGCAATTCCTGCGGCGACCGCCTCCGCAAAGGCCCTTGGGTCTGCCGGTTGATGTAGTTGCGGGACTTCGAACCGATCCTGCTGGTAGTCGTAGCACTGATGATTAGGAGGGTCCTCAAAGGAAGCTCATACCTGTCACAATGGGTGCTTAAAGCGCAAATACTCTAATCTCAAACAAGAACTTGTATCGCCAAAGGCAACGCCGAGAAGCATGGCTCCAAAGTAACTAGAGCTACAACTCTGAAAAAGAACCTCTAGAAAAAGCAGTCAGCCTTAAGAACAACCCAATGCGCGTATCTTTCGGGAAGTGGAGGCAAGCTCATCCGGAAGGCCACACGCATTTGCAAGTCGCGCATATTTGAGCGGTGACCCAGGAAACCGGAAATCTGCCTGTGGATGACATCTTCCAAAGAGGCCATCTTTTGGATTTTTACATACAGGGAAAAGCCTTAGTGTATGGCTCCAAGTAACAGCGTGGTGATAGACTGTTGGGTAGTCACGATATTTATTCGGCTGAAGAATGAATGACGGCAGCCTTGCCTGTTGAAATCGGGAGATTACTCTAGTTGATCGATTTTGGTCGCTAGAGGTTCGAATTTCAGCACTTTGCGCAGGAACAACTACTCTCTCAATCTCGCATCATTCAGATGAGTGGCATCCTACTCAACCGAGTGGAAAGAGTGCTTTGCTACCAAGTAATGAAGAACAGGCGACAGAAGTAACACCCTATCGCTCGGGATCGAGTGTCATCATCCTTGCACCACGACGACTTTTGTACAAGTGAACACGAATACACCACCATCAAGAGACGCACCCACGTCTCGGAGCGCAGATACGCCCTCTTCTTCTTTTGACCAATCATGAAAGGCTCCAACCTTCTCACTGCATCGTTATGTTCTTCCACATGTCAAAGCATTCTTGTAGAAGTGTTGTTGTCCATTTCATATCATGGTGATGTTGTAAATACTCGGTTATTCGCATATGTAGGAATCCTCGTGCTCCAACACATCAGAGGGAGCGTTCGAGTCCTCTACTAACCCCGTGATGCTCACACTGGCACGGGATCCCTCGAGCTGAGTCCAGTCCTCCTCACTAGTTCAGCTCTTATTATCCCCGTGTTGTTTCAGGTGCACGCTCCTCGAATACTTCTCCTTGTATTTTCGCCGCCCCCGCTTTTCGCTTGGACGATAGAAGTTAGTCGTAGTATCCGCAGATGGTGAGAGGAACTTGTACAAGAGTTTTACGTGAACTAGAAGAAGTCTCCTCCAGGTCCACGAAATGTTGTAAGAGTTGCCAACCTACTGCTCATACCACTTCCTCCTTCTGTCCTCCTTTTCCACCAGAAACTCCACCTCCTCATTCTTAGAACTACATCTCCAAGAAAGTAGAAGAAATTTACTTCTTGATGCGGTTGAAGAACTTGGCCTTCTCTTCGCAGGTCTGGAAGCGTCCGTGTCCGATCTTGGAGGAGGTATCGATGAACTTGAGCTTGATCTCTTCCAAAGCGGAACGCTTGGTCTGCGGCAACAAGGATTGACGGAGAGTGACGCAACGCTTTTTGGTTCCCATGACGGATCCCTTGATCATCAACCAGTCCTCGTTGATGACACCGTAGTGCGGGAAGCCTCCCATCGGGGTGATGCTCTTCTGAGTCAAATCCTGCTCAGTGGAAGCGTCGTTGGCTTCGCCCTGTGAGTTGTTAAGTTTGGATGCACGTGATGAAGGTAAAAAGAAGATAGACGAAACAAGAGAGATGCATGTGAGCCGTAACAATCAGCGATCTTGGTGGTTAGAATGTGATCTCATGCACCCGAGGGTGTCAGAAGTAGCAAGTATTCTGTTTGCTCATCATGCATATACGGCTCAGCACACGAGTCTCAAATGTCTTTAGAGTGTCAGTGGCATCGTCAGTTTTTTATCTATGCGTAGTCTTCTCGAGAAGTAGTAGATAGCTATAAGAAAAAAGTTTTTGTACCTTGGTTCCGATGCGGTAGATCTTCTTGTTGATTTCGGTACGGTGGTGGTATCCGTTCTGACCCGCACGCGGGACCTGGAACTGGACACGAGCCGGATGCCAGGCACCGATACAGGCGACCTTGCGGAGACCACGATGGGTCTTACGCGGCAAGCGGGTGACGCCCCAACGGGTGACGACGCCGTCGGTTCCGCGACCCTTGGTGACACCGATGATGTCGATCATCTCGTTCTGCTGGAAGACCGTGTTCACCTTCAAGTCCTTCTCGAAGAGGTTGACGCAGAAGTCGACCTTTTCAGCGGAGTCCTTTCCACCGTTGATCTGGATCTCCTTCAAGTGAGCCTTCTTCTGGCCGATCTTGGCGAGTTCGACCTGGGTGTGAGCGAGCAAGCGGATGACGGTGCAGTACTTCTTGGCGCGCTCGACCTGGGCGTCCATCTCGTTGGCCTGGTACTTTTTGGCGTAGCTGTGGAAAGCCTTCTTGTTCTTCGACTTGTACCAGTTCTTGTAGAAGCGACGCTTCAGGCTGTCCTCCAAGTGCCCGGCGAAGACAGTGGTCAACGCACGGAGACCACGCGGGGTGTCCACGTATCCGACGAAACCGACGGCACGCATTGGCGGAGCCTCCAAGATCGTCACCGGCTCGACGACGTCCTTCTTGTCGACCTTGCTTCCCGGACGAGCAACGTTGCGAACAATGTGGGTCATACCAGCCTGTTGAGATGAGAAATGGGTGTTCTAGGTTTATTTAGAATCCGACTCGCTAGATGCAAATCCTGCTTTACAGCTGCAACACCACTAACAGTTTTATGACATCTACCACACGCTTTTTAGATTTTCCAATGCTTTTGAGATCAATCGAGCTCATCAGGCACGAGCTAAACAACGGCTATATTCCTCGCGGTAGTTACTAAACGTGAAATCCTAAGGCAAAGGACCAAACCAATCAAAACGAAAGAAAACTCTGTACCTTGAAAGCCATAAAGGCGGTCAAGTGGCAGGGCTTGGAGGCGTCATCCTTCGGGAAAGACTTGATCTTTCCGTTGTGGTGCTTGGTACGCTTCTTCGGCAGGAAGCCGAGGTTTCCGTGACGCGGGCACTGAAACTTACGATGAGACATTTTTTGGGATGCGTTAGTGCCGAGTAAAACACTTTAAAACCCAGTTTTCCCTGTTTTTGTTTGAAAGTAAGGCGATGATGAGCAGTAGATATTTTGATGATAGACGAGGAACGAAAGTAGGACCATGAGCAAGTGCCGTGTGGTCGATAGAAGACGAGCTTGAGGAAGTGGCCACTAGTGAACTATGAAGATAATCACGGAACATTTTTATTCAGTAGTGCGGATTGCGATTGGGATTGAACTCATAAACTGTTGTTCCTTGTCCGTCATGCCATACTGGCAGTGTCAATCAGATCTCAGTATCGTTATGGATCATCCACTAAGATAGCCAGGATCGATTCATTGACAGCGGCACCTATTTGGGTTTCAGGATCGCTGGGACATCAGGCTGCTTCACATGAGAACTGTTGTCAAAGAGGGATCTTCTCTTAGAATCTTCGAAAATTTAGACTACACGAGATTTTCCAGGATGATCCAGTAGATCCAGGATGGTCCTTCGCGTCAGTAAACTTTACCGGATTGTTCTTTTGTCATACTTCTAAGATTCTTGACGTCGACTAGCACTTTCGGTGATGTAATAGGACATTATTCGCAAAATGGAAAGGATCTTCAAGCTACAAGAAAAACATATGTTGAAGGCATCCGAAACCTGGAGGATCCCTGCCACAATATGCATCTACCCCTTGCGATGATGTGGTGCCCACCTTAAGGATACCGAGCTATCATCTCCTATTGCAGGCGTTTATGCTTCACACGATTTTCCATTCTCAATACAGTTTCATGGATCATGCTGTACATCCGGTTTTTCCATTCTGTGGATAGCTTCTCAATTTTTCAGATCTCCGCTCTTTGTGACGATAGTCATAGTGGCAGGCTCTAATCATTCTCACTCATCCATTCAAGCCACGTAGCAACTCAAAGCTAGGTATACTTTATTCAGATTCCAACTTAATGCTAAAAGATTAGGTCACACATCTTCTCCTTTTGATCATTCCCTGTTGAATTATATATATGAAACACTTTCTCATTCTAGTATGTGCTTCTCACGCACTGGCTTCTACATATTTTGATTCAGCAACTAATAGCTGTATTCTGAAGATGACGATGAGAGTTAGCTTCACCTTTGCTGAGGGATTGTATTAGACTTAGTTTTACTGTGCATCAGAGAGTAGACCGAATGGTACTGTCGACTAATTTTCTTTCGGGGTCATATTTCAGCCTTGATTCTCTTTCCTCCTCACGTGAAGTTCAAGAAGGCATCTTGGAAAGCGTGTCTATTCTAACATCCATCACTCCTTTCATCCAAGCCACCAGAGGAGACACGAATTTCTTGCCCTCTTTCGACATCATACGTAGCTCTTACAATCAGCTTATGACCAGCCTCCTCTCCTGACTGGGAAGTTTTCCATTGACGAGCTCACCTTTTTCAGTACGGGCATAATTCACCATGCTCACTAGAGCGTTCTCGACCAGAATCAGTTCCCGCGGGGATCCGACCACTCCCCTCGCGAAACGCTCGACGTACGTAAGGTGGGTAGCAAGCTGCGCCGTAGCCAGAAAGCTTCAAGGCCTTTTCGCTCTCGTGCATTAGCTTTAACATTCACACGGAACGCAGAATCGGCAACATGTCAATGGAAAAGAAAGAGACCACAGCATCCTACCATGAAGTACACCTGACAACTTCCTTAATTGCAGGTATACCAACTACATAGAAATGACCAGTTGAGCGATATTCTGCAGGAGTTGTCTCCTCCACTTTGGCGGAAAGAGTCGACATTTCGGTGAAAACAGTGTCCCCTTCGTGAATATTTTCGAGCGCAAACAATCCGCCCTTGTTCCACCCAATCTAGCGGACTTCGGCTTTCCTATCTAGAAGGAAGTCTGGTGTACCGCTGGGACTTCTTCTAGAATTCGTCTGCTGGTCCCGCTGGGACCTGTGGCGGACGACCACCCAGCGTCCTCCGAGCCTGAAGTGGGACTGAAGTGGGAGGCGCTTAGGCCACTGGCGGACGACGCCATGTCTGACATTGCAGGCTGACGACGGTCAGCTCCAACGTAGTCTTCGGCAGGACAGTCTGCTTCTGAATGCCCTCATACAACATTCAACTCGACTTTCCACAAGTCACCTTCGGGATGATACTCCACCAGCCTAACCTTGTTCTTGCCCACTAAGTCAGCCACGATGAAGCGCACATATTCCTCGGGAACATTCTCTACATCCTCTGGTTCTGCCTAGACCGGGCGTGTATCCTCCTTAGGAGCAAGAAGCGTGTGTGTGTCACTGTTCACGACCGGTAACTGAAACTTATGCCAGGCCTCCAAAACCGGTATTGTCCGGGCCAAAGTGAGATCTGACGCATCGAAAATTCGAACGAAATTCTCTGGTGGCAGGCGTACGTAACATCGCAATTCAGTCTCGCGCGTCACCGAAGATGGAGGACGCGTGCGTCGATGCTGGCCATTCTGGATGCTTATACAACACCCACAGTCGCGAGCCCGTAACGAGCAGCTTCTTCAGAACCGGATGCTTGCCCGAGCTCGGTGGGAGAATCGAATTGATATTCTGGCGAAATCGATACTCCAGTTTCGAAGATTGCGCACTGATCAGATTCAACCGGATGTCAGGATCATCCCCATCACGGTAAAAGTAGACTCAGGTTCAACAGCACCATCCCCATCAGCAGTAAAAGTTGACTCAGGCTCAACAGCAGCATCACCGGCACTGTCAGCCAGAGTAGCTAGTAGAGAATAGTCGAATTTCTTCAACTTCTCCAGAAAATGTTTTGCGAAGTATGTTGCTCCGCATCAAACGTTGCGCCGTACGCTGATGCCGCAATTCTTGCCGTCTCGCTGGCAGATAAAATAGTAGATGCTGGAATTTCAATTTGTTCCTTGTGTGGTACGGGTAGTTCCATATTTTGTTGGCTCATCTTGTAGGTCATCTCCGTTCTTACGGTTTCTCCTCGTCAGCTGGGTAGCGAATGGCAGGCACGTAATACTCGTCTTTAATGGCACCTACAGCTTCATTCCCAGAAGGATCAACTCCTCTAGGCGGCTTTGTCCACAACCAGTCCCAAGGCCTCATCTAAGAACTCCTTCTCTTCGCTTCCCTTTGAAGCCATCAATCACAACCCACTGACCCAGCGCTAGGGGAGGTGGTATTATTGTGTAACTGAACAGAGCTTGTGCTTCAACATTCTGGGGTCTGGGAAGAAAAGAAGACGAGGCGGCCGCATGTACAGGGCCGTCCCCAACTCCAGCAAGAAGCAGGAGAATGACTGTGCGGTCTAGGTGGGAGGTCATTTTCTTATGTTATAAAAATAGAGGGAAAAGACGATGATACTGATAGAGGAAAAGACAAGCACGTTACGATAAAGTTTTTTGAGTACCACGAACAGTGCGTTAAGATTTCGATTTTTTTCAACGACAGTAAACAATCAGAATATCTCTTATAAAATTCTTTTGGGGACGTTACTCAAAACTCGCTAGATCAAGCAAATCAATAATTCATTTCAAATCTAAGAGTTGCAAGAGTCTTGATTCAATACTACTCGATGACGGTCATTCTCTTGCCTTACGGCGGTTCGACGACCCCGTCGTGGAATCAAGATCAAGAAGATAAATGCGGGCTCGTGTAACACTCTTCTTCCACAGAAATAAAATGATGCTCTTCGCGTCCCTGATAGTGGAAGGAGAGTTTTTTGATGATCTGCTAGTCAGCTACTAACAAGTCTAGGCTCCTCGATTCCTTTGCCTAATCGACGGCTGCGTACATAGTAGACATTACCATTATACCGCAAAACAATATTGAACACTCTAAGGCTACGAATCATTGCATTTTCTCACTTTCAACGCCGTAAATGCGAGAATTTGTTGTCGTCTCGTCCGCCAGAGTGTTTCTGTTTTTAATAGCCGCGATAGGGAAATTTCCTGTAACAAAGATGCAGACGTTCTGGACACGCGAAGACTCTCACGCGATACCGAGGCTCATGTTTTAAGAGGAACACGAAGCTCAAAAAATATACACACGGCGAAACTCTATCAGCCTCGAGCGCTAGCCCAAGCCCGCACGCACCCACGTGCAGACCTATCGGCACGTGGCCGAATCGCATCCGTGCGAAGAATCAATGGAGTAGAAGGCGTCGAAATTCATAATGAAGTTAGCCTTGTGCTATCTCAATGTTTGGAGATCCCTCTAACCCCTCTTCCGCTGCCCAAATCAAGGCAAGAATCCTCTCGAGTCTGCTTAGATAGTCTACATCCATTGCCTCGCTAACGGAGAGATCTCGCCACCAAGCATCATAATAAACAAGGAGTCCCTTATTTCCTCAGCAGCGATCTCTATCTCTGCAGCGTTTACTGTTATATGTTTCCCGTGTAAAAAACTCGACGGCGAGCGGGTACGGGAACCTGATCAACCTCATCTTCAGGTGGGCCTTCCGAATCTGATTGTTCCACTGGCTTAATGATCTCTTCAACCGGGTCTCCTTCGATAAGTCCACGCTGCTCTTCGCCGGGTCGCACTTTGCGGAGTTGCTCTTCCCACAGCGTTTCCCTCTCCACCTGCAGCTGATTTTTCTGCTGCTCCTGACGCTCAAACCGTTCAACAAGGTCGTCCAACGCCTTCTTTTTAGCCTGCGTACCTCCATTTTCTCCTACGTCAGCAGCCTCATGTCCACACCGCGGACGAAGGCACCGCTCACACGCCTTGCGCACGCCTCTAGCCACGCTTCCCAATATAGCGTGGGCTGCGGCAACGGATCCAACTTGAGCAGTGACTCCAAGAAGAAGCGCGCGAAGGGTTGACCGGAAAGGCAACATTTTCATTTTGGGATTGGGAAGTATTTCCTTCTATTTTCGGATTGGGACCCGTAGTCGGTGCGAATATTGATCCAGAAAATGAGAGAGGTTCCTCAAAAAGGCAAAAAAGTGAGAGGTTCGGCAAGATTAGAAAGGCGCTATAAAAAGGTGCGTGATAGTCGTGAAAGTGATAGGTTCTTCTGCGAAATACAGTAAGGAAAAGCAGGTAGGGTTCTACAAATATCTCCAAGTATTATTCGATCTCGAAAAATAGTTCCGAATCACCTGGGATGAGATAGTTGAATGGCTTTGGTTTCCTATGCTTTTGGGCTCTTTTCTCATATCGCTCTGTGGGACTACCTGATGTGCCTCTCTCTAAAAAGCGAATTCCTTGATCCTAACTTCTCTCCCTGTCACTGTTCTTTACCTAATCAGATTTATGATACTGAGGATCCTGGACGTTGATCTACGTGCCTAATGTCAGGATTAAACAAGATCTAGCGGTTTTTCAAGTCCAATTTCGGATCTTCATCGCTGAGCTGGATCTTCAATTCGTTTCAAAAATGGGAAGACAGCTGAGTAGTCCCCGCCACCAAGAAGCGCTAACAAATTTTGAACAGCGCACGACCCATACTTCGATCGACCTAATGCCTGAAGGGCCGGCTTCGTACCTGGCGCGTGCCAGGGGGTGACGTTCGTTGTCTATTAGTCTCATCCTGATAACAAAAAACATGACGATTGGTTTCGCATATCAATTCCACAGCATCGAGAAGTCAATGCGATCACATCAGTCATATCCCTTGTTTTTCGGTCCCGTCTTTCATCTTCCCCCTTCATACATCGTAATTTCCATGACTTGATCATGAAGGAACAAGTTACAAGAAGCACTCGTATATTGAGAGAGATATTCTTCTCCTCCGTTTCCGCGCATCAGATCGGCAGCTCCTCCTTGCCTTCCACCTGTTGCACTTTACGACTCGAGGTGTCCGCCTCTTTCTTCCCCACGACTACTAGAAGTTGTTTTACCATCTTCTTCGTAGTTGCGAACTACTAGTCTAGTCTCCATTCACACCGTTGTAGAAGAAGAAAATTTACATTTACTCTTCGTCAGCAGCCTCCTCAGTGGCGGCGGCGACCGGCTTGTAGGCGGCCTGGAGCTCCTTGAAGTAGGCCTTGGAAGAAGCCTTCAGGGCGACCTTCTTGGCGGCGTTCTTCTCCTTCTTGGCGGCCAAGGACTTCTGGACAGCGGATCCCTTCTTGTGGGCCAAGGCGGCCAAGCGCTTGGCGGTCACTGCCCATGGGCAGAGACGTCCGAGCACGGATCGGTTCTTCAACGGGTTCTTGCGCTGGCGGTATCCCTTGACGGCTTCCTTGCGCGGAACGAGGACAGACTGAACCTCATTACTGTTGATGATACGAGCGACATCGGCGTTGGCCATGACCGGACGCGGAAGGGTGTAGCCCTTCTTCAAGGAGGAACCGGTCTTGTAGGAACCGAAGAGTTCTCCCAAACGCTTGATGGCGGACTCGGTGTAGATGACGAAGCGGCCGAAAGCGCCACCCGGAGCCAGCTGCAACAAGTTGAGGCGATCGACGTGGGCGATCTCGACACCCGGGATGTTGCGGAAAGCCTTCACCAAAGAGGAACCTGATTTCGGGATGGATGTTATGTTATGGTGGTGATGTTGATGTTTTTGATCAGATCGGAAGTCCTAACTGGGCAAGTGTTTCCACGTTCGACGGTTGGAGTCAGATGCGCTCACAAGAAAATGTTGAGCGTAAGCATGGACTGGCGCACGATTTCGAACATTTGGATCGAGGTACTTAGTCAGCCAGCATGAATTTAGGACGCCACACCGAGATCAGAGCGGATTGTAAGACATAGGAGTCGTGGTCAGACATATGCTTGTCGTAAATTTAGGTCTCCATACCTCACGGAAAGGTCAGATGGTTGATCCCAAGGTTGTAATGTCATCTTGATATTCCCCTTCTAAATGATATGACACAAGGTTGGCAGAAGCTGTGGTCAGACATATGCTTGTCGTTTTTAGATCCCCACAATCTCAGCTCCGAAAAGCTCAAGAGTCAGATGGTTGATCCCAGAAATAGAGTGTCATCATCTTTGGGTACAGAGGAGGATATTCGAAGTACCACAGATTCGTCCAGACGTGCTAAGACATCATTGTATCACAGGTTGGTATCAGAGATTCTAGAAATCAGAACTGTAACGTACCTTCAGTCATGGCTTCCTTGCTCATGTTGTGGACGACGAGGGGTCCCTTGCGCATAACGTAACGACGGTTGCGAGCCTTTCCGCGTCCAGCACGGACCTTCTTGGAGTCGGAGACCTTATCGAGATCAGCACCGCATCCGAGTTCCTTCAACAAGGCGACAGCAGACTTGGTCTTCTCGATCTTGTTGGCGTCATCAGAGACGACCAACGGGAATTCCGGAACCTAAAGTTTTTGATGATGAGTGTTGTGGATTGAGTGTTGCTCAAGGAAAGAACAGTCTTCCCATAAAACGATCAATCTTCTCCAAAGATTCATTATTTCACAGAAACAAGATGAATTGCAAAAACGCGACATGGTTCCACAGAACCTAGACAGTGAATTGGTCTCAGTACCTCCTCAACCTTGTGTCCTCGGGCCATGACGAGGGCTGGGACGGCCGAAGCAGCGATAGCGGTGGCCATAGCGTGACGCTTTTGCGTCACGTTGGTCTTTCGGTGCCAGCGGCGCCACATCTTGGTCGGGTTGAACATACCACCACCACGGCACATGTTTCCGAAGGCAGCCTGACCAGAACGATGGGTACCACCACCCGGGACACGCGGGATACGAGCGACGGCACGACCGGTACCCCAAGAGGCAGCAGCAGTATCGTAACCAGCCTCGTACTTGACGCCTTGGGCCTGTTTTTAGATTGGAGTTTGGGATTTCGATTGGTGTTGAGACATCACCTTTTTAGATTTGAGTATCAAAACTACAGAGTCGCGAACGCACGATTTAGAATCCTACACACGTACATCGAGATTTGAAACCTAAGTTTGATTTTAGGCCATCTTCTAGGCTCGTCAACGCTTGTTCTACGATGAAGGAACTATGCAGGATCCAAAAATACTAGAACGAACTTCATCTCGTTTCAAATTTTACCTGACGCTTGTTCTTGTTCATGTTGCGGTGGACATAGCGGACGATATCCGGGCGCAACGGGGAGGTGAACACCGAAGGAAGGCAGACGCCCTTCTTGGCGGTCTCACCTGGCTTGTCAGCCATGTAGACAGAGACGGTCGGACGAGCGGTCGCCATTTTTGTTTAGTTCAGGACTCAGTAGACTGATTTGACAACGACGAGTTCATATACACAAGGTACAAGACCCGTTTCTCGTTTTCCCTGGAAGTGAAACGAAGGTGATTACAATAGGGATTATTGAAGAGACAGTTACAACAGGTGTCATGCAAGAAAAACGGAGAAGTTGACAGAAGGTTATGAGTCATTGATTGATATTACCGGTCGAGTAGGAAACGCGGATTATTTAGACGGCTCAGATCAACGTTGTGGTCGTTATGATCTCATATCACGATCTCCAAACCCCTCGGGACTAGTGACAGTGGTCTGATCTTTCCTTTCAAGCTTCGAAGATCCTTGTAGCTGGATCTTGTTAGTTGCATGGTTTTGGAGGGTGGTCAAGTGATTCTCCGCGATTTGCTTGTTTTAGACCTCTCGACTACGGTGAACATCTTTAGATTTTGGTTGTAGGTGATCCTGAACCTCTGTAGCTTTTTTCAGGATCCGGCTACCCGCTGATTTAGTTTTGCAGCATCCTGCATGGATCTTAGGTTTGTAATATCCTTTGCTCTTTAGATCTTCCGCCGCGCTCTCTCTAGCCTTGTCCTGGTTTAGATTTTTCCATCATTGCACGGACCGGATCTCAAGTTTACAACGATAAGGAACGACCACCTATTCACCAGTGTGGATCTTTGTTACACCACAAAGAGATCAATTGAACACCCGAGCAAAGGATGCCCTACAACACTTGGAGTTACGGCTGTCTTTTGCATTTTTCAAATTTATGAACTTTTTCATCTCACCTCGAGACATCACTATGTTGTGTTTTTTCAAAAATGATGATTTAGAATAGATATTATTAAATTTTCGGGTTCAGTGGCTCAGCATATGCTCCTGTCACTGTGTTGTCATGCAAAACACATCCGACAGGAGAGGCAGCATACTTACACACAAAACGTGGTTAGGGTCGCCACAGTGGTATTTTAGATACGGATCGATATCACATCTCGTCGTCGCTTTAATTGATTGAGAAAGAACTATCGAGAATGAGGCTTCTTCTAGTGTAGTAAACCCAGTCCAGGGGTACATCCGTTGACTCTACCGGTTGTCGCAGGGATATTGTGGTCGTGTTGGAAGAAAAATATGGGGTGGGCCGAAAAAAAGGAGTATTTGAATATTTCATCAAACGAAGCACGAGCACCTACTCGCAATAATCAGTCACTTCTGGGCTCCTTCGTTCCGCAAAAAGATGAAGGTTCTCTCGGTGGGCTTGATCTCGAATGACCCAACGCCTGGAACCTTGTTCGGAAATCCAAACGACAAACATTTTTTACTTCTGCGTTAAACGGTTTTCTCAGGTTTATTATGCCTCCAAAGAAATACAAACGTTGTTGATGTTCGCTGTTTAGAATTTCTGCGACACGCCGACGAAGCGACGTTGCTAGACTAGCTCTCCAGTTTTTAGACTAGCCTAGGTGGCTGCTTCTCTCTCTCGGAACGAATTTGACACAGACCAGACCTCTTGGGGTGGCGTTGTTACGAGGGCCGTGGAGCTCGGGATGAAACTACATTAGGTACTGATCGGTAGGCCAAATGTCAATGTCATACAGGAAGGCTCGTGAAAAGAAAAATATCTAGTTCACAAAGCATATTCCCGATAAACCGCAAATTCATTGAAGCCAAGACGTTAAGAGAGAAGCGCACAGCCTTGTCTAAACGAACAATTCTTGCAAGTTGTGTCTCATCCACCTAGAAGTTTTTGACTATCACAAACATTGATTTAGGTCCCAAAAAAACCCAGAACCACTCAGTCACTGACGGTTATAACTATCATAAATCTAATGATACGCTAGTAGAGAGCTTGCTCGTGGTCCCGTCTTCCTAGTTCACAAGTAAAAACACTTCTTGGCGTAGCACAACTACAACACATCTTGCGATATCACGGTCGATAAGTGGATGCAGATAGAATACCCCAAGCAACTTCGCTCTTGCAATGATTCAATGACGTATATTTTCGTAAAAATCGCTTTTGAGTGTGAAATTCCGTATCTCTCCCCGGTGAAGATCTCGGAGTGCACACCAGTGATCATCGATTGGGCGCTCTTGTCTTCGATTCTCCTTGTCCATCTCCTCTACGGATCTGCGATCCGTCGCTTTTTGGTATCGTTTTTCCCCTCTTCCAAGGTCGATAAATGTCGGCTCCGCGATTTCACTGCCTCTTGAATGTCCTCCGCTTGCAGCTTCCTTCGCGCGGCAATTTGCCGCTCCTGCGTACGGACATCGATTGCTTTGCGCAAGGCCTGGTTGCTCGCCAATGAAGGAGCAGGTAGCCGCAGATGGGTACTAGCCGGCGAGGTAGTTTGCCAATTTCGCAACCCCCCCTCAATGGCTTTTAGCTCGTAGGTATGCCCATTTCCAGTCACCACAGCATGAACCATGATTTCCATGGTGATCGCGCACAGGAAATCCTTGGGGATGGGAATAGAGAGGACAGAAATCTCGTCCCTTTTTCTTTGTTGGTCTTCTTCCCTACTAGTGACGATGCTGTCACTATCAGCGTCGACCTTTGTTCTCGTGTACTAGTCGTGAACGTGAGGTGTGGGCTCCTGAATTAGCTACAGGTGCCAAAATAATCCACTTCATCTCCAAACCTATATTTGTTGGGGGTCAGTGTTCAGCGCAGTCATGGGATGCTCAAACAATACTCACAACCGGTGTGTCGCTAGCGTTGAGCTCGTGTTTCTTGCATGATTAAACTCCTGAAAGCTTTAAGTTTAACCTCTCCCGTAATAGGAACAATCTCAACATAGCATTCTCAAACTTGAAAAGTTCGTTCTCAACCTCAAGTTCGAAAAATCATTGTAATCTTATCTCAACGCTCGATGCTATAAAAGTCCATCTTTGAGTGTAGCTTGCTACAGCAATTGTCATCTGGAACATAGAAAGCCGGAAGAGAAGGACTCAGTGCATCTAGCCGTATGCATGGTGAAACGCCGCAGTCTATAATCAGAATCGAGATCTTGATCCTGAGCAACTCTCCATTTTTTGGGAATCGATAAATCACAAGAATTATATCCTTGAGGAGGGGAGGAATAGGACCAAAGCTCCTGGGGGGGGACAACAACGGCTACTTTGCTCCTGCTTGATGAATGGGGTATGTGCCTTACACCTCGATGTCGAGAAAGTAATTGTAGAGTATCCAGTGTGGGAAAACAAGACGAGGCGCGTGTGAGAGGAGTCGAGCTAAGTATAATGTAATGTTGCTACTTCATCGGAGAAGTATTCATACTTCCCACACCACTTTGGGCCTGTGACTCCAACTGCGACTCCAATTGCAAGTCCTGGCTTTCTATCCTGGCGACGCCGCCGCGCTCCTCTTTGCCTCCGTACAGCATTGGTATGAAAGTGGACAAAAGGAGTAAGGGTGGTCTTGGACTTGGGTAAACGAACTAAATTGAGGTATGTGCAGGAAGTAATCCCTTCAAAGCCAGATACAAACTACAAACTATAACGTCAATAAAGCCGACTACGCGCAACCTAACTATGCCTACATACAAAAAATCCTTCCAATCATAATTTGCCACTTGTTTTTCGGCAGTGCCGTTCCGATCACATCCTTCAATGCTTTAGCTTCTCGCTCTTCTCTTTCCTTCTTCAAATCGTCGGTAGCTAGTTCACGGGGGCTCATTTTCACGAGGTCTGATGCCTCTATGTGTTTCTCTTGCACTTCTTTTCTAAGACTTACGTTGGTGCGCAAATTGTGAAGCAGGCTACGTCCAGAAGCTGCGTATTGCTTCATGTCCTGGTAGTGGGAATTGGGAATGAGAACAATAGCTATCATGCTAGTGGCAAGTCTACCTTGTCCTTGTTTCTTCACAGTGAGCACGTTATTGCACATCCCGTTGTACCGATTTATCGATATGACTCGGAAACATAAGAACAACAAGAGTCTGCTCATTTTGACGACTTCAAGAACTACTATCAAATATAAGTACCCCAGCATGATGCTGGAACATTGCTTTCTCAATGCTGGTCGCGATCATCTTCGCTGTGACCACCTCTTCGAATATTGCGGTTAGTTTTTCCACCATCGTCAACCTATAGTCTCCTGTCGCGCGAGGGGCTTTACTAGCGCCTCCACCATTAAGATGCTCGTCCTCTGGCCACGTCCACTGCGCTAGCAATCTTCGCCAAGAATGCTGATGGTGGTCCGATAGAGAACCCTCCACGCTCAAATGAAATGCTGAGGATGATGAAGACGAACTAGACGCTGATGCTCCTGTTCCCCTGTTAGCTGAAGATTTGAAGATGCCGCTTTGCGCTCTACACTGAGCCTTGCATTCTCCTGACACTTGCCCATCGAGTTCTCGAACAGCATCTATCAGATCTCGGGACAACTCCAAGCCACCACAATCGTCGATCGCGCGAGAGAGGAGCGAAGGCAAATTGCCCTCAGAGAATTCTCGTTTTTGGAGGCGGTACCTTTATTCGGTTTCGGATGAAGATGATAAAATTGAAACTGAGTAGCAGTAGCAGTGGTAGTTGGAATTAGTATTAAGTAGAAGTAGTAGTAGTGGTAGTTGGAATTGGTATTAAGTAGAAGTAGTACTAGTAGTAGTTAAGAAAATTGGTGGAATTATCAGTAATATTAAGTAGGAAGACACCAGAGACGCGTCGGATCAGGTCAGTGTAGGTTAGGTTAGGGATCAAGCTGCACATCTCAGATAGCTACATGACAACGACTGGACATGATGAACTAATGCTTGTCTTATTTCCAATTCTAATTTTACTCGACAACGATGTACTTAGACCCACACATAGTAGTAGTGCTTCTAAGAGGTAGCTGTACCTGATATCATCCATTTTTTCGTGGTTCTCGTACACGACACGTTGTGCTGCTGACAGTAGCTGATATCGCTTATTCAGTTCCTCCGACAAAAGTTCTATGCTCGGATCCGACCCCTTCTTTTCCCGGTACTTCCTTATCAACGTGTCCCTCGTCGCTTTACAGTAAAAGACGTAGGCGGTGCGTGCCTTAATGATCTTTTTTGACGGTGCTGACGCATGGTTGGTCGTACTACTGGAGCTGGGCTTGGCTCTCTTAAGCGACTTTCCAGATGAAGCAGCGGGTGGTGGTCCGCCAGAGGATGTGCTGGATGAGGTACTGCTGCTCATCGACGATGATGGCGACACCGACGACTGCGACGGTTGCCCTATAGCGGCGCTCGGTAAGGCAAGTTTCCGTCTATCCAAAGACACACCGGTTGAAACAGCAGCATTCTTGTTCGGCTTCTTTTTGCCTGCCGCTGATGACGCTGCTTTACTACTTTTCGCTTTGCTTCCCCGAGCGGGCGTGGAAGCCTTGCTTTTCGACCCTCTGGCAGGAGTCTTTGACTTCTTGCTTTTCTTAGCCGTCTTTGATGCCGGCTTGTTCTTGCCACCACTCGCAGGTTTCTTTTTGGGCGGCATTTTTTTTGCTCTATTCGTCTGATGGACTTGATGCAACAGAGAATGAGAATGTGTTGCAGCACGAAGGTTTCACGTTAAATGGTCACCCGTAGATTAATCAATTACGAGAATTCAAAATTTTCTTCCTAGAACCATCTTATTGAAAATCGAAATCGCTACAACTACTGCTTCTTCTAACTCCCAACTGTAACCACTCTTGTAACAAGAGTTCCTTTCATGGTGTGGAAAAAGCATTTTAATTTTGTGAGGACTCAATATTACGACGATTTCAATTATATTGCTCTAGACGATTCCAATTCTGAGCAGCTTCTAGGACAAGTAGGCGGCTCGAAAGGGTCCAAGGATCTGAGGTAGTTTGTGAAGGAAGATTGATTTGAGCAGACCGACATCGCAATAACTATGTACTTTACAGACGATAGTCGTTTCCGACGATGGTACATGTCGTTATCTTCGTTCTAGGGAATCCACGATGAGGTCTTTGGTGGTACTCGATCAAGACACAGATGAGAGAGCTCTTTATCACAAGGTATCAACCTCGTCAACCGAATTTCATGTACGAAACGATTGGTCACCCTGTAGAATCCAGACTCAGTACATCTTCATGCTGAAAAGAGAAAAACCCGAATAAGTAATAGTACGAAGCATGGTATGTCATGTCATGGAACCTCGTATGGATCAATATGCAATTCATTACGTTCAATACATGACTCTTCATCCACTATCAACTTCCTTTACGTGACTGCAAATACTGATCATGAATTACTTCACTTTTCCACGAGGGAGGTACAAGTACAAGTACAGCCTTCTTCAATTACTTCATACTCATCATCACTAAAAAACAAATCCATGCTAAAAGTCATGCATTGCGCACTTGGATAAATTCGCGCACGCAACAGTTGACTCGTTCTCTCGATAGCTTCTAGGTCGGAAGTAAATATGTCATTTTCTCATTCACGTCAAGATACCTGTTCGTCATGCTGTTTGTCATCGTCCTATGTGTAATAAGCGTTCCCAAATTGGATATTATAAGGTTACGGATTTTTGTGATTGAGCATTTCAAATTTGGACTAGAGCAAGGACTGCTGTAAAAGGAGTCCTAACTTATCCTCCCCACAATTAGAGTTCTTTCCTCTAAAAGTGTTCGACTGATTACATCTTTCCTTCTCGTTGTTTTCTACTTCTTTCCCTCTGAGAATATCATCTACAGTATCCAGCAATTTCCCAGCTAGGATTCCCACTATAGTCTCGGCCATCGTCCACCTCTTAAGATTTCGCGTACAAGCCTCTCACATGCAGCAGAATCGTAGCGAGAATGCGGTAGATGAGAAGAGGCGCCACCAGCAAAGCGAAATCCTTGAAGTTATCGTAGCCTGGAGTAGCTTTTGCAGCTTCAGCAGGTTCGAAAAACTCCTTTGGCCACGCCACTCCCTGCAACGTCAGCGTATCACGCAAGACTTGGGTACTGTCAGCGGGCATATTGAACTGGAGTGCGGTTCCAGGAACCTGTGGTGGCGTAGAAGTTGTAGTATTCCCAGTTGGATCTCTCGATGGATTCTGTTGTAGCGCAGCTGCCGGATCGAAGAACTGGATGTGCTTGGCAACGTTAAGACCCTGTAGCTCAGAACGCAAAGCGATGTTCACGGCAAATTTGACACCGAACAAATATTTCATCGGGTCCACCCACGAAAGGACGTATGTGACGGGAAAAAAACTGCCTGACGACATGAACTCCAAGGTGACGATCAAAGCGAGCAAATTGATGGCTTCCACCACGCGGCCCGTGCCTGCGCCGATGAGCAAAGCGATACTACTCGTAGCCAAGCCCAAGCAGGAAGATGTGAGCCAGAGGACGCCAAATTCCGCGTAGACGCCAATCGTTGCGCACATCAAGCCCAGCACAATTGCTGTACTCAAGATTAAAGGAATTAGCTCAATCAGGAATTTGGAAAACACGTATGCGACAACGTTGTACATGCGGCTGCTATACTCCCTGAGAAAGACCGCACGTTCGCTCGGAAACGACACAACCACAGGCAAAGCATGCAGGAATCCAACGGACAGGTTCACTAGAATGATCAAGCTGACACGACCTTGAACAAAATCAGTGTACTTTTTGACATCCGGAGGACTGTTCGGACCATTACCTGTGCTTGTACCAGCAGCATCTGCAAGAACTTCGCTATTCTTGGAGCGGAAACGGTACCAAAACAACCAATAAAAAATCGGCATGGCGGTGGAGCAGAGCAAGCGAAGAATCAAGGAAGCGGTGTCTCGATAGAAATTGCGAAACTCGCGACAAGTGAGCAACCACGACTGCTGAAACCAATTGGCTCCTTTCAAGCGACGGGGCAGATCCTTCTTCATGGCCATCAACTGGGCTTTGCTACCATTCTCGTCCTGCTGATCAATCTTCGCGCTATAAAACTCCCGTTCCCGTCGACAAGCCTCTGTAAAGGTTTTCCTGGTGGCAGCTTCCATCTTTTCTTTCTCTTCCTCTGTAGCAGTCTCCGCCACATGAATCAGCCATTCGGCTAAAGAATAGCCCAACGGCAGGGGACGACCAATAGCTGCCAGGGTTTGAACCACCGTCGTCTCTTCGGCGTCTGTGTAGCGTTCCTTGTTGAGGTCGGTGTTCTTCTGAGTCTGATCGTCAGAATTCATTTGATCAGCCCCATCGAGTTTCAGTACATTCTCAATTGCAGCAGCTTGCAGTCGTGCTGTCCCCAGAGAAGATCCTTGTCTTTCTCCGTAACCGTATTCGGGTACATCTGCATCTTCCGTATCTGTAATAGCACCCATTCCCAAAGGCCCGTGTAGCAACACTCTGCCGGTCTGGAGAAGCAACACGCGATCAAATTGGGACATCACGCTCACCGACGGCTGATGAATCGTGCAAACCACAGTTGCGTTTCGGGCACGTGCGTATAGGTGAAGGAATTGCAGCAATCGCAGTGCGCTTCCAGCATCCAAGCCACTTGTCGGCTCATCTAAGAAAAGCAAAGTCGGATCGGTCACTAATTCCACAGCAACGCTGGCCCTCTTGCGCTGACCACCGGAAACCCCTTGTTTCAGTGCGGAGCCGATTTGAACGTGCTTACAGTTCTCCAAGCCCAGCACTTCCAAGATATTGTTGACTTTTTTCTCGGCTTCTTCTTTGGACAGGTCAGGACGGCGTAATTTGGTACTGAAGCGGACAGTCTCTAAGACGGTTTCCGTAGGCAGTAATTCGTCATCTTGCATCACATAGGACGTAGCTGTCTGCAGAGTGGTGAATAGCTTGTTCTTGTCTTGTTGTACGTTTTGTTGTTGCAACATGACCTTGTTGGAACTGGAAGCACCACGACCCTTAGGCTTAGCAGACTGGGAATCCTTGTCCTTGTCAACACGAATACCAAGCAAGGGATCTCGGTCTTCATCGCGGTTCTGCTTTGTTCCAAGTCCAATATCCACCCTGGCAGCAGGAGACCTCTCAATGATGGCCATGGAAGAGGAATTTTCTTGTTCCTGAAGAATATGATCATGAATATGATCTTCATCTTTAATTTCGTCGTAAACTTGATGAGCTTCATCGTCCTCCTCTATAATATCGTCCTCCAACGGTCCAGCCTGGATTTGTGCTTCCTCCACATTGAGGCGTTGAAACCAACGTTGACGCGCAGAGAGCACATTCAACAGCGTACTTTTGCCAGAACCAGATCCGCCCATAATGGCGCACACTTCGCCAGGACGGAAACGGCCGAAGCAGCTGCCGAGGATCTGTTTGTCCTTGATGCGGTAACTAACATTTTGAAAGCCGAGACCAAGTTCCGCGAAGGATTCCGCGTTGTTTAACGACATCTTGTTGTAGTTGATCACGCGTAGTTCTTGTTGTGCACTTTTTAGCTTGATCACTCGACCTCGAAAACACCGTGGTCCGTAGTTTGGCTCTTGTGATCACTGATTCGGGGTACTATTTTCTTGTTTTTCTTCCAGATGCTGTTGTACTTCCACGTGGCAGTGTGTGTAGAAGCTCTTGCAGTGCTGGTACGTAGTTTCTTGTTGCTATCGTGGTTGTGGATGTTCTTCTTTCGTACGAGCTGTATAATATACCTTACTTTTCTATGTAGTGTTGAGAATCAAAACAATCTATTATGGGTATCATTTAATAATGAATAGAGTCAAAAAGACAAAGAGAGTGGGGAAATAAACCAATGAATTTTAATTTGGCGAAAACTAAGGGAGAAAAATGTTGGTAGATGTGGTCAGGAAGTCTAGTACAGGCTTTTTCTAAGTAACGAGGAGAAGGAAATCATAACGTTTAGCGTAAATTCGGAAACAGAGCCAAAAAACCTGAAAAGAGTTGCAGTACGTTATTAACAAGGATTATTTGTGGAACAAGAATATACTTGAGGCTCAGACACGAGTGTGTTATTGCTGCCAATTCCAGAAATCTATTTGTCCTCCGTAGTACTTTTTAGTTACTACTACCGAGAGTGCAGACTGTGGTAGGTCTTTCATCTAGTATTTTCGAACCGGAACAACTTAGACTTTTGAACGAACGGATCTTTTGTGTGGTAGGTCCCGTCTTTCATCAAGTAATTTCGAAGTAGAACAACTTTCGAACGAACGGATCTGTTGCTGCCTGGAATTTTCTTTGTCGATCCTTATCAAAGTGTCTGGATCTTCGTCAATTTAGATCTTTGTCAACGATCATCTGGTTTTTCGTGAAGATCAATGCTTGTTTTATGGCAATTTTCGACACTACCCAGCTTTCAAGAAGAAGGGAAGACGAAGAGCTCCCACATTGAATGATGAGATGCTGATGCTGCAAGTGAAAGTGATGATGTGCCTGGCAAAAGCAAGAGGTGCGTTAGAAAATTTAACGCTCACGCTGTACTGCAGCTTTGGTGAAGAAGGGAATACACAATGCGATCAATCAAACTTCAGTACGCGCTTTACGTTAAGAAAGTCTGAATTTTCTGTCTCCCGCTGTCGCTTTCTTCTCGTTTCTGATGTGTCGATCTCATCAACGCCTCCTCGTGACGCCACAATCGGAGTCAAAGCTGTTGTCGTCGAGGGTTGAAAGACTTTGCCTGGTGGCCCTGGTTGTACTGCTGAAGCTGATGCGCTGATGAACATCCTACCACCTTGTAGTGGTGCAACTGCTGTTGTCTGTAACACATTCTCCGCAGATCCTGGAACGATCTCGTTCCTTGGGGTTTGCAACATCCTCCCTCCTGTGGTTTGTATAGGCTGAAGAGCGCTGGCGGTACTACCGTTATCGTATCGTCGGATATTAGACACGAGTGATCGATTCCATTTGTTCGCAGATTCCATGTCCCCCTCTCCACGACATGCCAAAACAACGTCACGCAAAAGCAGCGCATCTGATAACGCGCGATGAGGCCGTGTCCATCGGGCTGTTGTGTCCGTGTCTTCTGATAATATTGATATTCTAGAGAAGCTTAAGCTGTTTTGCCGGACAAGGCGTGTGTCTTCTGACAGTCTAGCAACTTCTTCGGGTGTTTTGGAAAAGCTTTTTTGTCTGATATCAAGGTCCGTGCTTCCTGCGATGTCGTCTGGCGTTTTGGAAAAACTTTTTTGTCTGCCAAGAAGGTGTGTATTTTTCCGTTGCCCTTGTCCTTCACTTGCTAGCGGACTGTGGAATTCTTGAGATGAACGACCACCACTTCCGCTCATTTGACTGGGAGACCGTGCTTTTCCAGGAGCATAATCCGCACGACTAATTCCCAAACGGAGTCCAAGACACCCTAATTTCCGACACTCTATGTCGGGACGCGTGTCGCGTACAATCTCTGTCGAATCCAGAAAGAAGAGTTCCCTTTTGAACCGCTCAAGCTCTTTCGTCATTTTATTGCGCGCCATCTCGTGATACAACACCTGGACGTCAAATCTGTGGCCATTGTGAGCTACAAGACAGAGAGGTCCGGGAAATTGGTCCAGGAAGTCGAAAAATCTACGGATCATAGCTGGAAATGTCGCCCTTGACCTCCTTGTTGATGTTGATGTGCCCTTAAACTTAATGTTGTTATCCTCCGAGACGACTCCGTCAAGCATCACATTCGTGATTCCGCTCACATTAGGTTCTACAATATTAGAGCCTCCCCAAAAAATTCATCTTCGAGTGCATGATCTTTGTAGTGTGTTTCCACTTGAAAGCACGTCAAAGATGCCGCTTACTAAGTGCTGTTGCCACAGATACCAAACATTTTCTAGAAGTTTTTTTTTGATAAGATGAATGAAGGTAAACATGGTAAGTCATAACAATAGGCGCTCCCGGATGCACCAGGTCTTCGAAGAAGTAGTCTACTGCACCATTCGGGTCTCCACCTCTCCTGTTTGAAGAACGCACTGTTGCGCCAATTTCAGTGACGCGCTCTATCGAGACATCGACTTTACCATCTTGTATGTGAGCTTCAGACTGCAGACGCCCAGTCTCGAGGTCGTAGTATACCAAGGTAACATTGTCGAGGAAAGCACTTGTAGCTGCAGTTGTCTCCACGTCTGCTCGGCTGCATCGTCTCAAAGTTAGTAGAGCCTACCCATATCCATCTTGGGATTCCTCTCGGATCTGTTTTTCGCTTGCGGAACAACAGCTCTGTGAGAGTTCTTCGGGGGAAGGATGGATTAGAGTTCTTCCGTAACAAAGGTAATCCAGGAGGCAGATGGTAGCAGCAATACCGCTCGCCGCGCAGTAGGGGTGCCACCGCCAGTTCTCCCGCTTCCGTTCTCAGTGTCGAATAAATATGCAGCTGACAGGGTTTGCCGCTTTTCGCAATACCTGCACACCTAGCCGTAAACCGTTCGTCGGTTGAGATATGCCGCTCACAGAAACGGTAGCCGTCGTGCAAACTCCGACAATACTTTGGGAGGTCGACTTCCGGAATTATGCCCAACGCATTGGCGATACGATTCTGACAATCTGGGAAAGCGCATTTACGTGGCAAAGCTCCTGCCGCTTCCGTGATTTTTTGATGGTTCTCATCAGTGATCGACCGACTCAGAGTCGGGTTTTCCTTACTGTACCCGATCGACATCGTCATGGTCATGTTCTTGTGTATTTTCAATGGAGGAGGTCATAGGAAATGATGTGTAATCATGGAGGTCGAGTATATTTGGTAGTTGTAATACACGAACCGGCGCGTCATTTTATGTTTGTAAAACATCAAAATTCTCATTCAAGTATCTGCTTATGATGTGCTTCTGCTCGTATCAAGAGCCGTCCTCCGAGGATAAAAATTTTGAAAGTATACTATAAGTCGATGGGGGTTTGGTTATCTCTCATCATGACAAATACGTAGCCGCAGGGTGGGCAACTCGAGCTCACAAAAAGATGGGGTACCACGATCAATCGACGAGATAGGAAAAAATGAATATCTTCACAGGCGATTCATTCTCTGTAAAAATTAGATAAATTGATGAGAGATGAAGAGAATTTGTAGCTCACAAGACTTTCGCGTGCGCTCGTCTGTGCGACATCTCTCTACTCCATCTCTCTAGTAGTAAGCTAACTTTTAGTAAGGGACCTTTCCGTTTTTTTTTAGAACAGGCACAGGAGGATGCATGACGCAATACAATACAGCACAGGAGTGCCACTTATCTCGCACATAGTTCAGTGCAGACTGCCTACTGGTAGTTATAAAGCCTGAATGTGGTTATATTCCTATCGCACAGTGATTCCTCGTCAAGATTTCGGAGTAGAACTGTTGAGAATAGGGAAAAATATCACGCATTCCTTCATTCATGTTGTTGTACCTAACGCGAGGTTGTGCTCAGGGGAGAAGTTTGCAATGGGGGTGGGCAGGAGCGTTTTGCATGTTCATGTTCGGGACATTTCCAGACACTGTGCAGACGTCAAAGAGCATGGATGATCACGATCATAGTTTTTTTGGTGGACAACATGGTCAAAAGGTCATCCTCGACGAATTTTCATTGCGAAAGAAGACGAGACTATTTCACGCATAATCACATGGCATCTACTTTGACTGCTCTTCTCCTGTAAGACGAAGCAGATGAAATTGCGCTTCCCCAAATAGCGCCACTTTTGGTCTACGAATCATTTTTAGAACTACAGCAATCTAATGACGAACGACTAGACCTGATTAACTAAAGCGCAATTATGAACTGTTTGTTACTGTTTTAAGCACTAGTACTGTAGACAAATACTCATGTCCTCGGGTGCTCCCCGAATCGTTTGATCATTCTCTCCTGGTATTTCTACTAGAAGAAGATGAAGTACGCGAAATACACGAGCAAAGAGCATGGATGTTGCAAAAAAAGAACCAAGCATGAGGCTGCTCCAGCATGATGTTGAAGCATGACGCTGAAGATGGTGCAGCATGGTGACTACAAGATGACTCTGTACTAGAGTGCTCTTTTGAAGAAAATTAGGAAAGTGTAGGAGTAGGCGCAAGATCATCAAGTAGCAGTAGTCGTGTAAGCAGTCTAGACGTATAAAAGAAAGTGAAAATATAATGCGCAGCCTTAAGATGATGCTCGGCGTGAAGTGATAACAACTTGTCTTGCAATTTCCGAAGTTTTTGCCTCAGCTCCGCCAAACGATACGATTAGAGTAAGACTGTGCTACTATTTTCAGCTATTTCACATAAGGAACTGTGAGCATAAAAGACCTCTTCCGTGGTTGAGAATGAGAGCTGGAGCCATAGTTGACCTTTATCATAATCAGCTTTGAAGCGGAGACAACAGTGCAAAAGATCGCACAACTACCTTAATAACATTATAAATGAATATGCTGTACTAGGCCCATTAATTAGCAGGTAATATCGAACTTAGTCGTTGAACTTAGTTCATTTGCTAAGCAAAAAAGGTTTTTTGAGTTATTGTTATTATGCTTTAGGTTAGGATATATTGATACTCTTAGCCTAGTAGCAGGTGGTAGTATTATGTGGAGTATTATTTGAAAGAAGACCACGACAGCCAACGTATTGATTGCAGAAAGAGCCTATTGCCTGCTTTTTGTTGGATAACTTATCTGTGGCAAAGAGACAGAATTCTAACCGTCTTATACTAGCATTGATTGATTGGCATCCCTAGTAGTACTCCTCGACTACCGGCGGGACGATGCCAATCATTTCTATATTTATCAAACTCAAAATATCAGCGGTATCCTTATTAAAGCTCAGCATTCAATGGTCACTGATGCTGAACGGAAGAGACCCCCTTTAAAGCTCTCTCCTTTCCCTTCCTTTTCCCCTGTTCTCCAAACGGGTCGCTTCTTCGATCTCAGTGACCAACCCCAATGACCATTGAAAGCTGAGCCTTAACCTTACCAGTATCGCTCTTATCAATCTGAGTGTATACTTCTCAATCTCATTCTCGTAGTCTTGTTAGCACTACCCCGTCCCCCTTCCTGGGGCGTGAATGGGCTGTCCCGTCCTTTCCTTCTTGGATACCCCGTCCCCCTTCCTGGCCAGAGCTGTAGCCCCTTGTTCCTGGCTAGAGCTGCAGCCCCCTTCCTGGTGTGTGAATAGGCTTCCCCGACCCTCCCCCTTCTTGGCTACCCGGTCCCCCTTCCTGGTTAGAGCTACCCGACCCCCCTTCCTAGGTTAAACTCGAAAAACTGAAATAAGCAAGTAAATGACTAGAATAACGCAGAAGAAGATAGTACTGACACGAGAGTAGCCTTGTACTAAAGGCAGCTCTCGTATTGCAGTCACTAGCTCGCATATTTTCAGTTTTTGAGTACCCCGTCCCCGCTCCTAGGTTAGGGTTCCTTGGCAAGACGAAAGAGAAAAACCAATACCAATCAATTATCAAGAAGAGGCAGTACAAAAAGAAAGACAGTCAATTAGGCGCATACTCAGCAACAGAAAGACGAGAAGGGCCTACAGACAAGGGCATATACTACCCGGACAGTCAGGGCGCATACTCAGTAGCAGAAAGATAAGGGCCTATAGCATAAGCCCTTTCAGACAAGGGCTTAATAAATAGTACCTAGACAATTAATAAGGGCGCATACTCGCACGGTAACAGAAAGATAAAGTTAAAGATAGACTCCTTTAGAAGTAGGGTTCACAAGAAAAGGTAGCTTTAAAATTGCAAGTCAGCGTTACTCTCCTGCTGCGTGGCGAGCTCTATCCTCTGTTCTTCGATCTGGGCATGCTCGACCAGCGTCCAGTTGTCGCTCCTTTCCGCTCTGATTTTACAACTTAGAGCATATCATCTGTTACACAGCAAGATAGCGGTCTTGTTACTCAGTAGGCCGTCACCCTGCAATACTGCATAGATTTGAAAAACTGAAATAACCAAGTAACTGATAAGAATAACCGAGACACTGAAGGAAGGGCTGCCTTTTAAAGATGCCTCCCCTACTTCAGTCAGCATATCGGCGATTTCCAGCTTTCGAGTAAGTAGATTCGATTAGAATACGGCTTCCACCGCCGCCCTTGCGATATACTTACATATGTGCCAGTGACTAGGTAGGATTTCATATTTACCACTTCTAGGTAGGGGCATGTAGTAGTAGTAGCGTGCCCAGTCTAGAGGTATAGAAGACTTCCATTCAATTATGCGTCCACCTTCTTCCCCTTGCACTTCACCAGATGAGGTCTGTAGTAGGCAGCCCTTTTTGATTGCTGCCGAAGGGTCGCCGTTCGCTGACACAAGTCAACTTGCCATCTCTCGCACTTTTTGCAGCCTATTTTTGTTCGCTCTAAGTTGGCATGTGTTACATATGATGATGGGGCATGTAAACTACAATACAGATTCAAAACTGGTGGCGCTACTGCTAGGTAGATGATCTATATTAACGCTAGATATTACTGCGGAGACCCTTCTACCTTCATATGTACTTATTTGATGTTAAGATCGGTTTCTCCAACTGTACCTAGGAAGAGTTACATCATTACCCAGAGCTGCAGTACGTAGGAATACCTACATCATGACACAGTGAATTGTGACAGGGTCCTTGGAAGTTCTTGAATAAAGATGACCACAGTGCACTCATGGATATGAATTATGGGGCATTCCCCATAATTGAATATGAATTATTTCTGTTTGTGTGGATTCTTAACTTCCTTCTCGCTACTTCTCTCTCGAGGCTTGGCAAAGTTGTCTGCACCATGTGCTGGGTCGTCTGTGTCTTAGAAAAGTGTATCATCGCACAGGGTGATCAGCCTAGTGGCGGCACTAGTCGGAGCAGTAGGGCGATTCGTACGACTTAGGAGCAGTAGGGTAGGAGTAGTAGCAGGACAATTGGCTAAAGACTAGAGAAATCCTTCTTCAGCACCGTCTTGGGCCTTCTTTTCCCTTTAAAAACACGACCAAGATGCCTGCTACGATGGATTTCCTGTAGCCTTAATATATAGTAGTACGATCATGAGCAATAGGAGTAGTAGGACGAGTAGCAGGACCAATAGTACGATCATAAGCAGTAGGAGTCTTAGGACGAGTAGCAGGACCAATAGTACGATCATGAGCAGTAGGAGTCTTAGGACGAGTAGCAGGACCAATAGTACGATCATGAGCAATAGGAGTAGTGGGACAAGTTATAGTAATAGTGGTGGTTAAAAACTCGGCCCCCCGTGAAAAGCCACATTGAGCGAGTCGGTTGATTAATTGCGTCGAGAGTATGCTTCTCAAGGGCGTTAGCACTCACGTTTGCAGCACTCATGCGAATAGTCCAACGAGATCTTCTGGAGCTGTGCTTAGTATGGTTCATAAGCTTGATTCTCTTTATCACGGCCGGCATGTCCTTCGGGTCTGGCAGCGACTATGAAAGCGGGAAAAGTGGGAACTTCAACTTCTTGCACGACTGTAATACCCTTCTATTGATGTTGGCAGCTTCCTGTCACATTGCTGCGCGTACTTATCTATAATTGAGGAGAAAACTCAGACAAAGACCGCAAAGGAAAGCTCTGGACTGTATTCAGTCGCTCCGGTCATGATAAGAAGCCGGAGAACGCTCGCCGCCTATTGAGCTCCTTCAAGGAAAACCCTCCCACAATTGCGAGCGAAGAACCTCGGGCACGCTCCAAATCCCCGCGCCCCTCCAGAATCCCAGAGCACACATTTGCCGCCTATTGTCCTGGACTCTGGAGAGGCGCGGGGAAACACATGACAGAAAGGCTAAACGCACAAAAACCGAGAGCAACAAAGTGACGAACATCGCTAAGCGGACCACTTCCGCGACCGGGAGGAGACAATATTGGCCGACTTTGTGCATGCTTAGTTGACTTAGCGCCTAAGTGTAACATAGGAGCCATCATGCAACGCCAAACAGTGTTCGCTGCCATTCTCCAGGAAAATTTTTCATCTCTTTATGAGAAGTGACACCGAGTCAACGAGCAGGAGTGGTTGTTCTGGTGGTGCTCTTCAAGAAGTACGCAAATAAAAGCTGTTTCGCAAGTACTTGAATAAAACTCAAACTGTTTGAAGTTCTTCAAAAGTGTTTATTTCACTGTATATCAATTCACAGTGATGTCAAACACAGTAAAAGTATTGCTTGTATTATTTAACTGTGACACAAGTTAGTACACAGTCATTTGGATATCAATTCACAGTGTACTTTGACGCAAAAATATTGTTCTCAAATAAAAGCTGTTATTCTAATGAGCAAGTTCTCAAATAAAAGCTGTTTAACGCGAGGGCGTAGTTTGCATATGAAATGAGAATTACTACTAGTGCGGTGCGTGCTGGGTGCATTGAGATAGAGATAGAAAAAGATCATGGGTAGTAGGGAAGGAACACCATGAGGCTGAATAAAAAGAGCCACCAGGCGGGTCTAGCAGAGGGCTACTGATAGATTGCTTGCGAAATTGAGTAGGGTCGGTCTGGTCGTGGGGGGGAATGCCACACGCGCACGAGGGGGCAGCGTTTCAAAATAAAGTGCGCGAGAAGACAGAGCAGCGCACTCGCTGAAGAAAATGGAAAGGGCACGCCGCCCGAAAACATCCGGCGAAGAAAATGCAAAAGGATGGGGCACGCCTGTCGGCCCTGCTATTCTGTGGCGTGAGTTCTTTCAGTATGGCGCAGCGCGCGCCTTCGCCTTGGCCTTCGCTTTGCCCTTGCTTTTCCTTTCTTCAGCACCTCCTTCGCCTGGTGCTCCGTTTGCAGCAAAAACAGCGCCAGGAGGAAGCTCTCCTCCTTGACCCGCAACACCAGCAACAGCACCACGCGGGAAAGAGAGGCGGGCACTTCTTACGCCGTTGCAAGTGCAACAGCATGGAGATCGGCCACCGGCGCTGGTGCTGTGGTGGGAGAGGCGGGCCTCCTCCGCAAAGAGCCGGCAACCACTCACAAGGCGGACACTGAACAGGCGCCCAACCAATAGCAGGCAGCACATTTCGGATGACAGACGCATAGTCAGCCTCATCGGTTGCCCATCTTTGAGACATGCGGCCGCAAGTGTTGCGCGTAGCATCTTCCAAACCGAACCAGCGCCCAGGCTTCAAGTCTCCACATGTGAGACGACACGCACGCAACCCAAGACCTTGAACGTGCGCCGTCTTCTGTTCCTCTTGGTTGTTCTTCTCCTCTGTGCAAGCAGATAGAGAGAAGCCCGACAACTATGATAGGGCACGGCCCTCTTGCATGGTAGACCGGTGCGCACTCTGCTACGCTCTGTGTCTCTTGTCGATCATGGTCCAAAAGCTGACAACTTCCACGATAGAGCGGCGCGAGGTGATGACCAAAAGTCGTGACATCCCGAACACCATCAAGGAGAAGCACTGGCAAGCGCGTGCGAAGGAGTGCGCGCACTTTGCGGAGTTCGACGGTGAAGAGGTTGGAAAAAGGTGCCAACATGTAAGGGGGTCACAAAGGGGTAGAAAAATTATAAGGGGTCGCCTGCTTCATAAGGGGGGGGTTGTAAGGGGGGGCTGTAAGGGTGTCGCAAGGGTCTCAAAGGGTATCGCAAGGGGGGGGCGTAAGGGTCATAAGGGTCGGCTCGACGGTTCAAAGGGGGGGGTAAGGGTATTATAACGGTAAGATAAACTTTGTTATTAATATATATTAATCAACCCTGTTCATCTGTAGTAGATGACTAATGGTAGTAGAAGATGCGCGGGCGAAAGCTACAACTGTTGAGCAGGGATTGTAGTTTTTTGAACGTAAAGGCTTTCCGCCACGCTGTCTTTTTAGCTCAGCAAGCTTCTCCTCGTGCTGGGCTATCACGTACATTAGCGCCATTCTAGAATAGGAGGATAGGAGTCGACTTACCTTGCGCCTAGGAGAGGCCGATAGGGTAACCCTGTATCTACTTCCGAAGATAGAATGCGTATCAACATTCACTATCTCTTCTTCTATTACAACGTGGTAGTAGTTGTGCGTCTCTAGAAGTAGTAGCTAGTAGCTGTAGTAACAGTGGCTTTGGGAGTTAACCTCCTATCTCGCGGCGTAATTAATAGCAGAAGTGCGGCAGTTGTGATAGATTGGACAGACGACTGCAATGTACTTTGCATCATCAGCAATATCAGCTATGCACAACTGCATTTGTACGCTTTGCATGTTCGCCAACATCCTGTAGAAAAAAATAAGTACTCTGCAAGTCTTGCAGACTATTTCTACTTTGTTTCTACGGGATCTTCTTGAAGAAATCAGTGGACTAGTGGCCTGCGCTTGATGTTCAAAGTAGTACTAGTATCTCTGTAGGACAACTGGAACTGCTCATATGATATAACAATCGTCAACAAAGAAGAAAGTCAGTAGACTCTAGTGGTAGTGGTGGTGATTGTCATCACCTGGAGAAACTATGTATAAGTAAATGTGAAGCAATGAGAGTTATGTGGCGCTCGTAAGTGTCGGCTCCACCGCGAGTTGGCCTCGTATGCTTGTGTCTTAGAGAGGCTACGAGGACGACCCATCTCGTCCATCGTCCAAGCAGAACTGCATTTTCAGAATCGTCTTCGCCTGAGACATCCGACTCTCTCTCTGTCACGAGTATTGTGTCATGTGTGTGTCCCTGTCGCGGTTTTTACAAGAAAACCTAAGCGTTTTTTCTTTTTTTGCGTTAGGACTATATGCAACCGCCCTTTCAAACGATCAATTAACATGTTCAACTATTGTCTAAGAGACAATATCGCACAGAAGTTATGGACTAGCCACCCCCCGTGTGATTATCAATATTATTATTGTTATTATCATTATTATTATCATTACTGTCACAAGTATTATTTTCAGGAAGGAAAAAGGACAACTGTTAAGAAACTTTTTCTTCTATACCACCCGATTGGGTACAGTACTACTACAAACTCATTCAAATTCATTCATCACTACAGTATTAGTAGTGGTTTACCCATTCATCTGGGGGTAAGTTCAACAAGAGGGGAGAGGTTGAGATTTTCTTTACCTGAGAGGTCGTCTACAGCAATCTCGATTTAGATTTACTCGACAGCTCATCCCTTGCCCTTCGACATCTTCTATACAGCTATAGTGGTGCTAGTTTCCTGCACCAAAGTTGAAAAACATCAGAGTTTTCTTCTTAATCAGTAACTGGGTCACTTCTTTCCGCTTTTCGTCCCAATCTTCTTTGGCAGTAAATTAGAGAGTTGAAACAGCCACAAACTTATCCTCATTCGATGTATGAGGCTACTCTAATATTGAAAAAAGTTCATGCATAGCTAAAGAAGGATACTAATATATTTATAAGGAAGGATTGAATAAAGTTCATAGAAGGATTGAATAAAGTCTATGGATAGGATACTAATAAAATCCATACGCATCCCCATCGGACTCTAATAAAATCGATCCGATAAAAATCGAGTCTATTCTTGTTAACCGAACGAAAAAGGGAGCTGAGAGGTAGCGGATGCCTTTTCTTTCCGATCATATTCTCACGGTCGAAATCTTTCAATGTAGGTCAGAATAGATACAGGCCACCATACAGGCCAAGTACAAGCAGAACTACTGTTCTTAATGGATTTCGTCATTCCACGGCTTGTCCGAAGTATATTCTGCGTCCGCTTCCAGATGTCTGAGATTAGAGGACAGCCCCACTAGGGTGGAGTCCACGCTAATGCAGCAACTATTCTCAATCTCAAGTAAAACTGCATTACTCAACAACAACAGTCATTATAGAAGGAGCAAGATAGAGAGTGGGAGATAGACAATGGGAATACGTAGGATTCATCAGAAGGAGAGTGACACATTAGAAAGTACGCAAAAGCCATATTTTGATTGGAGGGAATGACCTAGGATGATTTTGAGGACTAACCTAGTACTTATCTCCAAGTACAAAAAAGTAATAAAAAAGTGAGTATATGAAAAGTGACGACTCACTTCTACATCAATATTGTTACTGTGTGTTAGTTCATGAGTCATAAGGAGACGTGAGACCTCTTGTTCAAGCCGCTCTCGTTCGGCTTTAAGGTCCTGTTCTTTTTTCTTAGAAAGGATAAGAGTGCGACACATGCTCCTTGTGCTGTCTTGAGAGTAGTCCCTGTGCTCGATAGACTATTATCCACAGGAAAAGAATGATCTAGAGTCACAGTGTGAAGATGAACAACACTTCTAGTAGAAATGTGAAGAGTGGGTGTTGAAAAACAAATCGCAAGAAGAACATGAAGAATGATATTGAACAATACGAATACTGTGGCCAAAGCCATGGTGGATGTAGCGTTGATGCGCTGTCTTCAACACGAGCTACATAGAAAGTAATCATGATTATAGTATAATATCTTCTAGTTCTATCTTCTCTTCCCGTGCGTCCTCCAATCGAAAGCTGCAGAAGTGTCTCTACTTCTACAACAAGAAGAGCAAGTAGATCCGTGTCCATCTCTCATGAACAGTGATGAACAAGAACAACAACTGGATCCATCCTTCATCTTGTTCATAATTTTCACCAGCTCCGCCAGTTCATGGTCTTGGTCGTCCAATCGTTAGAGGTAAGGACTCTTTTCTGCATAGTGGACTGATAGCGAGAATGGGATCGTAGGCGATAGTAGATAGTGCTGAGAGTGGGATAGTAGATAGTGAGAATGTTGAGATAGTGGATAGTGAGAATGCACTGGTTGTAGATTGTGAGCGCAGTCGGCTCGTCCCCTGAGTAAACCGACACTCCTGATCCCGAGCAATGTGGTGGACTGAAGTTGACACTGAGGATGCTTCCAGACCTACCGTGAGGAGTAGCCGATAGACTGCTGATATTAAAATATATGGATTGGAAAAGAACTATTCCATTAGTCCACTTGTCGCTGCTGTAATAGTCTTCTATTAATAATGTCTACTATACTTCCTTCAGCCAGGAGTCTTAACCTTCGGTCTGCTCTGGGGAGCGAGGAAGAGGCAGTGGCGTCTCTATTTTCACAGGGCTCTCTGCGTCTGTCACTGAGGGCTGCTCCATTTTTTAGAGGTTGCAGCATGATTCCAATCTGCAGAACATCCCTGCTCACCCCTTTCCTACTGGAAAAAAAGTGAGGAATCGTTGTGGGGGATGTAAAAATTGATCAACCCTTAAACTTCTGTGGGAGGTGGGGGCGGCTGTACTGGAGATCGATCTGGAGACGGCTCGTCTGACTTGAATGAAGCCTCGTCTCCTGGAGGTGGAGGCTTCTCTCCACCTGGTGTAACTAGTGAAGACTTGTCATCTTGATTTTGAGGCTGCTCTACTGGATGCTGCTCTCGTGGGATCGGTTCTTCCCGCTTTGCTGGCCCTACTGTCCCCGGTGGGCCTTCTGATTCAACAGATGAAGGGACTAGTCTTAGAGCTTACCTTAATTCATCTTGGAGAGCATCTTACTTTGTCGTGACTTCCACGTAGAAAAAGACTTCAAGATGCTGCTCAAGAAGAATTATAAGGGAAGCCTTAATACTGGCTCTTCTGGTCCTTGTTGTTCCTTCGGCACCGGCTTCTCCTCCTCTCTTGCATTTCTTCTCGGCTCTTCTGCATTTTTACTCGGGTCCTTTCCTGGTTCTTCTAGCCTTATTCGTTTTGGTTCCCGTTCTTCCTCGCTTTGGGCTTCCGAGTGCTCTGCTGCGACTGTAGTTAGACTAGTTTTTCACTGCCCTTGGTTCTGTTGAGTCCCCTTTTTCCCCTGGGTAGTTTCCCCTTCAAGTCAAGGACCACTGGGTTTCTCCTTTAAGTCAAGGGGGACTCGACGCAGGTCTAAGAAATTATATAATCAGTCTAGTACAAGGGATAGTGTTGGACCACAAGAACACAGGCCTCCGCGCCTTGGTTCGTTTCTCAGTGGAAACACAGAGTCAGAATCTTGAATGCAAGCAAATCTTGATACTCCTGCCCGAGACTTGCGATCTCTGGCTGGTGTAATCCCTGTTTGGTTCATTGGGTAAGATGAATCATACATCATCAACATAAGCATGTCAGAAGGGATCGGACTGAACATGCATCATACGACTAGGATCAGTACACACGTACCTAGTCTACGCATTGATCATTATGATTATGCATTGATGTGCATTGAGTGTGCATTGAAAGTAGCACTCATGATCATTGGCATTCATGTCTTGGGAGATCATCCCGATGACAGTCGAGCACGAGGCTTTGTGTGAGCCACTGAGAACAGAACAACACGACATCCAAGAGGCTTGAACCATACATGACCAACAGATAGTGAATGCTGCTCAAGAAGAATTATAAATAAGGAAAGCCTTAATACTGGCCCCTCAGATCCTGGTGTCAGCTGCTGCTCTGGTTGTGCATCCGGCTGCCCCTTCTCTATTGGTTCCAGCCCTTTTGCATTTTCACTCAGGTCCTTTCCTGGTTCTTTTAGCCTTCTTCGTTTTGGGTCCCGTTCTTCCGCGGTTACAGGTGGGGCTTCCGACTGCGCTGCTGCGACTGTAGTTAGACTAGTTTTTCACTTCCCTTGGTTCTGTTGAGACCCCTTTTTCCCCTGGGTAGGTTCCCCTTCAAGTCATGGACCGCTGGGTTTCTCCTTCAAGTCAAGGGGGACTCAACGCAGCGGCAGCTCTAATACATATTTATTATAATTAGTCTAAGTAGTACCAGGGATAGTGAAAAAATCGCCTTAATACTCGGTGCTGTGGGCCTTCTTCCGCTTCTTCTGCCCTTCTTCGCCTTCTCCTCGGTGTTGATGCTAGTTTTAGACTTCTCCCCAATTCATCCATCCATGCAGAGAATCAGCCTCAAAGATGTGCCCCAGCTGTGTAGGGATTCCTGCTCGCCAAGTAGTGGTAGTAGTAGTGGTAGTAGTAGTAGCGCGCCCAACCATAATCATTGAAAGATATAGGGTTAGGGTTAATTAGCAGCTTATGCGTTAGCATCTATCATTCCATTGTGATATCACACTCCTTGTCTTATAATTTGGGTACATAAATAGAAATAGGGAGATTGTTCAAGGGATCCTCTACTTTAATATAGACCTCTACTTTAACACGAAAGAGAAACAAAAGACGGATTAATAGGGGAAGCCTTAAAGCTGGTGGTTGCTCTCCCGCGCTTGCCTTTGCGTCGCCTGCGACATCCGTGGGAGCGATCTTCGGAGGTACCTTAGAGCGACAATCTAGAGTGAACCTAGAAACAGTCGTTTCATGGATGTGGATCCACGTGCTTGTACTTCAAGCGCAACTACTCAGGTTCATGTTCTTCTACTTACTGTAGTCGCAGTGGTATTACAGCGATATTATACGACGTAGTCATGTCGGTGGAAAGGAAGTAAACGTATACCTCCTACAACTTAAGGTGGGAATGAGTAAGAGTATGACTTCATGCCATTGCACCTCGTCAAGATCTAGATACACGATTGTCTTCTGCGCGTATTCTTATTTCCCTACTTTCTGAAAGTAAGTAAATTTTTAGAGTACTTCTGACCCCTTTTCGTGAAGTAAATGACGAAGAACATGTTGAATCAAAATCATTAGTCCTCTTCTACACTAATCTTGTGGATTTCAGTATTTTCAAGATGCCACCGTACCACTTCTACCCTCTTCCGCCGTCCCGCCAGCGGCTCTCACTCTCGCATGCGGTTGCGGCACATATCTCTTAGAGGCGCTACTTCTACTAGCAACCATGCTCCTTTTCAAAAGAAAAGGATCATCCTTAGTAATGATCTAATGTGCTGATTGATTGATTGATGTCCTCCTGATTGAGTGATTGATTGATCTCATGTCGTGATTGACTTATTAAGGCATTTCGATTTTCAAGATTCTATCTAAGTTTGTACTTCTACCAAGGTATCTCTCCTTTGCCGTTGGTAACAACAAGACATCTAGTTTCACTACATAATTCTCTTTCTCAAACTCAATCTCAACCCGAAAATAATAAAGTAGTAGGTGATTGCTGTACATGTAGGGTTGTTTGAAAGGTGGACTACATCCTCTTATTGTAATAAACATAGGAAACCGATGCGCATTGAGTTGTACTTTCATAACTCCGCTTGGTGTTTCTACTTCATTCGGAGGTTTTGTCCCCGATCCTGTGGTCTCTGGCGTAGGTGTGGCATCGTTGGAAAGACTAACTCATCTCCTCGGTCTCCTCATTTCGGCCCCTCTTGCCATATAAAATACAAGGGAAAAGGGTATCGAAATGCCGAGGAAGATGGCTGAGAGCGGAACATAACATCGACGGCTTCCGCCTTAGCAATCTTGAGCTTTTTTGATGCTAGACACTCACTATCAAGCCCTGGTGGAGTGGCTTGAAAGTGGATCCCGTTACCCTTTCCCTTCCCACTATATAATTCCCATTCTTGACTTCGGTCTAAGGGGAATACTCATAGTACCCTCAGCTTACTCCACACCAGATCATAGTGAGATAGGTCTAGCTTAATCCACGACAAGCCTAACTTTTTCTTCTTTTTTTTGACCGAGACCGTCTTCTTGCCACTTCTTAGCGCTTGGCGATGTCACAAGAAAGTAGCTAAAGATCTCGTAGAAAAGGTCTAGCCAATTGGTTAGGAGTGATCATCAAGGAAGGAGTTGTAGTCTCTTATTGCATTTATGAGCCTGGCATAGGAAATTAGTAAGACTAGTCAAACTACTATAACTATGATGCGCGAATGGAAAGGCACGCATCGTAAGGTGGAGTTAATTAACGAGGACGAGAAAGAGAATGGAGGCACGGGCGAATGAGATAGGATGCGTCTAAGGATGTATTTAAGAAAAAAAAAAGTAGTAAAGAAATCTTCAACGGAAGGGTTGGTTAGGTATCGTACCTTCAGGAAATAATGATCGACTACTTGAAGAAGAACTGCTCTCATCCTATTTCATTACCTGACTGCCCACTTCTTGACCAGTTAATATACTAAGAGGCAAGAGGGAGCGTTCTCCTACAGTTGTGTTCTCTTACTTCTCCGTCGAGTTCGAAAAACTGAAATAGCCAAGTAACTACTTAGAATACTAGGGATACCGAAAAGAGAGCAACGTAGTGACTCTTTTATTTCCGTCACTAACTCGGTTACTTGAAGACTTCGAATATTTACTCGTCTGCTGTCCTCCAGTCTGGTTGTTTAGTCCTACTTGGTAGTCACATTTTTTAGCATCTATACTTTTTTTGGATAGCTTCTTTTTGGATAGCATAGCTTTTCAGCAGGCTTCTGAGTCCCTCGCTGAGTTCCAGGCTCCGGGGCTGTGTAGTAGTGGTGGTGTACCCGCCAATCGTCGTGGGGTATAATGATATGGCTACTTACAGTTGCGATCGTGATAGTTGAAAAATGCGAAGGTCTTGCATTTTTCCCGGTCTTGCATGCATAAACAAAGGTCCTATGCTGCTTGTAATACGAGAAATATGATGATGACGACGACTAAGCTATACCTGCAATACCTGCATTAGGAAAGTAAATAATGAAGATTAGAGCCCGTTGATTCCATCCTGAAGATCAGTCCGAGAGACCTTTTTCCCTTGAAAAGCGTCTCTCCTAGGATTTAGTCTCAAGATGTACTCTCAATATGGAGAGAGAAGCCTTAAGAGGATGCACCTTGCGCTTCCTCTTCTTCGGAATCGGTCGCATCCTCGTCTGAGTCTATATCGCATAATTCTGGGCAACACACTTCATCTACTTTCTCCTCCGTCGTAATTAGCAACAAAAAATGGACTTATTAATTTAACATCATGTCATGGATCCTCTGTTTCAGTCACTGCTCAAACTGTATAGTACTAGAGTCATGTCATGGATCCTCTGTTTCAGTCACTGCTCAAACTGTATAGTACTAGAGGCCCTGTAGAAGTACCCTGTAGAAGAGCAGACTAGTACTTGTAGAAGTACCTTCACTTAGAAGTACCTTCACTTAGACTATAGTCTAGTACCCTGTAGAAGCACCTTCACTTAGAAGAGCAGACTAGCCGAATGATGAACTATCTTCAAGCATGGATTTGTCATGTCATGTGTCTCCAATCTGATTTTCCAAACCAGCGTTGAGACCAGGTTGGTAGACAAAGACATTGAGGTGGTCAGCTGTATCGAATTGTTGTGGAAAAGAAGTAGCAAGCCTTAACTGCCCTTCCTGGGCTCCGGACTCAGCTTGCAACATTGCGCAAGCACTAGCCTCTTTTCTTGTTCCGACATGCTTCACTTTCCTGAGTCGAGGATGTCGCTCCGACTCTGGGGACCTGGTGCAGGGATGTGTGTGCAGTGATGTATGTGGGGATCTGATGTATGTCAGGTCCTGGTGCTGTGATGCATGTGCTATGTACCCTTGATGGATCTGTACGAATACGATGCAAAATATTGCAGTACGCAGATGTCTGACTATGTGCTCAAGAAAAGCCCTCTGACAGAGAAAATTCAACTCGTTAGTTGAAAGGGAAACTGGTGGGAGTAATCTTTTATCTAGTGACGATGATGTTAGTCGGTTCGGGTTGAGCCCACGACTTGACTCCCCTGAATCTCTTTGGAGTTCTGCGAATTTCTCTGATGTTGTGGTTGTGAGGTTGGTCCGCTGCATCTTTTATCTAATATTATCGGAAGCGGAACTATCAAAAACGCACAGTCAGAGTAGAGGGGGTGGAGGGTGGTCTGACAGTATTTCTATGATATCATCGTCCAGAGAAGGTGTACCATATTCATAAAAGAGGAATACCAGTGGACTAAAATGAATTGAAATACCTGTAATTGAGGTAGACCATAAGGACTAAGAGGCCAATAAGCGTTCCCGCCACAAGTGCAGCACTTGCAATTAGAACCTCGTATCTAGAATAGAAGCACTATGAACATATTCTCTGAAACTGCTAAGTCTGTAACTACTTATAGAATTTTAGTAATTCTCAGGTAAAATAATTACTACAAGTTATGCGTCGCTTATAAAAACAGAGGTAGAAGATTTAGTCGTGTAGAGTAAAAACACTGTCTAGACTAGAAACTTATCAAGTTCTAGTTTCAATCTTCTAGTTTCATGTTTCATAACCTGGTAGAATAGTCCTTGTTCTTGCCGCCAGGCTGGACACCCGCCGAGGTTTCGAACGTACCAGAAGGTTTCTCGGTCTCGTGGTCATTGATGGTGCTCTTCTGCGTATCGGTATCAGGAGCTCTGCCGAGGATCTTGTCTCTGGTAAGAACAGGAGTAACAAAGCCGACATCTATCTTCTTTGTGTTAGAAGAGGGGAATGACTGGATGTGACAAAAATAGAAATACTGGTGATGATGAAGAACAAGAATCAATAATATAATATAATAAAATAAGCTTTTGCACGAGATGAAAAGAATCCTTATTACAGGGCAGAGACGAGTGCAGCGTGATGATAGCTGCTGGTACTGCAAAGATTCAAGAGATAGAAATTTGTAGACACCACGCATTAGCGACATCTTTAACTCAGCATCATAATCTTTGTTGGAGCTCCTGGTGGACCCTCTTGTTCTGATTCGCTTTCTGGCACGTGGTGCGTGGATGCATCGCCACGCGAGTTGTGCTCATCGCCATCTATGGCGGCCACCTGTGGCAATGGCGTCAAGTACGGCTTGCATTAGAGCAGAAAGAAATTGTATAATAGGCAAAAGTCCATGTATTCGATAAAGTGAAATATCCGAGTAGCCGAGAAGATAACTTAATCACAGATAATCGGCTATTGATGTGTTCGTTACTTACTCGCATATTGTCATTTTAAGTTTTCAAAATCCTAGCCATCAGCGTTCACGATGTTGACCGTAGAGATGACGGGTTCTCGAAGAATTTCAGAGATACTGATACAACAGAAAGTCCAACTCCAATCATATCAGATGATTATCAGGTATCAAGTTCAAGATACTGTTATGACATGCTGTCTTAATTTTTCCTTGTGCTGCCATCGGGCGCAGAGGGCTCCGGTCTTCGCCATTGGCCAAACTCGATCTCGACATTGTCACGCTGCTCCTTCATACTAGCATCTACGCTAAACACGCTACACGCACGGTCCTCCTCTCCTTGTTCTCCTCATCGGATGAGTTGTCGTTGTGGTACTACAGATGGTGACCACTTGAGTATTACATTTCTATCATTTATTGCACTGTCTGCTCCTTGTCGTGGTTAATGTAGCACTTCTTCTTGTCGTGGTTGATGCATAGATATTGACTACTTACTACTTGACAGGACTACAGTCATTTTGTTCTTGCACTGCTGAAGGCAAGAATAATCATATTGATATTCATTAACATCGTTTCCGCTATAGTATGCATTTTCAGTTTCATTTTCTTTCATTAAGTTTCACATCATTAAACTTACATGTCAGGTGTGAAGACTACTCGAGATCGCGATGTGATGCTTTTTGCTTCTGTTGCCGTTCTTGCGATCGTCTCCACGACCATGATTATAGTCGAAGTCAAAGTTTAGCCATGATCATTTGAAAAAAGAATGCGAATATTGTACCTGTCACATGACATGATCAGAATCAGTAAACGCGTAAAAAGGTAAATCTAAATCATGTAATACGTGTAGCCCATCTCTATATCTATCTTTTCCTATCCCGTTTTCATTCTACACTCTATGCCTTTGTTGTGATTCCACTCAAATGTTCCATCTCTGGATATTAATCTGCTTATGAAGATCCTCTTGAAAAGCACAATTTTTGTTGTTCTCGATTATATATTTGTCTTCTTCAGCGAATGCAAAATGTTAGGCCGACAGAATCACTTTTGGAAGGAGGGGTAAGGGACATCTTCTATTTCTCTACAGACATGATTTTGTTTACCGAGCCGGACTGTATGATGGCTGATACCGTTTTTCGTTTTCGTCCAGCAAGTATTTCTACATCGGTTTCAATCTCTCCAGAGCTCAACAAGAGCAGTGAGTCTGTCTCCCTTCTCTCGCTATTCTTGCTACCGTCTTCTGATCTTTTTATATGACATGAAAACTGTTCTGATGCTCATGCCTTCGCTCGGTGTTGTAACTGTGTTCCGAGTTGTTTTTTCAAGCAATCAGATACTTCGCCGTTAGTGGCCAGTTTTCTAAGAAAAGCATCCGATCACGCGGCATCATCGAGTTGTTACTTCCCAATGGGGGTTCCACAGCACAATCGAGTATCTGATTAATAAACGCCTGATCCTCGCCTTGTTGTGCACCATATTTGGGATCCTCGTTGTAGGGGAACGAGCGTGCGGTCTCTGTTCGCACACTGATGTGTCCCCAAGGGTACCAATCGCAATACCAACGACCGAGCGACTTTCGTTTTTCCAAAATGTAGCCACTGTTTTGTACGAAAATCTCAGTAGAAGTCGCCGGAACAATTTTGCCGTCCCCAGGAGATCCACTGCAACGCACATTAACGCGCATATCGGAAGAGGAAAAGCTCATACCCTGAGTTGCACGTGTATCTCCAACAAAATGGCCGATTAGACTGGGACGCACACTGGTATTTTTCGGAGACATTGCAGCAACCCTTTCCCGTACTTTGCCTGTGTAAACAAGGTCCTCTTTGTGGCCATTGGTCAGTTCGCCGCACGGAAATTAGAAAATGAGAATGACGTTCTCTTGTAAAACTAGTTTATATTAAATGTGACTCGTGTACTTCGAAGCTGCAGGAAAGTTCGTAGTTGCTTTCGAAGTTGATTCCTTAATTATATAGTGCTATAAGTAGTCAGAACAAGAAATCTGATATCATAAGACAATTTCGCTTCTAGTCTCTTGTTTCCCAGCGACTTCGCACGGTGACAAGTCGGATCGTATCGCAAGTCGTCGTCTCGATTGAGGTTGACGTTATCAAAAATGCCTGTTCCTGTTTTTCTCCTAATCACAGGATAGGACCATCGAGCTCCGATTAAATGTGGTCCGTTGTCCTTGAACTTCTCGTTCACAACTGGAAACAAAGACTGTTCCTTTTGCTTTTCTTCTCGTAGACTAGAACATTGTCTCAAGTGACTCCCAGTACTTTGTTCTTGCGCGTTTCTAACTGCGATACGATGCAACATTTCTATGCGGTCAGGAAAAGCGTAATCGTCGGAGTCCAAGAAAGCAATGTAGTCGGAACGTGCAAAGGTTGCAATAACGTTCCGTGCTACGCCAGCGGATAAAGGTTTTTGGCTGGTCTCGTCGAATACGGGAGTCGTGCTGGTGCTCTTTGCTCCTCTACTTTGCGGCGCCTTTGCTATCAAAGCTCGCAAATGAGTCACCTTCTTCGTGGTTTCTCCATCTGCTACCTTGATATCATATTCGCATTTCCCGGTAGCTACCTCGAGATCAAAAAGTAGTTTCTTGTCAGCAGTAAGCATATTATGCACGATTGCGTTTTTTACATCATTAGCGCTACCCTTTACCCATCCTGTGAAGGTATCCAGTTACAATACTCTCCCCAGTACTTGCCTCAGTACAAGGCAAGTCGGAGACTCTCCCGAGTACTTGCGAGAATCCACGAGGCACCACCAGCGCAGTACTTATTAACAGGATCCAGGTGGGGTTGGGTTTTGTGGAGCCTTAACATCAGGTCGTCGTCCGGTCTTGCTCTTGCAAGACCACGAGCCACCACGTCCAACTCCAACTCGTCCATGTTGTTGTTCTAATACTGACAACCAATGTCGGACTATTTGTTCTCCTGTGGAAATTCCGATTTTTGTTGCTGTCGAAATTCCGCTTTGCTTTAATTCTTGATACAATTCTCTTCTGGAACCGCCGCTCAGAAACAGCAGGAATTCTTGCGGTTTGCGAGTCTGCAATGCTACTGAGTGCAAAACGAGGTCGCTGAGACGCGATATGTCGCGTGGAATTGCAGGTACACCCACGGCAAAGGTGTATGTTGAAGACTTAATGAGCGTCGAAAGAGAAGTGGGCCTTGTAGTAGTCTTCGTCTGATGATTTTGTGCTGAAGTGAGGATTCGTTCGCTGTCGTGTAGACGACTAGTAGATGCTGCCTGTTTAGAACCGTACTCGAACTTTTCCACCAGCCTCGCGAGGTTCGCAGGTTGCCGTTGTTCTCGGTAATATGGGAAGATAATCGGTCGCTTCCGCTTGGGCGCAAGAAGTGTCAGATAAACCCAATAGAGAGTACAAAACATGAAAAACTGAAAGGAAAAAACAGAAGGTAGCACTAGCAGTTTGCTCTCATCTGGAACAAGCGTCATCGTATTCTGGCACCTAAGAAGTACAATTTTGGCTTGCTTCATAGTGGCTCCTTCTTTTTTGTAAGTATCTTCTGCCTCTTCGTATGGCTCCTTCTTTTTTGTAAGTATTCGGAAGAGTTTTTCCGGCACAAGAATCTTGGAAAACAGCGCGCCACCAGCTAGTTGCCTTCGAGCAGAATTGGAAGATCTTGCAATCGCAATCATGTTCCTTGCAAAAAAACAACTAAAACAGATACTGTTTCATTCATTCACTTCCTGAAATATAATGCACGTTCGAGCCCATTTGGCCAAGAAACGCTTCTGTTCATGCTGAAAGCCTTTCCGTGATAAGCACCTGTGAAACTTCTCCACTCGTACTTGTAGCTCTTAGTCATATTCAAGGACTATCTGTGATTAATGACTGATGGACGAAACAGAAGGGATAGGGACGATTGAATATGGCATATATTCAATATTGACAATATGCTTCTTGACATTACAGTTGTATTAGATTTACTATGTGTCTGGGAGTAAGCCCACTAATTCCATGGCCTGTAGCATCAAGCTAAACTAGCTCTTGTTTCACTACGTACTACTATCTATACATTCTTTGCAAGCCCTGTACTGCAGTAGCTGTTCTCTATCGAAAACATTAACCTTCTATTTATTTGTTCGATAGGTGGTTGCGAAAATTAGTACCTACTAAGAGTTTTCTTTTTGTGCATGATGGTTGTTGAAACAGAAAAGAGTACTATAGCACGAGCACACAGTGTTAAAGATGAAAAAGGATACGAAAATTATCAGTCTATTCATATTGTCACTTGGTATACGCCGTGCGGCATAGAACAAGAATTCTTCTTCTCAAATGCTAAGTAATCAGTCTCCAACACAAATACTACTACTAGTTGCACATCATGATCATGTTACACAAATACTAGTTGCACTACATCATGATCAAGTACTCGACACAATACCCAATCTTCTTCCAGTTTGTGCTTGTCTCACAGCCGTGCGATAAAATGCTCCCGCCGTCGAAACCAACGGGTGAGCATCCCTGTACACTTGTAAGAACCTATAGAGGTTTACCCCAGATTTTGGGATAGCATCCGGGGATGCAGGCTTGCGACCGAGCAATGTGAGTGCGTGTTCTACGTCTTTCACGCTTTCTAGTATATCCGGGTCTTCGAAATTCGAGACTCGTCTTTTCGCCTGTGGATCCCGCTCCCTGGCGTTTTGGAGTTGGAAAAAGAAAGCCGATTTGACGCGGAGGTAATCTGTTACAGCAATCTTCGTTGCAGAGGTCTCACTCTCGGATGGAGTGCAGCTATGGTGAAGATGCGACCCGCCTCCAGCAGCACTTGATGTTCCTCCAGTCGCAGTCGCACAGCCATGATTTGGCGCTATAGCCGAACCCATGATTCGTTGTGAAGAGACAAATATCATCTCCATTTCTGCCCGAATAAGCTCCATCTTTTCCGCAACGTGGTGACACAAAGCCACGCAATCACGCACAGTCACCGCGCCATCGACAGGAGGGTATGAAGAGAGCAGGGAGGTGGAAGACCTTTTTCTGGGAGTAAGTGAAGACTATCACAGCTACTGCGGTGTCTGATGTGGTTGTTCAACTATTCGAAAAACTGAAATAAGCAAGTAAATGATCAGAATAACCGAGAGACTGATGAGAAGGAAGAGTAGCCTTGACGTTATAAGCTAGTGCCTCCCTTATTTCAGTCAGTAACTCGGTTATTTCAGTTTTTCGACTAGTATGTTGTTGAATATATTGAAATGGTTGCATAACCATTCTTCCTCGACTAACCGAGTCAAAGCTTCCTGCTCTGTGCGGCTCCGAGGCACAACGTCCAAGACCCGCCGCAACACGTCTAAAACTCCACGATGAGTCACGAAATCCCAACTCGGATGTAGAGAACCGAGGATTTTTACCTGTTGTCAGGATGTATCTTGGGGGAGACTCCCTGGCAAGTCATCTGGAAGAAGTCACAGGAGTTTCTTGTTACTTCGTGGTCGATTCCCATATTAGTGCTATGATTTCAAAGACGAAAAAAATAGCCTACTACAGGTAAAGAATTAGAACCTCTCTCTGCGGTCGTTTCCACATCCGTATTAGCGCAATCAAATGCACTACATCCGCAAATGCAAAGCGGCCATCGGATTTTATCTGAGCCCCTAACTCTGCTAAAGCACGTGTTTCGAAGACTGCCGTACGCAAGACGCCTGCCGAAACTAATAAAAACGCTAGTCGGGGAATGCTGATCCAACGCTCTTTGATCCGCTTTCTCAACAAAGCCCTCAGCTCGGGTAGAGAGGCGTACTCCACATGTGATCTTGGAGGGTTGTTTGCTGTTGCGGTGGAAGAAGTAGAAGCCGGCAACTGTGTGGAAGAAGAAGTAGAGGAAGAACCAGAAGAAGGATTGGGAGTCGTATTACTGTGAGGACCTCCGGAGGATGTAGTAGTTGGTGTCGCACCCCTGCTACCTGCGCGTTCCGCTCCAGTTGACGTATATTGATATTCTCCAGTAGAGGTGTGATGTTCATGTGCCGCTTGATGCAGACTGGTAGGAGAGTTAAGCACAACGCCTGGATGCGAGGCAGGAGGTGAAAGAGATCCTACCTTCGGAGCTACAGCCGCCGCACCTGGATGCGAGGCAGGTGAAAGAGATCCACCTACCTTCGGAGAATTCAGAGGACTTCGGCAACTAGGACTCGTTCTGTGATCAAAGCGACTCTTTCTCACAGAGGAGAGACTCTGGTTTTCAGCCAGGATCAAGTTGGCGAGGTCTTTTCTGGATGAGACGGGGTCTTCTTGGGACTCTGAATATCTGTCGAAGAGCTCGAGCCAAGGTAATAGTTCTTCAGCGCTGACGAGTGAACTCGAAATCAATGCTCTTGTTTTCACGGCACCTGGCGAATGAACATCAGCGAGCGCATTTGGAGTGGTGCGGGAGTTAGAATCAATGTGGTAGAAGTAGGTAGCGGAAAGAGCAAGGAGAATGCGTGAGGCTACTGGAAGGACAATAAAGTAGGAGCGCGTTTGTTCTAAATTGAATTAGTGATCTTCCATCATGTTGGTAACAATAAGTCATAACTTGTTGAGCCTGGTGATGCTGGTGCGGTCCGCTGCCAGCTCGATCCGCTATTCCTTGATGATCTCCACCTGCCCGACCTGGAATGCCAGAAACTCCTGATGCTGTTTTGTTTGCAATTGCAACTCCTCCAACCCCTTTACTGGCGGATCCAGGACCTGAGAATATGACACTGCTCTGTCTAGGAGGAGCCTTACTGGAATTAGTTGTCGCGTTGCCATCTATTGTCAGGTCAGTCCCCTGTCCGTGTCCGCCACTGCCCCTCCGCTCTTCTTGCTCTAGTGACATCACTACACCAGGTGCGACACTCACTCTGCGTTGATTCAATGTGTCTTTGCGCTTTTGACCAAAACCTGCAGTGTCCGTTTTCTTGAGGATCGACGGCCGTCGCAACAGTTCTCCTCGCAACACGCTGACGCGCTCGCGCTTATGCGCCATGTCAGAAGAATTGGAGCTCGTGGCAGGAAAAGCATCTTCAAGGGTCGAGCGATGAGCGGGGACACAGATGGAGACTCGACCCACAGTAGCTCCTGCATTCGGAGACGGACTAACCACGGCGCCAGTGTGACCTGAAATGAAGTGAATTTGCCTTCCGAAAGACCGTCTTTTGAATATTAATTCTATAGTCACGCCACTTCTTCTAGGTACAAAAAATCGAAAAAAGAAGTACCACTTCTCAACTATTCGCTATTACCACTATTCAACTATTACCACTATAGTAACGGTTTAGGCTTGAGATAAAATGGAGAGAGTAGAGGAAGTTAGAAATGAGAAGGAAACTAAGATAAGATGAGGCGCAGAGAACAACAACGTTTTCTGTACTAAACGTCTACATGAGGGTTATGGAGTCACTACTTAAATAGCCTATAGTTGTGGCGGAGCCGACCTAACTAGAAAAAAGAAAGACCAGACGAAGATAGAAAAGAGAAAAGGGTAACTTAAATAGCCTATAGTAAATAAATATCTATTAGTTATACCGCTATAGCAATTTACCAAGACTGAATATTACCACTATTCTCCGGCACCACCGAGGTGAGACCCTCAACGAGGAACTTCTTCGGGTCATCGACAGTTGTGCTTCGATTTACGATCTTGTTGCGGTTCGTCAGAGTCGGTCGCCGACTTCCACTAGTAGCACCTCCGCCCTCGCCAAGAATCCCTGTACCGCCACCACCTCCACCTAATTGTTGGTTCGTGGACATGCTTAACCTATGACCCGAGTTGAGTCTTTTGAATTGTGCCACTGTTCGCATCGAGTCAGACACTGCGCGATTGCCTCCTGAACAACCAGTACTAGAGGTTGTGGAGGACGCCGTGTTAAAGAAGTTGAAAGTAGACAGAGGAGAAGCATTGTTCTTGTTCTCTAGAGGATCGGAATGATCACCTCCACCTGAACCTGCTCCACCCAAGCCTCCTTGCTGTTGCTCTCCACCTGGAAATAACTCGTCTATGGACAACTCTGCTTTGTCGATCGCCGTAGTGTCAAAAATGTCCGTTGCCTCCTGAAGGAGGTCGTCGTTGTCTAGATTGTCGGTGTCAATTTCGAACCCATCAACTCCTGCGACAGCAGTCACGCGGCCGCTACGGGAAACCTGAACGTCATCTTCCTCTAGGAAATCTTCTCCGGTTGCTTCCACAGTCGTAGCTCTGCCTGTCCCTGATGGAGAAGTGGTCGAATTTGACTCATTTTCTGAATCCAAAATGATACTCAAGCCCTTGTGCAAGGGCCTGCCGCCTGGGCCGAGCTTTCCTTGTAAAACCTGCTCGATCGGCACGTGGGTGCGACGTCTCTCAGAGGCGGTCTTCGCGGCCGCTTCTTCTATTAGAGTTAGTCGGCTGTAGTTATCCATCTCGGCCCCCCCATCTAGAGTCTCGACCCCTTATTTCTTCTGAAATATAAGGGAAACCGGTAGTATCGAGAGGCTGAGAAGTAGGATGGACACTAAATGTTGAGCATAATTCTAACCCGCCACCATAGAACGAATCGAACCACGAATCCTTTTCAGCGTCCTCCTCTTCTTCAGGTGGACCCGCATCACCCCACACAGCAGCATTGACGAACTGCGACCTTCTAGCAGTAGTCGCTCGAGAAGCAGGAGTGACTGATTTTAGAAGTAGGCGTCTACATCTTTAGACCACTAACTCGTGCGGAAGTTGAATTCAACAGCGCCGTTTTCCTTTCAGCGGGCGCAGTACCATCTACAAATTATAAATGTTCTTAGTGTCCGTGTCACATCAAGCCATAACGCTGGAGATTGATCCCCCGTCTTTCCTGAAAATTGCATCAGACTTGCGCGACAAAAGTGGCGAAACGAGTCGGTTGCTCCAGCCTGTGGACTCAAAGGTGCCGCAGAAGTTCCACTCTCAGCAGTACAACTAATTGCTGCAGGGACTATGCTTGCTCGTGTGTTTGACAAAGCAGAATTTGGTGTAGGGAAGAGACCGCCACCGGAGCCTGATGCACCACCTTCATGACTATCTGTTGAGAAACCAGTAGCAGCAGAAATAGAGGACGATGCTATCGGAAGAGGCATACCACCACCACCACCACCAATAACAGCCACGTTCTCATGGTCCACATCCCCCGCGACACTACCAGTACGAGCTCCCGTATTCTCTGGCGCCACGACGTTTATTTCGACACCACGTGCATCTAAGGTCGGCCCTTCATCTCCGTCAGCTTCACTTGCGAACCCAGAGGTACAACGCGGTTGCCAAGAACCTTCAGCTACCAAGGACTCAAGTTGAAAATACTTCACGACTTCCCGCTCTTTCGCTCGTCTCGCGATATGAGACTGCTCTACCAACTGCCGTATGACGCCTTGCAATCTGTCTGACTCGCCTACCAGCTCTTCTAGATCCAAGGGTCTTTCCACGCCTACAGTTTCACCATGATGTTGTTAAAGGTTGCCACATTACATTTTTCAGAACATCTACCCCCACCTCTTTCCTACTAGAAAGATAGTGCGGGATGGTTGTGGAGGATGTAAAAATTGGTTAACCGACCCTTAATGTTGTTGTCCTGAAACGGCAGTACCTTGTTGATGCTGGTTATTTGAACCCGACGCTGCACCAGTCTGATGATGTGAGGAAGATGCAGCTGCAAAAGTGCCAGCTCCTCCCGGTACAGTAGTTGGTCCACCAGATGAAGCTGCACTACTTTGCGCCACTTGAACAACCGCGACGAAGCCATGTGCAACTTGGTGAGTTTGCTGCGCTTGCTGAGAGTCGAACGATCCGCGACGTCGTGCTTCATTCATCTCAGAAGAAACAGCTTTATTAGACCCGCCACCAGAGGAGCCAATGTCTAGATTGCCGTGTGTGACTGACTTGCGCAACTTTCGACCTCCATTGATGTTACCTTCTCCATGACCTCCACTAGAGCCAGATTGGCCATATTGATGATAGTCATGAGGAGCAGCCCCTGTGCTACTAGTTCCAGAGCCACCTGCTACAGGCTGAGGTTCTTGTGACGCACCATTCATCTCCCCACCACCAGCACCAGCACCGGCAGTAATATTCGTCGGGAGATGATAAAAGACGCTCCCAGGATGTCTAAAATAGTGGGATTCAAAGAAACCTTGAATGACATCTGCAAGATGAAAAGTTGCCTCGACGCCTGCAGCTTCGAAAATTCGCGGTAGCATCCTACATATGCAATCCACCCGACTCTGGTACATCACTGCTGCTAGTAGGTGAGGATCATGATGGTTCAATATCCCAGAGCTTGTTATACTAGAGTTCTGGTGCTGGTGGGGGTGCAACTGTGAAGGAAGTCCTCCTGATCCTGTCGAAGATGAGAGCATGTTCGCTGTAGCTGTTGACCACAGATTCATCCCTGTGGATGTTACGTCATTCTGGTGCGAAGATGGTGCTGACAGCGCACCTGCAATCTCATTCGGTATCCACCCGTTGAACGTGCCTGGTGATCTTGGGGATGCAGTCGGACTATCTCCGACCGCGATTTTCATGGCAGCGCGACGCTGCGTTCCTCCCCTTCGAATCGATGAGGCGTGGCAGATAACAGCATTAGCACCTCCCGTAGTTCCAAATGCAGCACCGCTACCATGGGAAGCACCACCTTGACGGAGGCTGTGCCAGAAGTTGTCAGTCTCAAGTGCTGGGGTGACTGAAGAAGCACCTCGTCTTCCTCCTTTATTCTGTCCGAATAACCCGCCTGGTGCGCCTGACGAGATGTTGTAGAACCCTCTATTTCCTCCACCACCTCCAGCGACTCCTTGGTAGTGCCCACGACTCGCGATGCCACGATTTCTCCCCAAAGGGAAAGCACTACCTCCACTCGCGTCCTGAGCGCCAAAAGTGTGGTACTGGAAATTGGACTGGAAATCACTACAGATACTGGACAGTTTACATCCAAACAACCTGGAAAGATGTGCAGCGATCTGGTACTTGTTTCCTCCATTTTCCCAATCAAACCCGGCGAAGGATCCGGCGTCGACATCACCAAGCAACCCTAGAGACAAGCCCCCAGTCAGACAAGCACCAACACGTTGCAGGTCGATGAGACCTGGTCATGTATTTTATTGAGGAGGCTGTGATTAATATAGAAGATGCACGGTTGTACAACTAACACCGATAAAATCCTGTAGAAGCTGCACCCTTCTACCTGAGAAATTAATCCTAAATCTGTAGCAAGCATGCAATAAACTATACTTTTCTTTGTAGACGTGTGATCACCATCTCTGTGCACCGTTTAGCTAATTACCATCCCCCACCGTTCCACTTCCCTGCCCGCGACCAGCTGCTGCGGCCGATACCAGTAACTGTTCCGCCATATGGACGCATACATCTGACGACGACCCTGGTCTCGGAACAAAGCCTATCTCCCGCCACCTCTCGGATTCTGCCATGCATTCAACTAGGTATTCGTGTAGCATGTCCTTTTGGAATCGCAGAACGAGGTCTCGGATTTCCCGCATCACACGTGCAAACGTGTCATAGTCAGGCTTCCCACTAGGCGACAAATTCACAATGCCTAAGGAGAGAAAGACGTTGCCATCTAACAATCCGAAAGAGCGTCTAGAGCCACGGAAAGAGGGCCTACGAGCACAATTAGTCGAGGCTGGTGCGGCTAGGGACATTGACGAAGTTACGGCGGCGCCGACTGATGCGGCGTTGTGCGATGAACCAGCAGCACCAGCACTGTTCCCACCTCCACCGCCAAACGAAGATCCTGGCGTAAACGACGAACTAGAACGCGGTACACCTCCCGTCCCTCGGGTATCATGGTCGTCGCCGAATTTTGTGCTATTCTTTCTCCGTTGTACGATGTTTGCATTCGAAGATGATCCTCCATTTGCCAAAGTGTTCAGCGACGTGGACGTCGATGTCGGCGTTGTCAGTAATGTGGGTGACAGCGCAAACCCCAATGCGCTGGCAGATGCTTTGTGCACAAAGTTCGTAGAAACGGTGGTGTCAAGATGCACGTGGTCTACAGTAGTCGCATTTCGTGTTGATACAACTCCTGCTGTCAACAATTGTGACGCCCCAACGGAGCTTTTACGACAAGAAGAAGAAGAAGAAGGTATTGATGAAGAAGGTCCTCCGTCTACGCTACCTCCGACAAGTGATAGTGATGGTGCAAGAAGAAGGTGTTTAGGGGAATCAATCGGAGAACCAAGTCCTCCACCCGATGAAGACCCTCGTCCAAACGACCTTGCTGCAGCCATACTATTTGTTAGCGGTTGCAAGCTGACCGATCTACGTAGCTGTTACTTCTATTATTTGTATCTAATCCTTTCCCCCTTGAAAAGGTCATAGATATGCTCTCACATAGATCAACTCGCAACCCTTAAATTTGCCTGTGACAATGCTTGTCGGACTACGTCGTTTTCTGGTTTCTTCTGACCGAAGAAGTAGCCCAGAATCTTAGCCTTCAACTCGTGCAAAGCTTCCCTGGGTGCACCTTCGCCTGGACGTCGGATCCGCAGAGGAAAAATGCCCAGGTCTTTGAGCAAATTCGTAATCACTCTGACATCGCGCCAATCCTTGAAGGTGTATCTGATAAAAACTTCTTGTAGCAAAGATTTCCATTCGGAATCGAACCAACTCAAAACCGTAGCCATGGATTCTTCTCCACTAGAAGTAGCTCCTGCTCCTGTTGTTGTATTCAAGAAAGCAGAATGTTGGTCACCTCCAGATCCTTTTGATCCTGGAGATCCTCCCATGAAGAGATTTCCTCCACCTCCACCACCACTTGAAGAAGATGTTAGATGAAGAATGCTGGGTCGTGCACTAGCAGGACTCTTTGTTCCTGTTGCGAAAGAGACTATACTTGGTCTACTGGCAGCACTGGGAGTCTTGCCACTAAGGTAAGCTGACGACTTTCGTGACACTGGTGCTGCGGCTGTTGAGCTTTTCCTCCCTCCGCTGAAGAGGGAGCCGAAGGTGCTCCTTCCAAACGAAGCCTTTCTCAGAATCGTAGTAGATCCTCGGAAGATATTGGGTGAAGAATTGTTGTTGTTGATGTTCATACTAGTGTTCTCCAGAGTAGCAGGTCCACCAGGAGAAGCTGCAGACACAGACATGGACTTCCTACCACGTGGAAACTCAATTCCGCCAGCTCCATTAGAAACTGAATGCGAACGAGAATGTTGTTGTGCTTGTTGCGGTTGCGGAGAGGAAGATGCTGGAGTTAAGCCGGAAGCAGCTGAAGCAGGTGTAGTGCTAGAGGTGAGGACGTTAATCCCAGTTGCTGTGTCGCGAATGTAACTGGAATTGCCGAACATGGCTTTCCGGAGACACGTGAGCATGCGCATTCTCTGTTTGGGAGTTTGCTTCATCTTGAAAGGGATCACCTTGATCAGGAGTTAGAAGAAGAGGACTACTTCTGAATCTGATGTGTGTCGAGTAAGTTCTAAGTGTTGCTGTTGATCTTAATAGAGATAGAGTGCATATAAGTACTTATAGGTTATAGTGATAAGATGTCCTAGTTGTCCCGTACATGCACTCGGACCTGTTGAGGTAAAATGATTATATCATCCCGCCCTTTTCCAGCGACATAAGTATCTAAATCTAAATTTTATCAGCTCATGATCGCTGCATAAGTTTTCGCTTTCCGCACTGCCAATGCTATTTTTTGTTCTTCCAGCATCCTCACTTCCCTTTCGCGTTCTAGTCGTCTGCGCAACACTGCTTGTTTTTTCAAACGTTTCAGTCTTCGTGTACGATGTCTCTCGCGACGCGCTGCGCGTTTCACGAAAAAGAGCTTTCGCAGCCCTAAAAAGTGTTTCTCTGCTGCATCGAGTAAAGCGTGCCTGCATGCAGAACCGCGTAGGAGACTGGGTGCGCTACCAGCGAAGGTGCCAACTGTGATCACGTCTTGGCGGAAATCTAAACTCTTCTTTCCACTCACCGCTTCTATCCGCTGCTTATGCAAGTCGCGGACACGTGATGTTGGCGAACTATTACTGCTGAGTCTTTTCTTCACGACTGATACCTTAGGCCGTGCTTTGGTCCATTCTTGCAAAGCCAAAGGAGCTCTTTCTATAGACCTAGATGGCGAAGAGACTGGAGGTGACTTAGAATTTCCTTGTGCGAGGACATCTTTAGTGCTGACACCACCTCGGAGCTTCCCTCTGCACAAGCCCTTGGGAGACCATGATGCAGTTTCCCTTCTGCTCTTCCTGGAAGATGAATGGTCGGCAGAACTCGGCCGGCCTCGCCATGCTACAAAACCGGCCTTGTATAAGCCTCCACGACGTAGATCTTCCCTCAAAGGATGCACCTTTATGCCAGCAGGAGCACTGGAGCATCGCGCTAGAACTCGACGCAGACCGGTTGGCGATTGTGCCTCGATGGGCGACCTCAGGTTTGAAAGATAGCTCGCTGCCAATATTAGAGCTCCCAATCCATCCTGAGAGCCATCCTGAACCCAGTTTTCTCTTGGAGAGAGGTCTCAGGATGATTTTGGAGATGGATTCCCGTTAGCCTTAACAATAGACTTCGGTACTCCACTTCCGGACCCTGATAGAAGCTGTCGGTTTCCCGGTAATCGAAGGGCATCTGCTCATCAGAGTCCGCGGTGTCTTGGTGTGAAACACGCGCAGCGAATTTGACGGATGTCTCTGGCATTGGAAGAGTGGTTTTATTGTTCCCGTCCTCCAGGTTATCTGGGCTGTGTTCTGGGCCTGTAGTAAATAAAGTGGCTGCATCAACATTTCGCTCTGTTGCTCCTTCCTCGTCAAAGTCGACATCCTCCGCGTCTTGCTCATTCACGGTCGTCCGCCTATCTTCTGCGCCCTTTTCGATTACAAGACCCTCTGCTTCTCCAGACGGCACATTAACGCTCGACTTCTGCTCATGCCTACCTGCTGATGGCTTCTTCAAGATGGGGGCTGCAGGCGTGGAGGTGCCAGCACTGTTGTAGTGTTCGGCTTCATTGGTCGTACTAACCTTCTCGCCATCTTGGTTTGTTGTCGCCGACTTTTCAACAGAGGCACTCTGCTTCTCCTGAGAAGAAGACGTAGCAACAGTTAACGTAGCTTGGTCTCCAGAACTAGAACTAGCTTGCTTGTCTTGTCTCCTAGTTTTAGCTCCTCCTGACCCGGTGCCCGTGCCCGATTGATGTGCATTCTTAGGCTGCAACAAAGAACGTCCCTCGTTTCTGGTTTTCCTCCGTTGTGCATACGGGGTCACCGTCAGCAGGAGAGGACCATAGGCACCCTCAAGTCTTGCTCGATCGCGTTGTAAAGAAGTTGTACAAAGATCTTGTCGCTGTCGTTCTTCGATTATATTATTGCTCTGTTGCATTGCTGTACTCGATGTAGACGTAGTCGGACCTGTGATGTTTGCACTCCCACTTGTAGCTTGTTTTGCACATGCGGTCTTCTGAGTGTTTCCGCCAGCACCAGAACCTGTCGGTTTCTTCTTCATCGCCTCTGTTCCTGGTGGCCCAGGGCCAGCAAACAACGTTGTCGCAGGCACAACAGGGACAGCACTTACAATGCGTGCCGGAGGCTCTTTATAGCAAGCAAAGAGAGCCTCTTTCAGATTTTTTGCTCGACTTCCGCTGATGTGTTCTTCGACACTTGTACTCGTGGTGGCTCCCGGACGAGCCTTCGAAGATACGTGATCCACTACATCATAATCATCTGCCTTAGTAGTTCCTCCAGTTCCACCTTTCGTTGACGACACCTGGCGCACCAAGACGTCCTTGTCTTCTTCACAGCGACACTCAGAGTTCGAAGAAAATTGATCTCTCGGGCCAAAAAGGAAACTGCCGATCAATTGCAAGACTTTTTTCATGTCTTCCCTTTGTGCGTCTCCACCTGCTCCGGACAGAAGAGCTTGCAAACCGCCTCCGGCACTTGATGATGTGGTCTGTACCGCTGCCGTAGTAGATGCTCTTTCTGATTCTGCATGACTAGTAGTTGCACTTTTCTGACTTGTTGTGTCTCGATGCGGACTGCTGCCATTTTTGCTGTGTTTTAGACGTTTACAAAAGCTGTTACTTCTTTTCATGTAGAAGTCCAGCACAGCAACACACAACACGCGGCAAGTATCCTGCGCTATTGCGGTCACATTCTAGTCAGGTTACCACCGAAAAATACTAACTGCTTCAAAGCAGAGAGATTCCCAGAGAAAGTCAAAATTCCAGCCATCACACTCATTTCCACAATTCACCTTGTTCCTCATCCTACTTAATCTTCTCCCAAATATTAAGCTTTGAAGCAGAAAGAACAGCGCAAAAATTATTCATGCTGAAGAAGACTACAACGTAAATAAAAGCGAGTTTGAGCATTGATCGTCTTAACTTCTTGTGTTTCCCATCCGCCGAGTGCTCTCTCTTTGTTTTCTTTGAAGATGAGGTACTGGCAGTGGAGTGATTCTTTCCTATTTTCATGGGATTTCCGAAGGCAGTAGCGGCCGCCATCTTCTGCGCGAGAGCGGCATGAGCACGAGCTATCCGAGACCCTATTCCGCCAACAGGAACAGCCTTTGGCTTGAGAGCGGCGGGATTATTGGGATTCGTCGTGCGAACTTTAGCTACAACTACTTGATGACCTTCCGTAGAATTTCTTGTACTACTAGAATGTGATTGTTCAACTGGCTGTTGATCTGTTGTACTCTTCCTAGGTGTGCTGGTACTGCTCGTTCTGGCTTCTGCTGCTCTTGTTTTTCCGATAGAAAAAGTAGGCTTAATCAATCTCCTCGACGAAGACACCGCTGCAACGGCAGCATTGGATGAAGAGACACGAGCTCCGGTGGAAGAAGTAGCTGTTGCAGTAGCATGAGATGGCTTTTTACCGACTTTATCAGCCAGAGCAGTAGGCTCAGCAGAGTGTTTTTTCTCTACTCCAGCTTGTTTTGCGAATAAAGCACTAGAAGAAAAAGGTGCGACCAAACCTCCTGTAAATTTTTTCTCAGCTGCTGCAGACGAATCTTCATCTTTGCTTGCCTCTAGAATCATGTCTTTTCCTACCTGTTCGCCATCTTTAATTGACTGTTGAGGCGCCTTGTCTTCAGCCGTGGCTTTTTGTACACACGGATGCACCACACCTCCAAGAGGCGGCAAAGCCAGAGTCGGCAAATTTTCAGTAACAGTATCAGAAATACTGGAGGGGGTTGGGACAGGAGCTGCGACAAAAGTACCACTACCTCCGTCGTGGGATACGGATCTTCGTCTTTGGTGAGCAACTGGAACTACAGTGGACTTTTGAGTGCTACCACTTCTAGCATCTTGACTTTGTCTTTGTTGATGATCCTGTTGACTTGAAACACCAGAACCCAACACTGCGGGATCTGACAAACGGCCTCCACCACCTGTTCTTGCTGACTTCCTCGATATGAGTCTCCTTGGCTCCTCGTCTTGCTGTTGTTCGGGGTAAACGATTGCTGTAGAGTTCCTCTTGGAGTCCAAGACTGATTCGCACACACCCGCAGCCCCAGGCACCTCTTCGCGTATGGCATCTTCGACAAGGCAAGTTGCAACGGTTTCGTTCTTAGGTGGATCTTTGTGAGGTTGACGAGGAGGACGGGAAGCGGAAGAGCTAGGAGAGGCTCCTTTCTCCTTTTCGTCCGAACTGGCACTCTTAGCAGACGCCATGCTCTTTAAAGACATTTTTTGTGGGTGGAGGTGGCTACTAGTACTATAGTCTCTCAGCCTTTCGTGAAGGTAGTTACAGAGAGACTCTTAATCGTCAGCATTCATCAGAAAAGGCAGACTGAAACTTTCTCCTGGTCGGTTTCATTGAGTGTTGAGGTTGACCGAGAAATCTCACCAAGGCCAAAGCGCATTAAGTGGTTCAAATTCAAGTTCAGGCGTGCCCTTTTCTTCAAAAAAAATGTGCGTGACCTCGAAGAATGGCGAAAACAGCCAACGTTGCCGGAAACCAGAAGTGAAAGGCTGACAGCACGTCTGTCTGTCAAACCTCTTCACGTACACGATGTTGTTTCATAATTTGTTCCCCAAGTAGAGCTCAATCACTCTGTACATCTTCCATGTCTTATCATCTGTGCCGCATGATGGAGGTGTAAAATTGGTGTTTTCTTGTATGTGGTCATCAATAAGACATTCCCTGATATAATGCCAAAGAAATTGATTGTTTGAGTTCTCTTAAGCTCATGTTCGTCGTGTTCGAGGAGTATTACATCGACGTACTTACAACTACATTTGGTACAAGGAACTATCTACTTACTTGCTTTAACCTGTAATGTTCTACTTATTTCAATTGACTCAAAGCCAGGCGTTGCTGTGTGCTCAAGGTATTCAATTCGGATTAATAGATCCTCGTAGTATACAGTTACAATCTGTGATAAGAAATTCGGTTCTGTTTTTGATTAGATTGGAATAAGAGAGACGTCAAAAAATACGTAGAAGTTGAGGGCATGATATCATGAAAAAAGTTCAAATTGATCGTATCATTTTCATCTGTTGTATAACCGCTAAACCAGTTTCGGCAACAGCACCCTATTCGCCGGAAATTTTTGTCCGTATGCAGTCGCGATTGCATCTGCCGTCTTTCTTTTCACTTGTGGCGATCCAACCTTCTTATCCTCGCCACGCAGACTACTCGCTAACTGACGAATTTGTTGTTTCTGCCGAGCCTTGAATTCATCAATGTTCTGTTTTTTCTTGGCAAGCTTCTTAGCGTTAGCGGCACGAACAGAAGGATGATCGAGAAATCCACTTTCTCCGGTGTTGCCATAGTCTTCAGGTAGTCGCTGCTTCATCTCACGCACCTCGTGCATGAGGGAGGCGACCTGAGATTGAGAATTGCGGTTGCGGAGAAATAGTTGTACACTTAGTGAACTGCGAAAGACAAAGAACTTCCTCATCCAGTAGAACATGATTACGATGTTGTACTACTCAAGCAGCTTTTTGCGAAGGAGATATTCCTGAAACGCCCTGGATGTAGAAACTCATCTTTTCTGAAAATCGACCAAGAAAATTGAAACCAAAGATTTCTTCTTCAGTCATCTTCTGAAAATAAAATACCTTCGCTTCCTCCACACTCAATGCTTTTCGATACGCCAGGACTTCGACGCGATGGGATTCTTTGCTCGTTTCCACTTCCGCTTGCAGGCGACGTAGATCTTTGGAGAAGATCTTTCTTTCTTCCTTAAGGATTTCTTCCAGACCCTCAGCTTTGTTGCTCTGGTTGTCGACAAAGACTTGTGCGTGCTGTGAAATGACGCGTTCTTCCGCTAATTTTTGCATCAGATTGTCGCGTTCTTTCTGCAGGAAGTCGCATTGGGCGCGGTAGGTTTCGAGAGTCTTCTCCATCATGCTAACGGTTCCCTCAGTCTCGCTTTTCATAGCTAAAGCCTTGCGGATTTCTTCATCACGCATGCGGAGGATATTGAGGAGTTGCTTTTCGTTCTTAGACTCGATGATGACCTCGTCTAAGACAACGCGACGAGCAACTTGGGTGACCAAAGTGGTAATACGATTCTCGTCGAGCTTAATCTGTGGTGTTTGGGAATGACAATAGTTTTAGTAGTAGAAAGGGTGAAGAAGATGACTCAGTTTGTTCCCATAATTCAAACAGAAACAGTTGTAACTCTTACGAATACGACAAAGAAATGAAATTAAATCTTACGACAAAGAAATGAAATCAAAACAGTTGTAACTCTTAATACAACAAAGAAATCAACTTCAATCCACATTAACAGAGTATCGAATATTGTTCAAAACTAGAAGCCAAGTACCCCTCTCGCTTCCAATCTTTGTCTTCGCCTTTCGTTTTTGCGTTCGCGCTCCTCTGGGTCAGTACTTTCGCTCTCTGACGAATCGCTTGAAGAACGACTTCGCTTTTTTTTCTTTTTCTTGCTCTTTTTCTCTTTTTCAGCAGAGTCCGGACGCTTTTCAGCTTGAGATGGTGCTGGCGACGCGTCTGTAGATTCTTTGGATTTGTTCGCATTAGCAGCTTTCTTCGCCTTATCCTGTTCTCCGGCTGCTGCTGCCAATGCTGCGGCACGGGCGGCCGCGGGGGATAGTTTCACTTTGGGGCCAGCCTTGGCTTTGCTTTTACCGAAGAGACGACCAGCACCAGCTTTCGAGAAGGCTTTCATGGCCACTGCTTTTGTTGCGGCTGCAGCTTTTTGGCTATCCGTTTGCTCTACTTTCAGACTGTCAACACCTTCCTCTTTAGAGTTAAAATTTTTCTCTGCATCCTCTTTTGGCTCTGCTTTGGACTCCTCACCCTGTCCCTCAACGACATCAGCATCGTCAGCGTTTTTATCTTCTTCTTTATTGTCGTCTTCTCCATCTTTTATTTTGCTGTCCAGGAAGCTCTTCATCTTGGCCTTCATATCGTCTGCATTGTCCTCTGGAAGATTTAAATGACTCGTCTTCACTCGCATTCGTTCAATACGAGCGGCTCTGCGTGCTCCGCGTTGGGCTCGTCGGTCCGCACGTGCTGTTTTGGTCTCTTCATCGTCGTTCTCGTCTGAACTACTTTCGTCTTCACTTGAGGATTCCAGACCTAGTTCTGCGAAATCGACGGGGGCCTGCGTTTCGGTACCGTCATCGTTGACGATGGTGGCGTATTCACCAATAACGGCGCGTCGTCGCCTACGCTCTGTGCGGCGAGCCATCTTTTGCTCCGCTGTCCACTTCCTGCGCTCTTCGCGCGTGTATGGCGTTCCACCTTCTCGCAAGAGACCCTCGGCAGTTACGGGAGGCGCATACTGTGGTTGTGTAGGAAATACTCGAAGATCCTTTTCTAAGTGCAACAAGACCAAAGGGATACCCTTGTCTTCAAGTCATCATATTTATACAATGTACAACACATCATAGATTTTTGAGCCAAGCCGTCTAATCATGGAGTGAATGTTCAGAACCTTTGCTCCAATTAGTCAATCAACAGGAGCCTTAGTCATGGTCATCATATACAACACATAGTGATGGAAGAAATTGCAACAAGACCAAAGGGAAGTGTTACCCTTGTCTTCAAGTCATCATATTCTATACAACACATACTGATGGAAGAGAAAGTTTTTTTTCCATCACGATCACTATGTGTTGTTGTATAACTGGTAAGCGTGAGATAAGAGCCGAGAAATATCGAGAGATGTGTTGTTGTATAAATACGACATCAAAAGCGAAAGTTTTAAACTACATCAAAAGCGAAGAAGGTAAAGGAATCATGTTCATCTCCATGTCAAAATTGAGCGAGAAAAATCACGACAAAAGTACGTCCACAGCTTGCATGCTTATTTCGATTTCCTTCCCCTCCGAGTCTTGCATTCTTACGTTATCTTCAGAGTTCGTTTTTCCTGCTTCTATCATTCTCGGTGTCATACGTTCGTGAGACCCGAACGCAGTCACATGGGCACTAGAATGCAAATCTGGCGGTGTCCCGAATCGTTCTACCTCTTTGACTGGGCCAACGACACCTACGGTATAATTGTGCAGCCCATTGCTAGCTGCTTCCCCAATAGTGGCATCTGCTAGAGCATTCATGGACTCGCGACTCGCTAAGCTACGGACCTCACCGTAACTGGAACTACTATCGGGACGAACGGGGATGGTTTGGTTACGTGGAGAGAGTGCTCGACTGTTTTTGGCTTTCTCAGCATCCTCTCTCATCTCGTCGACGTCGTCGACGCATCGCATGATCGCAGGTGCTGATTGAATAATCGTAGCTTGATTGCCTCCACTCACTTCTGTAGGTGCTTCAAGATTTTGGGTGGATTGAGCAGCAGGAACCACTTGTTCGGCCTTCTCAACAACAACATTAGCATCAAATTGGATTTTTGGCTTCGAACCTTGATCTTCTTCCTGCTTCAAATTGACGTCGTTTCCCCCTTCACCCGCGAGTTGCGCTCCAGCATTTTCCTTCGTCGAAGTTCTAGACGCTGCTCGATCCGCTTCTACACCTTTTTCCACGGCGTTCTCTAGCAAAGGCTCAAACATTGCGGAGACTTCGTCTGGTTCAGGCACATCCGGGTTAGCTTCAGGAGGACCACTTCTAACATCTTTCTCACGTCCGTCTAGCGTGTCCTTGCTACGCGAGTAAACTGAAAAAGCATCTGTGTCTTGGTTCGCTTCCTCCTGGTCAGCTTCCTCTTGAAGATCTTGGTTCATCTTGTTGTCGGATTCAGTCTGTGGTCCCTCTTCCTGTTCCGCCTCTGTCTCCTCGGAACAAACTACAGGTACTACAGTAGTTGTGATTGCAGCAACCTGTAGTTCCTCTGTCTGTAGGTCCGGTGTCGCGTTCACCGCTTCAGGGGTCTCGAGAGCATGCTTTTCCACAGTGTTCACTTCAGCCGCCTCCACATCTTCCTGAGTCTCTACTGCAGCTGCCTCTACTTCGCCTACTTGTGCTTCTGGATCAACTTGCTCAACTACTGCCTCGACCACTGGCTCAACAGGTTGCGCATCAGCCGTACTACTAGAGGAACTCAAGAGTGCATCCTCTACTGGAGCAGGAACTGGCTCTACCTCTGCATTTGCAGTTTCTTGCTGTTCCTGTTCGGCAGTAGCCAACAGCGGTTCTGCGGCTGGTTGCAGCATAGCAGCAGCGATATCAACTTCATCAGTACCTTGTTCAACCACATCGTTGTCCTCTGGCGCCGGTACTTCTAGCATATTTTTACCCTGAAGAAGATCGGCGGTAATATCTTCATTTTCCCCACTCTGCTCTTCTTGTTCCTCTGCGTCGCTCTGCAAATGACGACCTTCTAGTTCAACTTGTTCGTGCGGAGAGCCTACTACTGTCTTTAACAACGGTGAACAAGAAGTCTCATCAACAGAACTTTTCTCACCACAAGGTGCTTCATCACTGCTCACCAGGTCTTCATCACGTTCCTCGACTATCCTTTCCAGTGTTGAGTAGTCAGACCCTAAATGCTTCCTGATCTCCATGCGTTGCACACGACGAGCGCAATCGCGGATGAAAGCCTGAAACTGGGCCTCGCCTCCGAATAGACGGGCCAACTCTGCTAGATCTTCGAAGCTTGGGTCCTCGTCATCCTCGCCACAATTCTCCTCAGGATCTTCTGAGCATCCTCCTGTTTGAAGATCGTCATTCACATCATCTTCCGGAGAGGCACCGCCACCAGCCTGTCGAGCTATATTTTCTTCAGTGGAGTGTACTCTTCTAGCAACGCTTGTATCTCGTCCTTCCCCACCGTCTTCTGCTCCACCTGCTTCATCCGCTTGACCACCTCTACTCCTACACATCACTTGCGCTGCTCCACCAGCACCAGAGGTTCCTACAGGTCCCGCCCCATTTCCTCGGTTATAATTAGCACCTTCCATGGAACTAGATGGTACTAAGGATCCTCTACTTGGCTGCATCATTTGACGCATCAGCATCGACATAGGCAATGTCATCACTGGCGAGTGAGCTGTGATAAGTTCATCTTCTTCGGAATCAGGAGTCACATGGCCCTCGTTATCGGGGGTCGGTGGGGTACGGAAACCTTGTTCAGCTCCTTCTACAAGAACTGTGTCATCACCATCAGCATGAAGATGCTCTTGAGGTTGAAGATAATTGTCCTCTCCAGGAGATTCTTCATCAGCAGTATCATTTTGTTCAACACCAGCATCGACATTTTTATCATCCCTTGCTCCAGCAGCATATTCGTTTTTCTTTTCAGCATCTTCCAGGGCACGAAGATCAGCTATTTCCTTGTCAAGGGAAGCTTCAATTTCATCAACGACAGAGGCGATTTTCCTATTCTCTAGTACAGCCTCTTCCTCCACTCTACTTTTCACTGTCGAAGCATGCGCTTCCTTACTATGCTCAACAGCATCTTCTTTAGCCGGATTGCCCTCCCAGATCAATGGGATCGGGCCGTTGTCTGTGGTGGGATGCGTCGGCGAGGACATCTTTGTTATATAGAGGATGCTTTATGAGGAGATGGAGGCTAGGCAGCCAGGCAGACGTAAATTCTAACGTTGATGCAGCATCAATGATGCTGAGCAGAAAGAGACAGAAAATAAATTCAAGTCGAAGTTGTAGTCGGAATTATGTAGGTAGTTGCTATACCTCGTTGTGTGAGTAGAAGGCATGACAGTATATTCATAGTACAACATGCAATAGCAATTAACAGAATAAAAATTCCAAAGGATTGACAGGGCGGGTAAACTTGAAAATTGTCATGGGACGATAAAAAGGTTGATTATATTTTCTTGGGATGCCTGATCGGAAATTGATTTTGATGGAACAGCTCTAGGATGTTGTTCCTCATCTTCATTTAGGAACAAATTATTAACTCTCTCAAACGACAGAAGCTTTTTCTCTTGTACAACAGATTCTGGTCTTTGCTCTCCTTGCGCAAATAGAAGCGGTTTTTTAGATCAGTGTTCACTAAACAGAATCATTCTCGACAGATTGTTGTAGTCTTATGTTTTTCTCTATACGCTTGTTACCTGTCACTGTTTTATCACAATAAACATCGTTGTAGCTTAACATCGCCAGATAATGCTCGATGTTTTGTTCTTGTAGTAATTGTAATCGCAGAGCAATGGTTCTAGGAATAGCAGAGCAATTTATATTATAAGGTTTCACAGCTCGCATGGCATGGAGTGCATGGATCACATGGAGTAGCATGGAGCTAAAAGGGGAGCTTCTTGCGCCCCTTAAAGCTCTGCCCTCCATGCACCATGCGTGCTATAAACTACTCTGGAATAGATTCGTTGCTTCTTTCTGTACACCTCCTTCTCGATGTCATAGCATTTGGGCTAAAATCACTTACCGCCCTTAACCCTGTCCTAGTTCCGACCTTTTCAGAGTAGCAACAGCAATTATACATGCTGCCATGTATTACTTACCGCAGAGGACCCTACCCTTTCCCCTACACCCAACATTTCCAAGGACCCTCCGGATAGCCGTCATGGTCAGGTTGAGGCGTTTTGATCACAAGCTGTTCACCTTGTTCTGCATTGAGACTCTCTGATCCTAAAAAATCGTCTCGTTTCCCATTTTCTGACGGTGGTGTCTTAGCGGTGGCTGTAGTTTTTCGTCAGCCTGATCGGCCACACGCGAAAGCTATACCCTGGATAGGTAATTCCGCAACATTACAACTGTCGACATGGATTAGAACTCCAAACGATGCATTTCTAGCCTTCGTTTCTTCAGATTTCCAAGGAGGAAACAGAGGAAAATGGCCGTTGGAAATGAATTGCGTCGAGCCGTAAATGAAGGTACTCGCCATCGCCGAATCTTGTTTCATTGTCGTCCTCTTTAAGATGAGATTACACTTTCAACGTCCTGTTCGGAGCGGCGTTTACCTGCTCTTCAAGAGAAGACATGGTCTCCTACGTTGATCTCTTTTTGATAAGAACTACTTTAGTCAACAAGTTGTAGTGGTAGAATTTTGTCGCGTTGGTATTCAAGGAATTTTCAGTTGAAACTGAAATCACACGATTGAATCCTCCTAGGAATCAACGCAAGAACTCAAATTTCGTACTCAGCACAATATTTGCAGATGCAGCAACAAAGAACATAATTAATAAAAGTAAAACTCGGAGAATGGTGACGGGCAGGGCTAAGAAAATGAAAACGACTAGAATGCGTCCGATTTCTGGAGGAAATTTTCTTTGAGAAGCCTACAATCAAAATATTAGAACACAAAATAGTACTTGCGCTGGTCGTAGAGGCTCCAAGTGTATATGAAAAAGAAAAGGCAGACTACAATCATGGCAAGCAAGTGGGTGAGAACACGATTTTTGGATGAGACTTTATATATAATTCGGCGCTAGATTTATTACTTACGGCTTATCAACGTTTGACAGACTTCTGCCATCGGTAAGATCACCGGCACACAAATCAAGATTATCACTCTTTCTCACTCGTAGTAGGTATATTATAATTATCAGTGGGAAAGTACTTACAACAGATTGTGACTCAATTGAGCTTATGAGTTTCTTGAACCCTACGGAGACTATTTAAGATGACAAGAAAAATCTCACCAGGAGGAGTGTTGGAGCCCGATGCAAACTAGAACAGCCACAGCATAAACTAGTCAGCTAGAAAATAGAGACCACTAGCTCTGGTAGTGAGCGAGACCGAAGCCAAGACACTGGCAGTACAGGTCGAACCGTGACGATTAGGAATGCATAGAAAGGACAAAGAAAGCTTTTCTACTTTAAGCTTAACCGATTACCATTGCACAGGAGACTCTTTTTGGATCAATAGTTCTCTTTTACAGACAGAGAGAGGCCCACATGAGCAACAGCATGATCAAAATTGAAGGTGTCACAACATCGAAACCGATGACACAGGTAAGACAACTATATACTCTCTGCGGTTCTTGGATCTAGCGCAGTTTGTCTGAGAATGTTATTCTCTCCAGTTACTGAAGGCCCACATCGCGAAGCGAGTAGCAATAAGTTTAGCTTTCCATTTTTCGTTTCTTCTTCTCACCGCCAGCTTTTTCCATCTCTCTCCACGGCCTTGTTGCTCTTGAAAGCCTTGATGACACAGGTAATTTCAGCCAAGTGTCTGAGAATTCTCTACAGTTAGTGAAGGTCCACATGAATAAGTCTCGACCGACCTGAACGTGAACCTGCGCCGCGGAAAACTGGTGCATGCTTTCTCCTACTTACCCGATTTGAACCGCGCCTTTTCCTCTGTTTTTGTATTCTTCTTCACGCGCGTGCGCCACGGTCGGCGCATGTAATATTCTTATACGGGAGGACCTCCAACGAAAAAAAAAAATTGTATAAAATTCCAATTTATCAACATCTAGTACGACACGTATTCTTCTTCTTGACAACAGCTGACAATCTGATGACACTGGTGCGACCAAAAAAAACCAGGAGAAATCTTTATTTGTATCTTGTTCTGCGTTGAAGCGTCTAGTTCCCTGCATGCGCTCAGCATCTGGGAGGCTTTAACCCCCTTATATATGTAGCTTTCCTTTCTTCATGACCCTATGCTCAGCATCTAGGCTTTAAGCCCCTTATGTCGCTTTCCTTTCTTCATGGTCCTCGACCACCTCCACCTCCAGCCAAATCCAACATCCCCACAGCACACCCACTGCCACTACCACTGGTCACTCCTGGCGACGTAGCTGCAAAGAGTTGCTCAGCGAGCGCTTGGTTTGTGTGCCTTAGTCGATCCATCTCTTCACACAGACTTGAGTACTTTTGCTGCATGTCTGCCCTTTCCGCTCTGAAGATCTGCAGCTCCGTCATCAAATCATCCCGCTTCCCGAAAGAACTATCTGTTACCTCCAAGAGTTGCCGTTTTTCAGCAAAGACCTCCTCCAATTTGGCTAGCAACTCAGCGTTCTCCCGGACGAGACCCTGGATGGTCTCTTCGCGAAGCAAGATGTTGTTGCCGTCTAGAGATCTCTGTAGCTGTTGTTGACCCAAAATTGTAGGAGTCTCAACAATCGTCCTTTGTTCGCAGCTTGAGGACGAGGCCACTTCAGTATCTTCTCTTTTTATTGCCATACTTAAAGGTTGCCACATTACATCCTTCAGAACATCAACATCCCCCACCTCTTTCCTACTAGAAAGAGAATGCGGGATGGTTGTGGAGGATGTAATTGGCTAGCCCTTAAAATACTATCCTCCCGTGCTTGTTCAGGATCTACTGCTCCATTAGAAGCGGTACGTAACGGCACCAGAGTTGTGGTCCCACCTCTGTGGTCTTCCCTGTAAGTACTAGAGCGGTTTGCTCCTTCTTCAATTTTAGAAGGAGCTTCAGGTAGCCGCCCAAGAGGCCCAGTACTACTAGTTGCACCACTGCTACTACAGCTATTGCTGCTCGAAGATGAAATCCCTCCTCCTCCTCCTGATGTCCTCCTCGAACCAGCTTCTTGGCCCACATCGAAATCCAACGCCTCTGCTCTCACAGGTGAGGGATTCAAGGATTGACCACCTTGCTTCAGAACGGCTTCTAACTCGAGGATTCTAGAATGTAAAGCGTTGATGTGCGGTTGTAACTGCATTACTGGCGAACTACCGGTTGAAGAGTGCGTCCATGGAGTCGTGCTGGTTGCCTTTATTACACTAGAAGACGAAGCAGAAGAGGAAGAGCATGCTGAGGGTTTTACGGCAGAAATTGGCACATTGTTGGATGTTGAACTCGTAAATGATTGTCGACCGGGAACTCCGTCTCCGGGACACAGAGACGAAGGAACATGACCTGTGGAGAGATGAGACAGCCATCAAACAGATGAGCACTGGTTGAGTATCGAGGTAAACGTAAAACTAAGAAGTCTGATACTTTCATGTTCATCTTGAGTAATTCTTGGTGATCGTTGTAACGACATAGAGATGCCAAGATGGTGAAGTTTGTACATCATCATGTGTGCCTACAACTACGACGCATTCATTAGGCAGATCACACAGATCTTATAGCAATAAGTACCTTGTCCACTCTCTCCGTCTCCTCGTAACTCCACTATCTCTGCTTGCAGCGCCGCTATCTCGGCTTCCTTCGCTAATCGCAGAGCCTCTATTTCCCGTTCTCGTTCATGCTGTACGAAGGCTTGCACTTTTTCTAGCAAAGCAGCATGTTCTGCCAGTTCCTCAGCTAGAAAAGCATCCTCCTGTTGCTGTGATGTGCCAGTGGCAGAAGTCGCGGAAGATGAATTGTAGTGTTGATCACTGTGTAGTAGATCTAGAACTTGTTCCGTTTGTTCATCATGACCAAGAACAGGATCAAAGTTCGCTCCTCCAATCGCAACTACCTGCACTGATTCGTCATCTTGTTCGCGCAAAGAGGCACTTACGCTACTAGAGAAAGCCCCTGCATGCGTAGATTTGGAGGATGCACAAGAAGCTGAGTTTGACGCTCCAAACTCGCCATTTTTGAATCTGAATTGAACTACCTGCTTGTTATTCGAAGGAGAGACTGAACACTCTTCTTGTTCTTGGTCCTCGTCATCGTCGTCGTCGTCGTCGTCGTCGTCGTCAATGTGTATTCGTGCAGACCAAGATTGAGAAGAAGTGAGCGAGGGAGAACGCTGCTCCTCGCGTATTACAACGTCTCTAGCAGGAGGCTCACTTCCACTCGAAGCTTCCGCTGCTCCTCCCTTCCGTGACCCAGCAGCCGCCCTGTCGCTGAGTCTCTTCCGGAGGCCTTCGATTTCGTCTCTGTATTGCGAAAATATAGTGCTGATTGAAATGATCTCGTAATCGCTTTCTGACTTCTCTGTTCGCACAGTCAGGAAAGAACTGTCGACATCTGCGGCGAGGACTGCTCCACGCCCATGAGATGAGCCATCTTCGACTAAAACCTCCCCGTCAACATCTGCGTGGTGTGCTTGCTGCTCATCGATCGGATTTCTGTTGCAGGCGAGTTTTTCGTTCTTGTTTTGTCGAGTTGTCTCTCCTATGATTCCACGTAGCTCCGCAGCTTGTTCCTCTACCCTCTTCCGCAAAGCCTCGTTCTCTTCTTGAAATTGAGAGAGCAATGCTGTCACTGACAGAATATCCACCTGCTCCCAATACCCCTTGGAACCACAGGAGCTTGTGCGTGCAACGTCACCACCAGGAGGCTGCTCTTGTTGCAAAATCTCCTGTCCATCCGTGCTGATGGTCTCACAACTGCTGATAGTTTCGCTTGGCAACCGCAGGACGTCTCCAGGCCACGAGCCAGGGGGGAAAGAGGATAGAAGTAGACCAGACGAGTCTTCTTTCAAGAGCGGTTCTCTTTAGAGGTTGCCACATTGCATTCTTCAGATCATCCCTGGCCCCTTTCCTAGTACTGGAAAAAAGTCAAGGATGGTAGTGAAGAATGCAGTGTGGTATAACCCTTAATCTTTAGAACCATGTTGCTGTACTTGTTGTAGCTGCTGCAAAAACGCTGATATAGTAGCTCTGCTGATATCCGTTTGCGCTGGTTGGTCCACAGGAATAGTCGTTTGGGTGCTACCACTTGCAACAAGAGGGAAACCTGCTCCTTGAGTATGAGTTTCCACCGCAACACTTTTTAACATCGCAAAAGACCGACCAGAACCAGAACTCATAGTTTCGACATCTTCTGTTTGCGTCGATGCTTCCACAACAAGAGATGCAACTTTTTGAATCACAGGCTCTTCTTGGAAGTAGAAGTCCGTCTGTGTTTCAGCTACATTCAAAGCCAGAATTTCCGTTTGCGTCTCACCCACTGCGCGTGTCACGGATATCGTATCAGTCTGAGTCTCAGCCAAAGCTAGTTCAACGCTTTCAGTCTGCGTGCCCGCTATGTCAAGAACCGCGGAGTCGGTTTGCGTCTCTGCTACCGTACCAGGTAAACTAGGCTCCGTTTGCGTTTCCACTACAGTGCTAACAATGACCTCAGTCTGTGTTTCCGCTACCGTGCTAACAACGACTTCAGTCTGTGTTTCCACTACCGTGCCAACAATGACCTCAGTCTGCGTCTCAACCACGGCAAGTTCAACACTCTCAGTCTGGGTCTCTGCCATTCCAACGATAGCAGCATCAGTCTGCGTGAAGGCTATCTCACAGGCAACAGGCTCAGTCTGCGTCCCTGTGATATCGAAAACAGTGACCTCCGTCTGAGTCTGAGCCACGTCACCGAGTATAGGCTCTGTCTGAGTCTGAGCCACCTCGCCGGGCATAGGCTCTGTCTGCGTTTGAGCCACCTCACCGGGCATGGGGTCTGTCTGCGTCTGAGCCATCTCACCAACAATAGGCTCCGTCTGAGTCTGAGCCACCTCACCGGGCATAGGCTCTGTCTGCGTTTGAGCCACCTCACCGGGCATGGGGTCTGTCTGCGTCTGAGCCATCTCACCAACAATAGGCTCCGTCTGAGTCTGAGCTACCTCACCAGCAGGAGTAGGCTCGGTCTGAGTCTGAGCCAGGACATACTCATTCCGCTCCGTTTGCGTTCCTGTCGCCTCACCACACGTTGTCTGAGTCTGCGTCTCTGCTATCCGGCCAGCGATAGCTTCCGTCTGAGTTTCCACCTCGCCAGCAACAGCCGTCTCAGTCTGCGTCTGAGCCAAAGTGAATTCAACGACTTCAGTCTGTGTCATTCTTACCTCACCAGCCACCACTTCCGTTTGTATCTCCACCGAAGCGCCTACAAAACCCTCTGTCTGCATCTCCCTTGACTCAACACAGGCAAATGGCTCTGCCTCTGTCTGGGCTTCTCCCTCAATAGAGGCTAATGGTTCCGTCTGCCCTTCACCATCGCCACAGGCTATTGCAGGCAAATCCTCTGTTTGCGTCTCCACGTCGACAAGACTGGCAGTTGAACGCTTAGTTGTTGCGTGTCGTTTCCTTTTCCGACTCTTTATCATAGTACCTCTGTCTTCTTGTTCATTTTGGAGGTTATTCATCTCGCCTCCTGCTTTCACAGTTCCACTGTTCTGCTCCTCTGTGTCTAGTACAACGCTCATTTCATCATCATCATCATCACCCTCGTCCCCGTGATCCGTTTCCGGTCGTGATGTCTCTGCTTTGTCTTTTTCTCCTCCTCCTCTGGTTGAAGCCTCCTTCTCCCCTCCCTTGCTTGCATTCTGCGGCGAATTCGGTGGTGTCAACTGCACAGCCCATTTGCAACTTAGCATGGAGGCCAAAGAGCCGCTAGATGCTGGGTCGAGCGGCGAAGACGCATCAAATCCTTTATCTCTGTTGGCTCCCAAAATCTTTCCACCAGGTCCCATACGAACTTGACCAGGTCGTTGTGCCACTTGTTCTTCGGGGCCTTCATCTCCAGTTGTCGTGGTAGAAGACTGTTCTCGATCAGAGGACGCAGGTTGTGGCTGCCTATGCTTTGGCGGAATTATTATGGACGCGGCTCCCATCTTGAGAGAAGATAAAACTTGCCCATTTTGAAGAATACCTGGTTCTCCTGCCGCAGTAGGAACAATGCCTCCATGCTGTATATCAACACCCATGTTCTGTAGTGGATTCTTGTTCGGCGACCCGGATTGAGAATGGCCAGCCGATGAATCGTTTCGGCTGGCCGCCTGCGACGTGCCTCGACTCACGACAACGCGTGTCGTAGCTCCACCGAAAACGTAGTCTGCAAACGAGTCCAGAAGTTTCTCTCCTAGATCTGCGAAAGAGGCGGCTGAAGACGCAGAAGACGATGTGGAAGAGGCTCCTCCCACTCCTGAGGATAGTGAACCTGCTCCAGTTGCACCAAAAGTTGTACCCTCACCAGCATAATTAGCTGCGCTTATTTGAATCGTTCCAGGTGCGATAGTTGCGGGTATACACGACTCCCCAGCTGGTTTTGTCGGAGATACACCTGAAGATATTGCCCCGTCTTCCTCACGTAGACATGTTGTGGTGCATGATGCAGCTTCCCTAATATCTTCGCTTCCTTTACCATCTCCATCGTCAGCGATCATAGGATCAGGTACTACAGCATCAGACCCCACACTAGACGTAACCACTATGGAACTCGTGTGTTTCGGGGAATGGGAACCACCTCCACCATCGTCGATACTAGATGATAGTCCCGGCTGTGCGCCACCTAGTCCCTCCTTGTGACCGCAGTCAGCGGGACTAGAGGGAGGCGCCGCGGTCATCTTCTTTGCTCCTCCACTAGTTCTTACCTACATCCTTACATGTGGACTTATCCCAACATTCTTCTATAATCGTGGTGGTCTTACTCAAAAGTACACGACAAACCTTCAGAAGTGCACAAAACAAGCACACAAAACCTACAAGAAAGCTTTCAGGAGGATGCTGTCCCTCCCATACCTCTCACTCGCAGTGGAAGTTCCCTAGAAAAGGTGCCTACTATGATCTGATACACGTGGTCACATCCATCGTAGCAGATCAAAAGATGCTGATCCAAGAACTAAACGTACGCAGACGCCGCATGAGGTGCATGTCGATTCTCTTTTTTAATATTAGCACAAGCAACAAAGGCCGTCGCTCTCCTCCGTCGGTTTCGTGCTCCCCGCGATAATCTGCCTTGCGAAGGACTCCTCGCTCATGTCCATCGGTGGAGCTGCTGTTTCCAAAAGCAATTTACTTCTAAAAATTATAAACTGATACCTCCGTTTGTTCAGGTCAATCTGGTATTTTATGTTCTTGTCGACATTTATCATCTTCTTCTTCATTGAAAAATCATTGTCCGAAGAAGACCAGTGCCGCGTCGTGAAGACAGTTACGAAAACCATCACATGACGCAGCTCGGCCTCCCATAAGCAGGGGTCTTCAAAGAAAGACGGATATTAGAGATGGCGGGTATCTGTCTATTTTTGTGGGTGGACGACGGCCTCACATTGTTGCAGATTAAGTAGACCTCGTCTAGGCGCTACGAGAATTCATTGAAGAACTGTGATAACGACAACAGGTCGTCTTAGTGCAACCTTGTGGTCTGCTTGATGATACTCATCAACACACTTAAAATTCTACTACACACGTATATCATCAAGCAAATACTCAGAGGATGGTTGTAAAAACCACATCAGTTGTCGTCCACTTGTTTCTCAAGAACTAATCCTACGAAGAAGAATCACACATCTGCATATTACCTGATCGAAAAAGAATCAGAGGTACTAAAAATACACACTGAAGAAAGTAAAAATCACAACAATATTCGGAATACGATGAAATCTGTATAGAACCAACTACGAACAACACTGAAAGAATTTTCCTAGTTACGAATAGTGATTAAAATTGATCATAATGATGAAATTTTAACCTCATAATGATGAATTTTCCATGTATAATGTTTACCGAAAAAAAAAGAAAAATGAAAAGATGAGTTGACAAGGAACTACGAAGATACCAAGAAATGTACTGGCCACAGAGTCTTTGATACGACCTGTTTCTCTGCCACGCCTTTGAGCTGGCACGAAGAAAACTGGTAGTAGGACAACTTCTATGTTCTACAACATCAACATTACGCACGACGCGTTGCGGCATCTTCTCAAATCAACTGTTCGTCGGGGATCTGCTCTTGCAAGTAGGTTTTCGTTGACCGAAAAAATGTCTCGTCCTACTAAAGCGAAGTACAAGGAAGTTGAAAAGAAGAAGACATATCGTCCAATAGAAGATCACTGTTCATCTGTTGTATCAACGATAGAAAATGTCATCAAGAAAAACTAGACTCGACCCCCCTTTAGGCCTTGGCAGCCTTTGCGATTTCGCGATCGCGCGAGTAGAATTCGTCCTTGATCTTCTTTGGCAGCTTCTTCAGCATGTCTTCCGGGAAAATACGCAACAGCTCCCAGGCAAGGTCCAATGAGTTGAAGACGTCGCGCTTTTCGTAGGGTCCCTGTTGCACAAATCGCTCCTCAAACTTGTCGATGAATTCCAAGTATAGGTGATCCTCGTCGTTCAAAGCCTCCTCACCAACGACAGCCTTGATAGCGCGAGTATCCTGAAGTGGGGAGAATGGATGAAAATCATCCGTTGAGATTGAAAAAGAAAAATTGTATAGCAAACTCACGAAAAACATGCAACAAATGAATTACGATCAATCCTTTCACATCAAAACTTGAACCCCATCAAACCATATATTTGATTAACTCTATCTATACGAAAGATTCTCGCACTCTCTCTTGTTCCGCTCTTCACATCATACATCTTTCTAATAGTTGTTCTTCTAAATGTGTGAAATGATAGATTTACCTGTCCGATTGCGTAGTTTGCGTACAGCTGATCGGACACGTTCGCGTGATCCACTCGTGTCATACCCTTTCCGATACCGCTCTTCATTAGTCGGGACAAACTCGGCAGCACGTTGATCGGAGGATAGATTTGTCTGTTGTGCAGGCCACGATCGACGAACACCTGGAGCAGTCAGATAGAGATAGGGTAGTTTTAGGAAGCCCCTGCGTTTCTCTCATAGCCTGGCTGATGAGGACCGGACGAAGATGAATCTGGTTCCTCGACGAGGTGACTTTTGAACACGTAGTTACATCGGTAGCCTCTTCTCTGCTACACGCTAAGTACTTCCAGTGTCTTTATTAACCTAACCACAAGAAGTATAGGACCGATAAAGATAGGGTAGCTGAAAAAAGAACCTAACCACAAGAAGTATAGGACCGATAAAGATAGGGTAGCTGAAAAAAGAACCACAAGAAGTATAGGACCGATCAACTACAGAGAAGCAACCAATTACAGGACCATGACTCATGAAATGAAAAGACCTTCATCTTCTTGCGTAGGTATGCATCTATAAAAGTTACCTGTCCTTCCGTGATATAACCGGTCAAATCCGGAATCGGGTGGGTAATATCGTCGTTCGGCATAGTCAAAATTGGCAACTGCGTGATAGAACCGTTCTTTCCCTCTACTCGGCCAGCACGCTCGTAGAGCTGGGCTAAATCTGTGTACATGTAACCTGGGTAACCACGTCGACCGGGGACCTCTTCACGCGCTGCCGAGATTTCTCGCAATGCATCGGCATAGGAAGACACATCGGTCATGATAGACAGCACGTGCATTTCTCGGGTATAAGCGAAGTACTCCGCGGTTGTCAAGGCGAGACTGAGTTACGATTGATGAGTGAAGGTATTTTGGAGTTTATGCTACTGCTCAGACTGAACAACTGTTGTATTCAGAGGTAAAGAACAAAAGTAGAGAGATGAGGGGCCTAAGAAAGCAAATTAAAAGTGTTACCGTGGCGTGACAATTCGCTCGATTGTCGGGTCGTTTGCCAAGTTCAAGAACAGCACAACGTTCTCCATACTTCCGTTCTGCTCGAAATCGTTGCGGAAAAATCGCGCGGTCTCCATATTCACACCCATTGCTGCGAAAACGATGAAGACTTAGAGAGGTAGTACTCGTATCTTCCTTCGTAACCTCCTACTTATCCTTCTTCATATTAAAGCTCAGCCTTCGGTGGTCACTGATTCTGAACGGAAGGGACCCCCTTCAAAGCTCTCCCCTTTCCCTTCGCTTTCCCCTGTTCTCTCAAGGGGTCGCCAGTGACCAACCCCAATGACCATTGAAAGCTGAGCCTTAATTATATCAACTGTGGATAAACGGAGGTCCTGCTTACGCGACAAGCGACTGTGATGAAGAATACAATACATCGATCAAAAATTATGAGTAGATGAAGCCGTAAGAGAAGTTATCCACACTATGATCCATCACGTCCTTTCCCTTTACCAAGCCAGCCTGTCGGCAAATCTGTGCTGCAATCTCGTTATGTGGCAAACCCGCAGCAGAGAAAAGAGGCAACTTCTGACCACGGACCTGGTAGAGTTGTCACAGGATGGTGCTCCCTTTGCTTGTTTCTCTTTTGTTCATTATAAGTCAGTGAACAAAATTTTCTAGGTACTGCCCTTCGCTTCTTAAATTTTTTTACGTCTACATAGTAGTAGTACTAACTTAGAAAATTATCAATATTTTACGTTTATAAGTAGTAGATTCACAGAGGAGGAAGATAAACTTACGTTTGTAGTAGATTCAACACAGAGGAGGAAGATAAACTTCGTTTTACCAAGGAGTTCATGACATCGATCGTCGAGACACCGGTCTCGATCATTTCCTTCGGGTAGACGCGGGCCTTTGGGTTCATCGGGTTACCCTGGATACTGAGGAACTCCTCCGCCAACACTGGGGGTCCCTTGTCAATCGGCTTTCCGCTACCATTAAACGCTCGCCCGATGATTAGAGGTTGTTTTTGTTTTATTCTAACTAAAAACAAGATGCTAGTACGATTTTTAAGTGAGATGCAGTAAAAAGCAATTTACATACTTATAACATCAAATCGTCGAAGGCCACCACATTGGTTCATCTACAATTGCTGAGAGGACAACAGAGTAAGAATAAGAGTCATGCAGCACAAAGTAATCCATAACATCAAGTCATCGGAGATCGGCATCTTGAGGACATCGCCGGTAAATTCGATGTGCGTGTTCTTCACATCGACGCCAGAAGTGCCTTCAAACACCTGCACAATGGCCTTCTTTTTGTTGACCTCAAGGATCTGTCCCTGTCGCACCCGACCATCTGCGAGGCAGACATTGACAATCTCACCTGTTGAGTTGGTGAGATGCTGAGTTCTTTTCTCGGTAAAAATAGTAGGTAGGAGTTTGTGAGACACAAACTTCCCATGCTTCCGATGGTGATGGCTTGCCATTCGTTACTCATCAACAACGGGGAAGACAAGTGCGACATGCGGAAAATTGGCAAATAATTACCAAAGGTCGGAAACTTGACATTGTCCATGATAACGAGAGGACCCTCGACACCAACAATCGTCTGGTAGTCCAGACGAGGCTGGACGCTGTAACCTCCGGCCGGCATTTTTTCTGTTTTTTTTGTAGTACTACAATGTAACTTTTAAATATTGAAAAAATCGTATTAATAAAGAATTAGTCTTACAACAGTGGCCGGTCAAGAATGACGGGCCCACTCGTATTCTACAATGAATACAGGAACTGTGCTAGAGACAGCACTCGGTAGTGACTTTGATAAAAAAATCTTACAAAAATCTTACAGCCTCCGGTGTGTAAAAAATACTGTCACTCTCACCACAACGTTGGTGATGGGAATACAGAAATAAATCTTCAATTGCTCGCTTACTTATCTCACAACTCGCGTGTAATCTTGCTCAACAAAAATGCCGCCTGACACACACAAGGACGGTGTCGAAAAAAGAAGCAAGTCTGGCTCTGCGGACACTTACTTGTGTCTATGAGGACCAGAGGATTTGATGACAATGAAGGTTCCCCGCTTTCGCATCTCCGATTCCGTGTCGTCTTATTGAACAGACTGCCTGCTGCAATTGTTTCATGCAACATCGGCTGCAATTCCAGTATGTTGTAAATCTTCATCTATCATCCATGTCAGAAAAAAAAGTATCTACCTTGTTGTACAGTGTCATTGTACAACATCTTACCCGAAAATAATCTGGGATCGATGATAACCATGCATCCTTCGTCCCCTGTGCAAAAAATCAAAATCAACATTCTACTTTCCTTTCTTCTTGCATACTACAAGAACTTCTCCTTACTTTGTCATAATATTGATTTGTCCATCTTCATGCCGCTTGCATATTGCTCATTTGCATCATGTCTTTGACTCCTCCAAGTATTTGTTTAGGCAGGTTGTTTTTGCCACTGTCCAATAACCCTTGAATGTTCTGCAACAAGCCTTCCGGATTTTGTTTTAGCTTTTCTAGGTAATTCTGCAGTGGGGCTACATCCCGTATCGCTTGCTCGCCCTCTTTTTTAGCGCCTGTTTTGCGCTGCTTGCCGTACTCGGTTATTACCTGTTGTGATATTAAGGAGGATGTCGTGAAGGCATTTATGTATTGCTTCACAAAATCAAACCACTGGTGTGATAATGAATATCACAGGATAGGAAATTGAAGATTGCTGTCTGTATATGAGTCTGCCCTGCTACCTAGGATCTTCGCACAATCGCAGACGCGTACTAGCGCTGAACTGGACACAATTGAAAAAGCAGTAGAGGTACATCGTCAATAATCTTCTCCGTTTCTTCGGCTCCTAGCAATTTCCGCTGATTCTTCATTGCCGGACTGTGTGCCAAAAGGTTGGACCAGGAGTGGTCTTTTGACCCGGTTAGGAAATCTGCAAACTCGTTATACTGGTCCATCTGCGATGCGCTCATGTAAGGCAGGTTACTTCGCAGAATATCCTTGTACTCTTTCGCAAGGAGGAAGGAAGTTGTTTGGGATGGTGAAGTCCTTGACTTCTTTAGATGGGGAGGAGGGGGTAAAGATGTTGCACGAGGCGCTGATGAAAAAGATGTGTCTACCCATGTCGTCGTCGAAGATCCTGGTGCAGGGCCTCGTTCTATCTCTTTCATGTTAACAAACGATGTTGAAGGTGTCCTTGCACTCACTTCACGTCGTATTCTTGGAATGGAATCAGGTATGATATGTGATGCAGTGGCGTGACTTGTGCCACCCGTCGAATGGGGCGATGATGCAAGCCAGCTCCAAGAGCCCAGTGATGAGCCAGACGCTGAGTTCTGCACCTCGAGTAGCAAACTTTGGAATGGGGACGACATTTTTTATCCCTACAGCTTAATTGCTCTATGATCTTCAATGATTTAGAGTTTTTGAAATACAACCGCGCGGCTTTTCAAGAACTTCTACTTCTTTCTCTACAATTGCAACTGATAATTTGAACCGAGCGCGTGAATGACTTGACGCGAGTACAGAATCGAATCTTCAGTGAATCATCTTCGATCCCAAAAAATAATATTGCCTTCTTCGAATCCTCGATCGCGACATGTCTCCGAACGTCAAAATACACAAGCGCTTCACAAATAACCGAACTCACAATAAACCGATCTGCTCTAAGAAACACTCGTTGGTGAAAAACGAGCACTCTCGCATCTGGCCTGTTCTTACCACGCATTCGAACGCGCATTACCATCATAGCGAGGACGACTTAACTGAGATTTGGCCGGACCTCTTCAATTTTGTCGGATCTGGGATTAGCAATCCCAGGTACATTGAGGTTGTCGATACATCGTAGTCCGTCGGTGAAAAAAGCAACACAACGCATCGATGTTAGATACATCGTAGTCCGTCGGTGAAAAAAGCAACACAACGCATCGATGAACACACGAATAATATTGGCCAGCTCATAAGATTAAAATTAATGAAGTTAAACTTTTACAAATACAGGGCTCAGCCTCGCTGTTTGTTTAGGACTCTTCATCATCTTCCAACCCAACAGTCTCAAAGTGGTGCATGATGATACTTGCAGCTACTCCGACATTGAAGGAGTCAACACCAGGGCACATCTTGATCATCAGTTGTTCATCGCACAGAGCCCGCACACGTTCCGTCACGCCATCCTGCTCAGCACCCATTACTAAAGCGTAAGTTCTATTGGAATTTGACGCCGACGTTGAAATTGCATTTCCTCCAGGCGAAGTAGCAGAAGTACAACGAGAATTTGCATCAGCAGCTAACGATGTGGATGAGATCTGTTCCCTCGAAACGCGATGCAGGTACTGCGTATGTCGTTGAACCACTGCCGCGAAAATGTTGTTCTTCTTTTCATCATCCCCGTTGATATTTTTGAACTTCTCCAAGATCATTTCCAAGGGATATTCGTCTGTCTCGATGTAAATCGGAATACGAAAGCAGTGTCCCATAGACACACGAACGGCTCTTCGAGACCAACATGTGCAACAATGCTTCGACAATACTACGCCTTCCACACCGAAACAGCTGGCGGTGCGAATGAGGGAACCCACATTTTCGGAATTAGTTAAGCCATCGAGAATCAGCAGTTTGCGGGGAGCAAAAGTAGGAGAAGTCATTGTGGTGGACGTGGACGTGGACGTGGTGGAGGCCGAGGTTGTAGGATTTGTACTTCTAGGTCGTTCTTCTTGTAAGTTGTAAAACGGTACATTCTCTGGCTTCTTCGATACGGCTAGTACAGTGCATGGACCCAGTGTTTTGCACTCCAAGATTTGCTTCAGCACGTCCGGTGTGCCAACCACAACGCGGATCGGGCTGCCTTGATCCTTAGCTTTCGCCACTATTTTGTCCGCATATTGTAAAAACTGAGAACGCTTCAAGAGAATGTCCGTCACAGTAGGAGGCTTTTGCTGTGGTATAGATGCAGTTCCAGGTGACGAGCTGCTTGATGGTTCATGCTTCTCGCTAGATTGTTCTTCAGCATGCTCCACAACATCTTCACCGGAACATCTCAGCACTTGTCCAATCGTACTTCCACCTTCCGCAAAGACCAGTTTATCTGTCTCTTCATCGCGGGTAACGTAGTTGTTATCTCTTTGTCGTAGGTCCCTGAACATCTCCAAAGCTGTGTCGGAAATTTCGGAGACGCAGACGACGTCCATCACAAGTTCAATGTCCTCTGTATGCTTCTCAAGCCATTCTCTGACTTCCGCAAAATACACACCAGGTTCTCCGCTCTGTGCGTTCCAGGCCTTGCGTGCTTGCTTTGCGAGAAACCTCTCATGCTTTCCAGCCTTCTTTGCGGCTTTTTTCCCGGCCTTACTATTGGGATCGAGGTCCTCAACCGGCTCTTCTGGGGTAGACAAGGTGGACACTTCGAGAATGGAAGCGTCCTCCTGCTCAAGAACGTTTTCACCTTGCGGCATTTTCTTGGTCCGAGTTGCAATAGGTAGGTTGTATCGGTAGGTGTCGTAAACACTTTATATCTTGAGTGGCAACTCAGAGTCGGTGTCGGACTCGGATAGAAGACAGCCAGGGGAAAATCGACGTGGGATGTAAGACTAGAAGGAGCTAATATAAAAAAGTTACCTGTAGAGCAGTCAAATGATGCATGAAGATGAAAGAATGTTAACACCCTGGTACTTACTAGTTCAAAATTAAGTCCATCATCTATTATAGCGTAAATACATGTTGAACTCTTGTTCATCTACCACAGTAAACTGAGTAGTTTACCTGGAATTTTATCGTGATCTCTTGAAACACTTTGACTCTTGATCTGGACCTCGCGCGATCAAGAAAAGATCTATTCACATTTTTCATGAACCAATTTGATCTTCATTTCTAGTCGAAACGACTGATCTACGGAGCCCTATGTGAGCAGAAACACACACTACCTTGGCAAAAACATACTTACCACTGGAACATGTGGAATCTCCGTGTTGGAAGAGCAACAAGCTCTCAGCATCTTCAGGATTTTGCTTCTAGGAAGATAACTGTTTGGATCATTGATTTTATGAAGATGTTTTTTTTGTTTCTTTGTGTGCCTTCTTCGAGTCTTTCTTCGGAGCCGCAGCCTCCGGTTCCTTCTCTTTCTTCTCTTCCTTCTTTTTCTCCGGTTCCTTCTTTTTCTCCTGCTCCTCTGTAGGATTTTCTGTTGAACCAGCTTCTGGTTTCCCGTCTTTCTTATCATCCTTGGCCTTAGGATCTACTCCGAGTTCCTTTTGGGCTCTAGTTAGATCTTCCCGGAATCCAGCTTGAAAGTCATCTTGGGCGGTCTGCTTTTCCCTTAGAGGACAGTACCCCAAGATGCTTCAGAAGATGAATCTCCGGAAGAAGTCTTAATTTACGGGCTTGTTCATGCTCCTTTTCGACTTCTGCTTTTGCGGCTGGCGAATCAGGGTCCTCGAGAGTGTCTTCTACCAGCTTCATATCCTGCAGATCCTTACCGCAAGCATCAGGCTGACCACCCTCGCCGCAACGGAAGTAGACACCTTTGTTCGCAAAATTGGGAGGGGACGATATTCTTTTCACTTCTTGATTGTTTGCTTATTTAGCGAAGAGAAAAGCCCAACCTTACGCCAGCAACCCAGTATGGATTCCCCTTGTGTAAAAGGGGACTGAGAAGAATGGGCTGTGTAAAGGGTTGGGTTTTTCTGTGCCTTAACTTATGCTGTGCAGGGGTTGATTGTTTGTTTTATGCTCAGAATTTGAGTCAGCTCGTGGCCGGATCACATCAAATCGTCCACTAAAATAAGATGTTACTGAACATCAGCTAGCAACAAGAACCAGGCTACCACCTTCTCGAGAGGACATCAAGTAGGGACGATATTCTTTTCCCTTCTTGTTGAGGAGTTTAGTACATTCAGACTCAGACTCAGATGGGCTCCTGCCTCAGCCCTGCGCAGTCAGTTTCTCGTTACAAATTTGCAAAAGGGCTTACACGAGAGAACATTCCTATTGTTTGTCTAGGGCTTAGGGTTAGGGTCAGCTCGTGTCCGGATCACATCAAATCGTCCACTAAAATAAGATGTTACTGAACATCAGCTAGCAACAAGAACCAGGCTACCACCTTCTCAAGAGGACATCACAAGTATACTATACCTTCAGCCCCATTTGAGCATGAATTGGCTTGTTTATAGCCGTCATTGTTGGAGGTTGCCGTTTCTATCTCTGGTATATCGCAGGTCACTTTCCCAATCGGCTCCAAATGCGCGCAGGGAGCGTCCTTCCGCGCTGGACAACTTGCTAGTTTGTCCTTCGTGAAGAAACCGGAAAGGACGGAGTTAGAAGTGTGTGTGGCCTAGAAGAAATATCTTGATTATCTCACCAGCCCAATAAACATTCCGCCGATACTCATGATCGTTCTTCTATCACATCCTCTTACTTATTCTCTTTCCACAAATCATGAAGGAATAGGGAGTATGGTAAGGCTGAAGATTGGAAAGCTTGCGAACAAAGTCTCCTGCTGGGAGTCTAAATTCTTCTCCTGCTGGGAGTCTAACTAACAGTAGAAAGTGTAATTCGAAGTAGCTAATTACACTACTTTCTAGTGTCGTTCCTGAACAAAGAAACGCATGAAGATCGACAAAACACCCAGTTATTCCTTCATAAGAACACCAATCACCACAAGAACGATCAATATTCCCAATATCTCCAGCATGAGCAGGCCGCTTGAATTACCATTTTTGTCCACGTAACCGGCTTCTGGGGCAAAATCCTGGTCTTCGTCATCAGACCCATCCTTCGCCCCCTTCCTCGTTGTTCGGGTGCCTCCCTTCCCGGAAGGCATTGTTTTGGTTCTTGTGCTTGGGGGTGGTGAATTTTGAGGAACATACTAATATATACCTCGTTTCAATAAAGATTCATTGATATTGTTGTAGATGTTGAGTGAGGAACTCGGGTATTCTGGTACTTTCCATGAAAAAATCATTTATGTGGTGGGTATTTCTTTGCCGTTTCTGAGACATTTTGCCGTTTGTTTTCTGAGTGCTTTCAGATTTACCGAAACACGACACAGGCAACTTTCGAGACCTCCGCATTTTGAGAGAGTCCGCATGGTGGCCCCTTTGGTGCTGCTTTTTACAACGACCACCTTCCCTATCCCTTTTCAATATTAGAGCACTTCAAGTTCAACTTCAAATCATCAACGAAAAAAGTCTAACATTTCCTCTTCACTATCTTCAGTACATGTACATCATAAGATGTCCAGGTCACGGGATGTTTTGGACTGAGAACCAGGTCTCGTATCTTTGTTAAACAGGGAAAACCTACTACAATGGTAGACATGATAACCATCTGTGGTCTAAGAACAAAAAAGCACACTATGTATAAACACCCATCCTTCTCATCGTCGTAAATTCTACACATTCAAATACTTTTAAAAAATCAAATAGCTCGTCGAAGTATATTTTTCACCTGTAGCTGCAACATCTAACTACATTGATTGATACCAGCGAACCTTTACTACCTGTGTTGAAGATCACCGACGACTGCTCTTTCAAATTCTACCAAACGCTCGTATTTCCCTAGTACATCCAAAAATAACAGAAAAGAAACAACCTACTCACCTACCAGCGTCCAAACATGAACATGATGAATCTGATTCATCTTAGTGATATCGTTATTAGACGATAGCGGACATAACAATCTAATTGATTCATCTTCAAAAAAATCGTGAGGAGCAGCACAGTCCCCCTTTAACCGTCAATGCATGGATGCGTCCTCATCGCACCATCAAAGGCGTAATACCCACACACGTCAGGGGCTGAGGCCATGTTGACCAGTTTCTCCAGGTACTGGTCTTTCACGCTGCTCTCCTCAAAGACCAAATCGCCTAGCATCTTGCTGTTCTTAGAAGGGCCGGTAGATCTTTCTACATCATTGCTATCCTGGTGAAGAATTTGTTTTTTTAACAAGGTGATTAGCCTTGTTGTAGGTTAGCCTTGCTCTAGAAACAGGTGTACTCTTACTCCAACGAACTAGCATAGCAAAATCAAAAACACACACAGACTCGCCATAATATTCTTGTAAGCAAGGATCTTTTTTAAGTCTGCACTGGTATTTCTCGCATGCCCAGACGGGTACATGACGAAGCCAGAAGACATGACTTCACCGCTCTTTAAGGTAACGTCGAGGCTCGTTGGAATGCCATCCGGGTACTTGGCATCGTGGAGTATGAACAAGGAAGGAAAGAGTATAAGGGGATGGAAGAAGCAGGTCGTGAATAATGCGAAGGACTAGAGTGCATTCATCAAAATGTAAGGTAAATATAGAGAGATGTCTTAGCTGGCCAGGTTAAAACAAAAAACCTTGTACAACAACTACTCCTGGCAATCCAATCGTAAACTCCGGTCCTCCGTGTGTGAATGTGATTTTCTGCATCAAAGCCCGCGTTGTCGCATCTGTAATGGCCTCTGCACCGTAGTCATACGGTGAAAGCATCAGCTTCATCCAGATCTCGTCCATGGAACCTGGTAGGGATCCAGCCTCGAAGCCTTTCTTGAGCATTCTTGAGACAATGAACGCCATACTGTGATCTGCGCTCTGTCGAGTCTTCGGGTCCTTCTTCGCGGGATCGCCGACTGAGAGAGTTAGATAGGGTTGGTTTGTAGTTAGTTGGTTTGATGATGCGAGCCAGTGAAAGTGGTCGGGTTGACATTTCCCTCAAAAATCAATCAATTTGACTTTATTTACACCCAAAAAATAGCCACAAAAACAACAAAAGATGAAAGATTACTGATCCCAAACGCTGGTTCGTACGCCACGATGTTGATATTCTCGATCCCGTCCATGCCTGCTTTCAACAGCGCTGGATGTTCCTTCATGAGCGTCTGGACCCCTTCCAATGCTCCCGCGCTCTGGTGCTCATACAATCCCAACTTGAAATGCATGCCGCACACCGCAAAGTCCGAACCGCTGTGACTAAGCACCAAGTCAAATGGCGCATCTCCGACACCCCACCGGACTTTGTTGGCGAGAGTGACATCGAGGATTAGAGGAGGGAGGAGCTGCTGGCTGCAAGGATCATGGAGTTGACGAGATACTTAGGTACAACATTCTGGCAAGCAGAGTCCTTGACAAGAAGGGATGAAGAGTTCGTTGTTGACATCAAGATAGAAGGGAAGATGAGAGTACGTATCGTGAAGACCCGTAAAATCAAGTCCTTGTTTGCTGGAACGCCTGTTGTCGGCTCGAAAAAGCGGAAAATCGCTTCAGGATTCCGGAAAATGTCTTTCGGTCCGACGAAGCCGTTCATCGCTCGTTGTGGTTAGACGGGGACTAACATATTTACATATCCGCGTGTTCCATAGTCATAGATAGCTGAACTTACTAAGATTACTCGAAAGGTGAATTAAGAAGCCGATACAAACTTTCTCTGATCAGTTGTTGAGTACATGCACCTTATACTTCTGTACTCACTTCATTACTAGTTGTTCTTCTCCTACCCTAATTCATGCTTAGCACAGCAGCTTCTGTGCTGATAGCCGCGGAAGCTCCCTTGGAGTCTGAGAGCTGCTTTCCTGCACGGATCGCCCTAAAGGGTATGTAGTGCGCACAGACCATGCCAATTGCTGACTCGATCTGTTCTGCAGTGGCGCCAAGAAGAGCTCCGTAAGTCGCTGCAGATGCAATGGCACCGTGAACCACGTGATCGATTTTGTAGCAGAGATTAGACTCTAAGAGGAAGAATAGGTGCTGACACTCCTAGTAGAGGATTTGCAAGTGACAAACTGAATCTGAATAGAAGAACGTAAGTCTGTAAGTTAGGTTCTTGCCTTTGCCATAATCTTCAACGAAAAAACCTCCGCTAATCGACCTCGAATCTCATCGTTGCAGATCATCGCTTTCAGTGCAGTTTTGCCATCCAGCTTGCCCTTGACTTCTGCAGCAGCCAGAATGACAGGATAGAAGTCGTTGTGCCCGAACTCACCGGCTGTATGTCCTGGGATGTTAGCGTTGTAACCGAAAACCGTACCATTGCTGTCCCACTCGCGGACAGCACTGCTGTTGGCGACTACAGCTTTTTCGGGAGCACAACGCTGCGAGCTTGTGCCGAAAACGCAGGCACCTGATTTGGGTGGAATGGTCTGCACTAGTCGTCCTTAGTCATGCACACCAGGTTAGAGCTTACCATCATCTAATTGATTCTAAACCCTAAACCCATCTAGAGTAAAGCTCCACTTCAAAATTGCAAAGAGAAGTCACAAAATGTACATGTAGAACACCTTTCGCATCCTTGTATGTGAGCGCTTCGTCACGCAAGACGTTAGGTGCATTGGTCTTCAAAGCCAGTGCTGATAGCCCGCACATGACCGAGTCGGTATGGAACATTTCGACACGGTCATAGACCGATGCGTCGACTTCATCGCCATATTTCCCGCCAATAAAGTCGATAGCATACTGTCCGAGGCCCAAAGCTTGGTTGCTATCCCGCGGAAGCTTCACTGACGAAGAAAACGCGCGGATCGCAGTCTGCCGACTGGAGAGGCCTCTACTGACGGTTCGCGAAGCGGACCTCGCCAACTTCGAATGAGCGGCGCGTGCGGCGAACATTTTTGCTTTTGTAGTTTTATCTTATATTTGCGTGGTCTACAACCACTGTATTGATATCTGCTTTGTAGGCAGTACAATGACAGGAGGTTGAACATTTGATTGTTGTCTCCAACGTGAAAATCCTCATCGCGAAATAGATACATTCACGACGATGTCTTTCGCTCAGGACACTCAGCTCTCACACTCTGCGCAGCTAACGCGTTTGTTCCTGTTGTTCGGCTCTACTTGGTCACCGTAGAGACAGTATACATTTGTATCTACCATGCTAAAATATGTGAATGTGGGCCTGGAACAAAATGCGTACATGATGATTGTCTCTTACTTGCTTTTGTCCATTCCATTAATCAGATAAGCGCCTTCTCTTTCAAATACCCCAAAGTTGGTTTCAGAATCTGTCCTAAACCTTTAATCTCGACTCCTAGAGTGTCTCTTCTTGTGTTGTCGAATGTCGTCACTGGATTACGCGTTTCGTAAGTCACAGGTGGCATCTTGAACTCTAGCTTGAAGGTTTCGTCGCCTTTTCTGAGGTCGTCAATTTCCTCTTTTGCGCATTGCAAAATGTCCTCCCAGGCCCAACTCTGACTGACTCCGAAGTATCGACCAGTCGCAGTCGGGGTTTCAAGACAGGCAACGTGAAGTTTGGCAAGATCTTCGCAATGTATGATGGACATAGAGTCATTTGGAACGGCGTCGGCGAGTGTTAGAAGAGGTTTGTGTTTCTGGTGCGCACGACTATCGGCCGTTGCTCTTGGAGAAAAGCGTCTTAGGAATGAAAAAAAAGCGAAGTAGATTGGCTCCGCATTGATCGTAGTTCGTTATACTGTAGTTCGATATGCTGTTCACATCTTGTAGCCGTAACATTGATTCCCCCTTTACTATTTTCGCTAGCCATGGCAGACCATTCCCAGACACGGGACCGGGTTGCAGCTGAGGTGCTAGGATCCACGAGGGATTCATGATGCAAAGCCGGAGACGCTTAGTAGCTGTTGCTCGTTCTTTGTTGATGATCGCGTTGGTAGCGTCACGACCTAAGTAGTGGAGAGAGAAGAGTAGTTGTCATTAAAATGAAAGGCATGAAGATCATGAAGTTGAACGAGTTCTCCTAGTCATCTTCCTCTCTATGTATAAGCAGGAACAACAACAAAACCAGCAGTATTGTTTTCATACAAGTCTTACCAACAAACGCCAAGCTCTGCAATTCCATATTCGTTTTCGCGGAAGGTGAGAACCTCTTATTCGCTGCCTGCTTTTCCGGGTCTGACCAATGGGTCACTTCGCTTTTCAATGCTGGCAGCCCTTTCTCTGGTGGTGGATTTGTACTCCCTGTACTACTCGTTAGGATCACTACGAGTTCGTCGCTGTCGTCTCTACCTCCGATTAGAACTTGCAGAACAAGTCTCTCTTTCTGAGTATCTTCCTTGGTGCCCTTTTTCTCTTAAGAAACGGGACTGCGTGAGATCGATGTCGGTAAAGATGGATAAAAATTTCTTCAAGCCTTAATCCAACTTCACTCTCAGCCGCACGCAGCACCGACAAAGCCATTTCTTGCATCACTTCAATCGTTTCTGGTTCCTGCTTCTCATATCCAGCGCACATAAAAATCCCGGTCGCTCCTTTTGCGAGGTCTGCGAGGACAGCTGCATTCTTGGCCTTATCCACAGTCGGTCCAAACGTGAGTGCTTCAAGAGACACGGGTCCCCCAACTGCTGCTGGCACCCATGCGGCAGTGGCTGGATCGCGACAAGTACCCGTCACAGCATAGCCTTTGCGGAGTAGTTCACGAGCAACGTAAGAACCGACGAAACCAGTGACGCCGATGACCACGGCTTTCTTCGGTCCGGCAGAAGAGGAAGCAACGACAGACATTCTGTTGTAAGTTTTAAAGGTCAGCAGTCAGTGGTCACCGATGCTGAACGGAAGGGACTAGTGACCTTACAGCAAAAACAATCTTCTACTTCATTAATAATGACGAATCACGTGACAACCTAATGCGCCTGATTCCATTGCGACCCGAGTAGAGACGCATCTAAAAAAATTGAAATTCAATCTTCTCTAATTAAAGCTCAGCAGTCAGTGGCCACCGATGCTGAACGGAAGGGACCACCTTCAAAGCCCTCCCCTTTCGTCCCTTCGTTTATTTATTCCCCTGTTGGTTCTCTGAAGAAGGGGTCGCCTCTTCGATCTCAGTGACCAACCCCAGTGACCAATGAAAGTTCAGCCTGCTTAAAAGTTCTTGTTATACATAGTTGTTAGTATCTCTTTTTCACACAACTCTCCGTTGTTCCTGTACGGAAGGGCATCTTGCTCTAACAGCCACAGGAAACTAGCCAAAAGTGTAATTGTTTGTACACCATTTCTCCCCTTCAACAGCATCTTGCCAAACATCATACCCTGAACACGCCTTCACTTGCTTTTCATCACGATGATCATGCTCCATAGTTGTACGTCGGTTCTTTTATTTCACAGTCGCGCTTTTTAATACGCAGCGTCTACTTTGGCGAAACGCTCAGGGAGAAGCAGTTGTTATTTGTACATTCTTTTAGTACCTGCATCATGTCTGTACTAGGTATAGCAGTCATAAATAAGCTCTTTCTTCAGTGTGAGCAAAGAAACCCAAAACCGCTCAATGAAGTGGCTACTGTAAAGCTAGAAGTAAGATCTCCCAAATCTTCTACTACTTTTTTTTCTTGGGATCCACCACCACTTCTGCGTTGTGCAGTTTCAGCTGTTCCACGATCACCTTCTCAAACACGTTGGTCATTTGATATGAGTACCGCACCGCTGCATTCCACGTTAGAGAACATGTACAGAAGAATATGAAGAATCGAAAGCACGTTCTCGAGTAGAACAGGGGAATTGCAAGCGGAAACGACAAGTGAACTGCGAAAGCGTGCGTGAGCATGTAAGCGAAGACTTGAGTCTTTGAGAAGTCGTTGTTGGCGCGACGTCTCAGCCTATCCTCCATCGTCTTCGGACCGCCTGGGAGCTTCTTCGCCAACTGATTCGACAACTGCTCTACGAGACCAGAACCCCGCATGAGGGAGTGGAAAACCGTGTCGAGCTTACGCCTTTTCGGCAGGTTCACGCCGTAGAAGATCAGGAACGGGGTATAGCACACCCACCAAAGCCAGTAGAGGACAATCGACGGAAAGACAATGTCGTACCAAATATCCAACTCAGCAATGTAGCCAAGGTGGAAAACACCGGGGTGAGCGGGGGTATTAGAAGATGTTCACGAGCATCTTCTTGTTGGATTATAATTTGGAAGTCGAGTCAAGATAAAGTTTCAATGTCTGTGTATGTGATGGTTCTTTCGAAGTACTTAATGCTTTATCCTTCTTGTTAACGTCACGGTAGCTTTTGTCTTGTTCAAGTAGTCAAATCGCCACACACAATTAAAAAAACCTTCTTCTTCTTGTATCTTTATCCCTACAGTTATATATAACCTCTCTCTCTCTCTAAATCTAAAACATCGCCAATCATAACCAAAATCGCTTCTGTTTTCCATCGCAAAGTGTAGCACAACAGTGGCGGAAAGATGTGGATGAAGGTAGTGATCATTTGGTCGATGCTGTGGAAAACTAGGGCGTTCTGAAGCGCTAAAGTAGCCCATCCGAGAGGCCCACAAGCGGTTCCAAAAATCGCACCGAAGATACGCCTCCGCACACTACTAGTAATCGCTGTACCTGCGAGACTGGCTTCGGCGGCTGAAGCGGGTCGCGGCCACATTCGGGGATTAGAGGATAGAGGTGACCTAGATTCGTTCTAAGAACTTGTTTGCGAGTCTCGACGATATCGTATCTCCATCATCTTAATCTCGATTTTGTAAAGGAGTCAGAGACATCATCGTGGTTGAGGTGGAATAAACAGGAAAATAATACTGTTGTCATGTTATGTCAACTACATGGTGTCTCTTTTATAGCGATTATATGCGTCTATGGAATGGAATGTTGCCCAGATCAGTATTCCGAAACCATAACTCCAGAAGTCGCCTGGTTCGCTTCCCCTCTCCTCCCGAACCTCGTGTCCAAGAACACCGCTGCTAGCATTAGCTGGCCTATGAAGTTTACGAACCAGCAGTAGTCGAGCCAATAGAGTTGGCATCTGGCGGCGCGGGCTCGCAGGTAACGCTTGGGAAAGAGATAGACGACTTCAGCCGCATAGAGGATCCAGAAATGTTCGGGGTAACCGGAGAAAAGGTAGGTCGTGACGATGACGTTCATGACACCCACGAAGAAGGCAAAGGGCGATAAGCCTTCCTGGTGTCTTCTCTTCGCCTGTGCCTGCACCGCTTCTAGGCAGCGGGTGACTACCAGTGCGTCACGCTCACCATACTGACTTGGTAGAGTCCCACTGTTGAAGATGGGGTCGTTGTTTTGCGATGCCGCAGTTGCTCCAGCTCTAGTGTTTCCGCCAGCCCTACTTCTCTGGGCCATCTCTGCGGCGGGTGGGTACTCGGTAAGAGTATCATCGCCATGCTCTTTTGCGTTCGATGGAGACGTGGCTGTTTCTGCCGTCATCTTGAAGATAGATTGCAGTCTTTGCTAAAAATCAAAATCTATAAAATCAAATTGAGGAAGAAAATGAGTCACGTAATTAAAAAAGGTGAGGATTTTTCTTATCCTGTGTGATTTGATGGCTAGGTGACTGGAAGGGTGTATCTCAACAAAAAACACGTGTTAAAAGCATCATGCGTTTGCGTGATTGAGTGTGAGCGCAACGGTTATAATTTCTTTTCTAGTAGGTTCAGATTGCTTAGACTTAGGGAACCCTTATGCAACAACCAATACCAAAATATAAAAAACACGATAATTATATAGAAGCGCTATCGGGGAAAGTAATGTAGGCATAGCAGGGGATACAGACTTGATAAATGAAATGAAATGGTCCTGCTAACTCCTGTGGTGTGTATCAAAGTCAAGTGGTCGGAAAAGTCGGGTTCGGTGTGAGGTGTGTAGCGGGTGTGAGTGCAGTAGATATTCAAATCAATTGCAGTCATTGTTCTCGTCAACATGCTGATGAAGACTACAGATTCTCATTTTGATTTGTGGATCCAATCAAGAACCATAGTCCAAATGTTGACAACAGCCTGTAGCGGATGAACACCAATGTGTGAGTCAGATTTTGATTCCGCAAAGCCACCAAGAAGGGTTTTCGGAATATGAGAACAAATCCTAGTTTTGGTCGTCACCGAGCATTTCATGATCTGCCAACCGATGGCGCTGCGACAGAACAAGCCTACTTACTTTCCTTAGATTTTATCAAATCAAATTCTCCACGATTTTGAACAACAACAGCGTGCTGCTTCTGAAATCGCCATCACAAGGTCACCTGCTATAAATTCTAGGTATGTCCACCGTATTTTCGACTGTAAGTATTTTTACTCACAGCAAACAAGGGCTCTTCTTCTTCTGTTTGTGGGTGAAAAATTACATGGGGTCGGGGATGACCATTATGTAAGTAAATCCTTATTCAGATTTTTTCCTTGCAGCAAACGCTGACAATCTTCTTCCATCCACAGGGTCTGTGATGACTTTGTCCAACAACAATTCATACCCTGCTTCACAACTAAACGTCTCCCTTAGTTCCGTGTCCCCTAGAAGTCCTGTTTTTGGATGTGCGCACCCTTCTAAAAAATGATGCCATAAGACTACACCTCCTTTCTTGATCCAAGAGTCTACAATTTTCTGGCGTTGTTGTTTGGTTTCGCCTAAGGCAGTACGCGAGACGAGAACGAGATCGAACAAATTGTCCTCCTTATCATCTGGGGTGATGTTCTCACTCTTCTTGCCCGGGGGACACGGAGATGCATCACCGTTAACATCAGGAACAACAGTAGAAGAAGTCGAACTCGAAGGGGACGGCCCACTCTCAACACTAGCTTGTGGTTTTCCTTCGAAGATTACTTTCTGAGTCCGAAACTCTGTCTTGCCCTCTACTCCATGAGCTCGGGCGAATGCGCGGGATCGCTCTACTGCTTTCGGCACACAGTCTAAGCCTAGGACACTGTCAAAACCAAGTCGGAGAGCGAGGTAAACAGCATCCCGTCCAGACCCACACCCAAGGTCTACGGCAGTTTTAAAGCTGAACTTTTGAGAATTCATCTGAAAGTCGTTGTTCTTCTTGTCCTTGTTCTCGAAAAACTGCTCTAGCAAAGGATTGGGTCGCCACAAACACCAAGGTACGGGAGACGGAGCTTTAGAAGACCGGCTTAGCGAAGATGTGACCTTCGCAGAATCTTGATCTTCCACCGCAATTTCCGGTCCCTCCACTAAAACATCGTCTTTCCTTCGAACCTTAGCTGCTTTATCAGCAGCGTCTTCCGTATGGATAATATGATCCGCAGCTATATTACTTTTGATGTCAACATCCACTACCAACGCCTCTATCGCCCAAGTGTTCATCTTATCGCCAAAAAACAGGCTCTGCACTTGTTCTAGATCAGTTTTGCTTTGGATTACAACCACAAGTTTGAGATGTCTCGGAGGCATCTCTGCCCATCGCGCAGAGGGTGGAAGAAATTCTCTCATCGGAAGGCATCGGGTGAAGGGATAATCATTCTCTAATCGGTCGCAAGCATCTTGTTCAGAATTGTAGTCACCGGACCCGGTCTTCGATGACGTCGTCGTTTTGAAAAACAGCTCTGCAACGGAGGTCTCATTTTTGCCGCCTTCTCCTTTTCCTTGTGCCTGCTCTTCAGTCTCCCGCAAGTCTAATATCCCAGCATATCCATGCTGTAGCTGAAAAGCCGCACCATCCCAATTTAGTACGGAATCTAGAGATGTGATTATCTTTGCCGCTTTTCTGTCAGGAGTCTCCTGGTGGGTCGCCGCACTCGTGGTCGACGAGCCTTCGTCGGGATCAGGTGCCATTTTCTTTGTTTCGATCACTAGTACTAGTACAGTAACATACTATCTAACCGGAAATCGAAGTCGTGTGACGAAAAAGGCCCGTCCACCTGTTGAGTTGTATAGGATCTTGTCATAAAAAACTACCTAGTTGTACAAAAAACATTTACTAATCCAACCGAGGTTCTTTTTCCGATCTGCTTTGAGATCTCGCTTCCGCATGCTTGTCTTGTTTCTGAGCATACTACCTCGAGTGGAAAAAGAATATCTTGAGATCTAGACTCGATGATCTTGAGCTTCGCGGGATCTAAGGATAGGATCGAAATCAGCAGAAATTGTTGTATCATGTTTCTGTGGCAGAACAATCTTGTTCTACACAGTTAGAAGAGTAGATGACGTGGCCTGCTCTTTTTCATATACAGGACCATTCTTGTTACGCGTCAAAAAAGAGTTACTGTTATATGTCCAAATGCTACATTTCTTCTCCTTCAAGTACCTGTTCCAATTCCATGAGATTTGAGTCCAGTGGTGTTGGTGTCCCTCTACTATCCGCTTCTATTAAGGATGGAGGTGGGTCAATCCTCGGCTTCGGGAATGTCCCATCCTCGTTTCTCTTTTCATACCAGGCAGGTGCGTTAGGATCTTCTTGGTTGACGTTGTCTACTTTTCCAGCATCTTCTTCACCTTTGATATTTATTTCTCTGTCTTCATCTCCTGCAGGACGGTCCTTCGCCTTCCCTGGAGTTTCCCCGTCATTTTCATACCACGATTTGATTGCTTGTTTGTTCATTTCGGTGCCGTCCTCTTGCTCTGGAAGATGTTGTGAAGACTTTGCATCTTCAACATCATGTAGTTCCGATGCAGTAGTTGCCGCAGCAGAGGACGCAGCTCGTTCATGAGATGATAAGCCCGTACTTGTTCCCCATTCTGGAGGGGTCGTATCTGGATAGGTACTTGGAGGCACGTCTTGCTCCACATTCCAACCAACTTTTAGGTTATCCCAGTCTCTCTGCTCATCCGGTCGTAAGGTAAGAGCTGCGTTTCCGGCTACGTGCCCAGTGGTGTTAGAATATGTCTACAAGAACGTTGTACAACTATGAAGAACAAGTCTATACTCCTCTATGCATTTAATAATATGTATATATGTACCAGGGAGGGAGGCCCCCTCCCCCCCCCCTGTGGATGGATCTGGGGTGGACCACGCCAGAGGAGTCCAGCCTTGCCACCTTATTGGCCAGGCCTGTCGAGGGGCTGCCGGGCGGGAAGGCCTCAAAGCGCCCACTTCTGACCCCTTCCCGCTTCTTGCATGTACCCTACAGACCTGGCAAAGGCAGGGCCCCGCTGGCTTGTTGCATGTACCCGACAGACCTGGCAAAGGTGGCAAAGGCCGGGCCCCGCTGCCTTGTTGCATGTGTCCACCGACCCGGCAAAGGGGGCAAAGGCAGGGCCCCGCTGCCTTGTTGCGTGTACCCTACAGACCTGGCAAAGGTGGCAAAGGCCGGGCCCCGCTGCCTTGTTGCATGTACCCTACAGACCTGGCAAAGAGGGCAAAGGCGGGAACCCACCCCCTTGGCGTAGGGTTGGGCACACGCAACACGACAAGAGGGCCCAGCCTTTGCCACCTTTGCCAGGTCTGTAGCGTACATGCAAGAAGCGGAAAGGGGTCAGAAGTGGGCGCTTTGAGGCCTTCCCCCCCGGCAGCCCCTCGAAAAGAGGGGCCGGGGCGGGAAGGCCCCCCCCCCTTCAAAAAGTTAGATCGGGGGGGGGGCCCCCGCCCTGAGCCCTGGAACATATATAAGTATGTACAACTATGAAAAAGCCTACAAGAACGGTGTACCTCTACTTATGAATGTACGTACTACTTATGAATGTACAACTCGGAGATTTTTTCATTTTATGTTATGACGCGCAGAGATTCACGATCACATTGCTTGGACATAATGTCAGACAAAGCCATTTGTCTTCGCAGGAAATGGCCTACATCAGCGTGAACACGCGGAAGCTCGATTTTTAGCAAGCCAATTTCTTCGGCAGCATCTTGCAGGAGACGTCGGAGTGTATTAGACGAGATGAAGGCGATGTGAATCCTATTAATAGGGCTGCTACAAGAACCCCAGCACCCCAGCAATGAATTATAAGTACAACAAGCAACCCCCCAATCTGCCATACCCCGCAACGTTTTTTGAAACAGCCGCTTCTCTGCTTCATCGAACTCCACGCGAGCGTTCTTGAACCGCCGCTCAGCTATACGAAGATATTTTTTCAGAGCACCAGGAGAAACTACTGCTGCGCCATTCGTCTGCTCCTGTTGTCCAGAAGATGCATCATCGTCTTCTGGAAGTTCTTGGGAGTTGTTTGCTTGCTGATCTTCGCGAAACAATTTCGATCCTTGCGCTTTTAAAGTGTTCAGGTCAGTGTCTTCGGTTTGTTGGTCAGCAGCAGCAGCAGCAGCAGGGCCAGCCTTTTCACTGCGACCTGCTTTACCAGCTCCTTGATGTTCAGTCTGCATCATGGAACTAGATGAATCTCCAGAATATATTTGATCGCCACCAAACACCTCCTGCAAAGCAGACAGTTTTTGTCCGCTCACGCACTTGGCACTGTGGATGTTGTAGGAGCATTGCTTGTTTGTGTTAGCTTTACGGTGGCGCGTTGAGCCCTCATCGCCTGCACTATTGCAAATCCGTATTCGTCGTCTTAGTTCAGGCACTTTTTCTGTTGACGAACTCCACCTGACCTCCTCGCAAAGTCGGGCAACGCAGTGCCGGTTCTTGCTATTAGCCTTAATCTTACTCGCACCTCTACTCGAAGAGCTGCTGCTGCGTGGTGAATCAAAGCTTCGCTGGTGATGAAGTGGTGCATAGTAGAGGATAACAACAAGCAGAGTAGAAACTTGTAGTTGCAACTTCTTGACATATCATATCAATCAGGAGTCCACGTGTTGCTGGTACAGCTTGATTGATAACGAAGACATTCATTGCTCTCTATCAACATTGACAGAGCCAGTAGCTATGCTTTTTATGAAGCGTTCAATTGTAGTTGGGTGTTGAAAAATAGTTCTTTTAGACTTACTTTTACTACTCAAAGTCCGTACACAACATATCATAACCACCAGCAGCACCAGTTTGGACGTGGCAAACTTCAGCAGGAGCACATCTATCTTTCTGTCCAGACTCCAGCTCGTGACACGGCAAACGACATTGAAAGGAGTCCTTGCAGTAGTGTTGTGATGATTGTTCGGAAGAGTCGGCGTCCGCTTTCGCATCTTCAGTCTGTGGTGCATAAAGTCGTCCACAGGAGGAAGATGAGCCTATATTGGATGAGGCATATGTCGTCCTCTCCGAGGAAAGCCATTGATACCTTTCGTCTGTAGATGAAAGCCACAAAGAGGAACTTGTACTTGAACTTGATGAGCTACTCCCTGCGGAGATGATATCGTCCTTGACATTGTCTGCAGCCACGTTGTAGCGTTTTGCACCAGCTTGCAGCGAAACAGGTATTGAACACGAGACAACGAAAATGGTACGAACAGGTCTCCGATGAAGAAAGCGGAAACGTGCAGTCGAGGATGTCCATGTTCTTCTTGATGTGGGTGAAACCATTTGCATTTTCATGATTTTGTCTTTTTTTCGATCATTTGCTTGACACCACTTGCACTTTGTTTAGATGGGTGTGCTCCCTTAATGCTTCACCTGTACTACTCGTTTTTTTTTAATTATATCAAAAATATCAAAATGTTATGATCGTACAGTGCTCCCAGGCGTGAAGACCTCGGTTCCCCCGTATAATATGTTTCCTCAGAAAAGAAACATAAAGCACCTTTCTCCCTGCTTCGCAGAGGGTAGTCCACTATATTCGGTTTGTTGATTCCTACTGCTCATATTGTTTATCTTTATCCACAAGTAGATAAACCTGCAGTTCATCCTGTCTATTTTATCTGATTATCCATCACTGCAATCTTGACCAGAAGTTCAAAACCGTTGGTGCGGCCTTTCGTATCCTTTGTCCGCGTCTTGTCACGACATGTGAAAAAGAGTTCATCAATGAAAAAAAGAAATAAGATGCGTATCTACCTACTTAGTGCTAGAAGTATTCTGAATAACAATTGATTCAAATGCAAGCAAGCATAACAAGAAATTGCGTTTCTATATTTGCGGGTGAAATTTTCGACAGCTTGTTGGTGTTATCTTCGTCATGATCGCTTCTATGATCGCTAAGAATTGACTAAGTATAAAAGGCGCGACTACATGTGATGCAGTTATCAGAGAAGATGAAGCAGGAGTCAGTACTACAGTGACCACAGTAATACCACCAGAATGAGTCCTCAATCCAACGTCAACACTTCTCCTCGTGTACTCACAGACGTTGGCGCGATCTGCTGTGCACGAGTCGAATGCTGCGACGTCCATCTAGGGGAGGCTTTGGCACCAGGTCCCAGCGGTGGCCCAGGATCTAGAGGTTTCTCAGGTGGAAGAAGCCCGCCTATCAATTGGCCCCCTGGTGATGTTGTAGATGCTCGTGGAAAATTATGGCTAGTTGTAGTCGCACTACTATAAATCGCTTTGTTAACCACGTGATCGTGCCGGATGAAACTAGATGTTCCTCCTGCGTCTCCTGGTTGCGTTCTAGCACTCGTTCTTGCCTCGTCAGTGGTGCTTCTTCTACCACCTGCGTACGCCGAAGAGCTACTGCTACTTCCTGTTAGCATGCTACTAGACGAATCAAGAGGCGTTGTCGCAGACGCAGCTGTTTTTAGAGGTTGCGCCATTTTTGCATTCTTCGCCACCATTCTTGACCTGTTCCCCAATGGGAAGGTAGTGGATGTTGACATCAAAAGTAATATAGCTGCGGATCATATTATCCATACGGAAGACGCTGTTGATAAAGCAGCTAAGGTTCGAAGGAAAGACGATGTTTTAGTGGAGGGACCGGAAATTGCGGTGGAAGATCAAGATTCTGCGGTATTCAGATCATTCTTGACTCCTTTCCCATTGGGGAACAGGTCAAGAATGGTGGCGAAGAATGCAATGCGGTTGTAACCCTTAATGTTTCTTTCGACCCAAATGCACCTCCAGTTTGTGGTCTACTCCTGTATCTAGAACTAGCACTTGGACTCGCATCGTCCGTCGTTGAATCAACAGCACTGGTATTAGAGGTCCCATGCTGGTGACTAGTTCTTGTCCCCTGCTCCTCCCAAGAACGTTGTATAATCCTGACGTCGGCTGTTTTTGGTCTGGCACCGCTATCTTCGAAGGCCTGTCGTAGTTACACGGTGTTAGGGTGGATGATAAAAGGAATCAGATGAACAACTCTCATTTTTGAGGTACCTAAGCAACTTCAGTTAAAGTGAAAGTCATGCTATTAATCTTCCTCCACTTCTTCTCAAGAACAACTCAAAACTTATAATCTTTTGAAGACCTTCTTCCTTCGCTCCAACTCTTGCTCCCCTAAACAGCTTGGTTGCATGTATGACTGAAATTTCGCCAATAAGTGGTGAATTGACTCGGAGCCAGTGTGATGCTCTTTCATACCCAAGTTCCTCCGCCTTTGTCGCACTGCCTTTAACGGGTTTGACCCTACTAGAACGTCGTCACGATTATTAGAAGAGAAGACAAGGACCTTTGCATTCATATGAAGAAATGCAGAAGCAAGAAGTAAAAATACAATGCTGAAAGACGAATTGAGGACGCCGACAGTCTACCGATCTTGGTTAGCAAGCACACGTTGCAAATTACGTGTTGAAGATAACAACATTCTATTCTACTACGTCGACTACTTCCAAAGTACTTATAATTGACTCAACAAAACACCGCCACCTTAACTTTCGTGAGGTCACTTGTGAAGTCTTCTTCGCCTGAGGTGCGACCGAAGCCCTTACTTGAGCTTGATGTGGATGTGAGCATCAGACTCAGATTCTGATGGAAAGATCCTTCTGTGGTTGTTCCGTCGCCAGTGGATGATGACGAGGTGGCGCCTCCGGCAAGTTGCTGCTCGAGTGCATTGTGCTGATTCGGAGGGGCACGAATGTTAGAGCAGAGTGGGAAAGAACTTGATTCTCTCACCAGCTGAATATAGGTTATTCATAACTCCCACATTGTTGATGAAGAAGTTCGTTGACGTGCTAGAGCTGCTAAAGGCGGACGAGGCACGATCCTCAGTGCTTCCAGTGAAAGGACGCGACCAAGACGTGTGTGGCCGCGACCAGGATGACGCAGGGCGTCCGCGGCTACCACCGCTGCCTGAGCTCCCAGGCCTAGACTTCCAAAAATGCTGCCTTGTTGCCTGTAGTAAAGGGTTATGGATTCGAACAAAATGCATGCAGCTGGAATTTTACGGCTGTGATCAATGCAGCTGACATGTCGACTCTGCGACTGACAAAACAAAAATCAATAACAACAGGTATTTGATTTGTTACTTTTTAAGTTGTTATTTATTGCTTTTAACAATTCATATTGATTCACACTAGAAAAATGATACCTTAACGGCTTCCACTATCAGGTCCCTCTCCGTCGGCTCTAGTACAGATTCCTCCGTAGAAAAATTTTCTGCGACTGAATTCTCACACGTTGTGGATGCCTCTGACTTCCCCGCACTCCCAGATGTGTACTTTGCGAGAGCAGTCGTCGCATAATCGCCAAGAGGTGGAGATGACGCGTCACGAGACCCTTCTCTACAACCACTTGTACTAGTACTACTTGTGCCCTTCTCCAAAATGCTGTCCTCATCTGCGTCTGCCATCGCTATTCTACTAGGACTGGAGGAAGTAGCTGGACTATCACCAACAGCAACACCAACATCTTCTATCGCTGATAATCCTCCTGCACCTCCTGTACTGCCATTGTTGTTGATGTAATCTCCTTCTCCTCCTGTGGTAGGATCCTCCGCAGTCAGTGACTCACTGTCAAGCGTCTCTAAATGGGGTATGCTTTCGCGCACGCGTCTGCGATAATCTTTCCTCTTGCTCACAGGGTTATCCTCAAGGGTGAGCTCGGTCAAGTCCGGACATGTCGCGAGCGCCTCTAGTTCTGAAAGCTCTGACACTTGATTCGCCTCCAGGTCTAGCACTTGCAACGTGTCATGGAACTGCAAAGCCGATAACTCCCGTACTTCGTTGAAGCTAATCTGTAATTTTGCAGTCAGTGGTGGATGTGGACGTGGAGCTGGTGTGATTCTGGCTAGTTCATGTAGTTTGTCTTTGTTAGGCAACCCGCTTGTGGGTATCAACATGCTCTTATGTTTATTCTATCCACATTCAAAGAACAAAAGTTTCAAGTGACTTACGTATAATTCCTCCAACTGTGGTAGTGCCGCGATTCCGTCTAGTTCTCGTAAGCCTGCGCGATTCAAGTAGAGAAACTTGACATTCTGGAATTTCACTCCGAGTTCTCGGACGCAAAAAACCTTGGAGCCATTGAGCTTCAGAGAAATCAAATTAGGACAGTGTTCGCCCAAACTCTCGATATGCTGTTCCTCCGCATCTAATTCGATCTCGAGGTCGCGGACGCGCTCTGGAGAAAGTGTTCAGTTGGGGATTCAACATTAGTCTTGTTGTTTTGGAATTAGCTACTTTAGCGTGTAGTACATTACATATAAGCATGAACAAAGCAAGACACTACAAGTTCCACAGCTGTCGTTCTAGTTCTTCTTGTTGAAGTAAATAGTAGTTTAGTAGATTGATATGCAACATCCGATCTAGTTAGAACATCTACCATTGTATTTTTCTTCTCTGTATGTCAAATATTTGTTCATGCATAGCTAGGATTCATTTGTAATCACAAGTATCTTTACCTAGATCCTGCTGATCGCAGAAGTGCTGCAAGAATTCAGCAGTCACTTCTGACGATTCAGCCAGTCCTCCCACATCATCCGCCATTTCGAGTCCTCTACTGGAGCCTCTCTTTTCAGACGAGAACGGCTCTCACGAGAGCAGAATGTCTCGAACTCAAGAAGAAATTGAGTAGGAAAAACGCATGTTTAGCTGTTCCTGATGTGAACCCGTAGTAACATTGCTTCTGCAGCTAATCGTGTAGCCCTGGTAGCGCTGTCACTGTCTAGTGAGCCAGCTCACGTCGACGCATGAAGAGCTTCTCCGGTTGTATGTCAAGCCGTTGACTGCATTATCAGCTGCACTAGTAATCGTTCTCTATGATGTAGAACCTGGTGTAGTACTTCTTGATCTTTTAAGAGCTAGGTCCATCCACGGTACTAGGGACAAGAGGTGGAGTCCGGTTGTTTACTTCAGAGGATGCCAAGGTCAAGAACACCCTTCAAGTTCAACCAAATGCGCTTTCCAAGGATTAGATACTTAGATGATCCTCAGCAACTCTTCTCTAACGGATTCACCGGTAATCGGCCACTAGCGCCGACAGGCGTGGTAGACGCCGCAAGCCTCCACGACTAGTATACGGAGTCGGCGCGGCCTCTGGCTCTGTGTCAGATAGAGGAACGCTTTACTAGGGGGAGGCCATGCGTTGTGGTTGATTTTGGATATGAGTAAGACGTGAAGTTAGTGAAATAAATGGGATCCCCGGAGCGGGGGCTGTCTTCATTCATCAAAATTGATGGTAGTTTCAAGTGTTTGGTACATAGATTTTAGTATCAGAGCAAGTGATATATCATTACTGCCTTTTTATGTTTTTACGCGTTATTTAGCTGATTTTTCCGATTTTCAAGTACGAGTACTTATTTTCTCCTTTTTCCTTTTCCTTCTGCTCGACTAAATCGAGTTTCGCTTTGCACTTTTCTCAAACTCGACTACAACTCATCGACGACATCCACTTAGACGACAAAAAAGTACGAGCGACTTTTCCAAGTTACAAAAAGAGTGTTTTACGCTTTCTGCGCACAGGGGCGACAAAATCTCAAAACGCGCATTTCTGTTCGAAATCAAAATCCACAACTATGAGAGTGTGGTCAAAAATATGTACTACGAGTTTGTTATCGAAGGGCAAAGGATTCATCATGTTCAAGTATTCAGTGTCAGTATGTCGGTCCATATGAAAATAATCCCGAAAAAAGGTAGGGCAAGGGACGTTCGAAGATACACATGATAGCACATTGTGGGAAAGCCTTTGGTAGCACGAGTCGTAGCCTTCCGCCTCACCCTCCTTCCGCACCCGAAGTATTTATCGTTACTTGGCGATGCGGATGCTCTCGGCTGCCGTCAAAAAGCGATCGCCCAACGATGTCGCCACCTTTTGTACTGCCCAAAGGCCGTCCCTCCATATATTCGGCTCGCCTCTCGTTGTTATGAAATCGCAAGAACAAAATAGAAATATCATAACTTCCTTTTCCTTTGAGTTACCCATAATATCTTCACAGCACCAGAATGACCTAGTTCTTAAGTCGTTCCTTGAAAGGTGAAGGAGCTAGATTCATCAAAAAGTACGACACATATCAGTAAGTATCAACGAGAATGAAGGTGAAAAATCTAGCATGGAGTCAGTGTCAAAAATATGAACCTGCTCATAAGCTTCCGCCTGCGCTGCTTCTAGGATTTCCCGCTCCTCTTGATGAAGAAGGTCGATTTTCATCGTTTTCCTGTCCTTTTGCTCCTGTCGTTTGCGTTCGTCCTCTAGCTTGTACTCTATGACCTTCGTAGGCGGCTTTGGAATCTTTATCTTCGACTCCATATCCCCTGCTTCGAAGCGGCCACGGCGGTTCTTCCTGTGATGTATGGGGAAGTTGACATGTGAGTGTGTCTGTGCCTGTGCGCCTCTCTGATGCTTCAGCTAAATTATCTATGAGGATTCAAGAGTGATTCGTGTCTTCATCATTTGTATCCCCACCATTTCTAAAAACATCTACTGTACCTATCCTGCTCTATCCGCTCAAATTCGAAAGCCTTGAAAAGATAATTTGCCAAGGCTTCCTTCGGCAATATAGGCTTTTCACGCATTAGGAACTCGTAGTGTATTAGAGGAGAGAGAGGGGGTGGTAGCAGAAGGTGGAGGAGGAAGAGAGGTAGCAATGCAGCAAAGGAGTCCAATGGCAGACGGAGGAGCAAAACAGCACATGATTCACCCAGAGTACTTTGTCCATTTTCATGGTGAAGGAGGGGCCGACCTATGCATATCTCTAAATTGATCCTTCGCTTAAATCTCTGACTAAGTTCCTAACATATTATCGAACAGGGCCACGAGTTCATGCTCGTCCAAATATCGCTGCCTGGCTGCTATATCCTCGGGAATAAACACCTCTTGCATATTAGAAGTTGCTTCTGGAGGATTTGGTTGCAATACAAGTGTTAGCATCATATTGATTGCCTGCATACTGGTGAGGTGGAAAGGATGTTTCAACAAACCTCTACATTGCAAGCAAGCAAAGACCTTTCCACCTTGCCATCATTCATGTTGATGTTCTCCCTCGTCCTTTGCTACACAGTTGTAGGGCAGATGAACCCTCCAACATGAAACGAAGCACGATAAAGCCATAATCTTAGGTACTTGCGAAAAGGCCACTTCTACGCCACTGGTGGGAAACCTCCGTTTTTCGCCGGCACTCTCGGTCGTTAGTCGGTCCGGGTCAAACTTCACACTGTCAGGCAACACGCGCAAAAGCGATATTTCGTAAGAGTATGAAAGTAGGTGGAAGATAAGAGGCTGAGTCAGGACGAGCAATTAATAGGGTAGAATTACTTCCCTCGCTGGTGCTTTTACCTAAAAAAATAACGTAGGTTCTTCGCGGAACAATTAACAACAAAAGTAAGAAACTTATGGACAAATGCTAGGAGAAGATACACAGCACTTTGATGATGTCTACTGTCATCTCGTCCTATTTCAAAGGAACGAAGCACTATCATGAAGAAAGCTCGTCACCTATTCCAAGTAAATGTTTTTCTCTTCCGGCGATATTTCCTAATTTTTTCCTCATATCGTCCTATTTCAAAGTCAATCATATTCTTTTGGCATGATTCCCTAAATTTTTCGTCATATCGATCTCCGCAACTTTTCTGCGGAAGTGCTTGGGGAAGGGGAAGTATTGTATTTGTTCTGGATTATTCCGCATCGACATTCCGTCTGGCTGCTTTTTAGGCTGCACCTCAAAATCTTCGTCCACAACATCATCTTCTTTTAAAGGCACGCTGCGGACCTCGGTGGAATGAGGGAAAAAGATTCTATTTGTTCTTCTTTAGGGTTTAGGGTTTGCTGACTAGTGACAAAAACTACTGATGTCATCTTCCTCATCTTTGCTATAATAATTTCTCTTGTGGCAACAACTACAATGGTGCTGCTCTTTTTTGCTTCACGTATGTTGCTGAGGAATGGTCTACTCAAGTGGAGATACTACCTGAATAACGACATCTGTTATCTGCACTTTGTCATTGTGGCCTTGTGTGTTGTATATGCACAGCTTTTGATATCGGTCAGTCGGTAGGCCAAATTGTGCCTTTAGAGATGTTTTATTTGGTTCCGCCATCGCTTTAACTCTGGAGGTTACGGCTTCAGACACAACGTGGTCTTTGATTCCGTCGACCGATGTGGTCAACAACCTATTGCATCTTCAGCTACGTCTTTGTCTTTGATTCCGCCATCTGTCGTGCTTAGAAGCCTTAGGCTCCTTTCAGCGCAGTTGTATCAGTTGGAATCGCCGTCGGGGATACGTATACTTGTCTGGCTCAAGGTTTGCGTGTGTACTGCTTTTTGTTCATATACTTGAGGAGAAGATGACGAGGCAAAGAGGCTCCAAAATCTGTATACAATGGTTCATAAGACTTGCGGTTTTCTTCAGACTTGGGACGAAGGGCTCGTGCTGTAAATGTAATTTCATTCTTTGAAGTTTTCATTGAAGTTGCCACCGACTGCTTTTGTTTTCCAATTTTTTGGTCCAGCTATGGTGCCCTCTTTGCCATTTCCTCTAAGTAGGTAAGTAACACTGCTTTTTCACTCCTGATGTATCACACGCCATCTCTTTTGTCCCATAATATGGCATATAATATCCTTTTCACCGATTACCATCTAAAAAAGTCTACGGTTCACGAAATAATCCTGCTTACATCCTCTCCACCCATCAGAAACGGAAATAAGATCCGGGGGTAATAGCATATACATAGACATACTAGAACTTTAGGATGACTTCTGTTATTGGGTCTCAGAGAGGCACCTTTTTCTTCATTGATATGCAAGATGACTCCCCTGATATTTCCATGTTGACAGTGTCGTGCAGAAACATGCATTGTCTTCAAATGATAGTTGCAAAATTGCCTGAAAGGCAGGTCCGTAAACGGGAGAACGTAGCACTGCTACATAGAATCACTGACTTTGCCTACGTAACTGTAGAATCTCCACTTCTGAGATGCAATCATAAGCGACCACTGATCGATGTTTCTAATTCTATGCAAGGAAGAGATACTTGAGTACTTACAACAATCAGAAGATACTACTTACAACAATCAGAATCATCAACTTGCTTCTTGGAAATTATCATCACTACCTAAAATGTGAATGTGTGTCTTCAGAAAAGCATCCCCAACGTAGAAGCATGTGAGGGTGTCTTCAGAAAAACATCCCCAACAAAGAGCCGAACTTCATCCTTGCTCGCTCGATGTCGGAGGCGAAGGGTGGGACGACGGAGACTGCTCCAAAGGGGCAGGTTGGGGGGAGCTTCCGTGTGTACAGCTGATGCGTGGCTTCACGGTATAAACGCCCACAATCGAGCTCCACCTCTTTGTCTTTTGCATGAAGAAGAAAAGGGCTTAGGGTACAACTAGTTAGTCTAAGAACAGAGTATGAGTATGTATGATCACCGTGTTCTAGTTTTGTAATTCAGATCCACCTTCAATGTATCAGGTAGTGTGATTCTAAATTGTTGACTATTGCTGAGCGACAACACAGAGCATAATGATCCTAGGAGATGATGTATGTCGTGTCATGGAACCTCATCTTATGTAGCATTTGAGATCTACTTTTGAGTACTTACAAAGAAATGTTCATAAAATTGTAAGGCTCTGCACTGCTCTAGCCAAACTTGTTTGACGCCGGCATAAGCGTCATCCCGGATGCCACGAGCTCGATCGAACTCCAGGTAAGCGCTCTCAAATTCGTGCAATTGGCGTTCAAAGAGTCGTCTTTTGCTTTCCCATGCTATTCTTAGAGCCCACCCTAATCCATCTCGAGAAGCATCCCGCTTCCCTTTTTTCCTTGGAAGTCCATTTGGGGATGTTTCAGAAGATGGATTCGGGTAAGCCTTAATATTCTCCGCTTTTCCATTTTTGTCCCTGACGAGAGCTCCGCTGCAGAACGGAGACGCTCCTAGTTTTGCAAAAAATGTTTCTTTATGTATAATCAATGACATGATTTTATCAAATAAATGGGAATGAAGTTGATGGTTTTCGATTACATGATTTTGTCAAAATGGGAATAAACATGAAGTTGGTAAAAAAATCAAAAATCTACTCAATGCACGCATTTATAGTAGAGGTACAGCACGACTTGGTCCTTGACAAAGAACACAAAGCAATGATCATCAAACGTGGATACCTGTAACTCCTGACTAGTTTGCGCCGCTTCCGTGCTCTTTCCGCCATTTAAATCTAGTACCCCCGCTGAGCACTTACATTTCTCGTTCGTTCGCGCTGTCCGACCATACTGCGTGGTCGTGGCCCTAGCCTTAGAGACACATGATCTTGTCAATATAAAAAGGTGGAATTTTATTTACTTATAATAGACAGCGATACCACTCTTATCCATCGAGAAACATGAGATGAATCAGCTAATTAGAAGTTTGAACAATCAGCATAACTTTCTTCACATAATCCACGACGCCACTCCCCTCTTGGTCGCCACTCTCGGCATCTTCGTCTGGATCATGCTCGTCTACATCCGTGAAAGACGAAGCTAGACGATCGGTAGACGATGCTAGACGCTTACTAGAAGAATTCCCGACGAGTGATGTCGAAAGGATTCGCCGTGTGCCATCCCAGCAGGATGAGCAATCACCTGAAAGGAAAGCGGTGTTCAGTGTGTGTGGCATGATTACCACTCCACCGCGAACGGTCAGATGATCACATTTTTCTTGTAAGTACGTGAATGTGATGTTAGTCAGTTGTGTGCGTCATCTCCGCCCTGTGCTCCTAGGGTCAGTCAGTGTGTGTCATCTCCACTTTCTAGTCGTGGGTAATTTTTCTTCGTGATAAAGATGAACAAAGCTAAGTAAGGAGAAGGCATGATACATAGAGAGTAACTTTACCTGAAAGTGGTATCTTCCTTGAGGGATAGAGCCGACTATGCAAATTCACCATGATTGCCATCTCGTTTTTTATAAGCGATTGTGTGGTACACCGATTTTCTCGACAATACAACTTACTTACAAGCAACGACTCCTCATGACGGCTGCAGCATCGTCTTCTTTTTTCTCTCAACACTCTCACACGAAAACGTAAGGAGCTACGATACCTGAAAAGCCGTCCTTACATCTTCTATACGCAAGAGCCCTCACGACCACCCGATGTTGTCATGCTGCTTCACAACATGCGACATATCGACTCTAGCACGGCTGGAGTGTGCAATATATCGACTCTAGCTTTAGGCGTGGTGTCATTTTTGAAATCTTTGTTTTGTTCTCTTTTCCCTTGTTGTAGTTGTATCATTTCCACTGGATAAACGTTCCAGCATTCATTGTCTGGAAGAGGAGCCCTAAGGAGAATGCGACCTCGAGGCTGTCCTCCTACTTGCTTCCGTATGAAAAAAATTGTTGAAGATGTGGAATATTTGACGATTCTAATTCGATAATAGCTTAACATCTGCCGACATCAGTTTGCGTCTTCCAAAAAGTAGGCCAAGCTTGAAAAGGACCTATCAGTCTGTCCTCGATTGTGTCGTTGTCGTATATAATTCCCCTTGACTTATGCTGCTTGGTCTTCTCAGTGATGCCTATTGTGTGTTCTTCTTCCCCTTCTTCATGCATTTGTTATGCACATTGTTTTCTGTTGATCAAAATGAGAATGTTGTATCATAGTCACCATAGTCACCTTAGTGTTAGTCGCTTACTTTCAATGAAATCAAAAAAATGGAAGTCCCGTCGACACTTTCATCCACTACGCTCAGTAATCTGTGGGTGCGAGCAATCATAGTTTGTTTATTCAAGGAAGTAAATCGATCCGGAAAGGCAAAGGGAGAGTGAATCATATTTATTATTAGCGCTCACCCTAATCCATCTTCAAGTCCATCCTGAGACTGTTTTCCCCTTGAAAAGGTCTCTACGATGCTTCCGAAGATGGATTAGGGGAAGCCATAATATTAATGTCATCTATGAGTCCCCGAACTGAAGACATCTTCATCACCTCCTCAGTTCAGCCTCCAAGCAAGAAGTTAATAGCTTGGTTCACATCGCCGTTTGCTTGGACTAGAGCCTGGATGTTGCTAGCCCTATCCGGGAAGCCCATGTTTTGCAATTGCTCTAGCTTAGAGAGGCAGGAACAAGGAGAGCCCATCTCTTAGAAAATCTTTTCCTTTCAGGTGCTTTTTTCAAGTGCTTACCTGAAGACAGCTGAAAGAGACAGTTTCTGTTCTGTGTAGGAGACGGCTTGACATTAGTTACTCGTAACTAATTGAGATGCAAATCGCTCTTCTGGTGGCCCTGTGGCCGCTGCACCGGCGGCGGGCAAACCTCCCGGCAAACCACCTGGCAATAATATAGAGAAGAGAATAAGGAAATTTTCTAGATCGTAGGTGTCTTAGTCTAGTGCGTTACCTGGTAATCATGTGTGCTTTTCAGTTTGTTGAGGAAGTCAAAAAGAAAGCTATTGCTCTTGTTGATGAAGTGAAAAGGTTGTTTCAAGGTTCAAGGTCCGCGGCTCTCCGGCCAAGCCGCGCCGTCCGGGACGAAACAGGCTCGAGTTAGCAACAAAGTTGTTTCAACAAAGTAACAAAGTTACTTGCAACAAATTCTAGTTCTACCTCCGCCTCCAAGCATCTGCATCATAGCTGCCATGTCTGGACCTCCTGCACCTGGTGCTCCAGGTGTTGCTCCTAGAGGATTAGTTCCGGTTGCACATAGAAAATGAGTCCAGCAAACTACTTATAAACTTATTGTTCTGGATCCAAGTGCATACTTAGGAGTTCTTATCTAGCCACAGGAGTCCTATCGCTATCGTCCACAGGAGTTAAATAAAGTCCATAGGAGTACTATTCAGTTGTACCTGGCATTCCTCCTCCTCCTAGGGCTGGCATTCCTCCTCCGAGGGCAGCCATGCCTCCAGGCATTCCACCTGGTCCGCCCATGCCTCCTGGCATTCCACCTGCTCCAGGCATGTTTCCCACTGCCTGTTGCAATTGCATCAGCTGCTGCATCGCTTGTGGATTCGACATCATCGTCATCGCGTGCTGCATCATCTGTGGATTTGACAGCACCTGCTGCATCATCGGGTCTCGAGCAGCCATCTGCTGGAGAGGAATTAGAAGGGGAAGATGGAAGGGGAGGTCTGCTGGAGCAGGATTAGAAGGGGAAGAAGAGGTGGAGGAAATATCTAGAAAAAAGGAAATCTTTTGTTGTAAGTAGTTCGGGACATCTTCGACACTAATAAACGTGGTGGTCAACATGCTTCCTACAAATCTTATGTAAATTTTCATCCTCCACCACCGTAACATTGGATTGCTGTTGATCATTTGTTGCATCATTTCTGGGTTCTGTGCCATCTGCTGCATCATTTGCTGAACCATGGGATTCTGCATCATTTGTGCGGCTGCTGCGGCATTCGGTGGTCCTCCCATGCCCATACCTGGAAATCCACCTGGCATACCTCCAGCTCCGGGCATACCTCCAGCAGCACCGGGCATACCGCCACCGGCACCGCCCTAAGGAGGTTCGGGACAAGATCAACAAGAGAGATGATGATCCAAAGAAGATGATGGATTGAGTTGTTGTATATCGCATACTTCTAGTTCTGAGGGAATAAACCAAAACATGTTAATACAAGAGTATGAAATTGTAATAACCATAATCAACAGTACCATAAGACCCATAAGCTGGGCCATTGGATCGGCACCTCCTGCTGCTGCGCCTCCTATTCCTGCAGCAAGTGGATTGCCGCCTGCAGCTGGTACGCTTGGTGATGCGGGTGTTGTGGTACCTGTTAAACCAGTGTTTGTGGTTGTTCAGTCACTCTTCATCTCTTCCTGGATGTCATCTACCTGCTTTGGAACAACCTTCTATGCAGCAAAAAAAATCACTATGCGTTACGACTGCACTAAGATGCATGCATCTGACCTCTGTCTTTAAATACTAACAATTTTTCCACCTGCTGTTGCCGCTGGTGCTGGAGCTGGCGCATTAGCAGCGCTAGCCCCCTTCACAATGTGCATTGTATGTCCGTTCTCTACTGAGTGGTCGCCTAAGGTATCCTTGTCCTTTAATATCCTTCCCTTGTAGATAAGTTTCATTCCCTCCGCAGCAATCGATGTCTTCTCTGCACATTTCGCTTTTACCTAAATAGTGGTGGTAGTGGTCGCAACATCATTAGTTTTTTAGTAGTAGTTGCGACAGTTTCGCTGTACAGTGTACGTGCTGTACACTACTTTATTATGATAATATTGCTGGGTTCGGGGTACTAGAAGTAGCTTTTGTTTTCTAGGTGTCGAGAGGTTTGCTGGGTTGGCTGGAAAGATACTGCCTCATTGTCATCGACCGACTCTCCTCCTGTAACCGTGGTTTCAAGGTCCAACGGGTCTTCATGATAAGAGCAGGAAGTCATAAGAATACCTCTCCCACCGTAAGTGTGGTCTCAAGGTCCAACGAAAAGGTGTCACCGCCAGACACCTTGAACGAAATCGACACTGCCATGTTTCAAAAATTATGGGCTTGCGCCCTTCAACAATTTGGCTGTGGATAGAACTGAACTCCTACCTTCTACAACTGATGCAATTCCAGCTGCACTACAGGAGTATACATCTACCACAACTCGTACTGAAGATTAGTATTTCTTCAACTATCAAAATAAGTATCTGCATGATTGACCTGAAAACTGCTGGCGTAAATTGTTTTCATTGTAGAATCTCTCGTCTGGAGGTATGTGGATGTGCTTATCATCCCTCAGGCTGTAGACGACGCAACAATGGCCTTTTGCTTTTCCCGCTGCTTTTCAACTTCTAAAAATTTCGATTCCAATTTTTCAATTTTTTTTGTCCGACTGATTCGTACGTTTTCACCAAGATGTACTAGTACTTGTAGAAACTACATCTTTGCTGTGCTAGCACCAGTTCACATGTTTTTCCGGAGACAGAAAGCATTCACATCTTTCCTGCGCTTATGATTGAACACTAGTCTATGTAATACTGCATTCTTGTGTAGTTCTGTCGTCATGGAGGAATGTTGTAGTAAAGCACCGTATAATTTGAAACAGCTTCCTGAACTTTGAAGATGACTCCTCTTCTACAATTCTTTTTGTGAGCAAAATAAACGTTGTGAGACACGTCGTAGTCAAAATTGCCACCGGTCACTGTGCATCTTCCTATGCATCGATGACCCACCATCAAATCCAACGGCTATGACCCACCGCAATTGTGGTCAATATGCAAGGAATCACATGAGGGGTCGAGAGACACGTCTTCAGGGCTTGAGATGAAGCACACCAGACATGATCCTAGCCTGCGCTTGTGCTTGCTCGTCAGGCTATCCCACTGAAAAACGAAAGCATGGTCTGCATGATCTGCTCGACGAGTACTGACGCGCGCAAAACGTGGGAATCACAGTGGGCGTTGCAAAGGAGTACGATAAGCGTGCGCTTCTCCATCCTATCATGTTGATGCGCGTGCGATGGTTCGGTACAACAAGGGTCTTCTTCAACAGTTTCGCTTTCATTTTGAACAAAATGCTTTTGCTTACTTAGATGAAGGGTTTGTTAAATATCGGACAAGGTCGGATACAGGACACTCACAGGCAGAGGTTTCTGGCTCGCAAGGCACGCGAAGGTCACGACGACGACTTCCGTAGGATTTTACCTTCAGCTTCGTTGGATTTCCTGAGCAGCACAATGCAAATGTATGGCGAATGGGTTTTCGTTCAAGTTCAAGTTCAAGGGGTTTTTCGTTTCATTTTATTTGTGCGTCTTGAAGCAGGCAGGAATTCGCGAGCAGAAACGTTGACGAATGTGCCCCAAGTGTCAAGTTTGTACATAATCATTGACTAGTGAGAATGCTTCTTTTTCGCTACAACTAGCAGACTCTAGGACTTTGGCAGACTGTTACAGTTTTCCAGATAAGATGTAATTGCAGTCGTTCATATTACTTCCTGTCGCTTCTACATTTTCAGGTTTAGATTCTTTTGCAAAATTTGTTAATCAAGTGCATCAAGGCTATATAAGAAATACAAGTCAGAAATCAATGTTGTTTAAAAAACAGCTCTACTACTTGTGTGCACATAACAAAAATTGAAAACCTTAAGAGAGTTCAGCGAAGAGAGTTCGGTATTGGCATTTCGGTTTCCGGAGTAGTTCTGTAAGTATTGATTCTTGCACCTCACCCTGACCTTCTTCGATTGCCATAGGTTGACCAACAAAGCACAGAGTACTACGACTACAATCATAACTAATATTTGTTCTCGTCTTTACTATTACCAACAACAAACTGATACTAGTGTACTATTCTTACTCGATCTCAGATTTATGACACTGTCACAGCAGAAGGATGCTATCGGATTGAACATCAAAGTAGGATATCGACTAACATGACTAAAACTATTTTTGATTATCTTGACGACTAGGACTATGCAAAGCTCGATGATCAATTCTCTTAGATATGCTTCCCTCTAATATCAGGAACAGCATGATGAGGATGAGTAGTAGTTGTAGTGTTCATGAAGATGCAAGGCGAAGGGACTGTAAAGTCTAAGATACTTATAATGTTGGTGGTGGAGCATATCTAACTAGAAAAAAACAAAAACCGAAAAAAGAAAAGTCAGGCAAGAACTTATCTACTACTAACTAAGCGCCGGCGCTGTCGTGGTCCTGTCAGCCCCAGAAGTCTCACCTTCGAAGGCAGGCCGGAGCCCTGTGCAACGCCTCCGGTGAGTGCTCAGCAGCTCTATGGTATTAATATTTCTCATGATTATGTATCAGCTGCAATCTCAAGCCTTCAATACAATGTCTTCTTCTTCGAAGTCGATTTCCTTTCTTGCGCTATAATCTCGCGAAGTTCCACTCTCTGCCCACATGGCCTTAGAAGACAAAGGTCCTGGAGTTGTGTTCGTGCAACTAGTCCACCCGCTTCCACCACCTTTCCTATTGTCTTTGCCGTTTTTATCAGTAGCCCTGCCCAATTTACGCATACGACCGTGCGAATGAACAGAAAGCAGTGCGCTCACAGATGGAGAAGTCAGCGACCTCGCTTCCGGTCGGAAGCTCACGGGAGTTTCAGGCACCTGATTGAAGAAAAGTTGGATCGAATTCGCAACGGAGGTGCAAACAATGCTAGGGTAGTCTATTCTCATGCTAGTCGATCATCTTCTTGTTCTTTCATAGGAACACGTCTACTTATAGTTATAGGCTCCTAAGGCTTAGAAAGTTGAAGGACCTAATCCTAATGGGTGCACTAACTTCTAAGTAGGTACCTTGTTTCCCCTTTCTCCGTTTTTCGCAAGTATTTTGCTAGAGGACGATGGCAGCAAGGGGCTGTGCGAAGGCCGCATCTTCTTCGTAACCGGGCTAGCCTTAGTTGGTGACCACAAGGGCATTCTTCGTCGAGCTACAGCAGTATGCGTGTTCGACGTAGAGGAGGCGGAAGATGTCTTCTTTGCCACTCCTTTTGTCGACGTAGAGGAGGTGCAAGATGTCATCTTATGTGGCACTTCTGCTCCTTTCGATTGCTGTTTTCGATGTAGTAAACCTTGTTGGCCGCACTGCACCGAAGCAAGCTGCGCCTCAGCCTGTTCTTTTGGTATTGTTAGAACTAAGACAAAACCATCTTCACCAGCAGCGTCTTGTTGGGTCTCCTTTTCGTCCCTTTAAAAAAAACGGGAGGACCAAGTAAATGCGGCGGAAGATGGATTTCTTCTTGTAGCCTTAATATTGGTGGAGATCTCGGTCCACACTCTGGCTCTGGAGTCGTATTCGCAAAAAGCCTCGTCATATTTGTCGAATTCATACTAGAGGTTGGACACCCCTGCTCCTGGTGACACGCCGCGTTGATGAAGCTTCGGATCCGCGTCGTCGTCAAAGCCCTCTCGTCAACAACAGGATCAATATCCTCAAAAGTATCGGCATAAGGATTTACATCATCTTGGGAGTCTGCATAAGGATTCACGTCCTCCTCGTCCTCATCAATGTGCTTGGAGCAAGATGTTGGCGGTGGGTGTGGTGCCGTCATTTCTTCTTTCCTTGACGAAGACGAGGTTCCGAGGATGTCCTTATTCGCAGAGACTAGTATGACTCTTGACCCGCCTTGTTCCTGTTTCTTGGTTGATGAGTCACGACTTGTCAAGTCAAGACGAGAAGATTGCGCCTTATGCTTTTTCTTGTTCCTTTCTTAGCGTTGTTGTGCGCGATAGCTCATCTCAAGTGACGTGCATCCTCCGTTTTTCTACGACCTTCTAGGAATCGGAAACTGGTGTGGTAATCAAGTATTCAGAGAAATAACGGCGAGGACATATAATCGCTCAGGGATGCTATTTATGTCCAGAGATGAGTTACCTTTAGCCTTAATTCTTGGAAATGTTCTTAGTCCTAGTTCTGCATTTCGGCTGCAGTCCGAAATCTTCGTCACTCTCAAAGTCGGAGGGTAAGCGATACGAATCTTCTTTCGGTTCTTCATCGTGCGATGGAGGCACTAGAACAACCGCAAGATCTAATATTTCAGTATGCGTGCTGGTGTGGTCCCTGTTACCGTCGTTCATGATGGCCGTGGTGGTCTCTTGTTCTGGCAGGCCTTTTTGAAGATTTTCACTTTCATCTCGAAGTGCAGGCTGCGCTCCATGCGCAGCTGTAGTTCCTGCTCCTTCGACTACTTCTACTAGTGCGCTCTCTGGATCTGGTTTATTCACGCAAGTCTCTGAGTGTGGTTTATTGCCGGAATTCTCATGACATTTTACAGAAGTCTTCGACGCGCGCTTTGCTTTGGCCTTCGCAACTTTCATGGCGCGTCCTTTGGCTTTCGGCTTCGCGTTCTCCTTCGCAACCACAGTAGGTCCGGCGGCGGTCCCTGGACCTTGGTCTGGACCTTGCTCTTCTTCAGTATTTCTATCTTTTGTTGCACCGAGACCAGAAGCCTGAGTCTTTGCACTTGCAGCCTGATTCTCCAAAGAAGTAGCAGATGCAGACGTGGTAGCACTAGCATCATGACCGTTGCGATTTTTAGCGTTCACTTGTCTTTTCGGAGCCCGGCCTCGCCGTTTCTTCGGTGCTGGAGCAGTGATTTGGTTCGCTTCACCATTTTGGAGATGTGAAGACGAGGATGACGCCCTACTTGCATCTTGATCTTGCTGTGTCTCCAGTACGCTAGCGTTAGGAGTGTGTTTTTCTGGTGACGGTGTCGTCGTACTAGCCGTCGCGGTCGCAGTCTTACTCTCTGCATCTGCGTTACCAGCCGCTGCATCAACGTTGGAGACAATAGTCCCACTCGTTTTGATCTCCACTTCGGCTAATTTGATGTCCCGTTCGTTTTTGCTCTTGTCTTTTGTAGCTGCTGTTTCTTCAACATCACTGCTGCCCTTCCACGGTGACGACTGATGAATCAAAGCCGTCATGCGATCATCATTCGAAGCTCGCTCGCGACCCAGAAGCGCAGCGAGGAAACTCGACGTACTACTAGAGGCAGCATCAGGACCACCGTGGCCTGCTGTCTGATGATCTTGCCCAGTAACGCCGCGACGCTTGGCCCATGCCGATTGCTCCGGACCCTGTGCCGCTGTCTTCGCGATCTTCCGCTTTCCCCTGGCTTTGGCTTTCGGTTTTGGAGGAGGTGCAGTGCTTGTATTTGTAACCTCCGGTATTAAGGAGCTACCTCCGCTGGGCAGTGGACCGCGATCTGCCAGTTCCTCAGGGTGACTGCCATCACTGGGATGTGGCGTCAAACGCTTCCGCTTATTCGGCTTTGATTTTGAAGACGTCGTTGTTATAGAATTAGAAGATCCCGTATTTGCTAACTGCTCCACGTCAGTCAAGAGACGGGGACACGAGAGTGCACTGGACGAACCGGGGAAGGCTGGCGTCTCTGACGGAGTCGCCGCAGCTTTGATTTTCATATCACCCCCACCAACGCGCTCCACTGCTTGCTTTTTGAATATTTTACTACGCGTCGACCGCTGCTCTGTAGTCGCAAGTGGAACTTGTACCATTCCTTCCGCAGTGGAGGATACTGTTGATGTACTTATCTTAGTATCCTGTGCATCTGTCTCAGCGTCTCTTCGGGTCGAGTTCGCACGCACCTGTACCGACAACGCACTATGTACTATTCCTTCCGCAGTGGAGGATACTGAGGATTTCGGGTTCGCACGCAGCTGTACCGACAACGCACTATGTACCATTCCTCTCGCAGTGGAGGATACTGAGGATTTCGGGTCGCAAGTGGTCTTCTCCTGCTGCAACTTCGTCTGATTTTTCGCCGCAAAAGTATTGCCTTTATCATCATTACTATAATTATCGTCTTTATGATTCCCTTTCTCTTTGCTCGCTGCGCTAAGGCTAACCGCATTACAACTACTGGTACTGTCGATTTTGGATACCGCATCGTCGCCGTGACAGGTTGCCGTCTCCGTGATTTCGAAAGTGCGTCCCATGCGAACTGCGCCACCTTGATTCCGTTTTGCCCAGTCCTGCAACTCTCGCGTGCGTTTTTCAGCTATACGCCGCCGTTCCTCCTGCTGCTCCATATGCGCGCTATTTTTCTCAGGGTCATTTCCAGTTGATGAAGGAATACTTTTACTATTTTCGATACCTTCAACAAATTCGCGATTACTTCCGATTGTATCGCGGTATGCCGCCGCTGCAGCCGCTTCCCAATACTCGTCCAGGATTCCGAGCCTAGAAAGCCGCTGTCGCGCTGCTAGGACGCCTGGCTCGCTCGAAATCATCGCAATCAGCTCGCTCTGACTCATTGTCCCGTGTCCTTTTTTGCCGTTCAGGTCACCCTGCAGTTTGGCCTGCAGCGCGTTCGCGATGGAGCGTTGCATATACCCAAGTGGATCGGCAAGAGGATCGACCTCGGATGGCAGACCATCAGCTACACTACGATCATTAGTACTGGCTTTCTTCCCTTCTCCGCTCGACTGTCCTGCTTCAACACCACCAGTCTTGTTATCCGGTGTTCGTTTTCTGTTCTTTCCTTCTCCACCGCTTCCAATCGCGTCGCCAGCGTCAGGCGCGCTGCCGCCGGCACCGGCAGCAGCCGCGTCCGCCTCGTTCATTTTTTCAAGTTGCCGAGCCATGCGTTCACTCTCTAGCTTAGACGGCCATCTATTTTGCTCGACCTCTTTCGGCAAAGTCAGCTTCTCCACCATGTCTATCTCAGCGTTCTGGAGTTTCGTCAGTGCCGGATTATCGCCTAACGACACTGTTTGCGCGGTCGCCCAAGCAGGAAACTCCTTTGCGTCATTATCTCCGTTCTTGAGTCCTCCTGGAAAAAGATGAAAATTAAGTAATACAACGTTGATTGCACAACACCAAGAACTACAGGGTTATCTTTTTCTTTAGCATTCCTCTGCTTTTTGTTCTATTCTACACATAAAGCAAGTCTAAGTTACCTTCTCCGCCTGCGTTGCTTTGCATCCGTTCCTTCAATTTCGCTGGCCACACCTCGTTCCTCATCTTGTGAAAAACCAACTTCTCGCAGGTATTCAAATGGTTTCGAATCGCGAGCTGGGAGGAGAAGAGTCTGTTGTCGTCACAGAACGTGCACATATAGTATTTGTGCTTTGGCCCTGGGTCTACCACCGTTAGATAGCTTCCCTCTCCGCGGACACCCAAGCACACTGTCGTTTCCTTCTCCCCTAGTCTCATCCAGGGTTGGAAAGTATCGTGCACGGGGCCCCGTCGCTCGGCAGCGCGCTTCGATTGTTGAGCCTTCTGAAGCTGAGCCGCCAGTCTGGGAGGAAGCAAGCCTGAGGTTTGCCGAGCTGCTGAAGGTCCTGCACCTACGCCAGCAGGCGTCTGCGACCCGTTAGAGCTTGTCCGCGCATGCGGCAACGATGCATGACTCGCATTTCTAATTACTGGAGGAAAGCTCTCATCTCTGGACTTCGCTCTAGCTCGCGCGATCGGTGGCGCCATAAGGTTTCCCCGCGCACGCTGTTCTGCATTTAGTTCACCGTGAGTCCGCTGGTGCACGCCATTGTTGATGGTAGGTTCGGATGAATAGTGCGGGTGATCACTCAGAAGCGCTTTACGGTGCTCTAAGAATGCGCCCAGTTTCGACGAGGGTGTCCGTTCCCGACCGGCGTCTTGCATATGAAGACTCTGCTGCGATTGCGAATGCTCGTACTCTACTAAAGACTGCTCTCTCGTCGCGTGTGAAAGCAGTTTCTTGTCGTGGTTGCTCGTCCGACGCCTCGAGGACGACGAATCTTCAGGTCTGTTTTTCGTCTGCTCGTTATGAGAAGATTTGTGTGGCGCCTCTTGCTGTTCCTGGCTATCCATCGGATTGAATCCATCCCCTCCGTGATCTCCTTGTCCGGGATTGGCCATGATCATCGATGCGTTTTCACGTGGTGGCTGTTGGCCATGGTCGTACTGCGAAGATTCTTCGGCACCACCGCCGTAGAAGCGGAAGTCCTCGCCGCCAGGGGACATACCCACAGTGCAACTAGTGTTGGGTGTGACGTTGTACGGATGATGCTGTAAATGTGAGTGTCCCGGAAACATCATGCTGCTCGGAGTAAAGTGAGGACTCTGAGGCGGGCCTCCCACCTGGTGACCAGGCGTTCCAGGCATTGCGCCTGCCATCATGTTCATATGAGACATCATCAGCTGCTGGTGGCGCGGGTCCATGTAGTTGTAGCTCGGCATTCTACTCGGTGTGCCAAATGGCGCTCCGTATTGTGAACTCGCTCTTTGTTCACGAGCATATGTAGCTGATTGAGCCGAAAACATCGGATTCATTGGCGACGCTGGAACCGCAGAGTGATGAAACGGTGAGGACGGAGGCGCACCAGGAATAAACGCACGACCATTTCTATAATGTTCATGTTGCTGCATCGCGGCATGCACCATTGGGGATGCAGCTCCGTGTTGAAAGGAACTCATAGGGGACCCCATAGGCACTCTGGGTGCTGCTGATCTGTAGTGCTGTTGATGGTGTAGCCCAAAGTTGGTCGTCGAGTTGTTTCCGTTTCTTGATGCAGGAATATGCTGATTTTGATTAATATCGGCAATGCCACCTCTACCATAGTAAATAGCTCCTGCGGATGGTGGGTGACGGTAATCGGCACGACTCTGCTGAAGATTGCTAGAAGGGGTCCGAGGATGCGGAGCGAAGTTCATTTGCGCAGGCGTGCCCCACTCGCCGTCTCCAGTTCTGAGAGCCGAAGACGGGCTACTTCCGACGTGGTACCGAATGCGTTGGTGCTGCTCGCTCCGTGACAGGTTTGGACCCGCCCTTCTATAATTATTCGTAGATGACGGGTGCTGCTCGCTCCGTGACAGGTTTGGACCCTCCGAAGCGCGTGGTCTTTCTTGTTCCCTCGCTGCATGATTGGGAGCATTGCGCTGCACCAGCTGCGGCTGTCCCGCGGTCGTCGCGTAAAACACCTTACCATTGCGCTGCACCAGCTGCGGCTGTCCTGTAGTCGCTTGATGTGGCGTCCTGCCAGCAGCAAAATTCGGTTGCCCACGACCCCGAGGCACGATTGGATGCCTGATATTAACCTCAGGAACGCCTCTCCCATGAGGCACGCTTGAATCATGCATCACCGACATAATTTTGATTTTCTGTCAATACTAGTGGTACCAATTGAAGAGCGGTTCGCTATAACTTCAGGCTGTAGCTGATTGTGATTTTCTGAACAACTTTCGATTGTTGTCTCGTTGCACCTTTCCATTTCCTACAAACAACTTTAGCCTCAATTACTATCGATCGAGACGAGTCGATTACTTCGAATCGCGACGGAAAAGCAGGAATTTGGACGAGACCAGGGGGCAAGGGCAACCGGAAGCTACTGGTTGACAGTGACCGAGAAGGCCGACAATCTTGATACTTCTAGCCTCAATTATTTGAGCGACGACCTGCCGAAGGCGATGAACAACCATGATGAAGAATAAGATCTGACCGAACCGAGGATCACTCGAACACCGATAGTCACAAATCGCGACGGAAAAGCGGGAATTTGCGACTTTTTGCGGAGGAACAGAGACTGACGCGTTGCAGTTGTGAATGCGCAAGATTCTAGAAATCGACAGCTTTGCTCAGTTTTAAGCCTCTTCACCTTATCAAAAACATGGCACTTTCCTTGATGTTACAACAATGAAGACCCGTAGTCACACGAACATGACCAGGTGCAGGAGGACGTTGCCAGTTTGTTTATCATCAAGCACTTCTAAAACTGAAAGTGAAAGGTTGTGTCTCTCAATTGTTCTTCGGTGACGAGTTCTCGGTACCTGGCGGAGCTAACGACCAGAAATTTATCTGGCGTAGTGTTTCAAGCGAGCATTAGATGAAAGATGATGTGTCTTGATCCCCGCCTTTCACAGCAACCATGCAGAAACGACCGGTGTCGAGAATTCCAGAGTCGCGAAAAAGTACTCATCTCATGCTTGATGTACCATATCTAGGAACACCCCTCGGCAAGAACAAAGAGCCTCCAGTTTATTCTACAACGATGCCTTGTTCTGGGTGGTGGCCGGCGACGCTGGCCTGGCAAAAGCAATCTGCGCGAGCTTCTCGTGCGTGGGTGTTGTTAGTAGCAGGTGATGGTTAATCTAACCTGCCGAGTTGCACGGTTAGATACAGAAAAATCGTCGAATTATGTGTCGCACCACCAAGAGCATCTTCACATTGAATTGAACATGGTGTGTCGTCCTTCTATTATTTTTCGTGTCGTCCGTCTTGTTGCCGGATATGACTTTCACATGCGCTTGAGAAGGCATCTGTCAGCATAAGTGAGCTATCGCTTAGTTACTGTAGGTTGTAGAACGTGGCCGTGTAGTTGTTCGTCCCGAAAGTGGCTGTGGTATAGTCGTTCGTCCGTTCCGGTGTACTAAAAACTAGTCACGGTCTTAGTACTGTACAAGCTACAGCGGCTACTTTCCAAATCTCTAGTGGAATAGGTCTTCCAGCTACGCGCCTGTGAAGATGTAGTACTAGCCGTTAACCAGATTTGTACGTGCGCTTCTTCACGACCTGCACTGCGAAGATGTACTACAACTAGCCGGATCTGTAGCAGTAAAAGCTCTCCCCTACTACAAACTAAAGCTGCTTCTCCTACCCGTCGAGGTGACGAGTCCCTTTCGCTACTCAGTAGTAGATGCTCTTCACTCTCCTTTTCCTAGTCAGTAGTAGAGGCTCTTCCCTACAACCTTTTGCTGCGTCTACTATTCGTCGAGGTGACGCGTCCCTTTCGCTACTCAGTAGTAGAAGCTCTTCACTCTCCTTTTCCTTGTCAGTAGTAGAGGCTCTTCCCTACAACCTTTTGCTGCGTCGACTATTCGTGCTGAGAAGTCCCTTCATATTTCCAGACAGTTGTAGAAGCCCGTCTTATCCACTATTTGTGCCGCATTACTTAGTCTTCAGCTGTGGCGTCTACTGGTGAGCTTCGGGACGACGTGCCACTCCCCACTTCTGGCGTCTTTAGGTACTTCTTGTCCTTAGTTTCTGGCATATCGTGAGCTGACCCAACATTTTCTGGAACTTTGCGTCTTCGGTTACTCTTCTTAGAAGAACAAGAATGTTGCTGGGAAGTACTTAGTGTCAGCAGCACTGTCATTTACTTATTATAATGAGACGCTTTTACTTTGGATGAGCAGTGAGCTACTTCTTCTAGAGGGACGAAAAATCAAATCGGTCATTCCTAAAAAAATATGTCCTAAGACTGTTCCCTAGTAGAAGCTTGCTCTGTAGATCTGTAGTTGCTTGCCGTTGTGGGCACAACTGTGGTTCACCACCATTTTAGCATAATTTTTTTCTTCTTCTGACCTGGCGGTCTTGACTCCTCGATTTCGTAGGAAGCATTTTCGCGACAGTCTTGCTGCGTCTGTGGTGTGATCCACACGTCTGATAACATCTGTGTCACGCCGTCTATATTTTCGTCATCTGGCATACTGATTAGAGTACTCCATCATTCATGTGTCGTACATCTGTCGTACTGTGAACTTTCAACATCCTTGTCTTTGTTCTTGTGTAATTTACACAAAATCAAAGTTTTCTCCCACACGATGATGAATCTACATATAATCATCCCTGTCGTCCTGCTGTTGCTGTTCCCCTTGAAACGAGAACTAGAATGCGTTTTCGTTTTCTTGAAATCTTTCGAGCCTTAAACTTGCAGACGCTGCGTTGTCCTCCACCTCAGTCGAAGCAGCATCTGAAGCAGCCGCAGCATGATAAACCAAAGAATTGGTAGTAACCACACGAAGGATTAGACAAAAACGACGCCAATAGGAACTCGCGATAGAGAGACTAAGACTACATGATACCAGAGGACCTTCAACGAAGACATCAGACCATCTACATCAAGAAGGTAGAGACTCTCTTTGTTCATTCCCCCCTGCTACTTCGTGAGACTCTCTTTGTTCATTCCCCCCTACTAATGCTACTTCACTTTCTCCGTACTGTGTCTTCATCCTCTACGTACACATTATATAGAAGCCTGCATGTGTAAGATTGATTATATAGAAGCCTGCAAGCAAAGTAGTCACATCATAATGTAAAGAGCTCTTCTTGGTTTTCCTTTGTGACTTGTTCCAGAGTTTCTAAGATTTGATTCCTCAGTGCAGAAGCGCACTCGGCTTGAAGTGCTAAAGCGGCCGCCCAATCCTCACGAGAACTTGTCTTAGAAAAAACGAAAATCAAAGTAGTTCTAACTACTAATTTCTAGAAAATAGAAAATCTTCAAAATTTTCTCTTCCATCATCACCTCAAGTCTCAGAATGACAAACGAAGGTAAGAGCAATGAGATACGTACTTACTCCCGCAGTACCCTTTGTAGCAAACATCACCTACGCGAAGACACTGATGCAACTTCCCGTATAGCCATAATCGAATCATCATCAGCACAGCAGAGTTCGATGCGCCCAGATCGTCCTAGGGCTGACACTGACCACTTTCCTGAGTCCTTGTGCTTTCCTGTGGCCTTGCCCCACGCTGTTTGTGGCGCATCCTGAACATTAGGATTAGGATTAGAAGTATGATTTTCGCATTAATCCCTAATTACATGAGACGGTAGTGGTAGTCCTTCTTCATCGGAATAATATCTTTATAAATAACCCTTAACTGGATCATCCTCTGTTTTCGAATGGCCGTTCTCTACTTCGGTACCGAAGGGCATTCCACGAAGCCGCACACGCACACTCTTTTTTCCGCCATTTTCTGGTTGGGGTATAGCAAGCAAATTCAATTGGTCGACGCAGGCTTTTCCAACACAGTAATCTTCCTCAGTGTCCTTACATTAGAAGAGCAAGGTCAAACAAGGGCTTCTTCAAGATAGTTCAAGTATTGTGTCCCTGTATTAGATGAAAGTAGATTTTGTGCAGAAAGTAGTTTCTTCCAAAAGCGCTCTACCTAGTACTAATAACTACAACTTGCACTTGCTATTGATACTCTATCCTTCTCAATGCCCTTGTATCTTCCTCAGTGTCCTTGTATATGAGTAATCTTCCTCAGTGTCCCTGTATTAGAAGAGCAATTGCAAGGTTCTACCCTTAGTAACAGAACGAAAATTCTATCCTTAACAGAACGAGAATCGGAGACTCTCTACGGCTGCCCATTTCCACTGGTATTGGTAAGTGCCGCCGCTGGTGAGGGTTTTCCGTGTAAGCCAGCCACGCACTGTAGGTAAGCTGCGAACCCAAGCAAGTGCGTCCAAGTTCTGGGTCCGAGAATCTGTACTCCACGCGGAAGAAGCATCAATGTTAGAACTAGAACCAGAAGTATGATACATACTTTCTCGCTAATATCAATTCCTTACTGGAAGTGAAATGGTGTCCTTTCTTGGAATATTATTGGAAATCCAACCTTTCCTACGTGGGGTGTGCGACGTCCCCATCAAGGTATAGGCCCCATCAAGGTATGAGGATGGCGACGACAATGATGACGTTGATGAAGTTGACGTTGCAACGACGATTGCCATGATGTTATATATAATGCACCAAATCATCGCGTTCTCAACGTTCAAGGTTCAAGGCCCGCGAACTTGTTGCCAGGCCACGTTGCCGGGACTCGCATACTAAACAAGCATAAAAAATGTTCAAGTTCATGTTGATGAAAAATAAACACTGTCCTTTACTTACTACACGCAAAAAAAATGTTGATGAAAAAGTAACTCTGTCCTTAACGGTAGAACTGCCGAGTACTAGGTTGTGAGGAAGCCGGCGTCGGATTGCATTATGCTGACCCAAAATAGAGGCGGCCTCCGGCTCGGAGAGACTCAATAAGCGAGCAGGTCTTTGTTGTTAGCGCTCTCCGTAATGCATCTTCCAGCTGCATCCCTGAAAAGTATGGTAAAGTATCGCCCTGGAGTACTCCTCTATGCGTCTCAAGAATGCAGTCAAAGATGCGTTGGCTACAGCCTTAATGTTGAGCTCCTAGTACGTGTAGCTCTCCTAGGATGTGCGCTTTATCTCGTGCTGGTTGATCTCCTCCTCCTGCTCGTGCTGGTTGTTGATCTACTCCGGTCACAGGATGCTCTAGCTCTTCTACAGGTAGATCCTCGAGAGCAACATCCGCTTGCTTTTTAGACATGAGTTCTGGCAGAAGTTCATCTGGCAGCTTTTTCGCGGAGGTCAACGTTTGTGTTTCGGCACCAGATGAAATAAAAGTCTGCTTCGCCTCTCTTATGACAGAAAAGCCCCCGTCCAGGTCCAATGGCTGCACCTCCTCCGTCGAGCATGCAATTCTACTTGTCTCCACACCTTGCGTCGTTACTAGAGTCGTGGCAGCACTAGCCTTTACTGCAATTGGAGACAGAGCTAGAGATACCTCTGGCGCTGCTTGTTGTGGCGGAGACCTCATTACTATTAGCGCCGTGAAAGCTTCATCTTTTGGCTCCCTGGGCCATCTTTCTAGTATCCCTGTAGAATTATACTACTTCGTCTCTGATGATGATGTTAGTCGATTCGGGTTGGACCTACGACTTCCCGGAATCTACTCTATTACATATTTTTATATATAAGGGTCCAGGCAGATGAAAAGGCGAATCAGTGGGGGCCTTAACACTTGGCCCGAGCACTCAGGTGACGGACGACGGAACGTCTTTTTCAAAGGTAAGATGTTTACACCGGGAGCAGTGACGATGTTGCTTTCCTCCTCCTAGAATGAAAGCAGAGTTCAATGATGAGGATGACTGATTAACTTCTTGATGAGGGGCATAATACGAGGCAAAGTTAAGTCAGTGGTTAAAAACTTCTTTGTGTGCAATTCTTGATGGTTATTGCTGAAATATCAGCGTGAAAGTACTTACAGAAGAAACTCGCTAAAACACGAGTAGCGGCCGCTGTGGTAAACCCATCGCTGCCCGCTACGATAGGACGGGGGCCGAGATAGGTGGTGGCGAACAAAGAACGAGCAGGGAGGAGACAAGAAAGGAAGCACGCGAAGACAAAAAACGAGAACGCGAAGAACAGTGCACGCCGCAGGCCGCAAAAACGTCAACCAAACCCGGACGCGCCTCACCGCCAGGCGCAACCTACGCGCAGTCGCCGCCGCCTGCAGCACACCGCGCCCGGCATGCCACAAAAGCCGCAGCTGGCGGGGACTGTGGCGACCGGACATACCATAGTCGATCGCAATGACGACCATAGCACTACACACACAGAGCACAAAGAAATCCGGCGGGATCGTACGCGTCGCCCGGAGCGCATCAAAACAAAACAAACAAACAAACTCGCTAAAACAATGCCATCAAATATCAATGATGCATCAAGAAATAAAAGTGCTAATATTGAAATTTGGAAGAAGGCATACCCGCTAAGAACATGGTATCTTAACATCGACAACAGTTCGAGTCGTTCATTTCGCGACTTCGTGGCAGAAGCTCGAGTACTAGTATCCGTCGTGTTCGATGCATGGGTCTGTCGTCTGAACTCTACACCACGTAAAAAATCGTCAAGACTCATCAAGGACTTCTTTCTATTAGCGCAAAAATTAACGAAGAAATGGCCCCCTCCTCCTATAACGTGATCAGAGTCACTACTAGCAGGCTGAGGAGGAAGATGCAGGACGAGGCGCTACCAAGCCATCTTCAGATAAGTAGTTCCTTCTAGTCTCTCTCTCTCGTATGAAAACAGACCACACTGTTCTCAACAGCTATATTCATGTAGGTCGTGGGAAAGAACTGCAATCAGAAGGGGACAAGAACATCAAGGAAGGGTTTTCCGTCTAAGTAGTCTACTTCGGTACTGCTATCATAACCGTGTGTCCCTTTTCATGCAGATTGTGAAATTCTTCGTGACTTTTGCGCTCCTTCATTGTCAAATACGGCTGGGGCTCAAAACCAGAGATAGCGTCATCGAGTTTTGCTGTTGCAACAGCGGCTTCTGCGGCCGCGTCACTAGGAGCTGTACTACAACTACTACCAGGTTGTTCTGCTGGAGGAGCTTCAGCAGTATTACAAGAGAAGTCCTTGTCCTTGCTGTGCATACTACAAGAGAAGTCCTTGTCCTTGTGAACCATACCCAGAGGAACTTCAGAATTAGTCCCGACTGTTTTTCTAGGACAAGCTTCGTTTTTTGCAGGGGAAGCTTCATCGTTTTTTGTAGGAGAAGCTTCTTTTTTTGTAGGAGAAGCTTCGTTTTTCCGAACCCATGTTTTTCGCTGGTTCGCGACAACAATCGGTCTTCTCGATGAAAAAGAAGAGGACACGCCAGTAGAGGGACAGCAGATTTAGACGAGTGCTATCTTCAAGCGAAGAACGCATTTGTCATCTCTACTCTAGATACCTTCTATGATAGAGGAAGCCATGCCCTTCTTGTTGAAGATGTCTTTGTCTAGTGCTTGTTGAGCTTGGGGATCACCTTCTCTCATATTCATTGCCTATCAATCACAGTCGCATATGAAGAAAAAAATATCTTCAATCTTCTCTACTTCATTAGCCTTAAGTGCTGGTGTCGTTTTTCCTCTGGAAAGTCTCGCGTGGCTCGCCAAGAACGAAAAAGCTCCGGAAGGCGTTCAGTGGGTCGCGATTTTTATTACGGAAGATTAGAGGAAATTAGTGAGTTCTTTCTTTCTCATTTTTACAACAGTCGAAAAACATCTGCCATGTGGACCATGTGACTACTCGTGAACTACAAAGAGAAACATGTAAGAATGTTGTGTTTGTAGTATGTAGCATGATATGTCTCTATTAGTACTGTAGATTAAGTACTTCTAGGTAGTAGGAACACCACCTAGTACATTAACAAGTACGAATGTAGTGCTGCTACTAGCTCCTATTATTTGTATTGCACATCATTAAGTAAGTAGTTACTAGCTACTAGTACCAGAAACAGCATGTGAATATGAGGGTCATAACAAGGATTGCAGGAGCCTTTCGCGTCTTGATGTGGTCGGACTGGAGGAGGTGGCACAACGTCGTGACTGCCAATTTCTCTGTATGTACTCTCGGTAAGCTTTTTCTGTCGCAGGCAGAATTCAATGGAGGGAGATACAACTTTTTCCATCTACTCATACTACTTCGAGTGTAGATGGAAGATGGACAAAGAGCAGAATGCCACAAGCGAGATCTTCAATGAAGATAAACGTACAATTAATTTTCATTTTTGTCCTATTTAGGGAAGAAGATGGAAAAGGAGGAGCCCACCCAGCACCATAATTCACGGACACCTTCTGCTTTTTAGTGCCGCGGCTCGCAAACTTGTTGTGATCGTCAGCATCCACTCTCGGCTGCTCGTCACCGGCTGCTTCAGCTGAGACCCTTTGCTCTACTCTTTCAGCTATTAGAGACATATTCTTTGTGGTAATTCATTCTTGAGACTACTTAGTACATACTACCCCCTGTAGAAATGCGTGAAAAAGTCGGAAGCCTTAACTGCTCGTCTAGTAATCTTGGAGTACATGGACCTTGTTCATGATCACTGATGTAGTAGTAAAACGAGTCCTCGTCATCGTCTCCCGGCTCTTGCTCTTTTACTTAGAGCAGGTCGCGACAGCAACACTCAACCCTTGAAGGGGAAGAAGACGAGGGAAATCTTTTAACCTTACTGTAAAAGTAGGCATTCGTATCAGGATGAGGGGAAGGAGACCAAGGATATTTTTAACAGGTTAGTAATATTCTTTACTAGAGAAGATGTGGTCCTTAAACAGAGAAATCGCAATATTTTGCTCATCATGATTTGCGAATCAATAGATCATGGATGAAAGTTCAAGTAGTATAGTAGCGGCATATATATTCAAGAAGTCTATAGTAGCGGGAAAACTCAAGTAGTCTATAGTCTTGAGAAAAAATCAGTACATAGGATCGTCATGCCTTAATCTGTTGCGGAGCTCTTCATTTCCTCCACCTCGTCCGACGCATTAGTGCCAAACGACGTGTAATTTTCTTCCTTTTTCAAGAAAAAGAGGTGATTCAAACTCGCCCACCCCTTCTTTCACGAAGAAAAGGTGACTCAGCAAGATCGATACTGGAAAAAAGTCATGGATTCCTTTAGTCAGTGTGAGTGGTAGCACTTCCAGAGGATGCAGTTCTATCTTTTTCATCTAGTGATGGTCCGTCCTAGTGGAAGCACAGGCACCACCAGAGGATAGATTGCATATAGTGTGGTGTAAAAATCCTTAACAACAGCAGAAAACATAGGAGACCGAGACGTGGCTGCAGGAAACATAGGAGACGTGGCACCAGGATGCACAGAAGTGACAGCGCGCTGTGCTGCTCGAGGTATTCGGACTTTGCGACGGCGGCTCTGCAGTCCTAGAGGTTCGCGCGTTCGCAGATTATTTCGATCTTTGCGCATGTCAATGGGCTGTGTATATTCTATTTCACCTCGGTCCTGCCTCTCATCGCACCAGGGCGTCTCTGTCGTAGTACAGGACGACCAACCACCTGAATGTGAATATATTTACACAGCATGATGATAGGGCGAGTTAGGACAGCATGATGATGGATAGGAGTCATTCAGCATGTTGTAGTTGACCTTGACCGTATGATAAGAACTTTTATAACTATTTTTCATCTTTTTAAGGAAGAAAACAAAACAAGCTCTTCGTAAGGCTAAAGATGTCACTTGATGTTTCTTCAAGGATGTACTTAGAAAATAGTCTAATTGCTCATTATACGTCCCTACTATCCAGTCATCAATCAATCCATATCATACGCTAACGCATCGTAGATTAGGTCCTTCAATACGAAGGTTGTAGGAGTCCAATTCAATACGTACTATCCTTGGTCCTTGGTAATTTGGTGGTAAGGCATCGTGCAACTGCTTCAGGGAGTAGAGGACTCTCCGCGGGTTTCTTGGAGGTGCTGGGAAAAGGTCACCCGTGAGACGATTAGAAGACAAGCGCTTGAAGTTCATAGTTTGTTTACTAAATGAAACTTGTTATTTCGAGAATCTTCTGCCGTTCAGTAGTCGTTCTATGTTGTTTCGTAGGAACGTCAGAACTAGCATAATCTCCAGACTGTTTGTCAACGATCAGGTAATGCCGCGCGTTCATTTTTCATGCTGTACTCATATTTTTTGGCCTTAAGCAGTAACTCTGACTGGGGTACTCCTAATCGTCGGCATGCTTTCTGAAACTGCGTAATTTTAGAGCTAAAGTCCATAGGCGCCGCATTCTTCTTGGCTTGCTTGTTTTTCAACTAGCAAGTGGAAATGAGTTGTAGTTCCGTTCGTTGTGATTAAAAATATTCATATTCTTCACTAGAATAGCGAAGCCTGTAAGACACACAATTCTGTTTGCTCTTGGTGCTACTTCTTACAACTACCTTGTTTTCTAGTTGCTCCCCATACCAATTCGGCCGATCGCGGCTGCGCTCCCTTTCTTGCATAATCTCACGTCGAGTGCTTGGATGAGGACGAAGCTTAGACGAATTGTGTTCCGCGATGTCAGTCATGGAAGGAGCAGCTAACAAGACTGCAAATAGTACTACCGACCTAAGCGACGATGGCACAGCTTGCGAAGATGCAGGAGTAAATCGATGCGGATGTTGCGCCCCCTCTCTCCAGTGGAGTAATCACAAGTGATGAGTCATAAAATGCGCTACATAGATAATTTTTTTCTAGCGCCGTCATCAAAGAAATGCGCCGCTAATATATATTATAGTTTTAGAAGTAATAAAAAAGCCCGTTCTTCCATAAGAGCAGAATTGAACCATCGGAGAGATCTCGTAGTCGCAGTCGAGGAGGCAGTCCAAATACTGGCAACGTCTCCTTCATCCGCTGACGAACCTGGTGGGTTTTTTCTATTCTGTGCATCCCAAATAGGTATGCAGCACCTACCGGCGGGATGAATCGATGTGACAAGATTCCACAGACAAGTAGAACTTGTAAACCAACGAGGAGGATTTTGAAAAAACAATATGAGGATACAGCTTCTGAAAGAAAACCTGCTCTCAAAAGTACTTTCCGACTCGCGTTTGACAATCCGTGGACGATGACATCGTGCACCCAGGAAAGGAGGACCGTTTCCAGCTGAGCCGTCTTTTATTAGTGACAGAGCAGGAGACAGGGACTAGCCTAGCAAGACGAGGGAAACAGAAGCGGTTATTTTTCTTTAACTCGGTTACTAAAAGGTCATTTTTCCTTATTAGATGAGGCAGAGAAGGAGACAGGGACAAAGAAATGGCGATGTATGAACTCTGAAAATTTAAGTGATCTTTTCGCCTTAATCTTCAGTGCTCAGCGCGGACGTACTAACACTCTTCCGCAACAATACGAGTGGCACCCCCTCCGTTGGCAAAATTAGAAGTAGATGAAGACCTAATTATAAACAATCTGTAGTGCATGAACTCTACTTGTGAGGTAGTGCTGTACTAGGTAATGTAGTAGATAGTTGCAGTAAAAGGTCGCTGATAGAGAAGCAAAGTGTATTAGATGACTAGGCACCAGAACGTTGCAGCTTCTGAAGCAACATCAAAGCAGTAGATGGTAGCCGTTGAGTCTTGAAATGAGGCTTGTTGTAGAAGCCGCGTTGTTCCGTTTTGGAATGACACTCGTTGTACAAGAGCAGGGACCTCTACAGTGTAATTGACCTGTACCCGTTTGAGGTCTATTAAAATATCTGGTAAGCGTGAGAGAAGAGCCGAGAAATACGAGATTGAGTCTATAATTCTAGAGCTAATAAAAGTAGTGGAGCCAAAACTAACTAGGAAAAACCAAAAAGAAGAAAGTCTTCTAGAGCTAAGAAATTAATATCTCCATCGTGCCTTAAGAGAGCAAATGCGTCATCGAGTCGATTAGAGCGCAAATGCTTCATCGTTTGGTTGGTTGCATTCGATCCATGGTAGAAGCACCCGCCTTCTTGTGCCGTTCTTTCTCAACAATACCTTTACATTACTACTTCTTCTAGAATGATGTCTTACTTGTTGAAGTTTATGCGAAAGAAATGTACATTTTTGCAGTAATCTGTGTGTTGTCTTTGATTGAGATAATTTTCCGGCTTGAAGACAGAGGAGGAAGGGCAGAAAGTGATCGATTCACTGATGTGCCTGACAAGAGGCAAGATCTATTAACTCTTGGTTTTTATTGCAAAAAGTCACAGGATAGAGATTCATTTGCAAAAAAGCCGTAACTGGAGGGATGGTCTGGAGCGATAGTCGGTCTTCAATGGCGACATGATGAGCCTGTATTCAACACGTTGGATGCAAGAACAAGCAACGTTTCTATGTATTCAACACTTCTTGAATCATGGATGACAATTTCAGAAAAATGAGATGACAGTAGATTCGCAAGAAGTAGGAGACCAAAAAGTAAAAGTTTTACCATTCCATCTCCTCATACAAAATGAAAATTAAATAAATATTATTTAGTACCAAAGCTCCTGTCATCGCCGCTGATCTCGAGGCTTGCTGGTGGAGAGGAGTCTGCCCCACTACGACATACTATGGTGATGATGAGAGACCCTGCAGAGGAAAGATTTAAAACTGTTCATACCCGATCCTGCAGACGACGAGTCGATTAAATCTGTTCTGCGTATCGTCTCCTCTACCACTACAACTTAGGATCTGCGTGGCGTGTAGTACTACCGCCAGCAATCGTCGATAGGCGTGCCAAAAACTAGTAAGATCTTCTTTGTATCGCGAAGAGAGTAAGACGAGGGAAAGTGACCCGGTGTCTTGAGCCGGTGTCTATGTAGAAGAATCCACTGCGGAAGATTAGCCGTGTACTAGGAAGAACTGATTGTATGCCGCATCTAGTGCTGATTGTGGCCAGCACTTAGGTCTTCAGTACTACAGGCACAATCGCATCATGGGAAAGTATTCAACATCCACCAGTAGTACCAGTAGCCACAGCGGTACTAGACGTTGGTGGCTCATTGACGAGGTACGAGGAGCTGCCACGGCTCCCGCTCTGGTGAGCATACGACGAGGCATCTCAGTTTTTTTTTACAACCGCGTTTTTGAAAAACCCATCTTCGAATTACCACCGCTCCCTTGGAAAATTTCGGTAGTAGAGCGAAAAAGGTACCACCGCTTTGGCAGGCATGCTTGTTCTTCTTTACTCACGTACGAGCTAGTATACTCACGTACTGAGCAGGCATGCTCAACATGCCTGTTTTCCTGCTAAGTATCTTATTCACTTTTCACGCATTAAGATCCTTGCCGTCATCTCAACGGTCATCACGTCTCTCTGTTCTCCTACAGTTCTCACGCACAGAGAGATCCAGTATTTGCGTAGAAGTAAGTCTGTCATGTGTAAATCAAGGTACTTTTAGATGGTACGTAGGCTTCTTTTCTGGATAAAGACGAAGAGAATCAATCACAGGTTCTGCTATAGACGCTAAAGAGAATGCAACAACATCAAGATCAACAAGTAGAGTGGAGTTAAACTATTTCCAACTACGAGGACTCGCACTCGCACTCACACGTACTAACTGGTTAAGCGTCCGAAACAAGCTTGTTGGACCTACCATTCTTACTTCTAAAGTTCATCTTTTTTAGGCTTACTTTTGCCTCTCATCTTTTCGAGGACCAGGAATGACGACGCGTCTTTGAGGTGTGTCGTTGGCACTAACACGACCACGTGACTGATGTGCATAACACGACAATATCGCAGTAGAGAGTAGATCCTTTTTTTCCTTTCTTCTAGTTCTCTCTTCTTTTCCCCTTAAGCTCTTCTTTCTATTATTCAACAATAGAAGGAGTATCGCACAAAGTAGTTCAGTTCAATTGACTGTCATATAATTAGGGGCGTCATAGAGGTACGGCACGATGTAACCTGCTGGTTACTTACTCCTTAGTAGTCAGTGACCATTGGCCACTCAGTAGCCAGTGATCAAGGCTGAAACCTGTTCAAAAACAAAATACAAAAACCCGCAAAGGGTATTGGCTCTTGCCTCTGTTGTGTCCTAGAAGCGGCAGCAAATAGAAGCTCATGAAAAATCGTTCATTTGGTAAATACGAGAGTTGTCTTTTTATTTGTCGAGTTGCTGACCCATCCTATCTCTTTGTTAAATTATTAGCACCACCACAACCTTATATAATAAATCAGCACCTTTTCCTTTAGTAGAAGTAGCGAACTTTCTCTCGAGACTTGTGTTAACTTTCTCTTTCTCCTAGGCGCAGAACATCCACACTGGCTCGTTTCCCTCATCCTAACTTTTCTAGACTGAAGTTGATGCTGTTGTCGTAGGTCAAAGGCTCCAACTTGACCTACGACTACTTCCCTGCATCTCTTGCGACTACTTCCCTGAATCTCTTTTAAACTCAAAAACATTTGCATCTTCCCTGATTCTCTTTTGAGCTCAAAAACATTTGCATCTTCCCTGATTCTCTTTTGAACTCAAAAACATTTGCATCTTCCCTGATTCTCTTTTGAATTCAAAGACTTTTGAATCTTCTTCTCTCTCCTTTTATTTAAAAGGACAATTTATACGAAACCGCTTCTGCTGCATGTGTGGAGGCCTCTGGTCGCTTTTACTTACAAGACATTGCAAGACAACACAATGAATCTCGCACAAGGAGCTACCTCGTCTGGCTCTTCTTGGTCGAAAAGCAATGTCATGTGATGTGTGCGATGTCATGTGTGCGAAAGTGCAATCCTTACTCGAATGATCACCTAAGAAGTTCTTTTTCATGTAAAAAGGACGAGGGACCTCGTCCAGCGGAACCGGAAGTGGTAGCTATTCACTAGTAGTCTGGAAGAACTCCAGCACTTGCTATCGAAGTTGAGGCCTCTTTCTTAGGACTTGAACACTGTGTGGTGGAAATCGCTGGGTTATAGCTGCTGCAACATCGAGGCATGACATGTCTTTCACGTTCACCATTTTTTTTTCATTTCCCTATAAAATTCTCAATATCAAATTCCTTCTACATTTATTTTTTAACATTAAATCATTTTCTTTTGATCTCTTCTGGCCAATTTCGATGTACAGCACGAGCTCCATTTCAAGATGCTCGTTGTCACTACACTATACGTTCCATGTCATCCGCCGATGTAGTACTTGTACTTCCAAGAACATCACCATCTTCATTACATTTACTGTAGTACTAGTACATGTGGCGGTCCGTACATACAAGACCGCATAATCTAGTCCCCACCTACAACGCACAGTCCCTACATCGAGATAAGGCAGTCGGGACGTCAAATGTAGAATGTACATCCATCCGCACATCAAATGTGGACGCTTTGTACTCCCTACGTTTGTAATGCAGCCCGGACATCGAATGCAGACTGTGCATTAAATGTATTATCATTCGACCGCAAATTACATGTAGTCTGTACATCGAATGTAGGTCGTACATCAAATTTAGGCCGTGCTCTCGTTATTTTTGTTGAGGTGAAACAATATCATATATATCTCAATTTGCCATAACTGAGAGAACGCGCAACGACTTTTTTCAATTCGTTCCGCGATCTCCGGACCTCCTGAACCAGGGCGTAGTTTACGTTCTTTTTCGTTAGCCTCCCTACACCTACTAATCAAGTAAACAATTACGGAGTCACACAACGCCGACACAAATGCGAGAATCCATATCAGCGAGTCACACAACGCCAACACAAATGCGAGCATCCATAATATCAACCTGCTAGTACTCCAGGCAGAGTCTGACTACAGTCACACAGACTGCCAAACTACACGCACAAGTGGTGTTATAACTTTGAGATATATTGATAGCAGTCTCGTCCTAATTGGGAGACTGATAAAAAGCGAAGATTCAAAATCGGTCCTCCTCTCTAGCAAGTAGTAGATCCTTTTCTTGAAAGCACACTAACTCCTTACATCGTGTCTGATCGAGACTGTAGGTAGATAGGATGGCGATCGAGGACGAGATGATAGGTCGTAGATGATAGATGGATGCAGTACGAGTATATCGTCATGGAGTATATCGCCTAAAACAATCTCGTCACTTGAAGACTGTCTGAGAGACGATAGACATTTCCTGCGCCGCTTTTGTAAGCAGTATTTCGAAAGTTCTTGCAAGTTGGTTCTTGCAAAATCGCAAACTCCTTGTCTATGATCTATCAAGAGTGCCTCAACCTACACAAGAGTGGGAGCCTTTTGCTTCCGGGAAAAGGAGTCAGAAGAGCCCCAGAAATTACTGTGTGCCGACCTAGAGCAGCAGTCTGATCCGGGGGGTTCATGAATAATTTTTAAATGACTCTAGTATTCTGGGCATCCCGAATATTCGAAAAACAGAAATTACCGAGTAAAGTGCTATCCTCGAATTGACTCGCTTATTTTGAGATTCATTTCGAATAGGCATTATCCATATGGCACGCAGCCCCCACACGAAAAAAATATACTACTGGATTCTAAGAAAAAGGACGATAATGAACTAGCATTGTGACGTGGATTATGATGAATGAACAAGCGAGTCAGAGTTGGAAGATCGATTGATGAAGGAAACAAAAAAATAATCAATACACGGAAAAACGATCCTTTTTACAAATCATACAACAATTCCGTTTTAGTTTTACAGCTTCACTTTCTTTCCCTTAAATACAATGCAATAGGTACAACATTACATTCTTTTTATCTTTTTTTCAACATCGATTATAACATGATTACAGATCTTTTTGTTCTTTTGCCAATTATTCTTGCTGAATATTTTTCGACATAAAAATCATTTACTATTTTTTTACAATAAGAATAAACTAGATACTCCACCACGATGAACTTCCAGCCAGCGCGCGTTTAGGTTAGGTTGTGACTCTCCTGCACATCGAGCCCCCCGGCACCTGGCTCAAACCCGAGGATGAATCGCACGTACATATGATGTCATACATATGACGCCATGTCATGGCGCCTCTTTTATAGCAGTAAGTGTCTATCTGCTCCTGCACCTGCTGCAACCGCACCTATTCACCTAAGAAGCAACATCACATGGAAGTTCTGGCGAGCCGGCTCTTAAGCATATAATTCAGGAATGTAGTCAAAGTCCGAACAAGGTGGCGCGAGAGAAGACAGTGTGATCTGCTCTATAATGAATTAGACTGTTTTCAGATCGAAGTCATCTTCTCAGAGATCAAAATCATCTCCTCGTCATGCATAAATATTATTAATTTTCATGATATAACATACAGTTCTTTTTGCTTAGACTATCAACAAAAACAAAGAGCTATAGGCTGTGAGTGCCAACATCTAGCAGAGAGTGTTAATAGTAATGGCCATACTTCATGACTCTGGTAATTTTTGTCTGCGTTCCATAGTTCGTTACAACGTCTCTATTAGTTATGATCCTACACTACCGGTGAGACGAAATGGTCCTTAGTCGGTACGTATGTGTATCAGACTTTTAATACATAAGTACTTGCTCACTTATCTCTTTATCAGAACTTGACTCATCATGCGCGACGTTTCCCTGTGCACTGTCGGTCCTGCGAT